CGATGGGCCAGTGAATCGGGGCTCTGTTTCGCGATCCTAATTGGGGAAGAATGCGGTCAGTCGGATTGAAAAGTTGAGCCATTCGCGATGGCGGAAGGGCTGCGCACCTCTCGGACGTAGACGAGACGGCCCATGAGGCTCTGATTGCTGAGTGTTTGGATAGCCTGTTGGGCTTGTTCCCTAGTTGCGTATTCCACAATCCTAGTACGAGTCAGAAAACTGGCCCAGCGGTCGGCAGAACTGGCAAAGGTGGCACTTACCCGCATCCCTACATAAACCCGTGGACCAGGTCCAACCCGTCAATCCAACGTCCAACAAAAGTAACCAAAAAGGAAGACCAGTAGAACCAGCCGCATCACACAATGGCGCCCACCTTCGACATTCCATTCGGAAGAGTCAAGACATCAGCAAAGAGAACTTCTCCAGCTAATTTTCGGCATCAGTAAAGAGTTGCGAATCTGACGGATCCCTGAAACCGACCTTGTCTCATGAAATCTTTGAGATGGTGCCATTTGACGTCGTAAGCCAAATTGCCCACGTAGACACGGCGGTCTTGTTGAGAAGACTCGCGCACCGACTGCATCATTTGTTCTTTTGCTGCAGCACGATCTTCAAACGTTCTAGGTGGTGGTCGACCTCCGCCGGCGTAGCCTGACCCTCCTGAATATCCTCCAGTTGGGTTGGGTGCACCGCTCATGGGACTTCTCGAACGACGCTCACTTCGACGGTAGTCGTCGCCTCGACTGCGAGAGCGGCTTCGAGGAGAGTAGGAACGGCGGCTGCGTCGTGGACTGCGCGATCGACGGCGGGGTGAACGAGATCGATCTGATCGGTCCCTCTGGAAACGGTCAGAATACTGATGAGCAAGAGTGATCATAGCGTGAGAGCAGAGAGGGCTCGAATTTAAAGTGTCGTGCAGGTGAGTTCTAGGCCGAGTCACACGTGCAAGTGAATGGTCATGTCACGCTATTGTTGGGGTCAAACAGAACAGATTCACTCTCTGTTCTCTCTGATTCGTGTGTGCTCGCCACAGAGCACATAAGGCAGAAGTGGACCCAGGCCGATTGGGAATGGTCGTGGTGAAGTCGGAAGCAACTTCAACCCCCAATCTCGGTCGTCGCAATCTCGAACTGTGCGCGGAAACAAGAAAATCGTTTCACTTACTAGATGTTCACCACGTTAGCCAACAGATGCTCAGGGACGGGGGAAGGAAAGAAAAAAGAGACGGTGAAGATGAGGTTGGGCAGAGACAAGAGTTGATGCAATGTAGATGTGACAGGCACATGCAGGGCAGAACAAGGTGATGATCGGAAGGCCAGTGCCGGAATGGCTAGCTTGGGCCACCGAAAACGAGGAAGAAAAAGAGCGAGGAAAGGAGAGACACACCCATGATAATCGATTGCCGAGAGCTCGTGCGGCGGGCTTTGACTGTTGACTTCTACGAGATCAGGATCGCATGCACGAAAATGCAGGAAGGGAGGGGGTAGGAGAGAGACCAGCTAACAAGGTTTCCCGAGTAGTACAAGGGCTGTCTGGAGCTGTACGCACAACGCGGGCAGCTCGATTCGTCCTGGGTGGAGCGGCTTTTCAGGGCCTCAAAATCGTCGGAGAAGGGGGGAACAAGAGACAGGATTCCTTTGACACGGCGCAGCACAATGCAGCGCGAATCTGACAGAGCCTCAAGCGGCGCGCAGTTAGACCGATTCTCTGCGGTAGGTGTTCGAGTGTTGCCCGTCTGGCCGGAGAAAATTTTCTCTCTGACAAGAACAAACTTGGATCAAGGCAACGAGGGCCCAGTCAGGAGCGGCGGGGCAATGAGGACAACCTGGGAGTGGAGTCTGCGATTGTTGCCGTGCTTGACGCTGTGCCCAGGAGGTGGATGTAATTGGGCGATGATATGGGCGACACCCAGGAGTTGGATTGTTGCCTTGTCTGAGGTGAAGTTGTGATTGGAAACCTGCGCCCTCACCACCGATTCAGTCAGCACCTCGTTCACCATGCTTCGCTTCTTCTTCATGCGCCCTTTTCTCCCATCAAAGTATGTATATTGCTCAAGGACTCTTCTCAATCAATTTGGTGGCAACCCTCGTCCGGGGACAGCTGTGGGTAGCACTCAACACGTCCCTCTTCCTCCTTCTCGTTCCCCGTTGAGGTGCAGGGGTGGCGGACCAACCAAAAAACGGACACAATGGACCCAATGGGCTTGTGTCAGAGGTGTCAAGACAGGGTCTGTTGGGGAGGGTGCCCAATGGGGACAGTCAAGAAGCAGGATGGCAGTCGATCGAGTAAGCCGGCAAGGCAGCGTTCTAGGGCCTAATGGCAGAGGGACAGGTTCCTGCCAGGTCCGGCTTGGTGAGCGGACACGGGCGACGGGCGAACAGTTATGGGAAAGGCTCGGATGTAGTCTATGCAGCTACGACGCAGGAGGAGCAAGATGGATGCAGGTGTTTGAAGGGCAAAAGTAGGTCGCAGGTCGAATTGGATGCGATGGCTCGAGGGGCGCAAGTGTGACGGGAGGAAAAGGCGAAGGCGCGAGGTCTGAGTGGCCCAGTGGCCTTGGCGCTAGCGATCGGCTTTGACTTTTTGGCCTCTGCGAAGCCACCATGGGCCATGGCCCTCTGCCCTCCTAGTCCCTGTCAACCTGCTCTCGACTCATCGGAGCTCGTGTTGTCACGTCCATTGTTACCAGGGTCCCTTTCCTTACAGCCTGAACTGGTGGGTGTATCCATCCACCAGAAAGCTGCCGCGACGAGGTCAAGATCCAAGATCCCGCCAGGCCAACAGCTAGGAAATAGCCATATCCAGCACTGGATATTCACCACCTCCTCTCCTGCCTGACGCGCGTTCCCGACCGAAAAGTACTGTACTGCACATATGCAAAGCTAGCGAGCTATGCGGTCCGTTGTTCCACCACCAACACAAACTCTCCCTTTGTGGCGTGCGCAGGCAGCCCCGGTTACGTGCCTATCGAGGGACCATAAAGAGGAAGCACATCAGGCAGTCTAAAAGCTACGAGGAAGTCCTTCTAGTCAACCTCGTTTTGAATGTCACCGACTGCAACCCGTGCGGAGTAGTCTCCCAGCTTTTAGCTTTTGCTCATCTGCGGGCCAACGGCACGATCTGAACAGAAGTCGGGATCGCCTCTTGTCAAAAGACGCGAGGAGAAGTACCAATCTGAGCCCACGGACATCTTCTCCATTATTTACCCAAAATAAACCGTCGTGGGCTCACCAACAGGAAAAGATCCCACTCTCCAGACTTGGGCCGTCATTTTGTGCGTGCCTTTGCAAAGACACCTTTAGGGCACAAAACCTGTTTCACTTTCACCTAGTTTGTCCATGCAAGGAGACTGGCACGCACTACCCGCTCCCCCAAAGCAGCACAATTCATGTTGAGAGAGCCAGGGTTTGCTGTACGAAAGGATAAGATCGGCGTTCTCGTGGCGCCGTGACCAGTTTGCCCACTTGCCCACCTGCCAAGCTCCACTATCGCTGCCGCTGTACGCCGATTCCTGTGATCAAGAGTCAGGATCCGGGTGTCAAGGAAGCACAGGAGTCCATCCGGGATTACGACATTACGGAGCAGCTGAGCTTTGACAGATTTCGCCGATGCTGGAGAAGCTTCTTCAATAGCGGCTGAAGTGGAGGGTCGGAGGCCCCTTCTCCCATGCACCTCGCAAAGACTAAGCTGCATTTTTCAGGTGAGGAGTGTGCAAGCCACCATGGCGGCAACCAAGATCAGTGGTCGAGCTGAGCCATGCCCAGCCAAATCGGCGCGAAGCAGAAGCGCGGAAACACGGGTGTGCAGGCCTGGCGGCGCTTGGGCGATCCACCGGGACTCAAGTTCCGCGACAACCGTGAACAACCATCTTTCAACCTCGCCCGGGAGGCTTGCAGGGCGGTCCAAGGGACCTTATCTTTTGGCCTTCTCCGCACAGCTGGCCTGACTTGGAGCAGTCGCAATGTACGTACAACGACAAAGTTCTTCTTTGCTCGCGCACATGGCGAGCGGAGAAAATGGGCACAATAGAGATACTCCGAAATTCTGGTCCTTGCACTTGTACCGAAAAGGCTCCAAAGCAACCTGCATTGACCCGCACTGTGTAAAATGCAACCTCGTACCCTGGCGTGTCTGGGACGATCTACAAGAGCTTGGCTGACTCGACACACTCATGATGCTTCGTTGGTCAGTCGTGACATGCTGATACCGGCGAGCTTCACTCGTCGAGTTATGTTGCCCCGGCTAATCGTCGCTTCGACCATGGCAATTGCGCAATACCTAGGTAGGTACGCTATAACAATGAAGCTAAATCCGGCCGTCACTGTGACGGCCCACGGGGTGTAATGGTACGAGGTTGCACTCCGCCCTCGACTTGTGATCGGAGGTCTTCCCCAAAGCGGAGCGTGCCACGAAGGTGTCGGAATATGAGAAGCAACTAGACCCGGCAGCGGTTGACAAGCTCCTTTCCGAACAAGATGGGCAGATCAGTGTGAGAAGTTGGAACTGAAGACCTGGCGAGCTGGGTAGATGCCTGCTCGCTAGTCACGCAGCACGGAATCATGTTTCACCGGCACATAACCGGTTGAGATAAGGTGCGCGTTAGTAGGCACAGAACTCCGTAGATTTCTCCGTTCTTAGTCTGATGGGATAAACATGAACCGGGTGTTCTCAGTGATAGTCGGACGACTGTTCCGAGCCAATCAGACACGGTGACTACCACGTGCCAAGTGCCGTAAGGCTGAAGGAAACTTGGGACTTGCGAGGAAGATATTTCCGCGTCAAGGAAGCAGTTTTGTCTGGCCACCGCTTGAAGCTAGTTTCATCGTTCGTCGGATGGCTGCAGATGTTGTGCAGCTCGCTCTTCGCTTTGACCTCGAACCGTGGAGTGTTATAGATCGATTGTCCATTGGGTCTCCACATCTTGGCTTGTTGCATCCTGCCTTCTCCAAGTCTCCCTTTCAATCCACCTCGTCACCCGCTGCTATACTCCCGCCGCAGTCATGTCCATCACACGCACCAGGGCTGTAGCCCTGCTACGACCGCCGCGATTGAGTGCATCTGCAACACTGTCAAGCAACCCTCTTGGACAGAGACCAGCCCTTACGCGAACCTACTTCTCAATCCACCATCCCGATCCTCCACCTTTCCCCGAAACTCAAGATCGAATCCTTTCGGCTGCCATTAGTCGGGTACCTCAGCATGGGTTTACGGTGAGGGCACTGGCGTTAGGAGCTAAAGATGCTGGATACCTGGACGTTACTGTCCAACTCTTCCCCCGCGGGGTCTTTGATCTTATCAATTACCACCTGGTCACTCAAAGACGTGCGTTGAAAGATACCGTGCAGTTTCCAGAAAGTTCAACGCCGGGCTTGGGAGCAAAAATAAGGACATTGACCATGGCACGGTTGAGAGCAAATGCGGACATGATCCACCAATGGCAAGGAGTAAGTTCACAATATCCTTCTACCAGGCACCCATCTAATGGTCCCTGCAGGCTCTCGGGTACATGTCCCTCCTCGAGAACATTCCTGCCTCGATAAAGGAGCTTTATGCGTTGTCGGATGAGATTTGGTATCTCGCGGGAGACACCGCAGTCGACTTCTCCTGGTACACCAAACGAGCCTCCCTCGCAGGCGTCTACGCAAGTTCAGAACTGTTCATGACAAGGGATACATCAAAAGATTTCTCGGCAACAGAAGAGTTCCTCGACCGGAGATTGAGAGATGTACAGCTCCTCGGAGGCACTGTTGGAGGACTGTCACAATATCTTGGCTTCTGGGCAAGCAACAGTGTGAATTTGGCCAGGTCGTGGGGTATGAGAGTGTGAAAGACGGAGGAGCGTTCAGATCTTTGTTCACTTTTCTGAAGGATATCTTATGCGGCCCGTCGCCTCTGCTAAAGCTATCTCTCGATCGAAGTGGGAATTTCGAGGCCTCCTCGGAGGGGAAAGATTCCCCGAAGGAAGCTCCACTCCATCATCTTCTCTCCGTCGAGCTCCAACACTTCCAATACCGGCCCGGAAATAGACTTGGAGCGTCTTTGGGTATGTTGGATTGCCACGGAAGCGAGGAGGTATGAATAGCGGTCACGAACCGTACAAAATGGACATTGCTTGAAGATTCCACAAGAGGTGCCCTCTAGATTTGCAGCACTGTTTCATGGTCCGGTGCACAAAAGACGAGCACCACTGAGGAGCTTATCAAATGCTGGATCGTTGACAGCAACAAGACAAACGGACAACATCCATCCCTCGAGGCGGCACCATTGAGGACATTCAGACAGACGTCTTGGTTGCTACAATAGCCCGATTCAACACTGTCGGCGGCATGAAGGGGAATTCGGTGGAAGAAATCTGGAGATGCTGCGAAGGTCTGCATTACCTGGGGTATAATCCTTTGCGTGGTCCTTTGTCTGCATCCAATCTGAACCATTGATGAGGGGCCCGCTGTGCCAATACTGCATGTCCGAGAAGCCTGAAGCTGGTTGACCCACGGGTCTTGTCGGTTGGTTTCACGACTTCGAGGTATGACCGAGGTGCTCTTTTCGAGAGTTAGGTACAACATGCGGATATAGGGTTGGATGTTGAGTTGCATATTTTGTACTCTAGACCACCATAATTGTCCAAGAGATTCTAGGGGCGCTCTAATTAATGCCGCTAATTGAAGCCTTGTCGAGGAATTGAGAGCTTGCCAGATATAAGACGTCGGTCAAGCCTTTAAGCCAGTCAAAACAGCCATCTACATTAGGTCCGCTGTCGCTGCTATCAGCCCACGTAGAGACTATGCATCTACAGCAGATAATAGAGTGAACATATTCTGATCGAAATTGGGATCTAGAAGCGTGGACCTCCCACCCATTTCCTCTCTCCTCTCTCCTCTCAGAAAGTGAAAAGAAACAACCCCCCAATTCCTCCCCCTTTTTACTACCACCCTCGCTCCACACCTCGCAATGGAAACATTATTGTACGAGCAATAATTGAAGGTTTGGAAAAAGAAATCCAACTGCAGGTGAACCTCCAGCTCGGACCTTCTAACAGGGTGTCAGCAATGCAAGCATCCCCGTCAAAAGCCCGCGCTCAAGCCCTCGCGTCGCACGCTTGGTCCGTCGTGCACGAATGGCTCGCGAGGCTCTACCACCCGTCACCTGTGCCGGCGTTCGAACGCAATGCCGTCACGCTCAGGGCTTTACAGGGTCTGATGGCAGAGAATATTGCTGCGGATCGAGTGAGGGAGTTGTTGTTTGCGGCGAAAGTTGAAGAGTTGGCGGCTGGAGGGAGGGAGGAGGAGGACGATGACGACGAAGGGAGAGATCACGAAGCGAACGCGATGTTTTCCATGCTGGAGACTTCGTTGGCGTCGGCGGCGGCGGCACAGACAGCGCTCGAGTCTCTTGCCGGCTCAGTCGTCCTTCTAGGCGGCACCGGCGGTGTCTCCCCGTCGAAACCATCGACATCAGCGACGGACGATGCCGGTGCCAGCGGTGTTGTTGCACATCTCACATCCCAAATCGTCAACATTCCCCGGCAGACCTTCGCGCTGGAGTCGCAACTCTCAGCCATTGAATCCCTTGCAGCTTCGCTCCGGAGCCAGATTGTCGAAACACAAAGGACCCTCGCTGCTTTCGCCGCCGAGAGGGCTCCTCGAGAGCCGTCTTCAGCTCCGAGTCGTCCAGGTCCAGTAGTGGACGATCCAACCTCGAGGTCGTCGACTTTTCGGCCGACCACCCCATCATCATCATCCTCCCCGACTACACCTACAACTACATCAACGACGGATCCCTCACACCTCCACAACCTCACGCTCCAGCACCAACGCGAGACGAAACAACTAACCCTCAAAGCCGCCGAGTACAAGTCCCGCATCGAGGCGCTGGAACGGCGTCTCTCCACTCACCCAGCAGACGCACCCGATCTCGCCGTCCTGACCACCGCAGTCGCTGCCGCTGCCGCTGCGAAGCAACAGTCCCTCTCCGCCAAGAAGAAGCAGCTCGAGACCCTCCAAGGCCGTTTTGAGAAGTTCCACGGCCTGCCGCCGGACGTGGACGTGTCGCGCGCCGAGGTGCGCCGGGCCGAGGGGGAATTGGACGCGCTGAGGAGAAGGAGGGATGAGCTTTTCGAGGCGCTGTAGACCCGCGCGGCGTTTTAGGATTAGAAAACTTTCATTGCCGGGAAGGATGGTTCGCTGAGCGATGGGAGGGAAACAAGGGAAGCGCTTTTTGGATGTAGTGCTAGGAACTGGCAGTAGAAACCTTGTAATGATACCACCTGCAGTGATGCAAAAACGGCCCATATCGCAGTGGTATTAATACAGAATAACCGGATGGAGGGACGAACTCAAACAGATTTCGTCCTAATCACTTCCTCCTTGACATGATGCTGGAGGACACCCAAAGAACCAAGGCAAAGGATAGGACGAATGATTGTAAGTGTGAATAAGGCCTTTGATGCATCTAGCCATCAGGTCTCCGCCAGCGCCGACGCTGGGCCTGCAATAGTACATTTTATATCTCCCCACGTCCCCTTGGGCATTCCTCTCATCCGACTCGCACAGGAAACCTCACAGCCGTCCCCAAAAAGCAACCTGCTCAAACAGAAATTCTCACTCGCTTCATCGCGTCTTTCTCTGTCTTTTCGCCTTCTGCTCTTGCCCGTTTCCTCTCCTCCCTCAACCGTTCCTTCTCTTTCCTCGCCATCAGGTATTTCTCCGTATGCCTCAACGGTTGCCCGTCTCTCCCTCTGACGGTCATGTCATGCAGGACAGGCGGCCTCGTGAAGAATAGCACACGTCCTTGATCGTCTTGTGGGAACTGGTCGCGAATGTGTTTGGGGATGGATTCATTGGCTGTGTCCGAGAGCACAAAGACTTCGGCGACGCGTTGATCGGGGTAGGTGGTGGCAGCTGTCGAGGCAAAAGGTACGTATGATTGAGCAGGAGTGGTGGCGGTGGCGGCTGGTTGTACTTGAGGTGGGCGACCGTATATTCCTTGGGAAGGAGTGGTAGAAGGCGAGAAGTTCGTGGGGTGAGCGGGAGTCAATGTCGGCTGTGGGTGGAGTTGTGGGTGCGGGTTATAGGGATGATGAGATTGCTGGGAAGCTGGGGATTGGGGAGCAATGGTTGCATGAAGATGCGGTTGTGATTGTTGGTAAGAGGCCTGTCGGCCATATTGAGGTGCAGGTGAGATGGACTGGTGTTGGAATGAACTGGGAGTCAAAGAGGGTGATGGGCGTGTCAGTTGAGATTGGAGACTCGCTGGACCGTGGTTTCCTGTGCCATTAGCTATGGGACGCGGAGCCATGTTGGCAACAGTGCTCAACGAGGGTTGTCTCGCGACTACTGGTGGAGGCGTCGGAGGAGGAGGAGGTGTGGGTTCCGGTGGCGGTGATTGCTGTGAGATAGAAATGTCAGTGAGAATATTACCATTGTGCCAATGGGCGCGGCATCTCTCGCACACATCATCAAGAGGAGAACTCACATTCTCATCGCGGGCATGTTTGTGGATTCCACCCACGATTGGCGGTGCGTTGGGATGACCCCATTGAGGAGAAGGAATCTCATCCGTCTCCTTCATGTTCTCCTTCAAGAGGTGTTTGAGTGGGCTGGGCACTTTCTTGATCTTTCGCGGCACATCAAACAGGTCCATCTCATAGTCCTTGTCTCGCACCTCATCGGGTAAGCAACTGGCCCATGTCTTGATCTTGTTGAATCTGTGCTTCTCCTCATTGTATCGAGCTTCACAAACATAGACCTCCTTCGTGGGATCAACGTTTCGAGGTCTGCCACGAGTGTACCTGGTGAAGAACATGACAAAACAACGATCGATCACCTCCTCGATCCGGTGGTCTCGGTACTGGCCTGTCTTGACAACCTCGTTCGGCCAGAAATGCTTCTCATACTGATGTACTGTTTGTTCTGGCCTGTAGTACCAGCACGCATTTATCCACTTCTGACCTTCGGAATCCTCCCAGGTCCGGTAAATCTGGGCAACAATCGGCTTCGTCACATCATTTTGGTTTTGGATATGGACCCAGTCGCCGACTTTCCAGAGCTCACTTTTGTGAAGGATGCCAGCCGGCAAGGGCCTTCTACCGTCTTCCATGAGGTATTCATCGTCAGGTTTCGCCTTTTCAATTTCGGCCAGTTTCTGTGCTTCTGCGTGGAGGTCTACCGCATCCTGGTAGATTTCACTGCCATCCTCGTTAAACTGCTTGGCATTGTTAAAGAGAAGATCAAGATCCTTCATGAAATGCTCAAGTGATTGGTATTTCTTTCTTTTAGCCTTTTTCTTGATAGTGTCGAGGGCGATCGGGTCTTTAATCTCAATAAAATAGGCGGGATACTCCATCTTGTCGGGCAATCGTTCGAAATGACGGACTTTCAGGTTCCCAGCACTGTCTTTCGGCTTGCGGAGGCCCTTAAGGATGGCTTTGATCCGAGCCTCCATTGGCGTGTCCACCTTAGGGGGTCGTCCTCGTCGCTTTCGAAGATCTGCGTCGTCCTCGTCGCGACCCTTTCGTCCTGAAATGCTCCGGCGGCCGCTTTTCGGTCTTCTCTTCCTGCGATCATCTTCAGAATCGTCATCGGCCCCATCATCGTCGTCGTCGTCTTCTTCGTCCTCATTGTCTTCGTCTTCGTCGGACACCGGAGTCGGCTCAGGGGTTGCATCGGGGATCTCTCCGAGATCTGGAAAGACTGTTTCCTCCTCTTGGATCAAGCCTTCATCCACCAGCTTCTTGAGTTCGTCCTTGAAGACTGTCTGCAAAAGCAGGACGTCGCGCACGGGAGCCGAGTTCGGTCTGTTGTATACCTGCGCGTTGTGGACAATCAAGGCAAAATCGTGGACGAATTCAGGGATTCCTGTATATTGCTTTCTCTGTATCTTCTGCTTAAGAGTACTGATAGCCACGGGGTCCTTGATGATTTCGTGGTAGTCTGGTAGGACCCTTCTGTTGGGCTTTCGCCTGAAGAGCTGGGAAGGGTAGTAGTCCCTGGATATGAGGTCAGCCTGGAAGGGTGACTTGAGCATGGGGCTGCACAGACTCATCTTTGACGGTGATTTTGTAGTTTGTCAAGATATCGGTGATGTTTTTCAAAGCCCTGTACTGTTCAAGAGAGACGGGAGGTTCCTCCTGTCCTTCTCCAGCGGCGTCTTCAGCTTCTTCAGCACCGTCGCCTTCGTTGTCGGATTTATCGTCAGCTGCATCTTCTTCCTTGACAGCAGGCTCGACTTCGATGGACTGCACCGGCTCAGTCACGGGCGCATCTGCGGTTGCGGTTGCGGTTGCGGTTTCGGTTTCGGTGTCGGCCATTGTCTACTTGTCGCGCAACTATCGCAACTGGCTGGCGACGTAGAAAATGGACTGGAAAGTCACTACGCGCGAAGACATAGGTAAGAGAGCTATACGCGAGGAGTTGGAGACGGTGATGTTGTTGTCGCGACTCTACTGGGAATGCGACGGGCGACGTTGCGCTACGGGAACTGCGGGCAAAATCTGGGGGCGCGGCGAGAAAGTCTTGGCGGCAGTTGCGCTGAGGACCTCGATCTCCGGCTGCTTCACCTCCCATACCAGTGATCACCACATTGCTGTGCTGGGGAGTTCTACGATTATCATCGGTGAAAAGGTGCAGTGACACTCGATCCTCCTCCGAGTCCCTAGTTCAGAACGCGTCGTCTATCACTCCAACGAGTCGCGTCGAAACATCGGGCCGGACAATCTTGGGGTTAAACCGCTCTGGGCTGATTAGACACTTGTTCCCATGATATCCTCACCACCTTGACTGTCACCACTGGCACGCGAGGGTCATCGAGGGAGTGTGAGAGGCAACGTGTTGAAGCCTGGAAGATCGAGCTTGAGTATTGACGCACAAACAACCAACCCACCTGTCACTGCGAAACCGCACGCAGAGATCCAACTTTTCTTCACTTGTCTCCCTTCTACTCTAGACCATACCATTCCCTGGTGGCAAGAGCGTGCTGCAAGCTTGTTTGCTGCCAGCTGTCATTTGTCACTAGTCACTAGTCACTGATTTGTCTTGCGACAGATCTGCTCCTTCTATTTTCTTTGGCATCTCATCTGTCCTCAGTCCCTCGTATATATAGTATTACTGGCAGTCAGATCTGTGTGGGACCAGAAAAAGAGCGCAATGAGGGTTCGGATAAGGGGCCCATCCGGCAAGTCCAGCACAGTCAGCCTTGATGAATCTGCCACGGTAGAGACGCTTCAAAAGACCATCAAAACCGAGACATCACTATCTTCATTCGAGGTCAAATATGGCTACCCACCAAAAACACTGTCGCTCGATCAACTGCCGCCTTCAAAGCTCCTTTCAGAACTCGACTTCAAATTGAATGGCGAGCAGCTGATTGTTAATGAAGTCAAATCACCAAGTCAGAAGGGCGACACTCAACCGACCTCGCCAGATGCACTCCAAAGCGCCCCAAGACCAGCTGATTCCTCAAGGCACCACATCCCTCCGCCGACAGCCTTCTCCAGCACCTCCAAAGCGGCGCCCAAGTCCCAGGAAGCCTCGGCAGCGGCACTGTCACTGTCGCGGAAACAGAATCCGGAAATGGCAGATCCACCCGAGATCTGGTGTCCAGATCTGCAAGGCACCTTAGTCTTACGCATCATGCCAGACGACAATTCGTGTCTTTTTAGAGCCGTTGCCAGTGCCGTCCTGTCAGATATGGACGCAGTCACGGAGCTACGGTCGATCATTGCGCAGAGCATCCAAGCCAACCCTGAAAAGTACACCAAGGCTATTCTGGACAACAAAGAACCCGATGCATATTGCCGGTGGATCCAGACCGAGGATGCTTGGGGGGGACAAATTGAACTTGATATTCTCAGCCGGCAATTCGACGTCGAAATCTGCAGCATCGATGTGCAGAGCTTACGAGTGGACAGGTACAATGAAGATGCAACAAGCCGTTGTTTTATTGTATACTCTGGCATCCATTACGATACAATCGCTCTAAGCGTGCACGGTGAACCGCCGGAGGCCGACGTCAAGCAGTTCATCCAACCACTTTCTGACGAGGTTCTGCCACATGCTGTCGCCTTGTGCAAGAAACTGCAGGCGAAGCACTATTACACCGACACTGCTGGATTCAAGCTCAGATGTAACGTTTGCGGAGCTACGTGTACGGGAGAAGCTGGGGCAACGAAACATGCAGAACAGACAGGGCATATGGATTTTGGAGAAGCTGCTTAAGGATACTGTGATGGGGGCACGATATTAGAATTGGTGACATACTTGGACGGTTCCTTTCTACTGGGGGTGGGGGTGGGATTGGGTCTTTTTCACCCCGGGAGCCTTGCGGTCAATCCTCGGTCAGAACCCTGCCAAATCGCAAGAGGGTATGGCTTCAAAATAGCTGGATGAGATAGGCGTCGCTCTGGTTTGTGCGTGCTCTCACCCCTTCAGTGGGAGTGGTGTCGCTCTAGGAGACCGGTCGGCCTCATAGCCAAGTATTATCTGACTGTGTGCTGAACACCTGAGCTAGAGGTATGGGACGCGTTACAAGTACTGCTTCCATTGAGATTGGATAAAGCAGCTGACAAAAGGCGGGCGCAGACTTTACGTTGAGGTCCAGGCCACCCAGGACACAAGGCGTGGATACAAGGCGTACCAGAACACAAGGCGTGTCTCCCTCATGGATTACGGAGAGATGAGATTATGTCGAAGGGGCTACGGATACCTACCTAGGTGGGTATTGACCAATGGTCATAGCCGTACTGCTTGAATGGCGGGCGTGGACGATTCTTATTGACAACGACACCTACTGTACTCGTCCAGAATCCACAACCAGCTCATGCGAAGCATTTCTTGGGCTCTGACTCGCCCATGTCGACACCTTTTGACTTTTGGGCTCCCTTGGCCCGTCGGATCCTATCACTGGCTCTTGGTGGCTCTGGTTTTCGCCCAGCACCTCCACCTCAGTCACGGTTTATGTAACCGAGGTTGAAACAGTCCATAGTGAAGAGTATATATATTGGTGCTCCAGCATCCCTCTCAGGTGTCTTAGGTTGCGGCTCAGCTCAGATCATCACTTTGCGAACTATCATAGCCCTCGATCCATTCTATAATACATCCCTCTCACCTCACCGTCAGTAAAACCATGGCGTACGCAGAATCATGGCTCGAAGTACGTATCCAAGCCAAACAGTCCAATGTTTCCTCTTTGCTCACAGAGACCTGCAGCTGGAGAAGAACTTGGGTGGCCGTATGGTCATGACCGGGACTCCAGAAGAAATTCGAGCGCAGTATGATCAACTGGTGGGGCTGCTTCTCCCTCAATTGCCTCCCCCATCAGAGGCTGTCGAGAGCAAGGACGGCGAAGTCGAGGGCATCAAGTACCGCCTGTACACGCCAAAGGAAGCGGCCAAGTCGGGCCCTCTCCCTGTCGCCATCTGGACGCACGGTGGAGGATGGATGACCGGCGACCTCAACTCGGACGATTTGCTCTGCAGGATTGTCGCCGAAGCTGTCCCCTCCATCATCATTAGTGTGGATTATCGACTTTCTCCCGAACACAAGGTCCCCACACAGCTCCAGGACTGTTTGACCGTTTACAAATGGGTGAGTAACACCGCCCAGGCCCCCCAGTGCGGTACAATCTCGGTCACTAACCCCAGTCCAGGCACGACAAAACGCGACCTCGTATGGAGGGGACCCAAGCAAATTCTACACCATTGGTGGTTCCGCTGGTGGTGCACTGGCACTCGAAATCGCCAACCGGATCGTCAAAGACCCCTCGAAGCGCGATGGGATCAAGGGCATTGCCGCCATTGTGCCCTGCGCGCTGCATTGGGACCACGTCCCCGAGGAATACAAGGATATTTACAAGGCGTACGAAGAGAACAAGGAAGGGGTCCCCATCATCGACAAGAAGTCAATGCAGATTTTCTACGACCATGCAGGGGCCGATCCCAAGGACAGCGACATCTTCGTCGCGTTGGCCAAGGAGAACCACCCAAACTTCCCACCAACGTACCTGGTCAGTTGTGAAAAGGATCCCCTGAGAGACGATGCCTATGTGATGGAAGCGGCCTTGAAGAAAGCGGGTGTCCCCACCAAGCATGATCACTACAAGGGAATGCCTCACTATTTCTGGATCTTCCCTTCTGTGCCTGAAGGCCAGCAGTTCGTGGGCAACTTGATTGGGGGTGTCAAGTGGCTTATCTCGCAGATGTAAACAGGTGGCCTTGATTGCTGCAAAAGGACACGTAATGGAATGGCACTTTGCAAGGACTAAGAGGCAGGGAGTCTCGGGTCATCAAGCACTCCGGAATGCATCTTTCCGCACAATATAGACAAGAAGCAGACAACGAAGAGGTGATTATGGAATCCTGATTCCACCGACGGAAGGAGAAAAGGGGCGTCTCACAGTTGGAACGTTCCGGGTCTGTTGGATGGAAGTAATGCGTGGAGGAGGAGAAGCAGGAGGAGTAAACAAAAAAGCCCCGCGAGCCCGTCAGAGGCCGTAGTTATCACGCCCCCCGCTTCTTACTGAACATGAACCCCACGCACCTAAAAGCGGCGTTAATTCCGTCCTCCACACAGCCTCGTCTTGCCAGTGCTAGTCTGCTAGACAAGCAGCTTGATCCAAAGGCATTGGCCATCTTTCCCTCGCGTCTGAGTCGATGGCTACACCCTTTCTCACCAGCCTCGATGGCCTCACCTCTCCCAGCGGCCTTGACAGCCCCGTCACCCCCGGTGGTGTCGTCGGTGCTGATGGTCTTCCTTCGTCCAAGCGTTCCACCGCCCTGACCGCAAAACTCACCAGTGTCCTCTCAGCCTCGTACGCCGACTATGAGACTCGCGACGCGCTGCGCCTTCTCGACGAGCGAGGCGTGCAGAATGACGAGGACACGAGGAGGAATCTAAAAGCCAACGCACAGAAGGAGGTTATTGAGTGCAATGCGCGGATCGTGGATGATTTCGGTCTGGTTGCGGAGGTATGCCATCCATCCCTATCTCTCTGTCGACCGACCGACACTATACCACAGATTGAGACGGTCCCAAGCATTTTCGTCTGACACAAACATATGTATAGCAACTGAAGCGCGTTGGGACCTTACTCGCAACCCTCAACTCCACCTGCGATTCAATGCGCACACACATCCTCGCGGCGAAGCAAGAGTCGGCACCTACACTCGAAGAATTCTCAACTCTCATGACCCGCAAGCGGGATACCGAAATGAAAGAATCCCTCTTGACCGCGTTTACAACCCACTTCCTCATCTCCAATCAAGACCTCAACATCCTGACTAGTTCCGCCGAACCGCTTGACGACCGCTTCTTCACGGTCCTGGCGAGGTGCAAACAAATCCACAGGGACTGCGAATATCTTCTAGGAGGGTACAACTCCTCCCCATCTGGTGGCGAGGAAGAAGAAGCCTCGTCCCGGCTGGGGCTGGAACTGCTCGAACAGACGACGCGGAACCTGGATGCGGCTTTCAAAAAGCTCTACAATTGGATCCAACGAGAGTTCAAGACGCTGGACCTCGAAGACCCCAATATCAGCGGCTCAATCCGTCGCGCGTTGAGGGTGCTTAGCGAGAGGCCAAGCTTGTTTCAGAACTGTCTTGACTTCTTCGCCGAAGCGAGACGAGCTACGCTGGCGGAGGCGTTTCATGAAGCCCTGACGGGCTCTGGCGGCCATGGAGGTGGAGGGGCTGGGACGAAAGCCATCGAGTTTTCTACCCACGAACCGTTGCGGTATGTGGGCGATATGCTTGCGTGGGTGCATTCCGCCGCCGTCTCAGAGAAGGAAGCCCTCGAGGGGCTCTTCGTGTCTGACGCGGAAGAAATTTCACGGGGTCTCAGCGCCGGAAAAGCGACCGAGCCGTGGGCGCGAATCAACAGTGGAAGTGGACGACACAGAAGCGTGTCATCTACATCTAGCACAGATGCGGAGAAAGATGATGGTGACGAACCGCCAAAGCCGATCTTCGACGGCCGCAAAGCGCTCTCCGAACTCATCTCTCGCAATCTCTCCCTCCTCTGCCAAACCCTGCAATCACGGATCGACGTCGCCGTGCGCACTTCGGGCGATCCCGTATTGATGTTCAAGACCTTCAACCTTTTGGACTTTTACCGCGGAATCTTTTCCAAGCTACTCGGCCAGGACTCTTCCCTTGCCATGCTCATCCAGACTCTGCAATCCTCGACGCTGGCGCAGTTTGAGAAGGCAATGGAAGAAGAAACTTCAGCCGCCGTTGCGAGCATGAATTCCGAGGAGCCCCCGCGCGATCTTACGCCGCCTGTGTTCCTGGCCACGGCCTTGACGCAGTTCACCGACGTCTGCCGGGCGAGAGGGCCCCAGATGAGCGAGACAGAACTCGAGCGGCTCTTTGCGTCCATGTTGAGCGGGATACTGGCGGCGTGTGCCGAATCTGCGACCAATATCGCTGACGTGCGGAGCGGGAGCATCTACAAGATCAACTACATGACCGCGCTGAAAGCGACCCTGGTAAATGTGTCGGCGCACGTGGCCCCCGCGCGGATCCCGCTGGAGAAAGCGGCAAGGGAGATCCAGACGGTGAGAGACCAGTTGGTGGAATTTGTCACGTCGACGTTTCTCGAGTTTTCGGGCGTGGCGGAGCTGATGCAGGAGATTGATGCGCGCAGGAGTTTAGGGGCAAAGGCACGCAGGGAGTGGCTTGTCCAAAACCTCGACGAGGCTGCTCAACGACTTGACGCGTTCCTCTCTTCTGCGCTCATGGACGCACAGGAAGCTATGAAGAACCTCTTTGATCGCACTTTGGCCCAGGATGTCGTGGCCGAAGCAGTCGAGAGGTTTTGTGCAGAGTACGATGACTTGGAGGGCATGCTGGAGGCAATCGATGCTGAGACTTCCGTATCAGCAGATGAGGGCGACGGTGGCGATGATGACGGGGGCAAGTCGGAGGACGAAAGGGACAAGAGCGCTAATGGTCTGCTCGGGTCAGTGAGAGAATCGTATCCCAGGACTGGCGCGGAAGTACGCGCCCTGCTGAGCTGATTTTCAAGCGCATTGTCTGCGCCTGACTGTTTAGCGCGTTATCAAGATGAAAGGTCATTTTATAACCCGCGGGCCATGAAAAACTATGAGGAGCATTGACAGAGGCAAGTTGTAAATGCTTTTGATATTTTAGACAAACTGAAACAGAGGGCTGAAGCGGGTGCATGACCACAGCAAATGAATTGAACTCTCGTCATGTCCCTTCTTGTTGCTCCCTTTCCATGTGACTTCTAGCAAGTTCGATTTTAGCCGTGCTGTTACAAAATGCCACACCCATAGTGGTGGTCTCCCCTGTCAAGAGTTTGTTTGGTCTACAGCATCTTCTCGGCGGCCGAGACTGTCAAGACTTAGCAACGACCCCATGGTTGAAAAAAAATGGCAGAACTCACTTGTGACGCCAGTATTGTCGGGCTCGACAGAAGCCTTGACAACCTTGCCATCCTCGGTGATCACCGCATACCGCTTGCTTCGGCTGTTGCCCAAGATCTTAGCAGCGTCGAAGTCCACATCCCAGGCACGGGTGAACTCTCCAGCAGGGTCAGCGAGGAATCGAATGCCACTCTTCTTTGACTCGTCCAAGCTCTTTGCCCAAGCCTTCATGCTATTGAAGAGTAAGAAACACGTTGGTGGGAGGGATATCTCATGAGCTCTTACACGAAAGCATCGTTGACAGAGACCACAAACACTTTTCCGGCACTCTTGAGCTTGTCACTGGCAATGTAACCCGGGATATGGGTGTCGGAGCATGAGGGGGAGAACGCAGCGGGGACACCGATGATGAGGCCCTTGCCAGAGCTGAGTTCTTTGGCGAGGTTGACTTTGTTGCCGGGGGAGTCCTCGAAGAGGTCGACGTCGGGGATGGAATCACCTTGTTTGACCTGAAGACCGTCAGTACATTCAGAAATAAGAGACAGAGATGCATACCATGATTGCTGGTTTTGATGAGAACTGTCTGAAGAAGGAAGTAGTAGAGGCGGGACGGAGAGAAGTAGAAGAACGGAAGATGGATCGAGAGAGCATTTATGTGGCCAAGTGAGAGTGAGTTGAGTGAGCAAGTATTTGGAATTTGTTGCAGGAGCGATTGACTCCAGGTTCACTTTAGTTGAGCTGTTGTTTCCCTCTGCATTGAGTGGGAGCTTTAAGGCGGCATAATACTCGTAGCTCCCCATCACGTATCCAGTAGCTGAACGACATCATTGCGGGGAATCTTTAGTTGGGCTTTGTTCTCGGGGGGCTCGGTGCCTGTCCATAGCACTCAGCATTCCCCCAGAGCCACACCACCCACCAAGGTACCCCTCAGTGCTACCTCAGGTCACCCAGCAGGTGGCACCCAGTACATACCTACCTGCTCAGCCATTCGTGCCTCCTCCGGCCTCTTGCTCCACCTTGATATTTTCAATGCACAAGACTGCCTCAAGTATTTGGAATAATCCTGACGACCGTGCACGTGCATGTGATCTGCACAGGGGACAAAGGTTGCGGCCCTGCGGGAAGGGTAAGCCCGAGTCTTCCTCCGAGGCCCCCGGTGAATCGTGATATGTGGGACTTGGGGAAGTAAAGCTTTATAAATTCTGTCCTTGAGGTTGAGGACAATTTGGCTGTAGTACTACCTACCTAGGTAAGTAGGTACTGACCCAACCTCAACCGTAGGCATCCTCGTATACGCCCTTACGGGGGTCTCGAATCTGAAGTATCGCCTCTCGGATAAAGCAGTCTACCAAAAGAACCAGGATGGCCTTGTGAAAACACCTCGCCTATATGAAGTCCGGAGGGCTTGCAGCCTTCCTGCGCCGTACCTCGAAGACAAGCCCGTCACGACCAAAGCGCGCCCCATGTCTAAATGGGCAGTCAGTACAACTAGTCGTCCAGTCATTCACCTCGAAGGTGAAGTCAAACAGTTCGGCACCTGCCAAATTCGCACCCCTTGCGCCAGATTTAGCCCCTGCATCTTGTTGCTGTAGCCTGTCCCAAGTCTGATGCTTGCTTCCCGCAGCCGTTCCCCGACCCACGGTTTCGGTTCGCTTTGTCAAAGGTCTAGACTCATCCATTCTTGGACCAACAGAAGAGCTCGGGCACTTCCCTCATGATCGCCCTATACTGGAAACCAGATTTGGCGTCCTGCTGTCACGGGAGGTCAGGTCCAATAGCTGTGTTTTCTCCTTCATTGTGTACGGAGCATTGGCGACGAATTTCGGCCTGGCCGAGAACGCCGGAAGCTGTAAACTAACCCCAGCATAGCCTTTACCCCATTTGTTGCATCCGAAGGAGAGCGGTCAAGACTCAAAATGCCAGGGGAAGGGCATTCTGCTGTACGAGGTAACGATCTGATCTTTCTCCCCATATCGTAGGCACAGGTTGCACCGCCACATATTCATGTGGCTTGCACAGAGACCCCTTCTCCTGGATCGGACGAAGGAGAAGATGCGGCTCGCTACGATAGCGGGAATGAAGAAGCGAGCACAGGGGAGCCCGAATCGCAATAATATATCGACCGCTGACATCTCCTTCACGCCCGGACGCAACTCACCGGCAGGGGAACATCTCGAGCGTCAAGGCTCCGTTCAATGCTTGAAGTACAGAATACTTCAGGCAATGGAGGTTTTGTGCGTTTGGGTCCTCGCTGGTGGCAGCACTGTGGTCTGTCATTGTTCCCGCGAAAACCCGGGGTGGAATTTATCTCTACTACTAGACAAGCACTTCCATTGACAGACTTTCGTGCGCAAGGTTCAGCGGACGGTTGTGACACTCGCGGCTTAAGCCATTTCCGTTAAGCCCCCAACTCTGTTCAGATCGTCCTGAGGTGAGCGTTTCCAGCGAGGCGATCATCCTCGCGTCAGCAAAGACCTCATTGTTCATCTTCGGCTATTCTTTCACATCCTACCGGCATGTGGCTTGATGCGCTTCCACTGACAGACCTTAGTCTGAGTCAACGGCAAAGGTCGCGACGCGATCAACAGAATGACACTGTTTATCGTCCTTTCTTGAGGGAGGAAACTTGAACTCCGCGGGATCCTGGTGGCGACTTCGCTCCATTTCCCCTAATGGAATGGTGGAATGTGACAAGTCAAGGTACTTTTTCAATTACAAGTGCGAGATACCTATTTCACGACTACTGGTACGCCGTTATGCTGGCAATCACAAGCCACACATGGTATGCTTTTTCTCGGACAGGGAAAACCCTCTTTCACTTCCCCGGCCCTGGAGAGCTGGCGAGCTGGCGAGCTGGGCAGTGTTTCTGTCCTTGGTGGATCCTGATCAACCGAAACATTGCGTTTTTTGGCTACGAGTTTCGCAGGCCAAGACAAGCACTGGCGTCCCAGGAAAGCCAGTGATCGGCCTGTGTTTGGACCGGATTGCAGCTTGCAGCCGAATGAGATGCTCAGACGGTTTGTGCTTGACGGCCTTGGGCCTCCTTTTTCCAACTCTGACGGTCGATCGTTGTACCACTTGTTTTGGAAAGGGTAAGCGTTGGTCAAGTGGGCGAAAAAGAGAGTCTTCGGAAGGCCAAATCGGTGCCAGAAACCCACGCCGCACTCGTCATGTCAGCCAGTCGACTCACGGGAAGTGGATTTTGGCGAATGCGGCGTGTGCAGTGAACGCCCTCGGGCGGGGAGGCCCTGAAACTTTGGGCTACGAGTATGGGCTTTGGGCTTTGGGCTTAATGCTGGGCTGGGATGATGGAGGAAAACGAAGGAACCGAAGGCATGGGTGATGCTTCGGGAGTTCTCCACGAGCCCATGATCCATGGCCCATTCAGCCCGCCAAACTGCTTGGTGCCCCCCCGATCAGATCCATCTCTCACCCTCAGTGCTCCCGGAAGCGCCATAATTATCATTGACCTCCCTGATCGAGTTTCGCATGATTTCACTACTGGCCTTAGAGCCACCAATGGGCCCTAATTAACCGAATTTCCCCTCGACTTCTCCTCGCCGCTCGCGCGGTCCTTTAGCCGCACAACATTCCCCCCCTCGCCCCCGGTCCAGCACAGAGCAGATACGATCCCATGCTCGCCTAAAACGGGTACAGTCCTCATTTGACTGCTGCTGACTGGATGGGCAAGGAAGTGTGGGTGGTCCTTTGCGTCCTGGGCGTCCTGATAGAGGAACCAGCGCCAAAGTTGCCGCCCAGAATTGCCAGGGAATTCTTTGCGCTGGCGAGCTGGTGGTTCTTCTGCTCGGTTTTGTATGGGCCCCTTCGGTGTTCCAAGATCCCACCTACAGAGTAAACCACCTGCAGCCAACTTTCTCTTCTCTCCCCCCAAAGGAGCCATTGTTCGTCACCACTCTCGATTCCCCCTTCCCCGACACCACACTTAGACAGAGACACACAGACTCACGCAGACGCTCGTCTTCTTCCATCCTGCACTCGTTGACATCCGCATTCCAATCAGTCGCTGAAATACAATTCCATCCTCGCTCTGTGCCTGAGGAATCTCTGCTCCATCCCGCCTTTGCCCGTCCAAGATCTGGGAATCCTAGACTGATTGCGGCCGAATAGCCGAATCCCAGCATTCTGCACCCTCCAACCTCAAGCAGCCTCCACCCAAGTTTTGTCTGTGCCACTTGACCAGCATTCTGCCGACAGCACATTCCATTCCAATCATCATTACCTGCCATTGGAACACACATACCTTTCATCTGCATATTGTGCTCTTGCCGCATTCGAGCATCTTTGGAAACTTTGAAGGCGCATCTTCAGCGATGCTGCGGTGATCCGGCCTTGTGCAGTCGATTGCATCACCCACGATTGGAAGCCGTCCACGTCCTTGTGGTCCTCACCGAACAACCATCCTTGGAAAATCATATTGCACGCAAGAGGAGAAAAAATACAACTTGTTAAATCAACATGGACGGCCAGGGTGGGTCGGCAAACAACTCGAGCGACTTTGTGCGCAAGCTGTATAAGTATATCTCCCCTGCGGCCATCCTTCGTGAAGGCACTCGAAGCTAACCCATGCGCAGAATGCTGGAAGACCCTTCATACTCTTCGGTGGTACGTTGGGGCGATGACGGCGACAGTTTTGTGGTCCTGGAGAATGAAAAGTTCACCAAGTCCATTCTGCCGAAACACTTCAAACATTCCAATTTCGCGAGTTTCGTTCGGCAACTGAATAAATACGATTTTCACAAAGTGCGACAGAACAATGAGGACGGTGCAGCGTCCATGTATGGCGCCAACGCCTGGGAATTTAAACATCCAGAGTTCCGGCAGCATAACAAGGAAAGCCTAGACAACATCAGACGAAAAGCCCCAGCACCTCGAAAGCCGTCAAGTCTCAACGACGAACAGATTCCCATCCAACAAATCGACCTGATGAACCAACAAATAGTCGCACAGGCACAGCAAATAGAGAGTCTCGTGTCGTGCAACAATCAACTTCAATCACAGTATCAGATGGTGGCTGTGGAAATCGTCCGACTCCAAAAAACGGTTGTCAACCATGAAAAAGTTATGCAGGATGTTATGGTGTTCCTGCAATCTGTCGACGCGAAGCAGCGAAGGGACAGCAAGCAGCTGTTTGCTCCACCATCGGACTCTGCACAAACAGGCACAACCTTGACTCCCACCAGCCAGAGTATGCCTCCTCAGGATGAAGACACCCCAGCGTCTCCCTTGCAACATGCTGCGAAGCTCTTGAACGATATCAATGCCGATGGGCAATTCAACATCGCAGCGCTCGAACAAATGCACCCCAATGTTCATACCCCGCCAGCAGGACAGGATCCTCGGACTGGGCAATTCCGTGGGCCTAATTCTGCCCCTCCAAGCGGTAGCATGGCATTCTCGAAGATCAACCCAGCTGAATTAGAGACGGTGGTATACCCAATGGGGACAACCAATGGAATTGACCCCATGTCCAGCGAGTACATACATAATATCCCTTACCCGTTGCCACCAAGAGACGGTTCAGATCCCCGGACACAATTTGCCGACACGCGAAAGAAGAGCGGATTATCGGATCCTGGATGGAGTCGACCGCCGCGAATCCTCCTGGTCGAAGACGATCCGACCTGCCGACAGATTGGCGGCAAATTCTTGCACTCGTTCTCGTGCGTTGTTGATTCGGCACTCGACGGGCTAGAGGCCGTCAACAAGATGCAGGAAGGAACCAAGTACGACATGATCTTGATGGACATCATCATGCCCAACTTGGATGGTGTTTCGGCCTGTCATATCATCCGACAATTCGATCGCACACCAATCATCGCGATGACATCCAACATTCGATCGGACGACATTCAGATGTACTTCCATCACGGCATGGACGATGTTTTGCCCAAGCCGTTCACGCGAAAATCACTGCTTGATATGTTGGAGAAACACTTGATGCATCTGAAGATGATGCCGCAAGGGATGGAGCCGCAGCCACTGTCAGCGACGACTGCTCCGTCAGGGGCAGCATCGTCAACGGCGCACTCTGTCCGGGACGATATGTCTGCAGGGGCTTCCCCAGCGGGATCGAGCGGCACATGGAATTCACCCAGCCAGTACTCGGGAGTGTCACCAGTAAATCCCAACATGCATTACGCCGGCATGGGGCAACAGCAGCACTACGTGGATGCGAATGGAAACCCGACATCCTTTCAAGCCGGACCACAGACGCCCGTAGGACTGAGGGGACCCGGTATGGTAACGGCGCAGCAGCAGCATGCACACAGGAGAGGTCATTCGGAGATGGGTGGAGGATCAGATATGGGAAACTCGAATAAACGCCAACGCATATACCCACCGCAACAGCAACCAATGGCCGCCCCTATGCGGCAGTGACTGTAGCAAAATATTTCGAAGAGGTGGATCGCAGCAACGGATAAATGCGTGGGCTTCTACGCAAACGGCAAGCTTTGAGCAGCCGCGGCGCTCAAATTGAAGGCCATCCTCAGTCATAGATACGGCATCTGATTGACGGCGCGACCTCGTCTTTCCGGCTTCCGAGCCTCGACAACGCCGCAGGATGTCGGTACACTGTTGCGCCGCATCGGAGACTACCTAGGTATCAACTGAGGACAAAAGGAGCCCGTCAGCTTCCTGCAGGGGTACACAGCGACCCATATCACGACTTCACGAGAGAGATAAGGGTGGGGAAAAGCCAGGGGCGAATTCTTGTTTTACGATACCTCTTCACGACTGAATTTTTGGATTTTGAGAAGGCCGCCGACTTTTCGGTGTGGCCATTGGACCGCGAGGAAGCTGATACGCTTCGATTGCTTGATGGTCTGTACGGATGGTACTTTTGCGGCTGATACTCTGTGTAACGGTTCTCCTGGCCGCCGACTTCGCGCTGCCAGGGAGATGTGGAATATAAGTTCTGCGGCTCGAATGTAGTGAAAGAGGTGTTTTGGTGTACAGAAGAATCTAAAATCTAGTGCGTTGTAATAATTGGTGTGCAAAATACTCCCACCCAGCATTTCATAGACATCAGATGAAGTTCTTTGGGTCAACATGTCGCTGAAATGGTCCTCCATCTTTGATTTTGGTTGCCTTGTCCGGCCAGATTTGCTCAGGGATGTCCAGTCGCGGACTGAGGGGACCTCCATCCCTTGAGCAACCGGCATCTGTTCCAAGTGATATGAATATTGTGATATGAATATTGGTCCATTCTTGGAGCCACCCATGTTCATCAGCACGCATTAATCACAGACCGAACTCAATCCTGGCGGTGCCTCTTGCGCTCCCCATCAACACACCCACTTTCCATCACCCTATCCTCTCCTTCTCCTTCTCCCACTGCTCCGGGGTCAAACATTTGGGCGTCCAGGCATGGATCGCTCTGATCTCATCCTTCAGCACGCCGTTGACCAGCCGACTCCTTGCCAACAGCGTTTTCTTCTCAAATTCTGGGGACACAATGATGGCATTAAAGGCCTGTCCGCAGCCACCGGACATATCTTCCATACTGATGTGGGTTATATTTATGGACTGTTTGAGCTTTTCGGTGAGGTACTCTGGGGTGATGGGTGGGGAGGAGGAGGCGGCGACCTCTGCGGCTTCAGTGTCTGTGTGCGCGGCCATTGGTGGGGAATTGCTCGAGGAAGAGTGCGTGGTGATGGAAAAGGAGCGCGAGAGAAAGGGCCGTGGTCTGAGTCGGAGGCGCTGCAAGGGTGATTGTCTGGTGATGCTGCTATTTGCGCGGATGATGGTAGGCGGGACTCGGCGGGCAGCTTGCAATGCCAGAGCCGTATAGACTTGCATGGACACGGATAAGGCTGAGGAGGATGCTCAGTAAGTTTGTGTGTGTCTCGTGGTGAGGCTGAAGACCCTATGTTCTCTTCCAGTACCGAGTAGTTGAGGGTCGATTACATATGTCATTACCGAGTCTTGTGAATTGGGAATTGGAAATCAAAACCTCCAGGAAAATCCTCGGTTCGTCTAGAGCTTCTTGGGGTTTGCGTCATTGGAGGCACGCTCAGCCTCGCGCCTCGCGTTGAGCTTTCTACCACGGCCAACGCACCAGCTTCTTACCAGGTACTGTACCGAGTATCCTCATGATCACGATGTAACCTGTTGGCACATTGATTGGGCCGACAATGCGCTTCCCTACAAGAGCTTGCTAATGCTTCGATCTCTCCTCCCTCGAGTTGTCCCGGTCCCTCAATCCAAGGCAACTCACATCTTGACCCGTCGCAGGATGAGCACCTTTCAAAGTCAAGCATACAATGTCTCTCCCTTCACCACCGCCGTGGTGTCCTCGATGCGCCGGCTCTACCCCGAGTCCCTCGCAGATAAATCCTTCGACAATACGGGTCTGTTAGTCGAAGCTCCCTTCATACCCTCGCGGCCTCGAAACCGCAACTCGGTACTGTTGACCGTCGACCTGACTCGAGCCGTCGCAGAAGAGGCGATTGAGAACAACCACTCTGTCGTGGTCGCATACCATCCCATCATATTCCGCGGTCTCAAATCCATAACCACGGATGACACCCAGCAGCTGTCCATGACGCTGCTCCTTGCGCATGGCATCAGCGTCTACTGTCCGCACACAGCGGTTGATACGGTTCCTGACGGAATGGCCGATTGGCTCTGTGATATTGTGACGGGGAAGGTGGACGATCCGGAGCCAGAGGCATATGCAGCAACTTATCTTCCCTCAGATACAGAAGTCACAACCTCGGAAAGCGGTTCGGAAGGACATTCCAATCCTTCTACAAAACCCACCTCTCCTTCTGCGGATCACGATGAGGACGCAATGACGGACCCCTTCACCACTCCTAAAGCTAAGAAGAAGCTCTCTCGCCCGAGCCATGCGCACAGAACCTACTCCAGGCCAAGCATGCCACTCCCAACATCTGATTTCCAAGCCGCCGCCATCTCTCATACTCGGAGTGTCATCACCCCTTCTCCCCGCGCATCCCTTGACGCAGCAAATCAGTTTACGTCGTCCGATACCTACAATACCTCGAACACTGGAGCTGGCCGGTTGATTGAGTTTTCTTCTCCTCAACCTCTAACGCTCCTGATCACTCGCATCGCTCATGCAATCGGCCTTCCCAAAGGCTTTGCGGTGGCCATCCCTCAAGGGAGGAATCTCGAGGAGATAGCTATTGCGAGCGTGGCCACGTGTCCGGGCAGCGGAGGAAGCGTGGTCCGGGGTTGTAAGGCGGACTTGATATTCACGGGCGAGCTGAGTCACCACGAGGCCCTCGCGGTTATTGAACGGGGTGGTTGTGTGATTGCTCTGTTTCACTCCAACTCCGAGAGAGGCTATCTTTGGAACGTGATGAGGGAACGGCTGGAGCGGGAGGTCAGCGAGGAGTGGGCCAAGGTGAGAGGTGAAGAGACTGGAAAGAGTGGTTTGACCGAGCAGATCAAAGAGATGTTGAATGATGAGAGTGTGGAGGTGGTAGTCAGTGCAAGGGATAGAGATCCCTACGGCGTTGTGGTCCTGGATGAGACCGCAGTGGAGGGAGTCAAAATTGACGGGGGAGAGAGTTGAGCAGTGAGGATCAGAGATACGCTTCCACCTGCGACGAACGAGTCTTCGATGGCAAGGATTTAATGGTTGTCACCCTCACCACAACCAGCAGGCACCCAGGACACTCGAGAGCTTGCGTTAAGCGTCTTCATTCGTCACCGAGACTTTGATGATGGCCTGTCTAAGTGAGGATTCCAGAGCCTCATCACCCAGCCACCATTCGAAAACCTATTGGCGTGAAGAATTATACACCCAGCCGCCACCCGAATGCTACTGGCCGTCATCTTCACCGTCTTCGGCATCTCCTGTCGTTCCATTATCTTGACGATGGCGATCCTGAGACAGTTTGTGTGACTAAAGCCCTAGCTACTGATGTCGGCTTTTTCAGCGCCCCGGCGATGGCTCTTCTGGTTGCGACAACGCTTCCTTGGTGCTTTCGAGGTCAATGCCTGACTCCTCATGTCGCAATGCACCTAATATTACGAGATTATGAAAGGAAGAGCTGCTGGACTTCAGGGGCCGTCTCACTCATCCCTCCCAATGGCCATTCGATTTGACTAGGTTGCTGTTCGTTACCGTTCTGACAGCGAACGAGGATAACGACTCTGTCACGAGCCACGGCTATGTTCCTGAGCTTTTCCCGTTTGACATTGAGCCTGGGTGTATATATATTGAAAGCTGTGCTTCAAGAGTACCCTTTCTCACGCTATCCCTCTACCTGTTTATTCATTCATCCATTCATCCAATCATCCATCTCTGCCTTGCTTCACCCTCATCATCGTCTACTTCTGCCCGTTCCCTTCTTTTCCAGCGCAAGGAAGAGATACCCCAGTCCGCCACGAAACGATACGACCCAACAGGATCCGAAACGACACGACACGACGAAAACAGGATGGGCGCATTCCTGGCAGCCATCCTCCTATTTCCTCTCCTCCTCCTTACCTTCGCCATCTTCATCTTCGTCCTCTGCATCCCAATCCTCATTGTCGGACTGTGCCTCCTCGCCTCCATGAGGGCGGACCAAGCAGTCCTCCCTTCCCCAGACGAGGGGTCGCGCCTCATACAACCAACGCGTCGCTTACGGGTTTGGCGTGGAGAATCAAGCGCCGAACAACAGGAACGACTTACGGAACACATGCCACGGGCGCAGCCACGGCCTGGACGAGCCGAAGAACGCGAAGCCGTGCGTGATGCAGGAGACGACGACAACGGAAAGACTGTTGTCCCTGCCGCCGAAGATCAGCCTGATAGCGACGTAGATACCAATGCCGGCGAGGAATGGTGGGAGAACGAGCAACGGGATAGATGTAACGTCATGCCCCGTCTACCTTATGGGTGGTCGCGTGCAAGGATCGTTACTGGAGAGTGATTCATATATGTATGTATGTGTGACCTTGTATGGACGGACCTGGTAGTACACGGCTCCATCCCCCGCGTCGCCTGTGACTCGGAAAGTCCAGAGTCCTCAGATATTCTGTTGTCCTGCAGGTGGTTCAAAACTCTCGCGAGATGTTTTTTTTACTCAGCTTTGTGCGTATTTTTTCAACGGACGAAGTACGCAAGTTGCGCACTTGCCCGCGTGCGTACTGATACATGTTGGAAAATAGGCAAGGGGAAGAGTATCACAGGTTTGGTTGATGGATTGATTGATTGACATTCTTTGTGCCTTTTGCAGGTGGGCTATGTAGGTAGGTAGCCTATCCTGATTCTGAAAACTCCCGTTGCAATACAATGCCAATTCGTCACTCGCAAGCCAAGGGGGCCCCCTTTCCGATGGTCCTATGCATATGAATTCTACCCTCGAAAGCCGGAGATGCACATAGGTCATTTTCCTATTAGACACCAAACCCAACTCCCCCCATTTTATGTCCTTTCATGTCCAAACCGCCTGCGCCAGACTGATGGTCGACCCGTCAAAGTCATAGTACAGGTACGCACTCCTCAGGAAGGTGTCGCCGAAGCTAATGACGCTCTGGTCCTGCGGGAGGAACCCGAACAGACACTCCCCGGACCCGCTGGGTTCAGGCACAGCGAGTTCCGAGAAGGGGACCTGGATGGTCACGGCTGGCGCACTGCCACTGCCGGTGCCGAAGCCGAAAGTGAAGGAGCCGGACGGCATTTGGCAGTTGGGGACGAGGTAGGTGCCCTCAGAGTCGGTGTAGACGTTGAAGTAGGTGGCGAGTTCGTTGAAGAGTTCGGTGGGGAGCACGGAGGTGGTGTACCCCGTGTCCATGGCCACAGGGTAGGAGAAGCCGGATTGGGTGAGAGTGGTTGTGGTTCCCGAGCCGTCGGTGGCGGAGAGGTACGTCCATTCGACCTGTAGACGAGGGGCGGAGTCGGTGTATGGGATGATGGGCAATGTGACCAGGTCGCCCGAGTATTTGGACGAGTCGACGGCGCCGAAGAGGATGAACCCGCTCCCGGCCTCGAGGTCGTCGAGGTAGATGCTGTAGGAGCGCCGGTCGATGAAGCCTTGGGTGTGGAGGTCGTCCAGGAACTCCGGGTACTTTACTGCACTGCCCTCGAGGCCCTGCAGGCCGATCCCCATGATGCCGCGCTCCGTGCTGGCCGCAGAGGTGGCGACGGCGAAGGTCACGCCCGTCACTGTCGCGGAGCCCAGTTCCATCGTGTCTTCGATGTAGTATCCCGACGCCGCCGTGCCGTCAAAATAGGACACGGAGAACTCTCCAATGCTGCTGTCGTCGACGTACGTGCTTGACTTTGTCGGATCGACTAGAACACAACACAGTTAGTGGAACGAGTTCTTAGGTTGGTGTGGTGTTTGACCTTGGAGAGAGAGACAGGGAGAGAGAACTTACAGGTTCCGCCCGTGCAGCTTGTGCTCCCGCACGAGCCAGGCCCGTAGACCCAGATATCACTGCTGCCCGTGTCGAGGCTGACGGTGACAGCCTGGGCGGGGGTTCCGAGCTCAAGGTCAATCAGGTATTCAAAGTCGCCGTTTTTCAGCGACGATGACACTGACGAGCGACGCTGAAGAATATCTCCCGGTGTGAGAAGGCTCTTCCTAACAGGCAACCGCAGAGCCGCACCCTCGGGCGTTGCTGCGGGAGTGAGGGGTGCGGCGAGACATTGGGAGAATAGAATGGCTACGACGGCCCACAGTGGAGTTGCTGTTCTCATTGTGTCACAAATGTATCAGTGTTGACAAGGAATTCTTGAGGTTGGATAGATGGACGCTGGCTTCTAGCTGAAGTACATCGCGCAGGATGGCCCGACTTGTGGGATATTGGATCATTGTTATAGATTGAGTGACAGAACCCTAACACGCCTTCACTACGAGAAGCATGGCGCCTTCCTCTCAGCCGCGCCGGTCACGTATTCTGTGGCGATGTGAAGTTGGTGGTGTGGTGCCAGTGCACCTCGTGTTGACTGCGACTTGGCGACTGGTTCGACAGCCTCATGTGGCTTCGATTCCGCTTGGGATAACTTTAGTAAGGCAGACAACAAGACTTGAAAACGAAACCGGCACTTTTGCGGGATAGCCCTGCATTAGCGGGTGTGGGCTGTGTAGGCGTTTTGGGCTGACCTGCCTGGATTCAGTCCTGGCCTTGGGGGCACAGTCAAGGCGTGGCCTCGGGTAGGCTAGGAAGAGGCTCTAGGGAGTTTCTTGGTCGGTTAAGAAGTACTCGGTACTGCGAAAATGCTTGCTTCAGGTCTTGTTTGGACATTGTTAACCCATAGAGTATCGGGACGGGGCGGCGCTGGTACCTGGCAGTCAATTTGTTGGCACCTACGAAGTGGATGTTCCCCTCTCAAGATGATAGCAACGGTCTCCTCTGCCAGCACAGTATAAACCGAAGCAATTAACTAGGCAGACGCACGTTCTGGCCCCCATTTAGAGAGACCTCGTCCGGCTACAACTAACAGACTTGAGGGAGGAACAAAGGATGGAAGTTTGTTGCCTGGCTGCCTCACCATCGTACAGAGTATGTGTGGCTTCGTCCCTCGAATTATGAGTAGTGACTTGTCTGGGACTCTGAGTTACGCAATAGCCCACCCTCTCGAGCACGTATGTACCACCGTCTAGATTCTACCGCGTACTGTGTACTTTTCGATGATGAGGCTGCCAACCGCCGGGGTGAGAAGAGCCACGAGGTGAGAGGCGGGGGTCGAATTCATCGCCCCTCAAACCTCTCGGAAACATGCGGCTTCTATCATGTCTCAGCCCGCCTCCAAAGGTTGCCTACGATGTGTACAACCAATAGATGAGCGGTCACAGCCTTCGTTTTTCTCGTGCGTCTGCACCGGGCTAGAAGCGTTTGGGAGGTAAACTTTGCAAGTTGGCACCCCTTAAGAGCTTGGGAGGACCAGCTAGGGCCATTAGGCCCTGCGTTATACAATCGAACAAGGCCCGCGTGACTTTGAGATTCTCAGCCTCATTTTGCTGGTGACTTGTGCAAGACCTCCCTTTTGTTCTTTCTTTCCCCAGATCGATCTCTGCCTAGGATGCTTGAAACTGGGCTAAACTACTCCACGAGGTAGTTATGTGACGAGATGTTGTGCTCACAGGCGATGGGAAAGACGATATACATCAACGACTTCTGGCCCAGCACTTGAACCTGTGGAAAAGAGTTCCCGCGACTCGCTTCCAAACACCAAAATGTCACTCGCTAACACAACTAGTTGATGCAGCCAAGACCAAAAGCGCCGTGAATACGAGAAATCACCTCATGCACCCCCGCTTTGGGCAGAAGTCAAGTCACCTTCTGAAGGCTTGCCCTGCCCAGTCCAGATCAAGTCTTGAAGTCCTTAAGCTTCTTTGTCCTCCTTTCCATGTCCGCCAAAAATAGTTCGTGCTGTGAGCCAGTGACGCTGTCCCAAATACGCTGAATCGTCCCACCACTTCATGCACGTTTGTGGGATAACTTGCCTAATTCTATGATGCTACTCACGAATCCAAGTGGTTCAAGAGAGAAATAGCCCAGTATGGCCACACTGTTAGACTCCCACGCTTTTACAACAGTGTGGCCACCACCACGCAAGTCCCCCAGAGCCACAGGAACCAGCCTAGTGAAATCGGACGACTCTGTTCGACGGACTTAGCTGAGTTTTAGGAGCATGAGGAGGAGGCTTTTGCCCAACTTACCGATTCTAGGCCTGTGCTTCCGTTGCTCTCCGCCGCTGGTGTCTGTGTGGGACCTGTAAATGTTGTTGGACCTGGTGTCACCGAGGTAGCAGCAGCTGTCGACGTGCTGCTGGTCAAATGCCCGATGTAATGGGTGCCAGAAGATGAGGGTGTGGCCGTGGCCAGGTTTTTGCACGGTGCCGAATCGACAGAGCCCGCGGTAACGACGCTCGAATACCCTGCAGGATCTGCGGTGGAAAGGTAGGCAAGACAGCCCGAGAACATGCCGTCGTAGAGGTCAGGCCGATATGTGCCATTGCTGTAGCACAAGCAGCGTGCCTGTTGACTGAACACCTCTGTGGTGAAGCCGGGCGTATCATCTACGCACCCAAACACCATTGCTTCCCAGTCTGAACATGCTGCTATCCCAGTGACGTTCGAGGACGCGGTGATGGTGCTTGTGTCGGCACTGGTGGTTGATGTAGGCGCTACAGTCTCGGTGAGCTCGGCTGGATTGCTTTCCAGCTCGAGAATACACTGCATCATCTCCGTGTAGCTGGACAAGGCGCAACAGTTGGCAATGTAGACATAGCCAGAGCATGATGCACACATTGCATTAATGCAGTCCTCTGTGTTCGTTTCGCAGACGTCCTCGAGCCCCGCGGTACTGCAGGTGTAGTTTTGTCGTTTGTCGAAAACATGGTCGAGCTCGTAGTTGTTGGAATCAGTGGCCGCGACATTGCTAATCAAGATAGCAAAAGAAGTAGTCTGAAGGGCCAACAAGAGTGCACCCAACATGTCTGCGATAATGAGCAGGGGAACGTATCTCTGCGTACCTGGACTTGGTCAAGACGACGACGACGAGAATCTGAGATAGGTGCTGTATATCAAGTTTATCGCCAAGGGGAGCCCATGATGAACCAATCTGCCGGTGCCAGATCTGGACTGAAAGTCTGAAACCATGTTGTACTTGCAGCACGAACCATCAGGCTGGAAGGGCGCAGCAGTCACACATTAGGCTCCACCAAAAGAAAATACCTCGACGAAAACGGTGGAATATCGTGCCGCGCCAAGCCATTTGACATGCGGCTGAAAGGCAGGCGCCAGGTCGAGAACCGATCCGTTGAACGCAATTCCTCGTGCAAAGTCCCCCCTGAGTCCCGAGGGGATAGATCCGTCGCGCGTGGCTGAAGAAGTCAATTCATAGGCTGCCCAAAAAGGTTAGTCAGTTCGTATTGCCAAAGTGAGTAGGCTGTGCTCCGCCTCATTGGTGGCTTTCGGGCGACTATGGCCCACTCAACTCACCACCTTCCACAGCCCCGTCTCCCCAATTTCGCCAGCATACTGCACAAGTCCCCGAGGCAGCCGCTTCATATTGACGGACTGGGGGAGGAAGATAGGTAGAAGAATGGTGTCATCGGCAACTCTCTGGCGGGTTTATGATTCACTCCAAGTACTCGTTGTTTGGCCTCTCATGGATCGCTTTCTTTCCACATGAAATTGTAGCCCATTAGAGGGGCCGACATTTCCTTGCCTCGCCCTTCCGACACCAGGGTCTTCATTCATCCAACATGTTCCAGATTAACCTCACAGTTGGAGAAGTTGCGGGTCTTATTTCAGGGTGTATCTCACTGCGTAAGGCTCGCTACCCCTGATAACTACCATTCCTCCCCGCCTGACAACAAAACAGTACATATTGTGATCCCCCTGTTATTTGCTTTTGTGCTTGTCGGCATCGTCCGTGACCGCTCCTTCGATGCCGTCACATGGTCCTCGATCAGCCATCTCCTGCAGAGTTCCTGGTGGCCATTACTCTTGCAGAGCGATGGCGCGGCGGGGAACTTCATGGGCAAAATGGTGCGCTGGCGTGTCTTTGGCGTCTCGTTGCTCGTGACTCTGGCGACCATCTGCCTGGTCGTCGCAAACTTCCTCACCCCAAAGCCGCTCTTGGAGAAGATCAATCCATCTAGCGGTCTACATGACGTCGAGTTCTTTTCTGTCACAGGTGTGTTGAATCGCATACATTCCCTGTTGCACGTCAAAGCTAATACCAATGACAGACCCGTCCTACTACGGGATGGCCACACTGGAGCTACAGGGCGTGAACCGGCGGTGCGGCTGGCAGAAGTGGATGGACTGCCCGCATTCCATCTACGATGACCCGGCGGTAAGAAACCAATACGTCGACCACACGGTGATCAACTCGACGATTCCCGACGTCACTCGAGAAGTCTTCACCAGCGGGACCAAGATCGGGACCGTGGCCAATCTTCTGGACATCGAGTTCCGGGCCTACAACCTGGTCAACAACGTGTATGTGGATAACAACGCCACCCGGGCCGTGGGCCGCCTGGAGGTGCTCCCGTCCATGATCCTCAACCAGGGATATCATCTGGTCAACGGCTTGATCATCGACGCGTACAACGGAGGTATCGGCATCCGCAACCACACGGTGCCCGGCGGTCTCGAACTGGGCGCGACGTGGACCGAGGATATTCTCTGGGTTATCCCGGAGACGCGGTGCACCAACACGAACCTTTCCCTGCACTTCTCGGTCAACGGCAACGCCTCCAGCTCCGGGTCCGGCGACGACGGCTACCTGCGCGACGACGGCGGCTTCTCCGACATCAGCCCCCAAATCCCCTTACCGGCCTGGAACGACGGCAACACGTGGAAGGACGTGGGCTCCACGCCGCAGCTCAAGCGCAGCGCCGACATTCTGGCGTGGTGGAACAACCAGTTCGTGGCCCAGGCCCTCAACCTCACGGACTCGGAAAAGGGAGCGATCTACAGGGGTCAATTGAACACCTTTGGCTATCTCAGCGAGCCCGGCGCCATCAAGATCAGCAGCATGGACGGCATGTTCTTGGATGATATATATTACAAGGAGCAGACGACGTTGGAGTCGGAGTTTGAAAATTACGGTACGCGTTCTCCACATACTGTTATACAAATTTGATATGAGTAGGAGAGCGGATATCTGCTGACACGCCTTCTCTTGACTACAGGCACTCGATGCAGCGGCTACTACGACGACGACCCGAGCGTGGACGGCAAGGCCTTCATGCAGTGCGGATACCTGTACAGCATCCCGCAGCCGGAGAACGTCGACCAGGGACAATCGTGGCGCCCCGACCCAGGATCCCCCTGGCAGCAAAACCTGTACACCTGCGCCAGCTCCGTCGCCGCGACGGTCAAGCAGGTGACGTTCAGCACCAACGGCAGCACATCGCTCGAGGCGCTGCAGGTGATTGACGTGCAGGAGAAAGCCTACAACTCCTCTGACCTGCCGCTGTGGGGCGTCGAGAAAGTCGACCCATCCACGTACAAGATCTGGGACGTGTACAAGTTCTGGGGCCTGATCGACGAGTCCCTCGCGGACCACCCGGACGTCGTCGCCCAGCGCGCCGCAAAGATTTATTTACCCGCCGCCGTCCGCGGCACTACTTTGGGCATCCACATGTACGACTCGTTCGCGGCTGGCGGAGTCTTCACAGCCGCGTGGAACAGTATTTACTCGTACGCGGCGGCGTTGAGTGATGTCAATGAGAATGCTATACCAAAGTAAGTCCTACACTCTATACCGTAGGGGACATCATAACTAACCTCTCGGTTCCTCACAACAGCTACAGCGGCAAATCCAACTACGGCCTCACCCTCAAATGGCGCGATCTCATGTCCCGGTCCGCCGGCAGCGCCGGTCCCGAGACGCTGATGAACCTGATCTGGACGGACCTAATCAGCTTCGCCATCGTCGGCACACGGACGGGCTTCGAGGGCATGGGAACCATGTCGACGCTCACAAAACGCGACTCCCAAAGCCAGGTCGGTCTCCGACCTGCGCACAAGTACGAGCGATCCATCGCGTACGGGGACCTGCGCTACGCGATCCCGGCGTTCATCGTCGGCGCCATCTTCCTGCTCACTTTGGTGGTTTCGCTGGGCATGTGCTGCTTCCAGCCACGCATGTGGAGAGCCCTGGCGCACTACACGCGCCAGACGAGTATGGGCAGGGCGGTCACGCAGACGATGCTGAAGGGTGGGCCTGATGAGATTAGCGCCGACGCGAGCACGAAGCACTGGGCCAAGCAGGCTAGGTATATCATCTTGCCGGTCCCGCCGTCGCCTAGCGGCTCGTCGAGGAGGTCGCGGGACGAGCACAAGACTATAGGTATTGCTACGCCTTCGGGGAGTCCCAGCATCATCGACGAGGCGGATTTGAGCCGTTTGGCGAGAATACGGGCAACGCTTAAGCCGGGGTTCGCGACTAGCAGGTCTCTGAACGACTATGGCAGCCAGCGCAGCCAGATCTCGTACACGGCCATGGTCGACAACCCGGCTCATGGCAACCGGGGGCCTTCTTGGAGGGGCTACGAAGGCGAGTCCCTCGAGAGGCTGAGAGATTAGACGACGGAGAAAAAGAGGTAGGGATTACCGGTCCCGAATGTAACGACTTATGAGGCTTTTGGAGGTGGGTTTGCGCAAGGTGTTTTAGGTCAGGAGCTGCTGTAGGATTGAACCTGGCCTGTCTGATGCATTTTACGCAATGGGTAAAGGGGTGTTTTGGAATAGTAATATGTACATGTAATGGACGGAGGAAGAATCTGAGAAAGACCATATTATCCGTTCGAAATTTCGTGGGCACAATATCCTGATACCTCCCGTCCTGAACGAGCTTGATTTTGCCACCAGAAATGTTGGGTATCAAGCGCATTAAGATTCGAGAAATCATCAATGAACACCAAAACTGCCAACGGAACCGCAGGCTTTGGGTAGCGGACTTCCAGGGCATCTCAATCAAGGAGATCAAGAAACCATTCCATCTGTTGCCTTATTTCCGTCGATAGGAGCCCGTTCTAATGAAGTACTAGAGATATATATCAGAAACTCGACCTCCGAGTCTTCTTGTAGAGTGGCTGCTCCCCATCGTCACCAAGTCCAGATTTATTCAATTCGAGCCGTACTCGATCCACCGGCGAGGTCGAGGACTCCCTTGCTCTTTTCTTTCCCAAGGCTGGTTGCTTGAGAGATGGGACTTTCCGGTGCTGAGAGCTCTCTAGTCCCTTGAAGGCCACGATGTCGGCTTCAGCAAAGAGGGAGTGTTCGGAGTCTTCAGCGACCCGCGCGAGGCTCTGTGGTACTTCTAGGAACGAGTAGGAATCGGCGCCGTCAACTATCTCCAGGCTGGATGTCCGGAGCTCCGTTAGACGCTCTTGCACGAATTCCTGAGGGTCCTGCAAAATCTCATGGCTGGGTTCGAATCCCCAACCATTGGAATCGCTCAGACATTCTCCGTAAACGTAGACTAAGTCGGCCTCAGTCACCACCGTCCGAATGCCATGCAACAAGAACAACTTGACAATCTCCAGACAAGCCGCGTAGTCAAGTTCCTCGATGAACTGTATAGACTGTAGAAAGTACGCCCAAAGAGGGATGTGGTATTCCCCATCAACAAAAATGCTGTCTGGACTGGCGCCAAGTCTCAGGAGATCGCTCAGAATGTCGAGATCCGGCAGCGTCAATTCATCATTACCGTCACCATGGCTTTTGGATGCTCTAAGAGCGTAGAAAAGCAACGGCCTGCCCTCTTTCTCTTGAATTGCTGTCGTCGTTAGTCGTGCCTTGACATACGGCTTCCAGCCGAGCTGTATGGCTAGTGAGACGGCATTGCTCCGGTACTCAAGCCAATGCCGCAAGGCGTTACCGATATGGCGGAACGAGCCGAATTCCCACCGTTCGCCGTCACTTAGTACTTCGCCATGCTCATCGAACAGTTCCACCACCTTTTCAAACAGCACAAACGCCATGCGCTCTTCGACTTGTCGGTCCATGATTCGTAGTAGAAAATCGTCCACAGCATCAGAGAAATTGGTCAAACTAAACCATTGATCATCACTGACGAAGGTTCTTACACTGATAGCCATGAGGTTGCATTGGAACATGTAGGCATCGAAGGGTCCCCCAGTGTGTTTGTGAAGCAGACGTCTTCCAGCAGGACCAGCAAAGTAATCTCTTACTGTTCTGTGCAGGAACTCGATTTTCGTTGCAGGGCGCAACTTGATGAGATCACCCTCACAGTCCTCCTCATCGGCGGTCGGGTCGATCTCCAACAGGCCCATACCTCTGCTCATCAATGTTCGCTCTAGCTTTTCGAGGAAAGATCGGCCATCTTCTGGATGAAGGATATCGAGGTCATATATGTGTTTGTATATCTTCATACGAAGGATTGAAGGATCCTAAGCGGCCGTCCACTCACCACTGCTCCACAGGCTGTGAGGCCTATTGAAGCCCAACTGATTCAGAATAGCTGTCAACTCTCGAGACAATCTCAAGCATTCGAGATTTGCGCGACGCAAAGCACGGGCGGGTCCTGGGTGCAGCAGCTGAGAGGCGCCGGACTCCATTGACCTCTGGAGGCGGGCACTGGAGACCGACAGACGCTGCGCACAATCTTGCAATGTCTGAAAGTTACTGTTACCACCACCGTGCGAGTATTCAATCGTTTTGCGGAGCAAGTCAACCCCCAGCTGGACAAACTGAAGGGCGTTGCCCGCTGCCGCGAACGTCGTAAGCGGATCGACCATCTCGACAGTTGCAGCCAACGATGGTAGAAAAGATACTTTGTGACGGAGAGATTCGTCCTGTGTAGACTGAGCGTAATGTTGATTGCGCAGTTCGACAATATCAGGCTGCCGGAAAATATCAGACTGACGGAGAGAGCGCCTTGGCTAAATGATGTGTTGGCGAAGGGCGAAGCTGTCCAATTGCAAGTTCAAACCACCCAAGCCACCATTGGGGCGGTGTAACATGGGCTGAGGCAGTTCAAACGCCTTCAAACCGAGAGCAGTTCCGTCCTCCTACCCCGAAATGAGTGGGCAATAACCTGATCCGGGCAAGGCGTATTTTACTTTGGAAGGACTTCTCCATTGCCGCAAGGCGTGTCAGCCCAAGGTGGACCACAATGCTGCGATATATGTATACATGTCCGATGTCACATTGCAAGCTATTCCTTGACGGCGTGACCTTCGGAGAAAGGGACGGCATCAATGGCTGCGAAATTGACCGGAATCACCTCCACCATTTCTTTCCCCAGCCACCTTTTCTAGGCCCCCAGTCTTTCCATCGTACATCCTCAATGTCGTCAACGCTCAGATAGTCCACTCCTTCCCTCACCAGCACTCTCCACAGGTAGTCTCTCAGTCCGATGGGCCAAGCGGGAATACCCCAATATCGGACCTTCAGGCCCTTGGCGTGGGCCGAACGGATCTGGCGTCGGATTTTGTCGAGTTGAGACTGCGTGAGGGAGGAGTGAAAGGGATGGCCGATCGAGTGCCGGAAGGACGTAGAAGCATAATATGAGTTGTAGGGAGAGTAGATAGTTGCCGGATCAGCTGGTGGTTGAGAAAGTGGGTCTATCGAGGGTGTGGTGTCGTCCACACGGGTGTTTAGCGCCGTTGATGGAAAAGACCGTGGAGGTGTTCCTGGTAAGGGAGCCAGATCGTGAAGGGGTGCATCGTAAAAAACGTCTCTATATGTTGAGTTCTGAATGACACGACTGAATGGTGCATGGCCAGATACGACAACAGTCAGAGGTCCGTTGACCAAGTCAGATCCGTTAAAATGAGTGAGGTACATTCGGTCGCGAAAGGGTTCGAGCAGGGCATGAAACCGATTCCACACCTCTTCCGGCTTATTCTTGAAGTCCACCAGCAAAACAAGGGACTGCTTAGGTTTGGTGTCAAAGACGCCGATGCGTTGGGTGTTATGCAGGGCGCCCGGACCCAGAAGATCAGGAGCAATATTTCTGTGATCGAGAATCTGCTTCAGAGGATCCAAATAGAGATTCTCTAGCGTCCTATTTCTTCGGATGCCTGATGCAGTGTGTGCCACGTATAGTTCATTGCCGAACAGCCATATGTCAGCCTCAACGCCTGTGCATCCCACATGGATCGCGCTGTATAGTGGTTCTCGTCGCCAGTAATCGTTGTGGGAGTGACACATGAAAGGCTGTACATCTGCCGTGAGTACATCGAGATCGCTGTGCCATATCGTAGCCGGGTTGTTCGGTGACAGGAAGTTGTCTCTGAACGGACCGGAGATGAGGTCGAGTTCGTCAGGGAAGACGGCCTCCAAAATGCCACATATGAAGACTATGCACTGGAGAAGGCCTCTATTCAATCGTTAATATTTGCGTCCACAGTGCGAGAATTAAATAGGAGCTCCCGCTTACAGGGTCATCAAGGCGGCCTTGACCAGAGCCAGTATCCTCGAAAATACTCGAGATCGCACCCATCTTCTCCTGTGTCTGTTCGCTGTTGTTGGGCCTTTTGTCCTCGAATGGGGGTTGACAACAGCTGAGAAGGTTCCTGCGCCCGAGGGATCTGCCAAACGGCGTAGATAATATCTTCTGCCCCTTTCCGTCTTCCCTGACTCACTTTCTGTAAGTGGGTCGTCATCGTCTTCATAGGTCCACGATGGAGGGCGCTTCTGCAGCAATGTGCCGAGCTCGATGTCGGTCTTGTCGCTTTTAGTCTGCCAGCCACTGCCGACGGGTGAGTGAAAGCTCCTGCCAGGGCGGAGGAACCTATTGTCGCGGGTTGCAGCCATATTGCTCTGGAAGACGGCAAACAGCAGCAGATATCATAGCTTCTGGATCTGACTCTGTCCCGTCAGTCAAAGGTCCGTGAGATGGGACTGTTGGACACGGTTGCTAACGGCGATGCAGGTGTTGAGTTAAATGGTCAGGCAGCAACCAAACAAGAAGAACCAAATACCCCGAACTACGCCGATATACACCGTCTCATCACCATGGCCAGGTGATTCGAAGTCGTTTCAAGAGATTCTCATCAGCGCCGGTCGAGAATCAAAGACGCGAAGAGCCAATCAGCATCGTTGGATGACAGCATCTGCCAAGAGAAAACGCGTCATCCATTGAGACGCGACAGCCTCGTCCATCAGGCTGTCGCAAGGCTGTATTAGGCCATCATCCATTAAGATAATCATCTGGATCACTTTCAAAAGCACAGTGCAACACAAGCCAAGTTCTGTACTGCCACAATAAAGCCTGCTCTCACTCATCTCACTCACAGAGCCACCTGGACGCCTTCCCTCATCGTCTCTAGCGTCCTCTTTCCAATCCCCTTCAACTTGGCCAGGTCAGCCCAGTTTCTGACAAAGACCTCCCCAACTCCGTCACTCTCTTGCTCATTGAGGTATTCCACAATTCCCTCTGCACGCTTTGCGCCAAGCCCGTTTAATGTCTTGATCTTCGCGATATCCCGAGTGTTGATGACTTTTAGTAGGTATTGTGTTCGAGGCGTCAAGGCACCTGATGGGACCTGTTGTGCGAGGGGATCCGGTGATGATGCTCTTGCTCTGCGTTTCTGTTGCTTGGCCTGTTTCTTCGGGCGCTGCCGATAAGAGGCTTCGTCTTCGTCACTGTCGTGGTACGCTGATCCCTCGTTATCTTCGTCCTGGTAGCTTTCATCACCCTCGTCATTGCCATGGGAAATCTTCGTGCTGGCAAATTCGCTTGGCAGAGTCGACCTCTCCTCTGATTCTGCCGCTGTATCGCTTGGCTCCTTCTTCGCGGCGAGTTTCTCCCTCAGCCGCTCAATCTTGCCTTTCAACTTCTCGTTGTCCGGGAAGTATGGCCTGGCCAGCTCATACATCTTCAGCGCGCTCCCATATTCCCCGCGGGCTTGATGCTGCTTGGCCATAAACAGGTAACTTAGCCCTTCTGCCCTTTCGCCATCCTGCCCTTCCAGCCTCTTCTCAATACTGTCTAGCCGCCGCTGGACTTCTTCAGATATGGCCTTTTGTGGAGCTGGATCGGGTCCATTGAGAGCCCGGGCCGCAAGAATCTCGGTGACCTTCTTCTCAACTAGGGTTTCGATGGAGGATTTGTCCATGCCCAGAGGTTGACATTCTGGGGCGCGCCGGATGAAGCTGGGTGTGGGACGCGAGATCTTAGGAGGGCGAGTAGATGCCAGGAATGATGCATCAGCTGTGCGTTTCAGCGGAGACGACTTCTGTGGGATGACTTTCGCATTAATGGACGCTTTGTTTTTGTCCGAGTAGACAGCAAAGGCCTTTGGCGGTTTCTCATTTTTCGTGTTTGCGTCCCGATTGGCCGTGAGGTTCACATTGACTACATTGGTCAGAGGCCGAAGTGGTTGTCGCTGCATTGTCGGGCCGCCCACTGGTGCACCAGGCACCTGTCGCGGAGGACCTTTGAAGATGGGCTCATTCTCCACCTCCCGGACCTCGATCTTCTTGGTCCGGTTTGCAAAATTCAGGGAGCTGAGTGTGTCGAGATGGTAGGCCTTGACAGGCGCAAGATTGAGGATCATGACTGTGAAGCCATTGTTTTGGCCTAGCGAAAGGATTCTCGTCATCTTCGACTCGCGATATGGGATACGCTGCTGTTTCTTGCTGATGGCCTCCACGCACTGAGCCAGAACAAATAATGACTTGTTGATGCTCGCAGACTCGACCATTCTGTCCTTCCCATTACCCGTTCTTCTATTGTCTTCGGAGCCCGCCAGATCGATTGCCGAAGCGGTGCTAACTCTTGTCTCCGTCGGAGTGCTGATGGTCACTTTGACGCACAGAATGGCATGCGATCGTGATGAATGAGCGTTAAGCTTCGTGGCGCCGGTGCTTCGATTAGCATTGGCCTTGTCATATAACATCTCGAAGTCCTTCAAAGAGGCGCAGGGCATCTCGGTCAAGCCAACGACAACGGTCTTTCCTCCTTCAGCTTCTCTGATGGGAAGTCCAGTAGCGGTTCGCTTCTCAGGCGCCTCGAAAAGATCAAAGACACGGTCGTTGTAAATCTCATAGTAGCTCATGGACACTTCGACAGTTGTTTCTCCATTACTGCTCTTTTCTATCGCCCGACTCTTTCTGTAGATGCTGCTGAGCAATCTCGGGATCATTCCTCGGTCAGCAAGTGACTTTCCACCACGCATTGTATGGGTCTTTCCCGTCCCCGTGGAGCCATAGGCGAAGATGGTGACATCGTATCCGAGGAAGAGATGTTTGACCGTGGGTGCGACTGCGGGCGCAGATGTCAGTAGGCGACTACAGTTCTCGCGACCGGACCAAAAAACTCACCTTCGGCATCGAATATCTCTTGCTGCGTGGCATGTTGCTCGTAGACGCTGTTGAACTGGAAGCTGTATTCTTCGGCAAAGTTCTTGGGGTTGGGTATCTTGACAATTGTCGGCTTTCCATCGGGGCCGTTGTGGCTGGTCACGATCTGGTCCCTTTCGATTTCGGTCTTGAGAAGAGGTCGAACGCGGGCGACGACTCGGACACTCATCTTGAGCTCTGCAAATTATGATTGTTGGACGATGAGTTTGTCGGTTTACGAATACAAGGTCATGGCGGCAGCTGGATTGAAGCGTGCCCTACTACTACTACTAACTCACAGGTACTTTTTGGCTGGTTGCGGGGGCAACACTGCAGCCTCGTCGGACCCACCATATCAACACATACTCAAACACGGGGGCATATTCATAGTTCACACTGAAAATACATTCTTCTGCCAGACTCGAGAAGCTCGGGAAGATCAAGCCCCTCACAAGCGCTGCAGCATGCCTGAAGACAGAAGGAGAGTCCCACCAAAAGGTGCTTTTATTCTCAAGCGGGAGGGTTCTATGGCTATCCAAGCCGCCCACATCATGTTGGCTACTAGGTACTTTGGTAGGTACAAGTGTTGCAATTATATTGAGTCTGACCTGAATGAGATCTCATGTTTGCAGAGATTGTTGAGGCTGTCAATCCGTCTCGTCGCTTAGTTGTGTCCCACGGGGTCTCGTTAGATGTTCGACGGCTATCCGTAGCGTTAGGCAATCCAACGTGCCGAGAGAAACGGGTTACAGGGGAGTATCAGTACATTATTGTAAGCCTGGTGAGCTTAGTGAGCCTACCGACCGACGACCCTAGGCACGCTCACAGGCTGCCCTCGCCTGTGGACAGAGACAAGACTGATGTCTGACGGATCCTGCCCGCAGCGAGGATGCTCTCATAGGCGACACCGTTTTCCCCAACACACACCGGGTAAACTTCCGGGCCGTTGTAAAGGCACCTGGGTAAATCCCCGATAGATGCGATGAAGCGTTTGTAGAATAAACGGTAGATATTCTTTCAGACTCGACCAACCGCTGCAACCGAAAGCAGCTGCCCGACATCCATCTTCACAGATAGGAATAGCTTGAGTGCACGAGGGGCATATCAGTCCATGCCAGGTGGTTTTCCCGCTTGTGAGGATGTGGAGATTCGTCCGCGCTCCCACCCCGGAAGCACATGCTAAACTGGTGCGCGGAGGATGGCCTGTTGTTTGGTTCAAGGGCTGACTAGGCTGACAGACCAGCCTACCGAGTACTCGTACGGGTGCATGTACTTGATCAGAAACCCCCGCGGCCCCAAAACAATAAACAACACCTTGACAGTACCGTGGGAGATCGGTGCTCGTCGAGCATCTTGACCTGTGTCACACACACTCACATACACAGCGCATTGTGAGATTTCCATTACAAAGGCTTGCGCAAACCTTGGCTTCACCCTGGCGCCCCTCTTCGGCTTTGATCTTCAACCCTCGATGGATAGTTTTCAGGTCTACAAGCCCGGCGCCTCGGCTCTGACGAAACGGCAACAGGCCATCCTCGCCATACCCACCACCTACCTGGGCCTCAATTCTGGACCAAAACCAGGCACGGTCGCTGCCATCGTGCTTGGGTCAGTCGGCGGGTTTCTTCTTATCATCTACCTCATTTGGGCCGCGCTCAACTACGGGAATGTGTTCGGTTTCAATAGGCGAGGTGTCGTCGAGGAGGAAGTCATTCGTCGGCGCCGGCCACGGGGAACTGTTGTCGAGGAGACCATAGAGGTGGATAGAAGGAGTTCGGCACGGCGACGAGGAACATCGTCGATGCGAGAAGTGGAAGAAGTAGGCTTTGCGACTCAACTATCCTTCTCGAGCTGCTAACTAAGAGTGCAATAGGATGTCACTGTTGAAGAGTAAACGACAGGAATCTGTTTATCTTGACCAGGTCTTTTTTACAGTACAGAACTCAGAGGACAACCTGGGCGGTCACCAACTTGTCGATTATCAGAGTGCCCGAATTATAGGAGGAATATGCTACGGCCATCACCAGCGGATCAGCGCCATACTTGAGATAATCTCGAGTCTGCCTGAGGTAATGATAGAGCCCAGGGATCTACGGTACTCTTTCGCATGATGCAGGACTTTGAGCCAACCATTTGAGAAGTGCCAAAGGGCCTGTTCCCAAGAGCGACACTTGAGAAGGAGAGTGTTTGAGGCACAGAAGTTGTACGGAGTACATGCCACCACATCAGCAACCGCATCTCCATGTATTGTATGTACATTGCATAAACGTGCTGGAAGCGCTAGCCACGATGCACATGCAAGGGAATGACTGGGAGGAATCCATAGTGTTAAGGACCTGGGGGACGGGGACGCATTGTCAGGGCGGGAAGCGAGTGATGCGTATGCAGGCGTTTATGGCTGCACATGACTGTATATTTATGCCTGAAGGATGGATACCAAGGTACTTGGACATAATTAACGTGATGATAGCCATCTCACCATGTTTATTTACTTGGTACCTAGGTAGTAGGGGTTGTATATCCACCCCTCGCCGCCTTGATCCGGTTGCCCCAACCCACCACCGCCGCAGCCAATTCTCCACTCTCCACCACATGCATCCATCATCCACCAAACACCAAACATGACGCCGCGTCGTGGCCGTTTCCCATTGACCCAGCTCGCCAACTTGAGAAACCGACGCTTGATGAACCACACACACCGCAGCCACGTCTTCCTCTCCTCTCGCTCGGGAACATTTGCCGTCTTGCAGCCCAACTGCTCAACCTGACGCACCGAGAACATATCATATGCCCGCAACAGACTGGAACATTCTTAAGCGCACGCTCACGGCCCCCATGGAGGAGGGACCTCGTCTGAAAACGCCTTGAAACTCTCCAGCCTGCAAACAATAAGACGAAGAAAAAGCCACACATCTCTCGCGCCGATTGCACGCTCGAGTCCACTACGTCGTATCCCTTGATCACCAGACTTGCGATCCAGCACCACGCAGTAAAATACCTGCCCACAAACGCACCTCGTCCTGAGCGCAGCGTGGGCCGCGCTCAGTGCCCTTGCACACCCTTCCCCACCACTCGCCCAAAAAGATGGCGACAGAAGTTATAGTGCGCGAGTCGCGCCGGCGGTATATCTGGCCCGAAGTCCAGCTGAATCTATGGATATTCATCGTGTTGGCCGGGTCATCTACAGTATTAGGAATCAATGCGTGGTTCATCGCCGTACAGGATCAGTTGAGTATAGGAGTACCTTGGTATGCTTCTTGATCTATGGGAAGATGTGCATGGACTCGAGCATGTGCTGACATTGGGCCAACAGGCTGTTCCCCTTTGCCGTCATCTGCGGCTCCCTCACCATCCTCTTCCTCATCGTCATCCTCATCCTCGCCGCGCGCCGGTTACTCATCCCCGGCATCATCCTCCTGGGCAGCTTCGTGCTCTTCGTGCTGTGGGTGACCACCCTGATAGAGACGGCCATCCAACTCTACGGCGACGGCAACGTCAACAGCAACTGCAACAATTTTGTCCAGAACCAAGAATACCACGGCGTCTCGATAGAGACGCTGGCGTGGCTAACGCAGAGTAACATTTGCGCGTGTTGGAAGGCCAGCTTCGCCTGGAGTATAATACTGGCCGTGCTGTTTCTGTGGATGATGATCCTGAGTTGGCAAGTGCAGAACTACGATTGAGGATGAGAGAAACGAAGGAGACCAGCAATGTCTTTTCTTTTGTTTTGAAGCCTGCCTCTTATCCTATCTAATGTGCTTGTGATGTGATGTTTATCTGACGTGGTTCTTTGGGCATTTCTTTGGGACATGGATGTGTGATGCGATATACGGGAGTTTTCCAAAGTTCTTGTTTTTTTCTTCTTTTTGGGTGCGAGGGTCACGATATAAAACGTACACGGCGCATGCCAACACCACCTGCAGGGATCTTTTCTGTTTCCTAGGTCTGGAATACATATTCCACAACAGGATGGAAAAAGCATACAAAGAGAGCACGCGTTGTTGATTGTTCATTTTATAGTTGTTGCTGTGATGGAAATGAGATGTCCTCAACCAGGGCAGAATCCCTTGGGACTTGGGATCTTTTGTTGAAGTGAATAGGGACCAGAATGAGGGCTCGATGCTCCTCACGGTCCCCTTCACTCAATGAAAATCCCTTGAGGGGGGAAGTGTGGTAGCAATGCATATTGCCTGATGGATCAAAAACAAGAGAAATCTTTTAAGCATGCATAGCCTGTGTGTGTGTATATTCAGCGGGGCTCCTTTGTTCTTGTTCAAACTATTTAGAACACCCACGTCGTCAGCCTCGTTTATAACATTCCGTCAGAGGCCCGTCGAGATAGGTGTCTCTCTGGCTTGCAATCCTGCCGGAGACGTTTCTGCTCGGATGGTTCATTCCTCTTTATAATGCAGACAGCTCATCAGTAGCCCTGGCTGATATTACTGTCTGTAGCATTGGTGACATTGCACCTGTGGCCCAACTTCAAAGCCTCCCTTTTCCATCCGTATACCGAGTACATATTGTACCCAAAGTACCCAACGAGCTGGAACCACGGAGTAACCATTCATTTACCGACCAAATCAATCACTCTTCCTCCATCAACTCGGCAATCTTCTTATTCATAAACTCGGTATCCTCAGGATTCAACCCCCCACCAGCAACATGGCCCCAAATACTCTCAATGACAGCCAACCTGCCGTGTTTGAGGTGCTTCATCTCAATCTCCGAGTCCTCGGGTGGGAAGTACTGATCCGTCCTGCAGGGCATGAGGAGGACCTTGGCCTTGATACTCGCGAGAGCTTTGGCGTAGAGTTCATCATCGGGGACCTTGCCGCCTAATTCACTCATCGTTTTCTCCCCTTCTCCTGGAATGACGGTCCCGACATCGCCCATCTGCCACATGCGGGCAAGAACCAACAGATCCTCCGCGTCCCAGGCAAGATATCCGTCTTCGCGCATACGCATCCACTCCTCCACACTCCCCGGGTGCCCTTCCATTTGCGTGAAGCGGCGCTCGCGGAACCACGCCGTGCTGGTCAACCAGGCGCCGTAGGCGCGAGCAAAGGCCCTCAACCCGCGCTTGGGCACGACCTCCTTCAGGTTGATACCGACATTCTCCCCGCGGGCGATCTTCTCCTTCATGGCCTTCCACGCGACATAGTCAATCGAACTGGTCAGCGCGGCGATGGGACCCTCAAGAAACGCATAATTGTGCAAGCTCGTCCTCGCCGCCGAACATATCACCACGATCCTCTTCACAATTTCCGGATACATGACCGCCCAGTGGTACGCCTGCTGGCCTCCCATCGAGAACCCCACCACCGCCTCCAGCTCCCTCGCCTTGAGGTGTTCCGTGACGAGGGAGTGCTGCGCGCGAATCACGTCCTCGTACCTCAACTCGCCGACCTCGGGGAAAAATTTCTTGTTCGAGGGACTCGCGCTCTCGCCGTTCCCCAGCATCGCCACCACGACGACGTGGTACTTTGCCAATGCGTCATAGGGCGCAGATGTGAATGTCAGTGTCGTGTTGATCAGGCCCGAGTAGCATGTCGGGATCAGCACCACGCCCGCGGTGGAAGATGGGTTGTAGCTGCGATAGGCCACGCGCACGTCGTGCAGGGTCGTGCCGCTCGAGAACGAGAGGTCGTCGATCGAGTAGAACTCGACGCCTGTCGGGTCGTAGTTTGGTCCGTTCATACTGCTGTTTCGGGAATCACTCTCTCAGAGGGGGTTTTGGCTGTGCTGTCTCTGAATTGATATACACTAATAGATGCCCAGAAATGGACAATCTGTGGATGGAGCAGCGAGTCCCAATGTACTCCAATGGCAGAGATGATCAAACCTCCCACGAATATCGCTTGACGATCAGAACGTCCTCGGATCTCACACAAAATCTCTCGATTAATTATAGCAAGATTAGATACGGCACAGAGGGGGAAGAAGAACCCGATGATGCAACACAACAAGAATCAATGGCGGGATCGACGCTCTTCTCCGCTTCTCGTGGCCATTGAAACGAGAGAACCAGGACAAAGGCCGGTTGATGATGAAGATGGAAAGCATGTCTGTTAAAAGCTCCAATTCACTGGAGGCTGGTCATATAGTCGTTAGCCTGAATAAAGGCGCCAAACAATGCAAAATCCCCCCATGCTTGACGCCAACAACATACAATGCTCGTAGTACTGACAACACTCTCAAGCCAATGCATCTCAAATCACCAAAACACGCCTAGTCGAACGCTGCTTCGATTGCCTGATTCGTATTAACTTCAGCTCTTCACCGAGCAGCCTCGCCTCTCTCCACTGTTCCTCCATCTTGCTCATGCGGATGGCTGCCATGACGGCCAGCACGCCAGCACGCAGTTTCTGCACCGGCTTCAGCTTGACCTCATACTTGCGTTTGTCAAGGGCCACGCCCATTTCTCCCAGTATATGGAGATCGACTTGGTTGCTATCGATTTCGTCAGCACCGGACAAAGAATCAGAAGGAATGAAAGGAACATACCACTCGACCCTCACAGCCTCGCCCTGCTCGAGGAACGCCTTGCTCCATGCCAGATCCTTTCGCAGGCGTTCTTCTCGTCTGCACTTGGCTTTCAACCACATAATTTCTTTGATCAGGCCCTTCATCTCCTTTGCTCGAATCTCATCTTTGCTGGACTTGCCAGATGTGAGGCGCTCTAGCATATCTTCATACTTGTTCTGCAGTGCCTCAAGCTCGTCTTCCACAGCTTCAGCCTTTTTGTTGGCCACGCTGCGCTCCTCCCGAAGACGTCGGAGCTGATGCTTCATTTCACGCGCTTCATCATCACGGGCCGAGATTTGCATGGACAAGTCATTGACTTCTTCCCGTCCTTCCCGCAAACGTTGTAATTGCGCTTTCAGATCATTAATCTGTCTATCGCGTTTGCGGATGCTTGATGAGAGGCGTTGTGTCTCGCCGTCTTTGTCGTGGAGACGATTGAGCTGCTCCTGCAATTCATCAACAAGGTCATGCTGCTCAGCAATCTTCGCATTCAATGACTCAACCTCTGCCGTTCGAGACTTGATCTGAGCATGCAGATTGACCAGCTGATCCTCGTCGGTAGAACCTCGACGGGCGGCGCGCTTCAAGTCGCGATTCTCAGAGCTCAACACCTGAACTTCGGCTCGAATATCGATGAGCTCTTGTCGAAGTCTTGAGACTTCTTTCGAGTGCGACGGAGGAGGTGAGACGGAAGGTGATTTGGCCTTATATTGTGCAAGCTTGGCCTCATGCAGCTCACGCTCGAGCTCGTTAACCTGCATCTTCAAGTCCCGGTTGGCTGCTTTCAGATCTGTTTCTCTTTTTGTGGCTGCTGTTTCGTTCTTTCTTGCTTCGACCAAGTCGTGTCTGAGACCAGATATATCTCCAGCTGGGGATGCCACGGTCTTCGAATGATTGTCAAGCATACCCTCCAAATCTTTGATTCGAGTCTCCAGACGAGCAACCTTGTTCTTTGCGGACGTTAATTCGCGATCCCTGTTCTCTGCACTGAAGTTTCTCTGGTTCCGCAGCGAATCTATCTCCGCGTTTAGACGATCCTCTTCCTTGCTCGCTCGCTCAAGCTCGGCGTTGATCTCATCCTCCAACGCTTGATTAGCTTCTTGGAGATTGTCGCGCTCCGTCGTCAAACGTGCAATGTCTTTCTCGAGCTTGAGTTGGATACGCTTCAATTCTCGCTTTTCTTGGTCCGTCCCGAAAGTGTCGTCGTTGGATTTCGAGGCATTTTGAAGTTTGCTCTCGAGAGCGTCGCGTTCCTGTTCAGCCTTTTCAAGAGACATGCGTGCATCCTGCAAGTCGCTCCGGAGTTTTGCGAGCTCCGTCTGCAGAGACTGCCTTTCTTGCCGCATCTGCTGGATCTGGGCGTCAGCGTGGCTGGAGTATTTTTGTTGTTGTTTCTCGGCGAACTCGTGCTCTTGCTCAATATCTGCCTGTAGCACCTCAATTTCTTCCTCCAGCTCAGCCACCTTTTCTCTGAGTGCGGCCTGTTCCCTGATCGAAATACGCAGCTCTTCTTTGGCATTGTTCAGTTCCAACCTGTTTTCATCTGACGCGGTTCGCTTGTTGGCGAGATCTTGTTGGAGCTCCTCAATCTGTTTGGCCAGTACCTTCTCTTCTTCGTGATGGCGTTGCTTCTCGCTTTCGAGCGCCGCTTGCAGCTTCATCTCACGGCCATTGATTGTCCCTTGCGCATCTTGGAATTTATCCACCGTGCGTTGCAGCCCATTGGCTTTTTCTTCCGCTCTTTGAGAAGCTGCTTCAAGCGTCCGTTTCTGTGCTTCCCACTCCTCCAGATCAGCCGCATGGTCTCGCTCTTTCGAATGCACTTCACGGTGTAACCCGTCGATTTGTTCGTTGAGAAGGTCGATTTCTTGCTTATGCTGCGATCTGAGGAGGTTATCATTCTGCGCGGAGTGTCGTCTCTCGTCTTCGAGAGCAGTCTCGAGGTCTCGGATTGATTTTTGCGCTTTGGAAAGGTCCCTCTGCAGATCCGCAGATTCCTGGGTCAGCGCATCGTGACGTGTTTGTAAAAGATCCTTTTCTTCAACCTTGACTTGCAGTTCTTTCTCGACGGTCTCGAGTTGTTTGGTCATGTTGCTTAGTTTGCGTTCCAATGTGTCACGCTGTTGCTGAGATTGATCAAGGTCTTGCTGGAGCTTTCGAAGTCCTGACCCTCCTTCCCGCTCCAATTCTCGAACTTTCTCACGCAGCTGCCGCTCTGAGTCTGACTTCTGCGCAAATTCGGCCTGCAAGGCATCATGTCGTTCCTGCAAATCTTGTAAATCGTCCTCGAGTTTATTTGTCTTCTCTTCAAGCTGTCTGCTTAGTCCCTTGGTTGTGAAGGACTTATTGGCCATCTCGTCGCGCAGCTCTTCTAGGTCTTCTTCGGCTTTGCGTTTTTCATCCAGAGCCTCTTCCCGACCTTCCTTTGCTTCTTGTGCTGCTACCTTTGCTCGCTCGAGGTTCTGCTTGAGATCTTCGATTTCTTGTCGTGCAGACTCCAGCTCGTCCTCAATTTCAGCGGCATCATTTGATTCCTTGCTCGCCTTTGCTTTTAGAGCATCGATCTCATCATCTTTCTCGTCAATCTTCCGATCCCTCTCTCGCAGATCAGCTTGTAAGTCTTCAATCTCATCTTTCAGCTTGTCGATCGTCGATTTGCCATGGTCTTTTGCAGAGTCTCTCTCAGTTTCTAGTGCTTTGATCTGAGTCTCTTTTGCTTTGACTTCGGTACGGAGGGTTTCAAGCTCGACGCGGACACTTTCGTCCACGTGTTTCCGTCTAATTCGTTCTTTGAACTCTTCAAGCTGTAACCGATAGACCTCCGCATCTTTCTCAGCCTGGGCAATATTCTTCTTGAACTTATGTAGTTCGCGCTGCATCGTGATCCTATTGACCTTCAAATCGGTATTCTCTTTGAGTGCAGCTTGATTGAACTCATTGCCTCGCTTTGACAAAGCCTCCTCTAAGAAATGTATCTTCATCTTCAGGCCGAAATTCTCCTTCTCAATCTTGTCGATGATACTTTCTTGCTCGCGTAACGTCATCATGTTCCCATCATTAATAAGTCCGGCCGCATCTCGTCCTGGTAGTTGTGCGAGGGGTGTGCTTTGTGCGCTGCTGCTGATCTGTTGAGGCACGGGAGTGTTGTCAACTGCATTTCCAGCTGAACTTGAAGTGTGTTCGCTCGCAAACTGCGATATATCACCGAGTCTTGGGCCTCCAGGCGTGTAGCCATTTTTGAGGAAGGACGGAGTTGCCTGAGCGCCAGGCTTTTTGTTCGAAAGGCGGCGTGCCATGTTCTTCTTAGTGGCGCTTTGCATGAGAGGTGTGAACTCAGAGCGAGGCTGGTTGCCATTTGGGAGCAGGCGCAATGGATCTCGTAGTCCAGCTCGAGGAGTCCGGAGGTTGACGCCCTGGGCCTTCGCATTTCTCATTTGGCTGATCAAGTCGCGGTTTTCTGCCGGTGCTGCAAAGGACTTCTCAGGCGACCCCAGACCATCCAGGCCATTGGTGATGTAGGAGGCATCGGTCGGGTGCGGTGTGTTGATATAGTCGGCCATCGTGGGTGGACGTAAGTCAAAGCCCTAGTGACTTAAGCAGTCACTTCTAAGTTTCAGGGTACAAGACCAGGGCAAACAAGTAACCATACTCTTTTGTTTTTGAAGCGGTGATGCTTTTACGGTACAGTGACAAGAGTGAGTACCTCGCGGTTCAATTGTTGCTTGTTGTTGTTTAGTCAAAAGAGGAATGGTCCGGCCAGCGGGCCTTGGCACCCACCGAATGATATCATTGGCGGGATCGGCGGGCATTTGGCAAGCCTGCAAGACAAACGATTCTCAACTGCGAATTTGCCCCTCGCCATCTGCGCAGTCACCTTCCAGCCTGCCTGAAACTGGTTGAGTACCTAATGTCTGCGACAGAGGAAGATATTGCTTGGTTTCGCTCTACATTCCATCCCATCCCGAGGCCTGCCTTGCCAGACGACTGCATCGAGTACTCCCTGTACATAGCCTCGCCTGCACTCGACCCAAGCCATGACTCCGAATTGCGACTGCGATTGCGGGAGGTACAGAAGTATGCCACTGAACTCCATCGGCAGTATTTGAAAGACTATATCTGGCAGCGCCAAGGGTTCTCCCTGGAGCTGAACAAAGAGGATGGTGAGGTCTGTACCAGGGGGATACGGACGTCGAAAATAGACTAACAGGGACTCAGGATTGAGTTTCTTGCGCGGACAAACCGAATACGGCGACTCTGTGGAAGACGAATGGGTCATAGTTTGGCTTCTAAGGGAGCTGACGAGAAAGTTCAACGATCTCTGGGTCAAAGTCACCGATAGCGACGGCGAGTTCCTCCTCATCGAAGCCTCCGGCACTTTGCCATCTTGGCTTGAGCCAGATGTGGCCGAGAACCGTGTCTGGATCCATGATGGACAGCTGAAGATCATCAAGCCGGCAAGCGCCTCGAGAAGTTCAAAGCGAACTGAGGAGAAATTGTCGCTCTCGCAAGCCAGGCAAGTCATCTTGAATGAGCCAAAGAGGCTGATGCACTCAATAAGCATGGAGGAAGAAGCATTTTTTCGGCTGCGCAATTATCCCGCTCAAATTTCAGCGAACATGCATCATGCGTTGATAACGATACCTCGGAAACTCGCATATTTGCTTCACCAGAAGCCAGCCTATATTGCCCCTGCAGTGGAAGCCTTCTACCTCAGAGATCCCATCGCGCTCAAACCGCTACAAAACAAAGACAACAAAGCTAGACTGGTCTTCGTCCCTGAAGATTTCGTCACAGTGAGCGTCAAATTTCCTCGCGTGGCATATGCGCAGGTAAAGTCACAGGAATTCCCGGCGCCTGCGGTCTTTGCGGACGCAATGCCATCAGGAACGGATCCAAAGGCACAAGTTCGTGCTGAGACCGGGATGAAAGTCACTTGTGGATTCGAAATGCTAATCTCGGATCCTCAATATCAGGATCGACCAGCTGTGCGTGAAATGAAGATGCTCCTGGACGATCTAGATTCTGGGGATGAGGTACTACCATCGGACACTGAAATAGAAACATGGAGCCAACAAGAGGATGATGAGAAGTGGCTCGATATCAGTTTCGACGATCTCGAGAATGAACTCGGTGCGCGCAAAGGTCAAACCGAAGGTAAAGGAAAGAAGACCGGCTTTGGCGACAAGGCGGCACAGGAGAATCTACAAAGGATAGTGAAACAATTTGAGGAGTTTTTGAACGACGACAAAGCTGGACCAGACGGCGCGGGATTGTTTGGTGAAGACAGTGACGATGATTTCGATGATGACGAGCTCGACGACGATGAAGAATTTGAGGACGACGAAGGTGAGGATAAAGAGGCTAGCTTTGGTGAAGACGAGTTTAGCAAGATGATGCAGGAGATGATGGGTATGCCACCAGAGGTGATGAGGGAGATCATGATGGAGGAACTTGGCCCGGGCGCCGGTGGCCCGGGCGCCGGGGACCCGGCTCATCGATCCGCGCTGAGACCGCCCGCAACAAAGACAGGCACAGTTCGAGGTCTGGACGTGACGGATGATGATGATGAAGAGGAAAGTGGCGCAGACCTGCAGACCTTCATGAAACAGATGGAGGCAGAACTCCGAGGGCATGGCGCCCTGGATCTCGGATCGTCCTCATCCGGCACCAAGCAAAGAGCGATCCAAGGTTTTACGGCAAAGACCGGGAAGCTGCAGCATGATGATGATGGCGAAGACGAAGTTTACGAACTGTCCTCGGAGGACGACGATATCGACAACGAAATCGACGTCAACTTGGCGAGGAATCTCTTGGAGAGCCTCAAGGCGCAGGCTGGCAAAGCGGGGCCCGGTGGCAATCTCATGGGTATGATGGGACTGCGGATGCCGAAGGATGAGCCAGGAGAGGATGACGATGAGGATGATGATAATGAACAAGCCGGACCCAGCGGAACACAGGGCATGACGGGCGGGACGCCGAGGATTGAAGAGCTGGAGTAGACCAACCACCCACATGTGCCAAAAGGATTTGAGTCTTCATAATAATTCATCCTCACAATTCAGATCAATATCCGTCCCTCCCTTCAACGACCCCATACGCACCACCGCCCCTTCCAAACATCTCTCTAATGTTCCCCACGATATCTTCCGGTCGTTCCCACGCTGCGAAATGTCCCCCTTTCTATGCTCCCTCTCAAACACCACGTCGCCGACCGTCCTCGTCCACGAACTGGGCAACACGTAGACATCCCGCGGGAACTGGCTGAGCCCGACACCTTGACCAGTTTGGTGTTGAGCTCTTGGATTCGCGAGTCCCAAACGGTGATTTGATAAGAATGAACTAAAGACGACAGCTTGTACAGATAATCCTGCGGAGCATGGTGATGGATGGACTTGAGAAATATTAAGATGATTTAAGTAGAGGGAATTCAACATCATGAAGGCCTCGTTGACGCTTTTATACACGAGTCACCGGGCCTTCTTTGATCTCTGTGATCGTTATTATAGACTTCACTTCACTGCATCCTACCTCCTATGTTCTTCTCTTCATATAAGGGGCTTATGCTGGCTTATACTGGCTGATGGGTTCTGCAGTACGCCCTCGCAGTCGGAAATACATCGGAGAGGCTACGACTGTGGCCTTGTCTCCACTATGGACAGACAATAAGGAAGTGTGAGGAAAAAAGTGAGATCAAAGTGAACTGAAGGTGAATTTACCACCTCACTAAAATCAAGGCGCAAGGGCAACACATTCCCTACAAGGTACTTCACAAACCCTAGTCCCGATCCCGAGAAGTCATCACGTATTGAACCGCAAGGCGAGCGGCTTCGCGCTGGGTATTACTTTCATATTTACTCCTACGGCCTTAATCAGATTCTGTGAGTTGACAGAAGAACCTAGGATCGATAGGATAGGTATATTGCGCCATGGTCACTCGGCAGACTTTCCTTGAGCCGAGTGGCTGCTCAAATGAGTGACGCCTGACTGCGGTGTCACTTGCTCTAAACTCGCAATTACCCAACTCTCAACACGATGAGAGACACAACCACCTCTCTGCATCGCGCACTTGTGCGTCTGTGTTGCCTGGCTCGAAGTGAATTGATTTACTTCGCTGGAGTGTCGGCTCAGGATTTCGAGACCATTAAGCCTGGCTGAGCACTCTGAATCTACCCCACATGGACGGCCACCCCTCCAAGGCTGGTTGAATGAAGCTGCACCAATGTCGGCTCTCAGGATGAGCAGGGGCTCAGTGCCCCCCCCTCGAAATGTCCAGCAAATCACCAAATCCGCTCAAGAGTATGAATATGACGCCGAAATCCCCCTACGGTACTGGCTTCGGTCTGCGCAAGCGATGCTAAAACAGGTCTATGGCTCCTGTCGCGCTTTTGGAAGCTCGTCACTGACTTTTCCACAGGCAGAGGTTTATATTCGTGAAGGCGACGAAGAGACGACATACCTTCTCCTGTTCAGACATGCCCACCTCATTCTGTCGCAGTTGCCGGCTCACCCGCAAGCTCGGGACAAAGCGAATAAACTGCTGTTAAAAGAGGCAGAGAAAGAAGTCAACGCAAACTTCAAGGTCCTGGACCTGCTGAAGCCCCGAATCAACGAACGGTACGAGCGTTACGTCAAACTCAAAATAGAGAGCGAGGCAAGGCGAAGCGCACAAGCGCAGGACCAGTATGCCAGTGACCCTGCGAGTCTACGGCCGGCCCAGACACAAAGACCCCAACAACTCCAGGCACATGAAAACAAGGAGCTAGCAGTCAGACTCTTGCAAAAGGAGAATTCTAGAAGAGCCGCGAGTCGACAGGCGACGCAGACGTCTGGGAACGATGCAGAGGACTTGTCCCGAAGGCTGCAGGAAATTCGAGCCCGAGTTGAAGGGAGGTCAAATTTCTCTTTGCAGGGTACCGAACGCCGGCCGCTTGCATCTATGGGCAGCAACGTGACATATCAGTATCCGAGTATCCCTGCCCATCATAATCAGCCCGTGCTGAGTTCTCCATTACCTCACGTACTATCTCCCAGCGTGCCAAAGGGAATTCCAGTATTACCTCCAGCACTACCACCGAAACCTGGCAGCAGTGTCGCGGTGGTGCCGCCTCGTCCTGAAAAGTTGACAGAACAGCAGCCTGCAGCAAGAACACAGACACCAGAACCGGTGCACATCTTTGCTCCTGCAGCCTATCTCGAGAATGGCACACCATTACGGACCATATTCCTTCCGCCAACCTTGCGGACAACTTTTCTGCGACTGGCTCACAAAAACACGTTGGCCAATTTGGAGACGTGCGGGTTCCTTGGTGGGACGCTGATCGCCAACGCCTTCTTCATTAGTCGTCTCATTATTCCCTCGCAAACGGCAACATCGGATACGTGTGAGATGACAAATGAATCACAGCTCTTTGACTATGTGGATTCGGAGGATCTTATGATCCTTGGCTGGATACATACACATCCTACCCAGACGTGTTTTATGAGCAGCCGAGACTTGCATACTCACGCGGGATATCAGATGATGCTGGCAGAGAGCGTGGCCATTGTGTGTGCTCCGAGCAAGGGAGACACAACTCACGGTGGCGACTGGGGAGTATACCGTCTAACCGATCCTCCAGGGAAGAAGACCATTCTCAGCTGTGAACAGCCGGGAATCTTCCATCCGCACAATGTTGAGAATATCTACACTGACGCGCTCCGACCTGGACACGTCGTGGAGGCGAAAGGGATGGAATTTGAGGTGGTGGATCTTCGAGATAAGTGATGCCGCCTTTAGATCTGATGGTGGGAAAACTGGCTCGCCAGTCGCCACATTGTGCCAAAACGGGCGGCAATGGGTCAGTCTATTGCAAGGGACTTTTGAACTCAGATACCGGCAAGGGATTACAATCAACAAGTGCATAAGCAAGGTGCTGGGGCCGACTTGTTGCGAGTATATATCTACTTGGCCTGATATTGGCATTGATGCACGCCATATGGAGTTCTGGCTGATTGATATGGAGATGAATAGATGATTTTGTGCAATGGTGGCCTCGAGGACGGTTTACGTGGTACGTGGTACTCCATATATGTTCCAGAAATACCAGCTCGATTGCAAGCCATGGCCCACAACTTCACGGGTGTCACTGGAGACTACATACAGCCAAGGCAGATTCTGCCTTGCACATGTCCTTTTCACCTTTAATCCCCTTCTGCAAACGATTGTTGTGCATTTCAAACATGGGTATGGGAATCCAGTTATCAAGCGAAATCAAGCCGCGGGCAAGCCACCAAACGCCACCGCTCTGACCATGCCAGAAGAAGCGCGCACCAGCAACTCACAACAATGCGGGCTGCCAATCGGATCAAGATGAGGACCACGAAACGACGCGGCCTTCTGGATAACTGGCAGCGTCCCTTGCTGCGAAGAAGCTGCTTGAAGCAGTCGAGGCGTCTCGTTGTGCTCCTAGTCCAAAGCCCCTCACGCCATCAAAAGCGCCATACCCGAACGCCACTCAGCGATTTCAAACTGGGGCTGACGGAAGTCCTAGGTAGCAGCGGATTGAGCAAATCAGAGCCAACGTTGCTCTGCAAGGCCGCGCACACCAATGCAGGAACATGCTCGAATAATAATAATGCTGTTCCTGGTGCCTCGGCAGGATCCTGAAGTCAGAAGAAGGGCTTTTGTTTGAGCGTGTCAAGAAGAGACCGAATTCTGTGATATCTGCGCTGCCAGGAACTCATCGCATCAAATGCTATAGACTCCTTGCAGCAGGTGATTGACCTTGATCAAAATAGCATTAAACATCCAGGCTCCAATTCCACTTCATCAAGATTCGAGTTGAAGACATAAAGTTACTACCTAGAGAAGTCAAGATAACGTGGGCGAAAGTGGCTTGTCATGTGGCTTGCAGTGGATTGGACAGGGAGGTGGATGGTACCTGGCTAAGCTGAGCCGGGGGGAAACACCCCGCCTAAAAGAGTTAGCAATGGGGAGCTTGGGGGCACCACCATGCCTAAAGCATGGATAGGCGTTTGACAGCCAATTTCCGAGGGGAGCCATTTTCTGCTGCCGCTGTTTCTTCTTTGCGCAGGCCCCTCTGAGGCTTCTCTCATTTGCACGGTGAATGCTCCAATCCCCCCCTGCCAATGCCCTTACGTGGTACCCAGCATTTGGCTCAATATTGTCTAGAGAACCAATTGAAACATCAAGCCTGCTCCCCTAGTGTCACCCAGCATCTCCTCTTGCCCTGGTCGCGTCAGGCACCGCCATTGTCCGTCGCCGGTCAGTGCTCCATCTAGCTTGATTCCCTTCCCTTCCAAGTCTTGTGACTCTTCCTCTCTCCAACCTGCACCACCACAGAAACAAACCACCACATTCCTTTCGGCCAGCACAACAACCTCAACACATCGCCATCGAGGCAACGTGCAACAGCGCAGTCAACGCCGTCTAGACGCCCGCCACGTCTCAACTGAGACCTCCTTCTTACACTCGCTCAGCTTCAATTACTACTTTGATCGACTTCTCAGGGGCCTCTGTGTATCAAGTCTGAAACTCAACTTGCATTCCCAGCCAAGCTCCCCTTTACCTCCTCAAACAGACCCGAAGACGGACCTCCCTACAGAACCGTAAACACCACCATCTCACTCTCTCCTTTGATGTATAATCGGGGACCTGGTTGCTGAAGGTTAACAAAAGAGCACGGGAGAGAAAAAATAGCAGTGCGGGTCACTGCTGTGAAGGAGAACAAAGAAATTCTAGCTGCGCCTTTCCAAGTGACTGGCCTTCACCTAGATTTGACTGGGTTACACGACGAGGCACCACCTGACCGAACCTTGAGTAACTTCGACCTCACCTTCGACGACCTCGAATCTTTCGACCTACACGTCTCTATCATCGCGTCGAGTTCAAGGGCCACAATTCTGTGATTCTTTCAGCGCATCGATAGATTTGAGCCGCGTCATTCTTTTGTTCAACCCGTCTTACCAAGAAGACCGCGAATCATGGCACGATCACTCCTCCAAGCCGTTGCTCTGACTGCGGCTCTCGCTCTTTTCACAACACCAGTATCAGCTCAGTCAGCATCAGCTTCCCCGACATCCACAAACGCCCCCAAAGCGATCCAAACCCTAGGCTGCTACAACGCGGTAGACCCTTTGAGCTCGCAAGGAGACTACACCTTTCAAACCTCAGGTTACTGCCAAGGAATATGTGTGCAGTTAAACAAGCCTGTGATGGCCATAACTGGGGGATCAACGTGTTATTGTGGTAACGAATTGCCGGCCCTTGATGCTGAAGTTGCCTTGAGCAATTGCAACTCACCATGCAACGGCTACTCCCAGCAGACTTGTGGTGGCATCGGCTACTGGCAAGTGTACCTTACTGGATTGACCGCAGACGTTGAAACCGCCCCGAACAGTACCAGCAGTTCGAGCAGCTCATCCCCTACCCAGTCCGGTGAGGGCTCGAGTACAACCCAGCCTGCAGTCGTTACCAAACCGGGCGAGACCATTGTCGTGACGGCTTCGGCTTCGGCTGCCCCTGACAAATCATCATCTGGCGGAAGCAGCAAGGTTGGCATTGCAGTCGGCGTTGTCGTTGGTGTCGTTGGTCTCGCTGGCATTATTGGAGGCGTCCTCTTGTACTTGAGACATAAGAGGAACCGCGAAATTGAAGAAGAACACCGTCGTAATGCAGCGGTCAGTTCGTTTGTCGGATCAGGGAAGTCAGACAAGTCATCGACGGATCAGCGCCTTGATCCCTCGATCTACTCACATCGTCGACAAAGCATTGGTAGCATCGCCGATGAGCGAGATTTCTCCAGGAGGATATTGCAGGTATGTGGATTGGTCCTGACAACAGCTTATGAAAACCGCTAATATTTACTAGGTGCGAAATCCGGATCGAGAGTCAAAGTCATCTGCTATGGCCTAGTGGCAAGTGAACGTCGACTTTATTCCCGCTGCCGATACGAGACAACGCGGATTGTACACCACGGCAGGGAGACGACAGTACTCATCTGAAGTCGACATACACTACCATTCTGCTATGAATCTCTTCCCTTACCTAGAGATTGCTGAATACCCAATACATGCAGCAAAACTCCACAACACGCACACTGATGACTGAATACTACGATCCAGACACCCCGCCCGGACCACACCCCCTGCTTTCTGCATTTCAGCAATACAATTGAAATGATGAACGATCCTTACCCGACAGCACCATCCAGTCTCTTAACTCTCGTTTGCTGTTCGTTTTAGATTTTTAGACCCCAGTCTCAGGTGGTCGATGGCATAGCTTTGGCGTCGGTGGTTTGTTTGAGTATATCAGGGGGATGTTACCGCTGCAGGGGAGCGCTGACAAGGTTGGAGGAGAAGGGACAAGATCTGGGTCTGAGAAGGGTGGCTTCTCAACACTCGCATACCCATGCTTGCATTGCTATTGAGAGTGTGTGAGCGGTGGTCTCAAGCATCGTCACACGAGAAGGGAAAAGGTTACCAAAACAGGAACCCACCTACTAATATGTGCATGGGGCAAGGGCCGAAGTACTCTCACAAGTACTTTTGTCCCCAAAAGTCTTATCGCGAGCGTAATGTCTGATAGGAAAGCAAGCATCGGGAGGAAGTGGGCGAGGAGATATTCCGGGGTCTCTGTCACGAAGTCATGGCCTGGCAGGTGGCTGTGTTTGTAAGTGTAGATAGAGATTTTCTCTGCCTGTTTTTGTACCACCACCACAAATACTACCATACCATCATCACCAAGTATCCATGACCCAACCTGTGCCCACATACTAGACGCGTATCGTATACCTAGGTATCCTAGATACCCGTGCACCGGCGTCCCTTGGGCCGTGGAGAAGAGTTCAACCTGGATTCTCTGTGGCAATCTAGCTCTTCCGTCCCTTTGCTATGTCGGCTGTCACCTGGGTAGTTGTCTCTCGGTCTACTCCTTACGCCTTCTCATCTCCATCCTCTTCGTGCTGTCAGGCACCGTGCTCCTTTTATCGTATATCGTCGTGTCGGTCGGTGGTCATCATCGCTCATAGTAACGTCGTCAAAGCTGTCCCGTTCTCCGGTCCCTCTCGGTCCGTCTTAGCTGAGAACTGTGCAAAGTTGGGTCGTCTATCGTCCATCGTGAAAATAGTATAGTCTCGCCACGACTCCTCGCTTCTCTTTGGGACCTCTCAAGTTCCCCACCCTCTCAACTACCGCTACCCACACCCGCGGCCTTCAGGATATCACCCACGGTCCAGCCAGGTCCACCAGGGACGATCTCTCGCCAGGTCTCATCTGGTACACTGTCTTCAGGTGGCAACAGTGACCAATTCGGACTGGGTTTATCGGGGGAGAGCCACTTGAAGTCGTCGATCTGGTTCCATTGGTTGGGCACGGCGGAGGGATCTTCTTGGGACTCGGAGATGAGGTCACTCTGTTCCCCAGCTCGGTCAGTAATTCGCATAGTGAAGAGGACGAAAGGCGAGCGAAATCGGAGCTCGAGAGAGTAAGCGACCTACATGGAACTTGGGCAATACAGCGAACCTTATACCCTTGCAATTCTCAATAATCGGTCGACTCGTGCAGTGCAAGTAGACATCCACGTTCTCACAGTCGTGCATGCGGAACTGGCGGCATTTGAGCACGAGTACGCTGCTCTTTACGCCTGTGATGTGTGCAGGGCCGGAGACGGAACCACAGAGTATCAGAGACGAGGAGACGGAAGTGATGGTTATACTCGCGAAGGGTGCTGTGGCGGTCGTGGGAACGGATAGATCGACCACACACCCACTGAGCTTCGAGAGCGAGCACGGTGTTCGCGTGTTTGGGGCCGACGAGGGCAGGATGATGTGTGTGCCAGATTGATTTGAGATGGAGGTTGAGGTTGTCGTTGTGGATAACGATGGGCGGTCACTGTCTTGTGCAGGGTCGGTTGGCGGTGGCTGTGCTTTCATTTCGGTATTGATCGTGACGGAGGTTTCGTCTTCTTGTCTGGGTTCCTCATTTCCCTCGGGTATTGCATCCTGCTCGTCCTGTGCCCTCTCGTTGGCGGGGGTGTTGATGTAGCTAGGAGTATTGACAAACGAGGGATTGGAGGAAGGCGATAGATAGCCTGGTACACCTCGACGTTTCTCTGCCGCCAGCTCGGCAGCATCGCTGAGGGATAGGGCGGAAGGAGATTTTGACTTGAAGGAAAACTTGGGTTTAGGAGCGTGAGACCTGCGTGTTTCTTCCAGCTTCTCTTGCAGAGCCTTGATAGCCTCGCCGTAGGTTCTCTGATCGTAGGGTGGGATATAGCCTGAAGCGTCCTTGACTTCGCCAGATAGTCGCGTGATGCCAGCGAGGCAATGGTCCATGGCATCAGAGCGCTCGCCGCCTATGAGGGCAGTTTCTGCGAGACGGTCCATTTCATCTTGGAGAGCTGTCGTACAGTTTCCCTTTCGTCAGCCACGGTTTCTTTGGCAGCGCAGAGGACGCACTGTACCGGTTATTTCATGCTGAAAGTAGTTGAAGAAACGCTGTTGATGGGAGAGCTCGCCTAGGGGGTCGGCGACCGGACGAGTCTGTTCTTGAGTCTCCATGGCGGTGGTTTGAAGTCAATGCGAGGAGAATTGAGTGAGGCACGCAACAATGTGGTATGATTGAGATGGGGATCTGGAGATCTGCCGCACTCGCTTTAATAGGCCTGTCGTGTGGACAGAGACAAGGGCACTGAGGGTCGAGATAGCGTGGTGATGTGCAAGGAGCCATGACGAAACTTCTGCTGTCACTGAGCGGTGGGTGGTGCTTTAGCGGTGCGGGGGAGGCGTAATGGGGGCTGAGGGGCACCAACCACACCCAAGGCACCCGTGGGATGGCCAAGTTGTAGGGTGGAAGTAGTCGCCGAGTCGGCCACCGATTGGGCGGTCCAATGGGCTGGAGGAGCAGCGTTGGGTAAAAGGCTCACCCACGCCGCCCCTAGAACACCCCCAATTCCGTGCAGCACAACTCGCCAATGACATTCGAGGGGTCTCCATTTCCGCGTCCTTTTGAACCCTTCGTCTCGCGTTTCTTTGCCATCATCATTTCTGGGATATTCGGTACCAGGTACGGAGTAGGTGTTGACGATACTGCTTCTGGTTCTCCCATTCTATCCTGTTCCTCGTTTCCAACCACTGAGGTCCCTGCACCATCTCCCTTCTTTTCTGCGCATGCTCCAACGCTCTTTTGCACGTTGCGCTTCAACGGTTGCCCAGAGGACTTTGAGTCGTGGCTCTGGTCGTTATGAGATAACCAGTCAGCCGCTGTGTGGTAAGCTGTTGACATCTGTGGTCCCTCTGTCTTTGCTAACCTCCTGCAGACGATATCCTCAAACGACTTCAGACCAGCCTCCCTCCCCCACACACTTGCGATATCATCGATATCAACCCCGGACAGGGGCTTTGGTCCAAGAGTCTGCACCATCTTCTTCAGCCTCGACGGCATGTTCTCGTCGAGTCTGAGTTGGAGAAATATGCGGAGCATCTCCAGCCCTTGTTGAAGAGCCATGGCTCAGCATATCGGCACGCCACCCTTCTTGAAGATGTGTTTGATCCTGGGAAACAACTATTGACCCAATATGATGTGGAAAAGGCTGCGTCGTTGGAAAAGCCCCCTGAACATAACAGATCCTTGTTGATGACGGTCAACCTTTCCGGTACAAAGATCAGTATTGGCGGTTATATGGGCTCTCCGAGCAAAAAATTCTTCGACGAGCTCTACCTGTCACTTCTGTCAAATACACACACCGGTTTCTTTCGTTATGGTCTAGTCAGGGTGTTGGCATGGGTTCCGGAGTACGAAAAGGATACTTTCATCCCGCGGACTGTTCACACGCGCCGGAAGCAGACTATTATGCTTGAAGCAACCACAGACATTACCGAGGTTGCTGGTGCATCGACGGAGACCAAATCGACAAGACATAGGAAGTGGCCTGATCTTGAATTGGAAGAACTTGCAGTAGTTGACGCTAGAGCCAAAGCTATTCCGGGGTATAAGATACCAAAGTCGAGGCTCGAGAAGCCTCCGCCGCGGGAGTTGCTCACTATTGAGCCTACTCCTCGAAACTTGCGAAAAGCAAACTTCACCTCCGACGCAGAGTGGGTGCCCAGACTGCTCGAGTTAGACAGACGGATAAAAAAGCAGTATCCCCATTGGTATCGGCGTTATGCATCAGGCGAATCCATTCGCAAGCTTGGCCTCAAAACGCCCCTACACAAGGAATGGGGAGAGCTTCTGCGGCGGGCAAAAACCACACGCAAGACCCATCTGAAAGCAGTCGAGTTGGTCAACCAGGAAAGACAATTGATATCGGAATGGAAGCTTGAGATATGTACCGCTACGAATCACCAACTTGACCTCGCCACCGAAATCTCGTTCCAAGAGCGCGCTGAAGCCATCAAGAACAACCTCAAGGCTTTCAACCGGACGAACAGAATCTTCGCGGAGAAGGCCATCGACGACTGTAGAGCCTGGGACATGTCACCACCTGTCCTGGCCTGGAATCGACGGGAAGCTCACCCTTTGATTGCGCACGACGGCGAATTTGATGCTCCGCGTCGGTATATGGCCCTACTGGATGTGACACCACGAGCAGATTTGATTTCCAAAATCGACAATTACGATAAGATGGTATGCTTCCGCTACATTGTAACCCTTCTCTCTCTATCCTTGTCCAGGAGCGTTGCTGCAGCTCTGAGGACTCTGGTCCATGAAGGGTTGAATGACTTTGTGAAGACAATTCCAGGGATTCATGATCCCACCAAGGGAGGGTGGTATGATTTGACCACGCTGCGGGTGAGAGTCTTGCCAATGGAAATGTTTGTGGAGATCGGTTTGGCATATGAGAAGTGGCCGTTTCGCATGACTACAGAGGCTATCCTCATGGCAAATTCAGATCCCAACGCCGGATACAGCGGCGACGAGGACGATATGAAATGATGCATCAACCGGTGATTCCATCAAAGATATTGTATAGCATATGCGAGGACACACTCGCCTTGAACAATGGCCAATAGCTACCGATAAGTGGCGTGCCGTATGCCCATATCAGCTCTCCAGACTTGTTCTGGTCGTCTTACCTTTCCCAACTACCCTGATCTTGTTTATAAGATGCCCCAGCAGGAGAGCCGCGCTGATGCCCTCCATGCTCATCCAAACAGCTGATCCAGCACGTCCCTCGTGGTCATGACCTTTGCGAACTCGCCCTCGAGACTGGCGAGATGGACCTGTTGGACTGTCTCGGCGTCGAACCCGCCCTTGTTGAAACACGCGGTGGCGTCGCTGAGGACGACGATCTTGCCGTCTTCAGCTTCTGCGTCGTCTTCCTCTCGTGCTTCCACTCCTTCTCGGATAGGTCGCCGCCCGTGCCGCGTCGTCTGCTGCACCACGCCCAGGTCCCTCGCCCACCGCACACTCGTCGTCACGCAGTGATCCGTCGCGATCCCGCAGACGACAAGCTGCTCGATACCCCCGCGCTGCAGGATCGTCTGTAACTCGGGGTTGCCGAAGGCCGTGTTTGTCGATTTGGAAAGGACGTGCTCATTCATCGTTGGCGAGGAGGACTCCAGCGGCCGAGAGGTGTGGCTCGACGCTGGCGACACCGCCGCCGGTTCCGCACACGGCATGAACAGTATCCCGTCCTTCTGCGCGGCGCCCGAGATGTGTAGTGGCGATAGTGGGTTCGTGGATTTGTGGTAGATATGTATGATTTCTATCGTATGAGGGTATGGGAGCTTTGATGGGGTTGTAGTTGGGGCTGGGGTGTTGGATTCAGTGGCACCGGTACTGGCACAGACCGTTGCTTTTTGATGGGAAGAAGAAGCCAGGGAGGATTCAGGATTATTGCATCCCTTGGACTCGAATGTGCGCGAGTTGTACCCTCTGCACGCGGCCAGGATGGCCGAGACGTTTTCCTCCAAGCTGGGTGTCGAGCGCTCGGTGCCGTAGAAGCCGTGGCTGGTGTTCAGGCCGCGTTGGATGTCGATCAAGAGCAATGCGGTGCGGGCTTCGGACGCGGCGGAGAGGTAGTGTTGGCTTGCTGGGTTCACGGTTGTTTGACTGGACATCTTTTCTTTATTCTTTCACAGAACGTTACCGATGCCGCTGCTGGTGGTGATGGTGAAAGGTGGACGGAATGCAGTATAGCTATGCGGGATGTGGATATGGAATCGCACTTCAGATGGATATAATATAGTCAACGGGCTTGAGAGTATTTCCCCTTGTTGAACGTTTTGGCCAACCTCTCAAGGTTAAGACTGTACTCTATAGAAGCCGTACCTTGCTTGAGTACTAAGGGAAAGTTTTCTGACGCGGACCATTGGATCGCCAGATCCTGGCTTTGGTTACCCGCCTACCTCAGGTATGCATCAGGTCGTTTCAATAGGTGCAAGGGAGGTGCGAGCGTTGGCCAGTCGAACGATTCATTTGAATTGCTTCTGCCTAGAGGAATCTTGCCTGGTGTCCAATGAGGATACAGTTCCCGGATCCGAGTACGCTGGTAACAAGGCGCAACAGGCAGAGGACGATTGTGCGAATAGGGGCGATATGTGGCATATGGCTGGAGGTTGAAAGAGAGGAAAAATTGGCCTTTCCTCCGATCACAGCGTGAGCAGCAACCAGAGCTTGCAAGGAGAGGTGAAAGGCAGGACACAGGTAGTATGCAGCAGAAAACTCAGCCTTGCGCGTGGGTCTACAATTCGCTGAGGAGCTGCAGCCCAGTCGCATCCTAGCAATCAGAGCAGATGCGAACCAAATGCGCAAGGTCGTCCTCGATTAAAGCCAACAGATTGATGGCGGCGGCCCCTCACTTCCGTCTCATCGGAACTGCCAGAGGTCTCGCCATCACACACAGAGCAACGAAGCATGGTACTGTGGAAACTAATGGCCAACGCCTCAGGATGCTGTGCCTAGGAGATTCCGACCATAGCACTCAGCCGCTTTTTTGTCTCGATGGCCCATTGTCAGATGGAGCAAAGGTCTTCTCTGCGGTCAAGTAGCTGTCAGCCATTGCCTGAATTCTGTTGAGGGGAGCCCGATCAGAGCGCTAATACTCCGTCAGAAAGCATCCTGTAAGATCTCTGCTGGGAAAAAGGTGCAGACTCGGGCAGCAGAGAGCTGGGGAAAGCCCCGTCGCCATTTCCGAGAATGAGTAGACACGAACGAGGACGTCCAGGGCGGAATGCTCTGAGGAGGCTCGCACTACGGACCGGTGAGTTCAGCAACAGCAAAGCTTTGCTGAGTGGAATACCACTCTCGGTACACTTGTGCCTCTTCAAGACAATAAAAGCTCGTCATGGCTCCTCCTGAGAGGGACGTCGTGGCAGCTAGCAAGGAATTGAGGACAACGAAGGGAGGTTCATCATACTTTCGGCCTTTAGCCGCGGTGTTTTGGAGACCGCTAAGACATGACTGTGAGGAAGTCAAATTTTCTTTCTTCTCTGGTTTCTGGGACGCACAAGGCTAAATATAACAAAGCACCGTGTCCAGCACGAGTCAACGTGAAGATGCAGAGGTTCTGTGTGGTTCCATGTCGGCTCTGGACTTGACAAGTCAGACCAACCGCTGGTTGCCCGCCTGTAGGAATGGAGGTGCACCACCAAGACTCGTGAATGGCTGACGTGAGGCCTGCCTTGGCCACGAGGCTCCCAAAAGAGACCAATTGCAGGCTTTCATTTGGTATATGGCTTTGACAAATGCAATGGGTACCTCAGGCAACCATGAATATGAATTCAATGGGTATCAGTAGGTATATAAACAGAGCCAGGCTCAGGACTCACCTTCATTGTATCAAGCCAGCAATTCGTTCTTTCTCATCTCAGCACTCGTTCCAAATCCGCAGTCCTGCATTTAGGTCGGACGCCCCAGCCATCATGTCAATCTTCAAAAAGATCTTGCCAGCTCTTCTCCTTCTCCCAGCTCTTGGGTTTGTGTCTGCCTACCCAAGTCCGGTCGCTACGCCCCAGTCCTCGGACGACACTGATCAAATCACCTGCTTTGAGCAGGGAAGCGGATTGGTCACCGCTCAACAAGCCAACGATCTCGTCAATGAATTCAACCGCCTGATCTGCCAATCCAACCCGAACGCACCCTTAACTCTCAACCCGTTTGAGGGGGTTTCGGTCGATGATTCATCCGGAACAATCATCTTTCAGAATACCTTGAATATGGTAGCAGCACCACCTAACTGTGGTGAGGTTGTGGGCGACTTTCAGAAGCTATTGGCTCAGTGCTTCACCGGTTACGGTAGCTATGGTGGCGTCTTGATCGAGACTGCTGGCGGTGGGAACACCCAGTATGTTATCAAATCGCCATGAGCCCGGAGTATGAGGTGTTCGAAGGTAAACGAGCGGAAGCGGAAGGGGACATTGAAAACGATATACAGCCAGCAATATAGTTGCGGGAGATCAGATGTACCTTCACCTTCCATTGGGGATGGCCTAACTCATTTGAGAGCCGAGATAAAAGTTGTTGAGTATGGAAGTATACGACGTCTTCAGAACCCTCTGAACTGATTGTTAAGAATAAAAGGTTGTGGATCGGGTGTCCCGCTTGATGGTATTCATGCTGAAGGTCAATACTGTAAACAGTCATGCTTAACATAGGCAATCAATCAGTCGGCAAGTACAACCACTTGTCTTCGTGTCCGTTCTGCGATACCGGGGTATGTTCTTTGTCTTTACAAAGTGGTGATTTGTGCTGCGAAATCAAGCAGATAAGCAGGGATTGGTGCAGGATAAATCATCTGAAAAGATAACAGGTGGCTGATGGAGGTCAAAGTAGAGAAGAGAGGACAAGTTGAAGGTGAGATGGGAAAAGCAACGAACCTGCCCGCTAAGATGTTCCTCATTGGGAAAAGCGGTGACGCCGCCCTAAGATGAATGAATCGCCCCGAGGCTGGCGACAAGGCTGAGCCACTGGGGGCGCAGGTGCCCGCTTGGAAAATGCACTGCCGTTATCAGCTTATACAATTTTACGCCCTCGGAAAGACGCTCGATATGGCAACACAAGACGCTTGCGCATTCTACAAAGTTAATGGCTGATCTAGCGAAGCCGCTCACACGCCTGTTCGGAATGAATTCTGACTGCCTTTGAGTCCAGGATCATTCTGTCTACGAACAGTACCATGGAATTGTTTTGTCAACAGACGAAGGAGATCGGGCTGCCAGACTGCTGGAGAACAAGAAAGCAGGCTTGATGAAGCACCACGGTCCTCTTACAGTGGGGCAGACCGCTGAAGAGACAGACTTCTGCTATGCAAGCTTGGAAAAGCGTTACTATAACTAGGTGACACTTAATGCTATGGCGGCGGGTCGTGGCCCTCAACTGAAAGAATCAATCCGAGAAGGCTCAATGGGAGAAGCAAAATGAGAAAGAGAAGAGAAGTTCCTGAGTCTCTCTGCAGGACGACCCTGATGCCAAAGATTCCTTCCGGGATGTGCTTCACACGATATGGACCCGCCTCCAAATTCCCGTCCAGGTCTATGGAGTCCGGGATACTGTCGGCTCGTCGAGTCTTCCAAGGCCCCTCTTTCTCCGCAGCCCGTTCAATGATATATGTTACCATCATCACAATACGAAACGCCACCCAGCCAATCCAGATCTATATCATAGTGCGAACATCCTTTGCGAACACCGCATCTCTGCCGCCTTGCGTCCACCAAAAGTACCACGGAGCCAACAGCTCCCGGACTTTCCATCTCAACCAGCTGACCTTTCCAGCACTACCCCATCTTACGAGGGCATCTTCCTTGGCCTGTTCCATCTCGTGCCTCCGGAGGCTTTCGAACTCTTGGAAAATGGCACTTGGAGAAGAGCAGCCTCTACGTTGAAACAATGTCGATAATAAAACGGCGTCCTCGAGGCAGAATCCAACGCTTTCGCCATTGGGAGGCATCTGAGAACCAATTAGTAGCATGCACACCGCTCAGAGAGGTTTTTTACTTCAAAGACTTACAGCGTGGCATGCGTCACCCATCAAACCGACACGGCCCTTCCACCATGAACCCTGTGATTCCAACATGCGGACAGGCCAGTAAAACTGGTCATCCCAGTGATCGATGATCTCCTTAATGCAAGGGATGCTCGTCGAAGCATACCGCTGGATCATGTATTTCTTGGTTTCTTTGGCCTCTTGATCAGTCATTGTCCAGCCCTCTCGTGCTTCATCTGGCTTGCTCATCGTAACGGCGATGTACAAATTCGATCGTTCCTTGTTGCAGTAAGCTGTCACCAGCATCCCGTTCTCGGAAAGATTGACCGCAGCGTCTTTGAAATGGATGGGTGACTTGACCAGATCTGCTCTCAAAATGCCTCCGGCGGCAACACAGCCGGTGTATACAGGTTTTGATCCAGGGTCAACATACTTCATGCGTGTGGCGCTGAAGATCCCGTCAGCTCCGATAAGAAGGTCACCGCTGTCTCGTCTTCCGTCCGCAAATTTGGCGGTGACTTTATCACTCCTTTCGGTGATCTCGACGAGTTTTGCGCCATATTGAATGTTGATATCCCTCTTTTTAGCTCCAGCCAACAGACAACTGAGCAGATCCCATCTCGTTATTCTCATGGCCCCATAGCCGACCTTGTCCGCTCTGTCAAAATCAACAATACCCAGTTTTCTGCCACTGTCAATGGAGAACACCTCCATGGCCCTGGTTTCCGCGGCGAGGTTTCGGGCCTCATCGAGCACGCCCAGGTGGTCGAGGTATCGTAAAGCCGTCGGGGTCAGATTTACCGCACCACCAACTGTGGCAGGAACCGTTCGAAGTTCGTAAACGACCACTTCAAGCCCGATCTGATCGAACGCTAGAGCCGCCGCGATCCCGCTGATTCCACCACCCACGATGATTGCCCGTGGCCTGGACATATCGGAAGCCGTTGTCTTCAGCGAAATACTCAAACTCTGTTCAAATGGACGAGCAGCTGCAAATGTTGAAGATCTCTAACTGTCAATCGACCAGGGTCTGTTTTCAAAGAGAATAGTGACAAGGACCGAACAGACCAAAACTATCAACCCTTAAATTTATTGACTTGATCTGGCAAAAATCAGGGCCATTATGCTGGGCAGAAATATTACAATCGTATACAGATCCACCGTTCGCCCGCAAGGGCTCGGATTTGCTCAGAATATGTTTCGGATGGTGTGGTACCTCCGCTCCGTGTTGAATCCGATGGTACCGGGGTCTTCGGCAGCCCGGCCTGGAAAGGCAAATTGAATACATACGGATGCAAAATGGGCTTCACGAGGTGTAAATTTCGGAACCTTACGTGAAAGCTGGTTTCGAGGTGCATAGACCATGCTCACAGCCGGAATCCCTTCCACTGGTTGAGCACGAACATTTCTTGATAGGAACCCATTCAGAGCGCCTCTTGTGGTGAGCAGAGTATTTCGACAGTCTCACATGCTTCGTACCTCAGTCAACTGCGACCTCGCTGGAAAGAACACCAACATGGCTCAAGACTCGCATTCTGCGTTTGACACTCCTTTCGACCAATTGCCCAATCCAAAACGCGTCTGGGTCGGCGAGCCTGGAAGCCGCGAAGAGGGCCTGGGGAAATTGGCCCTACTCACTCCTGAGGTAGTCGCTCAGGCGGCAGCCAGTGAGATCAAAACAGGGAAAAGGGTGGGGCTAGATTGGAATCTGAAGCAAATGGAGGTATCCAGCAGAAGCAGGCATACCTGCCAACACCACATCCTCACTACTCTGGCTGGAGCTGCCAACGACGACATCTACATCTTCAATCCTCGTAAGTCTGATCTGGAGTTCTGCAGCACATACTGAGACATCACACCTCCTCGACAGAGCAAAGTAGTCAGTGGGATGGCTTCAGGCACTTCTCTCAGCCTTTGGATATCAATGAAGCGGGCTCAGACCCCATTGTCAGCCACAGCACTCCAAGGGTGTTCTATGGGGGCACGTCGCTCAATGAAATCCGTGACCGCTCAAATACCAGGATCGGTACTAATCACTGGGCTCAAGAGGGAATTTCAGGTAAGACTGTTGGCCGAGTCCGCCCTCCGTTCCATTTGCAAGTCCTGAAACCCAATGTACCCATTCTATAGGACGCGGGGTCCTCATCGACTATGCTAGCTGGGCCGAGAAGAACGACATCACCTTCAGCGCCTTCGAACAGCACCACATCAGCCTTGACACGATCCACCGCATTGCCACCCAGTGTCGCATCGAATTCAGGCGAGGTGACATCCTTTTTGTCCGCACTGGGCTGACGAGAGAGTACGAAAACATGACGCTGGCTGAGAAGAACGCCCTCAACGCGAGAAAGCCGCTGCACGCCGGTGTAGAGGCCACCACAGATGTCCTCCGATTCTTGTGGGACATGAAATTCGCTGCAGTGGCCGGCGACAACTTGAGCTGGGAGAGCTATCCCTCCAAGACGCCTGGGATATTCATGCATGAGTGGCTCCTGCCGGGCTGGGGTATGCCCATCGGTAAGTGTCTGGCTTGTAGACGTCACCTTCTCAAGTGGGAGCGCAGGCTCCTTTTTGTTTTCGAGGGCAAGATCTTGGTTTATGGGTAGCAATGAACTGACATTTCGTATAGGAGAGCTCTTCGACCTCGAAAGACTGTCACGCATGTGTAAGGAGCTTGACCGCTACACGTTTTTTGTTACGTCCATGCCCTTGAATATGCCGGGAGGAGTGTCGTCGCCACCAAACGCTATGGCGATATTCTAGATGTTGCATGGTTAAGGGTAGCCAGATGTGGTACCCAATGATCACGTTACACGCATCTTGATTCAATTGTCCGATCTAGGTGTATTTGGGGTATGGAAAAATTAAGCCTTTGTCTACCTTGTTGACAGGAAATGCTGGAGCATTTAGAATAAAGCCCGAGCCTAGAACCCAAAAAAGACCACATGACTTGATGATTTTTAGGTGTCGCTATTTTTGCACTTGATACTGGTAGTATTTCGTAGACGACTCGTGTCTTTCCGAAAGCCAGATCCGAAGGCGGCTTCGGAATCACACATAGGGTACGGCCGATTCACTCAGGCCAATAGACTTACTCTATTCACCGGAGATGACTTTCGGATATGAGTCTCTACGCTCTGTTTGCACCGTCAAGAGTCTGGGTCGGTCTGCAAGCAAGTCCCTGGGGGGTCAGACCTGAAAAGGGGGAATGCATGATGTCCGCCCGACTCAAGTTTGAGAATTAGGCTGATGCGGGCTAGAGTCATCTCGAAAGATTTCGAGCAGTTCGAGTGCCTTTGATCAAATCGGGATGTAGTGATTCCCATTCCCCTCAGCCGCCTTTGCTCGCCATGGACAATAGAAGGTCACAACGTGAACACAGCCACTCTTCGGCTTGGAATGAGATCTATCACCTCCTCGTCACTTGAGTGCATTTAGCGCAATGAAAACACCAATATATGTTAGAGGGCAAATGTTTCATTGGGGTCAGATGTAACTAGGGCGAACTTTTGTTTCAAGGTCGAATCCGGGTGAGTGCAGGACAGCCTTCGGTGAAATCACATATAGATCTTTTCATAGATCTTTTCAATCAACTAGCACCGGCAGAGCAGGGTACCCACCAGCTTTCCGGAAATGTAGAGCTGGGATCGCAGCATTCTCTACTTCTCTGCCATGTTCTCAACCTGATGGATCTCCACCACATCAGCCAATTCAGTGTCCTTGGTAATCTCGAGTGGAATATGAGTGACCTCGTCGCCAAATATGGCGCCTATCTCCTCCAGCGACTTGTTCTTGGTCTCAGGGCAGTAGAGGAATAAGGGGACACATGCCACGACGAGAAAACACAAATAGATCAGGATGAGTCTGGCAGTCCATTAGCTCCGTCTGGTCTTGTGTCGTGCTTAGCATTTCTTATACTGGAAGACTTACTTCCATCCAATGGCATCCAATGCGGAAGCACCCGACTCCAGTTGAGTGCAGAGGATGACGAAATAACTGGCCACCGAGATCGAAAGGCCTTTGCTTCGAGACTCGTTGGGGAAGATCTCCGAAACATACACACTAGACACATCGTTAGCGCGCTGATGGCTCTGATCCGGCGAGATGGAACCTACTAGGTCGTTACATCAATGTTCATCGAGTACATCAGGATGTGAAGGTACAAGAAGACGATGGTCGAAATGGCCGAGGCGTGCGAATGGGTCGACGTGAAAGTCCCGAGAGAGGCGCAGATGCCGACAAGGCCCAGCGCGCACCCTGCCCAGCCCATGCGTAGTGCAGTGACGCGGCCCACCCAATCGAGCGTCATCCCGTTGAGAAAATTGCCGGCAAACGATACTGTCGAGTATCCCGCCGTGAAGAGGAGTTGTTGGTTGGTGGAGTGGCCGAGAAATCCGTACAAGAGTGGATTGTAAACTGGACACCATCAGTCTCAGAGTGATCAAGGATAAATACAGAAAAACGCATACTCGCCACAATCATGGTCGCGGTGAATTGACTGCAGAACATAATGAAGACGCCGATCATCAGTCGTCTCCGATTCGATGGGACCGTGAACATCTCTTTCCAACCAACCCGGCGGCTTTGCGCAAGTTGGTGCTGTTCCTGGATTTGCAGCAGCTCTCTCTCAATGAACGCATTGTTCTCGATGCCCCTAGAATGATGGAGGCGTTGAATGACTTTCCGGGCATCATCGCCTCGATCTTGAGAGACCACTGCGGTGGGGAAATATTAGACGGCTCTCGGATGTTTGACACATTGAAGGACAGAAGACTTACACCAGCGAGGCGACTCGGGCATAAACAAGACTCCCATTGCGCAAATCAACGAAGGGATTGCTTGGATTGCCAGCGGAAGCCGCCACTGCGCTCCCTTGGCATTGACATGGAAGAATCCAACGCCAACCCAACTGGCGAAATGTTACTAACAAGCAGCGGACTGATTTTGACAAGAGTAAACTTACTTTGACAGTGTATACCCCAGCGTGACAAATATGCCGTGAAATCCAACGGTCATTCCACGAGAATCAGGTGGGGAGATTTCGCTTTGATAGAGAGGAATAGTCGAGAACAAAGAACCTGTCGGAGTCTTAGTAGTGATGACAGACAACCCGGACGCAGGTAACTCCAGAGATCTTACCAACACCGAGACCCGCCACCAGCCGAAAGATGATGAACATTGTCATATTCACAGAGCCAGCCTGAAGAGCCCCGCCGACGGTAGCAATGAGCGTGCCGAGAAAGACAACCAATTTGCGCCCAAGCAGTTCAGGTGCAAACGTTGACAGCATGGATCCAATGACTGCGATTGTATTGTCAACAGAGTTCTATACAACAAGGTAAACACGAGTCTGCTTACAACAACCGACAATGAACATGCCGTTGGTCGTGCCATCGAGTGCGGCGGCGTGCTTATTCTTGTCAAGTCCCATGTACTCCCTCCTGTTCTTAGTTAGCCGTTCATCCTCAGCACGGTCAGACTCACACAAAGGAAGGCTGCGTGAGAGTTGTAGAGGTGATAGCCAGCGAGTATCCGCAGCATATTGACCCAAGGGCCACGAATATGGACACCCAGGTACTGGCTAGGGTTCGCGAGTGAGCAACCATCTTTGACGGATTGACTTGGCCAAGTTTGTTCATGCGTGAGCTCAAGAAAGAGAGATGGGCCTCCTAGATATTTATATGCTATATAATGGACAGCGGCGTATAAGAGGTCTTGTGGACCGGAGTTCCAGAGGATACATGTAGTTAGGTTGGGTTTTGCGGAGAATCTGGGGATCTATGGTGTTCGAACCTGTTGTCGCGCATGTTTCAGGCTCCTATCGGAAGTTCAGCTTCAAGCATTTCCATCGCTTGACTGCCCCGCAAGTCCGAGGTTCGGATGGGAGGTAGGTTTGCCAGACAGTGAATCCGAAAACGCTATCGGATTTATGGAGCTTCTAAATTGTGGGAGAGACAAGAGGAGGTGCACACTGATCCTATGGAGGACTTCCTACTCAAACACTTACACAAATTGATCAGGTTGATTCCTTGTTGCTAAATGAAGAGCTCGAGGAGCTGTGAATCCCTACTCCACAACTCCGCAAACCCACCCAGTAGTCCATCACTCTATCCATATCCCGGGGTCAGGGAGTTACTGCTGGAACTTGAATTGTAATAGCTTCAATCCGAACAATGTTAGCCTCACAGCAGACGCCTGTTTCAAGGTGAACGAAAAGCCGAAGTGCAGTTGTGAACAAGTGACGGTGAATGCCACTTCTATTTTTGAGGACAACAGATACAAAAGCTTTGATCTTCCCGCCTAGTCGACGGGGCGGGAACTTCTGTGGCAGTCTGAAGGACTTTCCAAAGGCCTCGGCACCTTCCACACACTCGAACAATCACAATGCCCAAGTTACCAGCATACCTGTCCTTTTTGTCACTACCGGCACTGCTCACTCAGACCGTCGCACTTCCGGCCTCAGTTTCGGTGGCAGCTACTGCGCCACCACAAGCGACAATTGTTCGTCGTTTCCCTGATGGAACCGCTCTTGAGAACTTGGCTGTGCGCAGCGACGGCACTATCCTGTTGACCAGCTTGTACACGAGAGAGATCTTCTATGTCGACCCCATGAACCCTCAGAACGTATACTCGATCGCCAACTTGCCTCCTGGAGACACCTTCACCAGTATCACTGAACACGGCGATGATATATTCTATGTCGTGTCGACAAGCTTCCAGACCAACAACCACCAGCCAACAGCTGCCGACACGGAGAAAGTATGGAGCTTTAATCTGCGCGACTGGAGTGGCAAGGGAAACACATCGCTGCCTCTAACCTTGGTCTCCAATATCACCCAAGGAGGATTTTTGGATGGACTGACCAGCGTCGATGGAACCGATTACCTGCTTGCCACCGATGCCCAAAAGCCCGTGATCTGGCGCATCAACACTGTGACCGGGGCTTACGGCGTATCTCTCAATAGTTCGGCTCTTGCTCCTGTTGGCACGGGGGCCGTCCTTCCGAACGGGACTGTTGGCGCAAATGGCTTATGCTACCGGGCTCCTTATGCATACTTCAGCAACACGCGCCAGAAAACATTTGGTCGCTATACCGTCGGTCCGGCGGGCACGGCTGTCGATGGCACTCTCCAGATTCTCGGGGTCGGCACCGTCATAGATGACCTGCAGCCTGTCCAAGGTAATGGAAGAGGCGCTTATCTCACTGCACCCGTTACCAACCAGATCGTATATGCCCCAGGCAACGGTTCCAATCAAACAACTCCAATCGCCGCGGTAGGGGGCCCAACATCGGTCCGCTGGGGACGAACTCAACGAGACCAGAACACGCTTTATATAAGCAGCACAGGCAATAACACAGCGTATGCTGGCGTCTCAGATCCGGCTTCTGTGCTCACCATTGGTGGCTCCTTGTCGAAGATTGAATTGGGTGGGACGTGGGCCGACTGGCATTAGATGCTTGCAAGCCAAAAAGTGAAAGGTCGTGCACAACAGACAGGCTGATGAGACAACAAGGCTTTTAGTACAAAAGTAATTCTCTCGTAACTGCTCTTATCACCCATTTCAATGCGGGAAGTCCCTAATGCTGATTAGAGCTTTTGGGATCTATGGCTGGCCCAGAAGTGCGTCACTGCGGCGGCCAGAAGACAGACTCTGGTATTGTTGCGTTGTATCTGGACGGAAAGGACCAGCTTGCCTGGTTGCCGCTCAAGACGTTAGGATCGAAATTGATTTCGTCCACTTCGATCTGTGAGTGCTGCTGTGGGTTCTCCGTTTCCTCTGCAGGGAGCGTCCAATGCAACCCATCATACGTGATGTCGGGTCCTTCTCCAAAATCGAAATAGGCCGCGTCCAAAGAATCGAGATCGGCTGTCCCAATGTCGGAAATTGTAGATGGTTGATCGCGGACTGATTCATCACTTCTGCTGCTTCCACCACCACCGCCGCCGCCACCACCACCAGCAAGGGCTGTTGCCACTGGCTGTTCCGTACGTTCACCTATCTGGAATTTACCAAATTGGCCACCCATAAGTTGCGGTTCCGATCCCTGCGCCGGCCTATCTCTCTGCGTGACATATGCACGACATGCAGACTCCAAGTCCTTGATCACGGCTAGGTACAGGCGAGCCACGAGGTCATGCTTGGCAAAAGTTTTGAGGATGGCAGTGCTGTCCCAGAGACACTCATAGAGAGGGAAACGTTGATCGAGGTTGGCAAAGAAAGCCAGTCCGACAACGAGAGCGGCAACTGAAACCGAGTTGACCACGAACGGTAAATGTTTCGGGAGATTCGGCCATTTGACGAGGTTGCGAAGCTGTGAAATGATTCGTGTGGCAGAGTCAACACAGGCGTAGGCGTATGCGGTCTCGGGTGCATCAGGAGCGGCCTGATGGGAGCTATGTTCGTTCCATTTCTCTCCCTGATGTCGGCTGCGGTTTTGAGACACCATGTGGATGAGGAAGGGTCGGGTCAAGAGGATGATGGAGACATAATCTGTCTCAGCACTCATGGTCAGCTGGGAACCCTTTTCAGACTCGCACAGATTAGTTGATTCCCACTTACATCCATTGCGAATGTGATAAAGGCCCATGTTGGGTCTTTTGCTGCCGGTCAACTCCAGCTCCGGGCTGATATTGTCAAAAGCCAGGCCCTCTCGTAGCAGCGAGAGCCAAATCCGATGGTTTTTGCTGATGCTTTCAACAATGTTGCTATCGATGACACTCTTGCCATAGATTCCGCTAAAAATGGACTCGGTGATGTAGCAGAGACCCGCCACAGCGGAATAGTTATCTCCAGCCAGGGCATTTCGACTTTCCGAAGTAGCCATGGGCCGGCCCAAGGAACACGCCAGAAATACGTCCAACGTCCGAATGTTCCTCCACGCTCGCTCTCTCGCCTCGTACCCAGCCTTTCGGAACACCCGCGAGATGTTGCGCCGGTGGATGCCCAGGGCGTAAGCCGCTCGCTCAGCATTTCCAAAGCTCAAGAAAGCGGCGTCACGCCGTGAAGCTCCAATTAGGAACATAGTAATAAGAATATGGCATTGGATGCCCAAGATGGCTGGCTTGTCGATGAAATGCGTCATGGTAAGATATCGACCCGCATTGAAGTAGCTCTCTGCGTCTTCGTCCGAGAATTCCGGGCTCGCTTGCGCCCCAAGGGCGAGGATCAGATAGTATTTTGGACTGACGGGATCTGAAGGCTCGACTGGCTGTGAAAGCCAGGCTCTGAATTTGGCCTTGATTTCATCGGGATCTAGCACATCCAGAATACAGGACGTCGACCACAAATAGTCAGCAAGTAGCTGCTTCCCGGTTTCGATGTCTGGCTTGGCCATTGAAAGATCTTTCCCCGTGCTGAGCCAGTCATGATGACTAACTTCGCCAGATTGCATTGTCAAATCATTTCCTGGTTGGGACATTGATTGCCATAGTCCGAATTTGCTCTGGACGAGGTGTCGCACATTGTGCAGAAAGGAAAGATTGGCATATTCGCCGATGAAGACGAAGCTGCTGTTGGGGTCGCGCAGGAGCCTTGAAATTCCAGGGACAGGTATGCGTAGGTGTGAGAGGTGAAGATCTCGTGGTTGGCTATCAGTGGCATCGATGACTGGATCTTCCTCGAGCTCACCCACAGCTGGACTATCTTCGGAGGGTTGCAGAGCGTTATCGGGGCGTACTTCAACGTCGCGACGCCGAGGGTCACTGAAGTAACAACTGTGCTCCACCTTTCGTTTCAAGCAACGCGTACAAGGCCGTTGTCCATTGCACTTCTCTTTGCGTCTTTTGCACGAGTCACAGGCGTTTGGACAGCGCGGGCCGTTTCTCTTCCTGGCTGCTCTGGTAGATGGAGACATCATGTTGTGGGACTTTGATGGATTGTCTCGAAGCTCTCTTCGGAGGTCCTGATAGTTCTTTGGTTGGACATGTCATCAAACAAGACGTAGAAATGCAACTTGGCGATCGAGGTCTGGGACGTTCCCTTCCGCGGACAGGAGAGAAGGGTAGAAGGTGTGGAGAGAAACGCGGGGGGGAGGGATCATGAGCTCATGAGCTCTGGGCAGCAGGAAGGCCCAAAAAGTGCGGAACCGTGGGCCGCTCTCACCTCACTACAAACTTTGATTCGAAGTTGAAATCTGGGGAGGTCGGGCAGACCGACTACGGGAACTAAGGTCAAGTTAAAAAAAGTCTAGAATCAAATGTGTCACTGGCTTCCTGGATTGCCAAGGTACCTGAGTATTAAATCTATTTGTATGTATGGCGAAGGTGCTCACGAAGGATAGCTTGTGACCATAAGACAGAGGTCTTTTCGATCTGCCTCCGCCGTCTTTCTATTTCTTGAAGGTGATCTTGTTCTTGATGGTACCTATCTTCTCGATGCCCAATTCCATCACATCACCGTCATGCAACCAAATCGGAGGATTCAAAACAGCCCGAGCGCCCAGCGGTCTGTCATTGTCAGCAATTTTATGAGGACATCCTAAAGCAAAGACGGACCACTTACGTTCCAGTCAGTATGATGTCCCCAGGCAACAGTGTCGTCCCTTGAGACGAAAATGAGACCAAACGCGCTATTGAAAAGATCATATCTTTGGTTGAACCATCCTGTATCAGTTCCCCATTGATCTTCGTCCAGAGGCGCATCTTCTGAACGTCCTCCACAGCATCAGTGGGGATGATGCAAGGCCCTATCGGACACCAGCCGTCACAATTCTTGCCCAGGGCGCCCATCCTGTTGCCCTTGCGCATCCAACCGTGATGGGTCATATCGTTACCAACTGTGTACCCCAGCACGTATTTCAGCGCATCCTCTTCCGGCACGTTGAGCGCCTCTTTGCCAATGACCACAACGAGCTCGACTTCACAATCCAGTCCATCATCCTGGCTTGACAAATCAATAGGAACGTCATCGAACGGTCCGATGATTGCTGTGACAGGTTTGTACTAAATACCTTCATCAGTGGGCATCGAAGCATGATATCTTCGATCGACCTACAAAGAGAACTGGATACTCAGGAAATTTGAAACCCATCTGGGAATGTTAGTTCATGTCACCCTTGAGCTCGAGTCTCATTGAACCTTTTCCGGCACGCCTTTATAGGCAACTCCAAAGCCACGGACTATATGTGTAGTGCTTCGATTCAGAGGAGCAACGAGTTTTTTGATCTTCTGTACCGAAAGAAAAATTAGCAGTGGAAGAGATGAAGACCTCATCAGGAACTCCCGACCTTCACATTGCTGGTGACTTCGAATTTATCGAAGATGTTCCCTTCGATGACTCGAGCAGTACTAAAACTGCCATCTGTTGATTCGCCCGCATCACCGTAGTACTCTGTATCGTCGTCGGCGATAAAGCGTACCAAGCGCTATTCGATATCTCAGCATAATACAAATCTCCGTTGGGGTATCACGCATACGGAGAATTTTGCCTGGACCATATTGTATCACAACCTCAAATCTTCGTGCAATGATATAGCACCACTCTCATCGATCTTTCTGCTTCAATTGTCTACAGAACTAGGACTCGCTTTTGATACAATGCCATGTTAGGTGTTCAGGATGGCAATTTTCTGAACGAGGCGGTCATTCATTGATCGGATGTCGAGGTGTGCCGTCACCAAAGCCGACGATTTGAATTCCGAAGCCATCGGAAGATGTTGCAGAGCACGAACAAAGAGAGCCGAATTTGGCCTTCGCCGACCTTGAAAAAGGCGGATACTAGCATTTCTTCAAAAAACAATCTACCGGATGAGTATTTTCGGAGCCCTGTGCTGTGTCCGGTTTTGCAGTGGCAGACGCCATCAATTTGCTCCTATGCTTTTTGGCCGCATATGTGGAGTTATCCTGGTACAGTGAACTGATGTCAACGAGAATCAATGGTTTCTGACACCCTCCTCTGACGCCTTACAAATTTGGACACTCCTTCGACTAATGATGCTCATTCCTTTAAGAGCTTTCGCGAGTCTATTACATGTGGTTGTCTAGCTGGAACATCGAAACAGAGTCTCTACTTCTGGACCGCTTCAACTCAGGCAGATGGCGGAAGTCTGCAAAGGCTGCACAAGCCCATGCGATGAAGCAGACCTTCCTACTGACATCGAGGATCTCAAGTGCAAGGTCAAAGAATTACAGGAGCAAAATTCGAATCTAAAACAAAAGCTCTCCACGTTGGAACGGCCACTGGAAAGGGTTCAGAGCACTCAACACAAGAAGCCGGAGCACAGGAAACTGAGATCTGAAGATTGGTTCTCTAACGACTCGAATCCAGAATTGAATGTACTCTACTTGGATCGGTATTTGAACTATGGATTGACTAGGGAAGAAATATCCTCGAGAAAGCCTATTATTGGCATCGCACAGTCCGGATCAGATCTCTCCCCATGCAACCGCTATCACCAACAAACGGCGAAAAGAGTGCGAGATGGCATTATAGCGTCCGGTGGGATCCCAATTGAATTCCCCTGCCACCCGATCCAGGAGAGCAGCCGCCGACCCACGGCGACTTTGGATCGGAATCTATCCTATCTCACGCTGGTCGAGATACTCCACTCCTATCCACTTGATGGAGTGGTTCTCCTGACAGGTTGTGATAAGACGACACCTGCTGCATTGATGGCGGCAGCGACAGTGGTACGATGCTTCTCCGTTATACGTCGAAGTCGTTGACATGAGCAACAGAACATCCCCTCTATCGTGTTGAACGTTGGGCCTATGCTCAATGGAAGCATTAGAAACGAGTTGATTGGTACCGGAACAATTCTTTGGCGTGCCAGAGAGCTGAAAGCGGAGGGTGCAATCAATGATGAGGAATTCGCCGATATGGTCACTGCCGGGTGTGTATATCTATTACGCTCATTACCGGAAGACTAATAGGCTCCAGAACACCATCCGCTGGACATTGCAATACTATGGGCACTGCGTCTTCAATGAACGCCCTCGCCGAAGCACTCGGGATGGCCTTGCCAGGATCCGCTGCGATCCCTGCCGCTTATCGAGAACGACTGCAATGCGCCTACCGAACTGGCAAGCGGATTGTCACTATGGTCTACGAGGATCTTAAACCTAGCGACATCATGACTCGCGAAGCATTTGAAAACGCCATCGTCGTCAACACGGCTATCGGCGGAAGCTCGAATTGCCCTATCCACTTGGTTGCCATCGCTCGGCACGTTGGGGTTCAGCTCGATATGGATGACTGGGATCGTATTGGATATTCAATTCCCTTACTAGCCAACGTACAGCCCGCCGGTGAGATGCTATGTGAAGACTATTATAGAGCAGGCGGTCTCCCTGCAGTTATGGCCGAATTACTCGAGGCAAAGAAACTACACGCGGACGCATTGACCTGTACTGGACGGAGTATAGGCGAGAGCGTACGAGGTCAATTCTCTTGGAATCGTGAGGTTATACGGCCTTACGACCAACCACTGAAGCAAAATGCAGGATTTATGCATCTAAAGGGCACTCTTTTCGACTCAGGAATAATGAAAACCTCCGTCATATCGGACGAGTTTCGCAAGGCATTCCTCGAAGACCCAAAACATCCTAATACCTGGGAGTCTAAGGTCAGAGTATTCGACGGCCCGGAGGACTACAACGCAAATCTGGATGACGAGGGCGGACTAGATCCCCAGGAGAGGCCAGCACTGGTCATGCGTGGTACCGGCGCGATCGGGTACCCTGGCGCAGCCGAGGTTGTCAACATGCACGCCCCGGTAAGGCTACTCAAGGCAGGAATTCGCGCGGTGCCGTGTATTGGAGACGGCCGACAGTCTGGAACGTCAGGTTCACCTTCAATCCTGCACGCATCGCCTGAGGCAGCGGCTGGCGGGAACCTTGCATTACTCTGCAACGGAGATACGTTACGGTTTGACCTCAATGCTCGCCGGGTTGATCTACTCCTCTCTGAGGAGGAAATGGAGAGTAGGAGGGCAAAAATGGCTGAGAAGGTAGCGCAACTGACGGTGGAAAGCCAGACGCCCTGGCAGGAAATCTTTCGCAACGAAACGAGTCAGTTGAGCGACGGTATGGTGCTAAATTGTGCTGTTAAATATCAGAAGGTTGCGCAGCGGTGGCCTGCTCCTCGACACAACCACTAGCAATGTGTTGGCTTGCCACTAGGTGCAGACTCGAAATCGGACGTTGTGTATCATCCTGAGCTTCTGTTTCATGGAAATTGCCCATGTCTTCTCACTCAACTAAGGCTCATCTGGCGTATGGAGGTACACATCTCATCTGAGGCCTCCACTTAGTAAGATATTCTGCCCGGTCAAATAACCCGTCTTGCAAATCATCTCCACCACATTTGCACACTCCTGCGGTGTACCGAGACGGCCAACAGGAATATTCTTTACATCGCCCGGCGTCCCTTCGAGCATTTTTGGATCAGGGATCAAGCCCGTGTCCCCAATCATTGCCGGCGCGAGGCTGTTGACTGTAATCTCTCCCCTACCGAGCTTAGTGGCAAGGTTCTTCATCATACCATTCATGCCGGCTTTTGAAGCAGCATAGTGACAGCCATTGATACCGCCTCCTTCAGCAGCTATACTGGAAATGAACACAATTCGACCCCATGACTGCTCTATCATATAAGGCAAGCAGTCCTTGACAAGCAGGAAGGTTGAGCGCAAATTGATCGAGATGGTGCGGTCAAACTCCTCGATGGTAATGTCCTCCGGGCGGGGGATCACTTTGGCGTACCCGGCGTTCGCTATGAGGACGTCCGGTGAGTGACTGTGAATGGCCTGGATATCTTGGAAAAGACTTGAAATGTCGCCATCAGTCTCGAGCCTGACTTGATGCATGGATATCTGACGACGACGACGACTCGAATTCTCGCCATTTGAAGATTCGAGTTCTGCTATCAAGGTTTCCAGGCTGGGTTTGTTGCTTGAGTAAGTGAGCGCCAGGGACATTCCGTTGTTCCATAGTGCGCGTGCACAGGCAGAACCGATCCTAGGTATTATGTTTAGTAAGAGGCTTTCATTGCTACGATCGGAACTCGAAATGAAGGAATGGCATACCCTCCTGACGCACCAGTGATCAAAGCCAGTCTGCCTTCCAGGCGATTGTCGAGGGACATCTTTTGGTCTTGGTGGGTTGGAAATGGAGGTGCTCAAGATCGGCGCAAACCTCGCAGGCTCACACTTGTTGATGGGTTCCAGGAGGAGAACGCATCTCAGCAATTTCAAGTCTCAATGAGACCGACTGCCTCTTGATCACAAGAGCAGACTATTTCGGATTCTTGCTGCTTCTGTCTGGCCATGCTTTCGTAGTGACGAGCCCGGCTCGAGGTCGGCCGCATTCGTGACGGGTATGCTTTGCTGTTTCCGGCGATCTTGATCGCAGACTTCAAATCTAGGTTGAAAACATCCACGCTGCCTTTTCGTATTCCGAGGGTGGATCATTGGCTTGTATCCGAAGCTTCGGATTCTTCCGAAAAGAATCACAACATCCTTTAGAATTTTGTGGTTGGCTGGCGCGTTGGCGCGAAGGAACGCTAACCCCATGAGAACCGTACGCTCTCCTTTAGCTTCGTGTCGAGTTGTGACTATACGTCAAGGAATAGCTGTATCTAGTTAATTCCTCTATCGCTATGGAATATTTTGCGGAAGAGGGACCTTGCAGCGTCTCTTGAAGGCGTCTCTTGCAGCCATTAAACTAAGACCCTTGGTCCGCTCCTTCTCGTTGGCAGAACTCCAGGAGGCCGAAGGTCAGCTCCATCGTCATTCTGATGCCCGCAAGCTGAGAGTATCCAAAACATCTTGCAGAGGTAGCGAGATGGCCTCTCACGCTCTTCGCTCCGTGGAGACCAAGGGACATGAAGGAGGAGGCGAGGTCGAGAGCTGCCCCTAGCATCGAAAGTGGGCAGCCTGGTCTGGGATATTCTTGGGCAATGGACAGGAAAGGAAGGATGACCTCGATGATGAGAGCAGTTGGAAGCAAGAAGCAAGATATTTCTCATGGTGGAAATTGTAACATTTCACACGGCGCATTACCCACTGCTGCCTCCTGCGACAGCACGGCGTACGAAAGGTGAAGGGTCTCCCATCAAGTAGGTAGTTTGCCAATGGACGTGGACGAGGTGACCAAATGCAGAGGACAAAGAGCGTTACGTGCCTATCACGTGCCTGTCTGGTGCAAGTGAAGACCGCATATAAAATGTCCTCCGCGGTCTTTGTTTTCCTGCCGTCATTCTTTATCCTTATTGCGTCGCCGACAGCAATGCAGAACCTTCCTCACCGTCGCCGCAGCGATGCTGGGGTTCAAGCCGCGTCGCATGCACAAACCGTTCCCGCAGATTCCCCCCCCATCGACGCAACAGAAAGACCGACTGCATCCTCCAAACCAGGCAACAACAGCGCGCATACGCTTTCTGACGATTTCTTCCCTCCTTCTGACTGTTCCACTTCCAACTCTTTGAACCGCCCTCTCACCGCGTCCTTCATTATCCAAGACATACAAGCACGCCTATCTAGACGAGATTCCGGTGCTGAGTGGAACACATATCAAATAACCTCATCTGAGTGGGACATCCTCCGAAGACTTCTTGAACGCCGTGGTGATTGGGACAAATTGCGGTACGCACAAACACTAACCACCCACTGGACTGTAGCTGATACGAAGATATTTTAGATGTGACTATTTCTCCAAAACCCAAACCTTTGTTCATCGAATGCTTTCCCATACCCATGAAATGACCTCCAGGGGCTTCGCTATGCTACTCTATAGAGGGCTAGCCTCGATATGCCGCGGTACACCAGGAAAAGAGCAGTTCATGCTTAAAATTAGGAGCTGTGGCTCCAGCGATGTGGATAGCGAACAAGACCCTGATATTCATCAACCAGATGATTACTTCTCCTACCGCGACGATTTATCGTATGGTCTTGCACTAGAGGTGGCATATTCGCAGAAGTCTGAACAGCTCGAGAAACTGGCTCAGTTCTACCTTTTCGAAACTTCGCTGAATACTCAAAAGGTAATTGGCATCTCTATTGACTATGATCGCTCCAAGAGAGTTACTTTGCACACTTGGCAACGCGACAATTCTAATACGACCACCGGTGATCTACTTAGACACTATTCTCAAGTTAGTATCTCGGCTACATCTTGGAATATTGACACTGACTTTAGTGCCTAGGAAGTGCGAACCGAGACTGGCGCACGGGTCTCTGGTCCACCTCTACAAATTTCTGTGTTCGACATAGCACCACCATCCTTCGTTCCGTCTTCACTCCATGGCGCAACTATTCAGATCTCGCTTGATGAACTCTGTGATGAAATCGAGCTAGGAGAGCTCACAACCGCGCATCGTAAGAAGCTTGCTTCAGAGAAGGCACGACAATCTCAGGGTTCGGATGGCCTGGATCGCGATGAGGGTGACTCTTCTCAAGAAGGTGAAAGTGAAGACGACGCACTTACCGGGAAACTTGATGAAGAATTTGTTCTGAGCCGAGCCGGTTGTAAGGGCTCTGGGTTAGGTCGGTCTCCAATCCGAGCCCGTAGCCGAACTGGCGGCGCTGTCAACAATTGATGGCGAAGAAACCCACCAACATGTTCTCTGTTGAGGTGACTTCTTCGACGCAAGTTCTAGAGCTCCTGGCGACGGGCTCGGCGCTGAGGCGTGGAGACGGTGACGGCGTGTCAACATTGGATTGCGATAGAAAGGCCTCTCAAACTGCGGTAGACATGCAGCATGGGCAATTGTGAACGTGTCAACTTATGGACACAACCAGCGAGGTTCTCGCAGCTAGTAGACAGTCACTCGGACAATCGAATGCTCACGAACTGGTAAATCAGAATACAACAGCAGCTTCGAAGAGCTGGATAAGTTGGCGTAGCCTTGGGCTCATGTTCATGCTGCGATGGCGCAAACCCTCAGGACGGCGGCAACGCGCACAACCACGACCTGTGGGGAGCCTCTTTATTCATCTACTATACATTCCTCGTACAAAGCAACTACCAATCAGGGATCCAAGGTCACGAGATATCATGTGGCCGAGCCGAAGTCGAGCAAGGTCACATAGTGCCTGAGCAAAGCGGCGCTGCCATGGCCCCAGAGGGATTTAGAGTGGCCGCTGAATACCGAAGGAGATCCATGTTCGAAGGAAAGGCCCGACGCAAGCAAAAATTTTCTGTCGTGTGGTTGACAAGCCAGTAATTCTGCTATCTTGCATCTGAGGCATAACAGGCCTCCCAGTCTTTGCAAGCGGCGGTGATCTTTCCCCAGAGTAATGCATCGACGTCCCAGCCTTGACGATGGTCATGGCCTAAGAAGCCCTGATTGTCGAAGTCTGGGACTTCGGGCCGCCAAGGTCGGGCCCGGGCAAAATGGGACTCGACGCCATCTGGCGGTGGTAGGAAGTCCATGCTTTCTCCGGTTTGCAGTATATGCATATATATATATATATATATATATGTTCTGCGGTTTTTTTTCTTTTGAGAAAGGTGTTTTCAGCCTCGTTCAATCAGCGGGGACATTGAGGGTAGGCCGAGATGTCACCGTTGCTCTCTAGCGACTTGGCCGACGATGACTTCTCTGCGTTCTATTATAATGCACCTATTTTCACTCTTTGGAATCAAATGATCTGCTCAACCACATTCCATTATCTTCACAATGTGGGCAAGGACACGAACCCTCACAGATCACTTGTGAACGTAGGATATCACTTTTCAGCCTGACCGGACGTTCTCCATCGTAGTTGATTACTTCCATCCAACCCTATCTTGTTCACATATGCATTTCAACCTTCTATTCACTTCCTGCTCTTGTCCTCCCGCTGTGACAACGCTGGGGCTGTCAGGGCCATGGTGGATTCAGCCTGTAGCAGACAATTCTTACGAGAAGCGCAGACGAATATCGCTGAGGCTGTGGGAGCCATTTCTCGTTCGACCGTGGTTGCAACAGTGCATGACGGTTCATTCACTGTTGTCGCTGAAATAGACGTCGGACCAAGCTGTGCGGGCTTGAGATAGCCAGGTATAATCGGACTCCGTACTGTAAATAAATTGTAGATGCCGCAGGGGAGAAGTCATGGTCAGCCTGGCAAAATGCGCCTCAGGCTGCATGCTCCTGCCGCATCCTTTCCACTTTTGGTTCCCTTGCCAGGATCAAGTAGTACGCGTACTGTTTAGCTCTGATACAGCACAGCAACAAGCTTGCATGGGCCTAATGGGCCAATGCTTGCTCGTGTTCTGACTGTTGCAGGGGTCCGTCTGAATCACTAGGCGGAAGGGGTGAGGCTGGCATTTGTGGCGCCAACAACCACAGCACCTCCCTTTTCCTTGTTTTCTGACCGCTTCAAATTCTTCACAACGTTCCGTTCTCTTTACTTTCCTCTTCATAAGGTCGACATAGCCACCTGAAGGGTGATGCCTCGTTGCTTATCTGTCTCAGAGAATTTGCAAGCCCTGGAGTTACCACCAGCCGAGCGAAAACAGCTCAAGAAAGATATTACAGCCTTCTGGAAATCCCGCCTGCTGTCCACCGATACCACCAGAGTCCACAAAGCCGATATTCTCCAAGTGGCACAAGCCTTCATTGACCTTAAGGGTGCCACTTATTTCTCAGCTGGAAACCGAACTGCACAACAGAATATTCTGCGCTCTGTCTCAGGCATCATTCAAGCGCAGCGTCGAAACTTCATAGACAATAGCTCTCGAGGCAAACCAGCAAGGCGAGCTATGCCTCAGATGCGGAGACCACAAAATTGGGCATGGGAAAACAGAGCAGGAGCAGACAATGCATTGCAGAACTACGGTATGAGCCAAAGCCAAGTCTACTGTACTCGGTACAGCATCCCTAATTCGAGATTAGTGGACCTTACTGAATATGAAGATGGCGAATCAGTTCCCCCAGGCCGGGATAGTGACTCCGACTATATAGAGTTTCTACCAGAGCAACACCGGCAGAATTTGCATGCAAAAAGGAGAAAAATCAAATATAATACCAGATCGAACAAGCAGGCATTGGAACCGCAGCCTATCCAGGATGGCGGACCCACGGCTCCTCATCCCCAGGAAGCGACAAGCGGTGAACTGGATGGTGGACTTGCGGCTCCTCGTCCCCAGGAACCGGCAAGCGGCGAAGTGGATGTTGGACATATAGCTCCTCATCCCCAGGAAGCAGCAAGGAGCGAACCGGATGGCGATGCACTCAATCATGGGCAAATGATTGAAACTGGCTACAGGGAAGGAAGGGCACATTCCACTGTCCCAGAGACGATAGGATCATCTGATCCTGAGATTGAAATGAAGCAATCTGTTAGTGGAGCTGCAACCTTTGAGTCATTCGGTCGCAGATGGCGTTGCGAGTCCACCCACCTCATGGCTCAGGCCTTCACTGCATTTCTCTTCAAGTTGTCGGAAGAGAGAAAGAAGTATCGCGACTCGAACTCGGAGTCGGAAGACATGGACGACCGCGAAAGGTTTCAAGATTGGAAAGAACCGGTCCTTAGCTTCTACTACAATGTCTTGATCTTCGGGAATATTGAGAACGCGCTGCTCCACAATGGCGCTAGAGCGTCCGCTACAGATGCACCGAACGAGGACCACTCCGCAACCGAGTTGACTTTCCTCGAGTGGACGTGGCGGTTCCGCTCCATCGAGCATAAGGCTGAGTGCCTCCAAAAGGTTGTGGAAGGAATTATGAAGGGGGTCAAATTGCACCTTGACAATCTCAGAAAGAATGCAAAGGGAAACGCCTCCCGAGAGAAGCAATTGTCTATCATGCGGAGCTACCACAGGTATCAATTCAAGGTTTGGTTGGATGAAGAATTCAGCAAAGCAGGAGCCATGTTGGAGCTTTGCTAGTCTTTTGGATCGCTCGGTCGTGGGGAGTTGGCGTTGGTCAATAGATTTGTGTTTCACTCTCAATGTCTGGTAGTCGAATTGCATATGATACTTAGTCAAACCATCAGGGTAATACTGTTATTCCTGAAGAGCTAATTAAACTACCCAATTACTCTCATACCCAAAGTGCCTGTTCACGCTTCCACAAAGCCTTGAATTTGCTCTGGCTATATCCTTCGGTATTGTTAAAGTACTTATCCTGAAACCAGTACAATATCATGAGTCAACAACTCCTGCGAGATCCTGTAGTAGGCCGGACTCGATCCATGGTTTTCGGAGGCGGGTCAGCCAAAGCTGGCTGACATAGGTTTGTAGACTCGAGGTGATGGTCGACAAGTTTACACAGAATTGCGCGCCATGGTGTGGGTAAATCGGATAGCCTCCAAGCACATAAGTAGGGTGATTCCTTGATGATATCCAAGGATTAGCCATGTGATCATCCTTACTGGTTCATGGTTAAAGCGGAGATAAACTGAACACACCGCCCGGCAAAAAGGGAGGTATTCTGGTGTTGACAAGACTCCATTCGGATATTCTGTATAAGAACCCGCTCCAAGTAGGTGATGCCAGGTGTTTGCTGCCCAGTGTGCGAAGCGAAAATGGTCATTACTGAGCATCAAGCGGTGTCGGGACAGCAGATTTCTTGTCACGTCCACAGCTCATGTCACCCAAGTAAAGAGAGGGATAATAGTGTTGAACCATGGGGGTTTGGCGGCTTGGGCGGCTCGCAACCGAACCGCAATCGGATCCATGAGAAAATAATCAGTGGTATCAATATAGCAAGGAAAGCACGGACCGAGGAATTCAGACACGAAATACAATGACATTTACTCAACTGTGAGGGGGAAACGACTAAATCAACTCGCAATGCATGATCCGTGCTCATCATTCTACCTGTCTCAATCTGCCAGTTTCAATCTCGTACAGTAATCCAACCACCGCCGGAGCGTTTCCTCCATACAAAGGATCATCCTTGATCATAGCCACATCCTCGCGAATACTGGCTTCTAGACTACAGCGGACGCATTAGCAGCCTTCCAACACCGATGCCTAATACATTCCACTTACTCCGTGATCTCGCCAAACTCAATAGCATCAATGTCTTCGGCAGGAAGAGAAGATATTTGCTTGATTCTTTCCCGCACTTCGCTGTCGGGGACATGAGTCGTGCCGCAATCTGAGATTGATCATTTAGCAGAGATCCGGGCTGGAAAGCTAAACAAACCCACCAGTATGATGAACGACTATGATCAGATCAAGTGGAGTGATGGTGTTGAGAACCTGCAATGTTCGCATCGCATCCATGGCTCTTCCACCTGCGTTCCGGATGACGGCCGCCGGGTTTTCGAAGTCCAAGCCCATGAATCTTTCGGGAATGACTCTTGGGTCGCTGCAAGACACTTGAGCTCGTTAGTATACCTTCTCTTCCTCGCGTCTAAAACCAGCGCACAGATTACTGTTCCCTTGGCGCCTTTTCGCGCCCACATCTCTCGCATCTTCAGGAGTGGAGGGGGTTGCACATAGTTCTCGGCGAACTTAGCATTGCTTTCGAGAAATGAAGCAAGTTTAGTTGTCATTGTGAGAAGGAAGAATATGAGGCTGATTTTGTGGCTAGATGATTGAATTGACCGGATGCGAAGGTACGTCGCTTGGAGGCAGACTCACTTGAAATACCTTTTAAACCTACAATGCTCCCAGCGCTATGCTACGTGCGCGATTGCGACTCGCTTCATGAAGTTAGAAGCCAGAACGGATGTAGTTGTAATCAAGCCGAATTCTCGTACTTGATGATTGGGACCGGTGCTTTAGTCTTTCCGATTCTCCCGGTATGATTGGTCGGGCAGTCTAACGGATAGATCGCAAGGATTATTCAGTTCGTATTGACGGCGAAATAAACAGGATACTGTGCCCCCATTTGTTCGTTCATTTGTAACTGTTCAGTGATTTGAAAAGCCCGATGTCGCAATCCCACGTACTTCGTACAACGAATCCCGGGGTTGCAACGAGGATTGGAGGCAAATGTCATGGCAGCAAGTGGTGAATATCATCATCAGAGAGTCTAGGAGCACAAGTGTCTCCTTCTAAAGCCCGATTCACCGAGAAGAATGATAGCCGTAGAATCATTCGTAACAGATTTCTCGCCTATCACGACCTGTGAAGAACGCTGTCATCGAGTAAGTAGTTTTTTTGCGCCTACCTTCATCGACCGAGCCAAGCCTGCTGCTGAATCACTATACATCAGGCGCCAGGGTTGCCGGTTACATAAGGTAAGGACCAACGGTATGCTGAAAATACAAAAGGATGCCACTGGGCGCGTGTTTCAGGACATTTGGCCTCTACAGCTGTTCAGTGTCGCCTTTGTGCTATCTCAATTGCCCGCAGTAATGCCGTGTTTCAAGCTAGAGGTGATGCTCTCTGAGCGAGCGTGGTGAATCGTCTGCAGTGTGGCTGAATCTGGCGACATGAAGACAGCTGTATCGAGTAGAACAAGAGAAGAAGAATACCTAGGTACCTAGGTAGGTACCTAGTAGGAGGAGGTGGATTAAAAAGCGGCGCCGTGCCAAGCCCTAGCTGCCGGCGGGCTCGAAGCCCGCCAAGTGACCTCATCAACAACACGCCCGCCACGCCCGCAGCACCACCGCGTCGCACAACTTTGTCCACCGCACACTTGTTGTGCAATGCCCTAAACCCACCTACTCTTTATACGAATGTTGTCAAGTGACGCGCGTGTGTGAAACCCCTGCGCAATAACGACATAGAGCTGCGCCTACAGCTTGCCTGCGCCGCGCTTGTCAAGCCATGCCTCGCGCTCCCCTTCGCCGCCGTCAGCTCAACCGAAATGGCCCAGTTCCACGCGGCGCAAGCAAGATCAACAGTAGCCCGGCTGAAGTGGAACTGGAGAAGAAGCTGGCGTCCAAACCAATCGGCCCTCGACCGAACGATAGCGATGACAGCGATAGGCTCGTTGTCAAAGGCAATGGGAGGAGAGGAAGAAATGTTCCAAGGCAGGAGATTTACGCATCTGGCGCAGTGGCTGCTGGTGACAAGCCGGGGAACTATCCTACCAGAGCGCAAAGAAGGAAAAACATGTCCAAAGCGACGCAGGAGATAATTGGCACTGGTCAACAAGAGATGCGAGAAGAAGATGGATCCATCCCAGTCAACAAACAGCTGCACCAGCTCAAGCCTAGGTCTCCCACCATGAATGGAGTCTTAAAAAATGCGACAGGTACGAACCAGGTACCTGCCACAACCATATCACCAGCTGTGAAACCCTCTATTTTGCGGCCCATACAGCCGACTCCGGCGAGAGAGGATTCCATTCTCGGCACCTTGAAGCCCAGAAGAAGGCAGCCTAGCATTCTGCAAAATCTGGATCAGGATTCGTCGAGTTTTGACCTCGACGAGGAAGAAGAATTCCTACCTGATGACGAGTCTACACCGTTTGATGTCTCTAAACTTTCGAACAAGCCCACAACCCCTGCCCCGGCATCACCCAGACTCCTGTCGTCGTCTCGGAAACGAAAAATTAGCTCCTCCAATCCTCTCGAGCCCGTTGGCATCAAGTCTGTGGAAGAGTCCTCGAGGATCATACATTCACCAGAAGCTACCCCTGAGCCCTCTCTCCGGGCTCTGCCCGTGTCCGCACTACGTGAGTCGGGACGAAGGCAACGCGAAAATGTTCGTGACGAAGTCGATATCATGGCTCTTCCGCAGAGCAGTTCCTCCCCGGCGCCGTCTCCTGTGAAGGGAAAAGTGCCGGCATCTACAAAATCAACAAAGCATCCTCTGAAGCTCGCTCCTGTTATGACCACGAAGGAGCTTCAAACTCACCTGATGCCCACCAAGAGGCGAAGGACCGAGCGAGAGCGAAAACAAACCCGCTCAAACTTTGATATTGCAGCCGATGTCGACCTATCAGAATCCGAAGGCTCTGAACAGGACGTGTCGAATTTCCTTCCCTCGAAGAAGGGCAAGAAAACACAACGGAAAGGACCTTTGACCAAGGCAGGGCAAACGCGGCCCAAGGCTAAATCTGGGAAAGCTGAAAAGCTGCACGATGTTGCTACGTCCACAAAGTCAAGGTCAAAATCAAGTACGAACCACCTCATCACTATCACCTCGCCTATATTGAGGCCATCTACTTCGAACCGCGAAACTAAGTCTCCGTCACAGCATTCTACAAACATATCGTCGAATTTCAACACAAAATCCCAGGCAGGACGGCCGAAGCCGTATGGTGGCTTCCCCCACAAAGGCCGAGGTACGGCTTACTGGCAAGACAAGGAAAATCGTTGCTCTCATCAAGCCGAGGAACCTAGCCATCCGAGCGGTGCTCGAGCTGAAAGTACGAGTATCATGAGCGAGACGGGAGAAGAACTAGTCGCAGGTGGGAGAAAGGTCCAGAACAGGTCAACAACGATTGGGAAAAGCAAGTGGGCAGAAATAGATGCTTGGGATATGGATTTTGAGGACGTTGAGGTTATGACCGGGTCGGGAAGTAGCTCGCCTACGCGTAGGTGAAAAGCCGGTCTGCTCGACCTTCACTTCACAGGGCTTCAGGATAGCAGTGTCCAAGAATCATGGTACCATAATGAGCAAATGAATGGGTCATCTGGGTGAGTCTCCTACAATTCAATGAGCATATTCACCACCGAGCTCTTTGTACACCAATCAAGCCGTTGAAGCGCGGGAGGGGATCAAGGATCGTCCGTGGTTTAGCAAAATTCCAGTATTATGTTCCCAAACCTTCAATTGAAAGAAATGATTTTGATCCCCGCCTGGATCAAGGCTTCTTTTCAGTCTGCTACGGACAGAGTCTTGTGACTTCTGTAGTCGTCGTCGTCGTCGTCGTCATAGAGGGGCCGGGCTTGAGTTAGGGAAGTGGCCAACAAGGCTACGATGCCAAGGGGGTGGTTGAACTGCTCGCGCCTCCACCCCGATCCGGCCCAGGGCGACGCCGCCCTGTGCTCAACCCCCCGGCTCCCGCGAGTCAGGGCGAGCCGGGTGAGGGACTCACCCCGTTTCTCACCAGTGGAGGGGGCGCAATTCCTTAACGCCTTGGTTGGGAATCGGTCGTGGACTACGATGCCTAGGAGAACCACCCCCGTCCACAGCAAGGGTTGGCTCTCTCAGCTATGTAGTTCTACACCCGAGTCCCTACTCTCAAGCGTTCCTCGGAATGTCCAAGAGATTGCACAATGTCGTATTAGTTGACCGGTAATGCTCGCACGACTGAATGATAAAAAACGTAGACACGGTCGTTACTTAGAAGGGGGGTAAAAAAGAATCAATTAATCCTGCAGCGAAAATGACGGCGCTTCGATTCCAATATAGCAAGGCAAGGGCTTCTCAGAGGGCCACGTCTCAAGCCTCTGTTCCCAGGTAATCACAGATTACCTCACAGGTTCCATACCCGCACAAAGCCCACCCATCAGGCTGTCGCGGAACCCAAACTGCAAAGGAAACAAGAACTTTTTTTTTTGACTCGAGCTATGCTCTCAGGGAGCACGAGTGGAAGCGGAGCAACCGCTGCTGGAGCTCTTGAGTTCGACCGTACCAACATCAAAAACGAATGTCCCGCTCCTCGTCCCGTGCATCCCAACCTCGCTTCCCACAAGTTCGAGAGCTTCCATCGCCAGACACACTGGAGTTCAAGTGCCCGGATCAGGATGTTTTTGAGGGACTGATAGATGCCAGCAAGTCGGAATACTCGATCGGATATTGCGAATATGTCGGCCCGCCCGTAAAGACAGGCAGAACCGTTGTGGTGTCTGTGTTCCTTTGGCACCTCGCCGATATGTAGCCGGTGACGCTTGAGGAGGAGCCTGAAACCGTTCCCGAACCTCCCGAACTAGTGGTTTTCGGAGGCATCGTATTGTAGACGCAATGGGCAGCGTTACCAATACTGCCCACCAGATCAGTTTTATTCCAAGGCTCATATTGGCTAATGGAAAGGGGACAGTCTTACCAGTCGATGGTCCAATCGAAGTGGTAACAATCACCTGACTTCGATGAGAGGCACACCGGGTTTCCGTTGTAAACACATGCAGTCCTGAAGTCGCAAGATCCCTTGGAATCGCAGCATGCGAAAGCATTGAACTCATCGTTGACGACGCATGTGCTGTGCGGCTGACAGGTATATGGGTCACCTGTGTGAATCTGTTGTCAGCCCTCTGACTGGCATACTATGTGTTCGCGATGAGCTTACTTGAGTTTCCGTTTATCCAGCCACAGGTCAAGTTATGTGGGTTCACACTCACTGGCGGGGGCGTGACTGCTGGAGGCGTGACCGGTGGAGGCGTCGTCACGGGTGGCACGGTTGGCTGAGTCGACCCGGGCGAGCAGGCAGTCCCGGTCACAGTACTCGAGACTCCATTCGTGTTGACCAGAACCGAGCATGATTTATCGCTGCAGCACACGCCATCACCATCGCAAAATCCACAAGTTAGCCCGATAGCGCAGCCGCCTCCAGCCGAGTCATTGCAGCAGATGTCTCCAGCGTCGACAGCACCTCCGCCAGAACAACAGACATCATTTGTTCCTTGGTAGCAGCCATCTGTGGGGGGACAAAGCGTTAACGATCAGATGAGTGAGGAATAAATGCTCCACTATGACTGACCAGGACAGCTTGTTCCGTCACAGTCATCACGTTTGTTCAAGTGGTAATTCGACATGCGACGAGCATATTTCCGGGCAGGTGAGGTGTTTTGAAACCCATGGGGCGTTGCAAAGACGCTGGATGTTAAGAGCCACACCACAACAACTGCAATCGCCTTCGTGATCGACATCATGATAAGATCTAGAAACTTATCGCGCGCTTTCCAGTGTCTCTAGGAGCAGAGACTTGACCTGCCATAACTTGGATGAGGCACGATACTTAAGGCTGATCGTGGCCTCGGGAGGACGTGGACCAGCATGTCAATTCCCGCTCAGCAAACGAATGCGAGAGTTGAGCTGATAGTTTTCCACCGTGAGGATGACCGAACTCGAGTTCGGGGAAGCATCCTGTTTAGGTGCAGCCAGTTGGGCGAATCCAACCTAGGAAATTCTGCAAGGCAAAAGGTACAGTTGAGTTTCGTGTCCGCACGTTGCCGCATTTTCCCATTCGTAATGGCTCAGCTCGACGGACGCGAGATACTGTAGCTTGCCAAGCTTCTCTATTGCTCATGGCGACCATTCAGGCGGTACTTTTGCACTTACCTGTTACGGACATTACAGACTTCCCATCAAGGCCGAAAGGTTTGGAATTTCCTGCCTTTCCCTGGAGGATCGGGAAGCTAGTGGATCCGTATGCGTGTCTGGCTAGCGACGGTTGGACCGCAATAGTCTTCCGCTCATGCACTTGTGGAATTCCTGTGCTTGAAAGCAAGACGTTGGTTGCCTTGTTCAAAAGTTGGGCTGAACGTGTGGTCCATGTCGGGTGTCGTCTAGACTCGAGCGGACGGGCGATGCCAAGGCTCGGTAAGCGAGAGAAGCTCGCAGCCAAGCATCGCCAAGCCTTCCCGGCCTTGCATCTTCAAAAGTTCGCTCAAAGGCTGAGAGCTTTTGCAGCGGGCACGAGGAGAAGGACAAAGGTGCGTTGTTGGGAAAGCTCCACAGAAATGCAAGAAGTACTGCAGTGTTTTCGTAACTTGAGGTTCAGCTTGACAAGGGTAGCATGCCCTAGTTCCTTTATCGAAGGACGTTCATGCGGCCCGAATCAACCACGCAGGCTGGATAGAACAGAAGGATGAGACGACTCGACAACGCCTCGCCTTTTGCGCCGGAATGTCTTCGTCAGTAATTTTCAATCAAAGCGATGGCAGAAAAGCAGAGCGCTGCCAAAAGCTTGGTTAAGAAGAGGAAGAAAACGGGTAAAGAGGACTGTCATCTGATATGTCGCGAGGTTACTCCGAGTGGCCGTCCTCACCAATACATGTCCAGGAGACCACGGCAACCTATTAACTTCATCTACATTCCCCGCGAACTGATGGTCTCGCGGCGGGACACTGCATCGAGGCTTGGCAGCTAGACTTGTGTCGCCCTCCCGTCGGAGCAACGCCCAGCAGTGTACTTCACGAGCAATCTGAACACAGTCCTCGACTATTCCCTCTCCTCTGCGCCACTCGAAGACGATGATCTATTCGCATAGATGCCTGATTCGTCGCATCAACTATTGCCAGACACTCTTCCCGCAACAGAACTTCAGCAGGGATCAAAGGTTAATTTGTCCGTACTGCGAGCAAGGGGCACAGAGTCAATCAGAGCTAGCGTGAGTTCATTCATCTGGTGCTAATCACAAGTACCGACGTGTTCGAAGGAAGCACCTACCGTGTCACCACTTTCGTCCATTCTTCCTCTATCTTGTCTCTGTCCAGTTAACTGCCTGATTACACGAGATTGTGGTCCTAGATTAGAGGGGTTGCTATGCAACCGAACGAAATGCCTTGAGTTTTGGGATGATCGAAGACCACAGTGCTTTGTCTGGTTTTCGTCCTGGCTCGAACGAAACAACAATAGGTCTGTTTCAGGGATCGAGGTGGGTGACTGTGGTAGCGACATGAAACGACTTACCTAGTAGACTTCACTCCCATCGTCGGCATTGGTGTCTGTGCCAGTCACCCTGGTGAAGCCAGCGAAGAGCGACTCGGCGTGCAGATGGAATCCGCGCTCGGCTTCTCCTTATCGATCTGAGATTTACTCGTGACGGCATAGAACCATAGAAAGTCCTTCACCGTCAACATATCAGGGGCCAGTACTCCTCTCCCCAGATGCTGGCTGCAGGCATCGTCTTAATCTAGTGCAGGAAGTCTCTTGAAGAAGGACAACGGGGCGTAGAGTTGGCAGTTCTTAGTTGGAAGAGAGGACTTTGCAGCTCGGCAGCCGCAGGCGGGGAGGGTGGCCATTGTGTAGTCTCTGGGTCTGGGAAGGCGAGACTCGAGGATCGGTATCACAGCAAGGGAGACGAGGCTGTGCCGCCAAGGCTGCATAAGGCTGAGTTCGTGACACTCGCAGCGCGTCCCGCATTTCTGGGGAGGACAACCCACCACGACGCCATTCTCCAGCCTGCGCCTTATTCACGCTCACGTTCATTCAACTCTTGACAGCCAAATCACGGCTAAACTGGCAAGAAATCTTCAACCTGGAACATCCTAAGTCCGCGGCACCTCTCACCATCCGAATAAAATCGCAACTGCTGAGTTGACTCCCGCTTTGCATCCTCGCACATGGCAGGTCCGTGATCGAACTATCGCAGCCCACCTACGGCCTTCATCCCCAGCCATGGACAAGCTCCTGGCGGAGAGCTCTGCTCTCGTCTCAATTCCGCTCCCTCAAGAAGAAGATCGCTATGATAAAACTGCAAAAGCGCTCGTGAACAAACTGAGCAAGCTCCTCTCACATGAAATCGCACCTTCGAAAGATGATCTTGATGTAGGTCCACTTCAAGCAGGCTTGACACAAAGTTGACGAGATATTAGGCAATCTCGCCCTCTGCACATACCATCCTGTACACCTACATGCTTGTGGCAGGCATGGAAGCATCTGCAGCCAGCGGAAAGGCGCCTCCCAGGCAACTACCGTCAACAGTCCTACCTGAAGGTGCCTTATGGCCATACATCGCTCAGCTTCTCCTCGAATTCGACCCTGTTCAGGCACGATATTGCGGCGCTCAGTTCCTACGAATCGTTGACTGCGTTGCTCTGGGCGCAGAGCAGACCGCTAATTACGTTCCTGCTATTCAACTGCTTTACCATGTCATTCTCCGGCTCGACAGCACCTCATCTAGCCTGACTTCCACACACCGCACATTTCTCCGCCTTTGTTTGCTGTCACAAGCATATGCTGAAGCTATTCGAATTCTTGACCAACCGATCTATCACATTCCTTCCTCCAGGCAGGACCCTCGCACAAATAGATGTCTTTGCTCCGCCTCGGATCAGCCATGGAACTTTCTGAGTCCGGTTACTGGTCTCAGTCAACCTATCACGAGTCGGACATATCTCGAATATTACCTGATGGGAGGCATGTGCTACATGGCTTTGAGAAGATACAAGGATGCTATGTTCTTCTTTGAAGTTGTGCTTACAGCACCGGCTGTTCAGAACGTCGCCAGCCTTATCATGGTGGATGCCTACAAGAAGTGGCTGTTTGTAGGCCTCTTGCTGACCGGAGCCACTCCTCCAATGCCAAGATCTGTCGGCCAGACCGCAATCAAGCATATTCGAGCGCTTTCCAGACCGTACGAAGCAGTGGCCGAGGCCTTTAAAGGATCCGACGTCGAAGTACTGCGCGCAGAAATCGAGGTAGCCAATCTCGTTTGGCAGGATGACGGAAACTATGGTCTTGCGGTCGAGGTCTTCCAAGCTTTCCGAAAGTTTGCAGTCCAGAGACTCAGCAGAACGTTCGCAGCAATGTCAATAGCGGAAGTCGCGACGCGGACCTCACCAGATCCATCGAATCTTGCTGAGACAAGAGCATATGTTGACATGTTGATACGGAACGGCGACCTGAGTGCAGTAATCACAGACAGTGCAAGCGGCGCCCAGACTCTACGGTTCTTACCTACATCGGCTGCTACGCGGCCAGAAGCACAAGTTGAATCGGCACTGGCCGCGCAGACACGAGAACTACAAATGCTCCTGAAACACGTCCAAGACACCGAGCATCGCATGGAAATCTCCAGAGAGTACATTGACTACCTCAAGAAGCTGAAGAAAGTCAGAGATGAAAAGCAGAATGGAAAAGGCAGTGGAAGGGGAGCCGTGGATGAAGACATTGATGAGGACATGATGGAGGAAATCTAGCTTTCGTTTTGGGATCAGGCATTCCCTCATCATCATTTGGAGCTGTGTGCGCACGCTCCTCACAGCCCGATGTCCAGGAGATTGCAGGCGGTTGACAACGGACCGGGTAAGTTGGTCTCCAGCAACCTCAGGACGAAAAAAGAGCTTGAAAGCGATGGCGCCGCATTTTCCTAGAAGACGGGTGTCTTCCGCAGCCTCTTCCGAGCGGCAGCTGCTCCAACAAGAAAGAATCCGTGTAACACGTAATGTCCCTTGATGATTTGCCCATTCGACTTGAGATGCCCCAAGAGGCGCTAAGGATAGAATGCGTCACCAGGCTGTGGCACCCTTTCTTCCCACTTAAGATGAACCTCTTAAAACACATCGAGAAGGGTAAAAGGCGGGTGAATTGACGGGAGTGGGTTCGAACAATGAACCAAGTAATAGGCTAATTGAGGCAATAGGCTCTGACATCTTAGATATGAATACCTCGTATTGTTCCTCGCATCACCGCCGCTCAAGTCCATGAACTCCAGGTCCCTTTTTTATTTGTGGCGCCCAAGTCGACTTGTTCTGAGATAAGACATCAAAGTACTTGTTGTTCCCACCATGCCAACGTACGTCCTGACGGGAGCCAACCGCGGGCTCGGTCTCGAATTCGTGCGCCAACTAGTATCCTCCTCATCCAACAACAACACGGTCATTGCCGCCGTGCGCAGTCTCCACGGCGAGCTGGACGACCTCAAACAACTCGCCGCCCAGGCCGCGGCGGGCAACAAGGTGCACATCCTGGAGTGCAACACAGGTGACTTGAAGTCGATCCACGCCTTTGGCGACGCCGTCAAGGAAACCCTCGGCGGGAAGCAGCAGAAGATCGATTACCTGCTCAATAACGCCGGCATCAACGCCACCCCGGAGCAGTCCAGCCTCGATATGACGGCAGACAGCTTGCGGCAGCACATTGACATCAACGTCATGGGACCCGCAGAGACGGTCAAGGTCTTGCTCCCGTATCTGGGCGAGGGCAGCGTGGTCATGAACATGACGAGTGGCCTGGGCAGTTGTGGGAAGAAACTGTATATATATATTCCCTCCCCCCCCCCCTTCTTCTTTCTCTTAACGCGGATTCGATGCCCAGCAGACACGGGCTGTGCCTCTCCTCTCCCCTCCCCCCACTCGATTATGAGAAGCGAGAGAATCCAATGGGTTTCTAACCTCATCTTACGATACAGGCCAAAGTGCACGACATACTCGATTTCCAAGGCCGCGCTGAACATGTTGACCGTGCACCAGAGCGAACAATTGAAAGACCGGGGCATCAAGGTCATATGCATGGATCCCGGTATGTTTTCCCTCACCCCTGCCGGTTCCTTCTTTACGCTGGGGCCTCCCAGTTGTTTTCGGTTCATAGAGAGAGAGTGAAAGGGACAACTGCTAATCACTTATACGTTTTTGCACAAAAAGGCTGGGTCAAGACGCGCATGGGCGGCGAGGGCGCGATCCTAGAACCGCACGTCAGCATTGGAGTAAGTACCTAAGTTCTTCCCTCCCCTTCGTCTTCCCCCCTTCCCTGCCTCTTCTCCTTCTCTTCTTGTTCTTGTCATTGTCGTTGTTCTCGCAGATAACCCATGCTAATGAACCAACTACCACCACCAGGGAATGCTCAAGACTGTGCACTCCCTCAAGGACGAAGATACGGGCAAGTTCTACACGTACACGGGTGACGAGGTGCCGTGGTAGAAGCGAACATATACCCCAGGAACCAGATAGAGCCAGGGGAACCCAGCTTTGCGATATATATATGCGGCTCCTGGGCGCTGAATGGACTATACACATATACATAGACGTCCGCTTGGAGCCAAAAAATAGATGTGTACATCCGTTCCCATTCTCTCTCGGAGTGATGCACACCGCAGGCAGAAACTGCAGGGGCTTGGGCTTGGACTTGTGGCCCATCAGCAGCTTTAGATGGGAAATAGATGTAGCCGACATGGAGTCAAGGAGACGAGGGTTGGGTAGACATGGCCATGGACACTGGCAACGGGGGGTTCTGTTCGCTAGGAGCCCCACACTTTAATCGCCTATATACCCACCATATATATCACATGCTCCCATGAGCATCAATTAACTCTCTACGTAGATGGTTCGTGGCCATGTAGTGTACCGCAATATACACACGCATCAAAGGAGATTGGCGGCTAGTGCGTCTTGATCTCACCAAGACCCAAGACCAAGCCCGGTCGAAGGTAGTGTCAGTGTGGCAAGAACGTTCAGTCCGTGGGAAATATACCTAGGTAAATTTTGGCTAGAGTTGAGATGAGTAGCGAACAAGCGAACAATCTCCTTGTTGCTCTCCTCGCTCACGCGTCCCCTTGATATCCTGCATGTAGAACTGCGCTTACAGCTTGAGGGCACGATGCTGGATTTTGCCCCCTCGACATCAAGTAAGCCCTCCAACAGGCCAAATTCCCGCATCGCTGCGGGGGTGACATGATAGACATCGAGCAGCAACCTCGGAACAAACGAAGTAGTTTGACTGAACAGCATTTGAATTTGTAATCCGACCTATACTCCTGCCGTGCGTCTGCCAAAAGAAGGGTATCCGCCTATTGACACAATTTTATCCTGCCACTGGATGTTTCAAGTTGCAGGCTTTCTCAATTTCCAATTTGCATTTCCCTCAAGCTGTCGCACTCGCACCCGTATCTGTTGTCGCAGTGACTCGCTCGATTTCAATCTTGGGCATCGCCGCAGAGGCCGAACCCAAGTCCGTCATCTTAGCCTTGGGGTCTATAAAATTCCAAGTCAGTTATTTCCATCCAAAGGTCTGTCCTCGGAGTTTGGACCCACTTTTCTTGTAATAGTCGCCAATGGCACTCTTGATAGCATCCTCAGCGAGCATTGAACAATGTAATTTGACCGGCGGCAGGCACAATTCTTTGGCGATCTCCGTGTTGCGGATTTTTCCTGCCTGTTCGAGTGTCATGCCGCGCACAAGCTCGGTGAGGTACGAAGAGGAGGCGATCGCTGAGCCGCACCCGAAGGTCTTGAACTTGACGTCGGCAATCGTTTGAGTGTTGGGGTCGACTTTGATTTGCAGTTTCATAACATCGCCGCAAGCGGGGGCTCCGACAAGGCCTGGATAGAGATGGATATGTCAGCGACTGTTGTTGACGATATGGGGTTACGACCGAAGCTCGCTCTTTCCTCCGCGGAATGCCCGAACTCCGGACCCGTGGTGTTTGTGAACGTTTTCCAGCGGCACGTACCTGTCCCAACATCCAGCGCAGATTTGTCCATCGAGCCGACATTTCTTGGGTTTGAGTAATGATCGAGGACCTTCTCGTGATAGCTTCGTCGCTGCTGCGATACGGCGGCGGCGGGTCTGAGCGACGATGGGGAGGCAAGACTCGGTCGGACGGCGGAGGTTTGGACCGAGGTGCGCATGGCGCGAGGAACGGAAAGGAGAGCTCGTCGTGACATGGTGATTGCTGTGGTCGTGTATGTAAATCTGTGTGATCGTGTAGTCGAAGTGGGTTGTAGGATCAGATTTGGTAGAATGAGTGTGTAGGTTGTTGAGGTTGAGTCTGAAATAATGAGAGATGCTGCGTCAAAATGTAATTGACGAAAGATGTCGACCCTTCGATGGCGAAGGAGGGGCGAAGTGATCATCTCCCATTGGTTGGAGTGCATGTGATCTTTGCGCTAATCCTTTTTCAGGGATGACGTCGGTCCAACTCGGTCGACCTTTCCGAGTTACGACTGGCGCAAGCGAAATCAAATTGAGTAATTGCGAGCGACCACCACGACGCGCCTAGATCGGAGATCGCGTTGACCTTGGACAGGATGGACAAGACACGGAAGAACAGAACGCCCTTATCCAAGACGCCCAAGAAAGATCACCTCAAGAATCCCTCTCATCCCTATACCTTTGAACACCTTCACAACGCGTACATCACCTCTCTGTCCCACGGCAACAGCATGCCTCTCACGTCCAAAAAGAGAAAGTCCGCAGCCGCCGACGACAGTGACCAGGATGTGGCCACCACCAAACGTGGCAAAGGCGCCTCCGGGAGTGCTTTTGTACCATCATCAAAACCGCAGGTGGATTCGGATGGAAACACGTTCTGGGAGATCTCTAAGGCGAGGCGGGTGACCCTTTCTGAGTTCAAGGGCAAGAAACTGGTCAACATCAGAGAGTATTATGAGAAGGACAATGAGTGGCTGCCAGGAAAGAAGGTATATATGCCGGGCATGTGTCACATGTGAAAGTACTGATCATGATCCCCAGGGCATCTCAATGAGCATTGAACAATATACAGCCCTCATTCAAATAATGCCGCAGATTGAAAGTGTGCTCAAGTCACAGGGCGAAAAGGTCCCCCGACCAAATTACGACGGAAGTGGTTCTGCTGGTGACGACGAAAGCAACGAAGAAGGGGCTGAGGGAGACGAAGAGATGGATAGGAAGCCTAATATTGAAGCTACGAGTGACGAAGACGAGTGATGTGATCATCTGACAGCACACGACTGCGAGGAGACATCTCCATGATAGGAGCATCGAGTGGTCGATGACGGGCTTCAACTACCAAGTGCAGCCCAGGAGACCACTGAACGATCAAGCACGTTGTCACTCCACGAAGTCAGGGGCTATGGTATGTATGGACAACCCCTTCAAGCGAGGCGTCTGGCTGACATGACAGGGGGATCGACTGAAGCTTTCCGGCCCGGCAATGGAAACCCTCATGAGCTGGACTCCCATTCCGCTAGACGGGAAGCCAGGCTTCCCTTCTTCCAATGCTTCTCATAGTCCTCTTTCAGCTGGACTTGGGCCTCTTCGCCCGCCTTGCCGTAACCACCACCGCCTGGTGTCATCTAGGGAGAAGAATCAGTCAGCGCCGTGGCCCCTATACCCTGTGCCGGATCGGTATGAAGATGACTTACCACGATGATCCTCTCGCCAGGCTGCATGCTAGCAGTGTTTTTGGCCCCGAGATTGATATACCTCTCCACGTACTCATCCTCGTCCCCAGATTCTCTTCGTTTTCCTTCGTGTTCACCACCTGAACCTCTGCTCTCTCCCTTCTTGATCTTCCTGACCCAGATATTCTTGCCGCATTGAGCATCACCTCCACCGTGCAGACCGTAGGGCCTGTACACTCTCCGCTCACTCAAGATACTAACCTGCACGGGGATGCGGAACTCGATGTCTCGGATCACGCCATCTCCCCCTTTATGCTGACCCACGCCGCCACTGCCAGCCCTGAGACTGAACTCTCTCAAAATCACAGGATATCTCCGCTCAAAAACCTCGGCGTCTGTAATCCTAGTGTTCGTCATGTGTGTGTGCACACCACTTGTTCCCTCCCAGTCCTTACCAGCACCGCTTCCACCCGCAATGGTCTCGTAATACCCGAACCCCTTCTGCTCCGTTCCACCCTTCAAGTTCCCACCAAATCCAAATGTCAAGTTGTTGCAGTCTCCTTGACTAGCCGCACAAGCTTCGAAGCACCTGAACACCACGTCCGTGACACGCTGACTGGTCAAGACGTTACCGCCCACAACGGCAGCCTTCTCGCTCGGGGAGAGAAAGCAGCCAGGCGGGATGCGTACCTCCACAGGCTTCAGGCACCCCTGATTCAAAGGAATGTCCTGGTCGATCAGACACCTCAAGCAGTAAATGATTGCCGAGTAAGTCACCGCTTCGGGCGCGTTGATGTTCCCATACACCTCTGGGCCCGTGCCCTCAAAGTCAAACAGGGCCTCGCCTTTGTCGGCATCGATCTTTATCTTCAGGCAAATAGGACTGCCGTCGTCCATATAATCCACTGCTTGGAGTTGCTGACCTTCGAACCTCTTGTGCACCTCCTTCAACAACTCCCGCACCGATTTCTCGGCGTTATCCTGGATGTTTTGCATGTAGAACTGGACCACCTCCTCGCCATAGTCCTCTATAAGCGCGCTGATAAGATTGATGCCTTTCTGGTTGGCGGCGATCTGCGCCTTGAGGTCGTTGATGTTGTCTGCCAGGCACCGTGTGCCGCTGCACTCGGGATACTGGGCCGGCTCATCATACAGGAGCTCGGTGATTCGTTTCTCGTCAAATTTGCCCTGTGAGACGAGTTTCTCAGACTTGATGGCTGCGCCTTCTTGGTACAGTTCGCGGGAATGCGGCGGCATGCTGCCTGGTAATATGCCGCCTATGTCGGCGTGGTGAGCGCGCGAGGCGACGTAGAAGATGATCTTGTCGCCGGAAAAGGCCGGCGTGACGACCGTGATGTCGGGAAGATGCGTGCCGCCGTATTCGGGGTGGTTGGAAACGATCACATCCCCCTTTTTCAGTTTGCCCTTCCAGATCTCCGCCTGTGTGCGAACGCAGGTCGACATGCTCCCCAGGTGGACCGGCAGGTGAGGAGCATTGGCGACTAGACCACCCTCGGCGTCGAAGAGGGCACAGGAGTAATCCAAGCGTTCTTTGACGTTGGTGCTCACAGACGTCTTTTGCAACGCGCGACCCATCTGTTCTGCAATGGCCATGAAGCGGTGCGCGAAGATTGAGAGTAAGATGGGGTCGACTTCCTTGGTGTTGACCTTTTTCGCCGTTCCTTCTTCGCCAATGTTGATCACCACGTGAGTCTCGATGACCAGGGCCGATGCCTTGGGGTCGACGATGATTGTCTGCGTCCCATCCGCAATGATCGCGGGACCGGCGACGCGTGTGCCGACTTCGAGATCTTCGAGTTTGTAGATCTTGGTGGGCACACGGCCGCCTTCAAAGTAGACCTCAGATGTCGTGTAGGCTTTGTCCTCGGGCACGTCTTTCGGGGTGATTTCCTTGAGTTGCTGGTCTGCCGTTTTGGACATGCCCCGGAAGGACTTCCCTATCCCTCGCACGCGCACGTCGTCCACGATGATGTCTCTGTCTGGTAAGGTGAAGCCGAATTCCTGCTCGTGCTGACGCACGAATGCGTCGCCAAAGGCCCAATCGTCGCCATCGTAGAGTTCCTTTGCTTCATCCGGGTTGGGCTTGATTACCATCAATGCGGATTCGGTGCCGCGGTATCGCATGTTGAGGTATTCTTCGTACTCGATCGAGTCGTCTCCGAAGCCTTGATCTTTCAGACGCTTGTGGGATCGTTCTTTGAGCTCGTCCATCTTTGCTTTCAACTCGTCGCGAGAAGAGCCCTTTTTCATATCCCAAACGTGAGATTCGGGAACTTGATTTTCGTCCACGACATCGGCGAGCGCCATTCCGTAGGCGGAGAGGACAGAAGAGTATCGATGGACCAGGATCTGCCTGATGCCCAAGGACTCGGCGATTGCTACGGCGTGTTGGCCCCCTGCGCCGCCGAATGTCGCGAGTCGATGTTGGGAAGTATCATGTCCCCTTGCCTCAGTGAGTGATCGGATAGGCCTCGTCATGGTTTCATTAGCAATCTTGATGAATCCGAACGCCACCTCATCGGCCGACATATTCTTGTTTGTCTTGCTGTTGATCTCGTCTGTGAGCTCTTTGAAGAGCTTCCTGCTCGCTTCTGGATCGAGTCCTTCGTCTTCATTTTTGCCGAAAATCTTGGGGAAGAAGTCTGGGAGCAGTCGACCGAGGAAGAGATTTGCGTCAGTCACAGTGAGCGGGCCGCCCTTCCTGTAGCATGCTGGTCCAGGATGTGCACCGGCAGACTCTGGCCCAACGGCAAATAGGCCATTTCTGAAGAACAGCCGGGATCCACCTCCTGCGGCCACGGTGTTTATGTCGAGCTGAGGGGACTGAATGGTGACTCCTGCCGTGGTGGTCTCGAACACATGCTCATATCGCCCTGCACCATATCGACTGACGTCTGTGCTTGTCCCTCCCATATCGAACCCAATCACGGGAGTCTTGGTCTCCGGGTCGTAGGATGTCAAGGCATAACCAACAACACCGCCTGCTGGTCCTGACAAGATGGCTCGCAAGCCGGAGAACTGATCCACGTCCACGAGACCTCCATCCGACTGCATGAACTCACACCTTGCGCCTCTATCCCCCTCTTCCTTCTTCACGCTCTCCGTGCCCAATCCACCTTCAAAGCCGGCTTGAAAGCCAGAAATGTATTTTCGGATGGCTGGTGTCAGGTAGGCATCTGCACAGGCTGATGTCGCGCGAGGGACCAATTTGATCATGGGCATGAGTTCATGGCTTAGGCTTACATGCTCAAAACCAGTGTCGCGGGCAAGCTTGCCGACCAACGCTTCATGATCGGGGAAAGTGTAGCCATGCATCAAGCATACCGCAATGCTTCGGAAGCCATCGTCAAAAAGTTTTTTGAGTTGCTTCTTGATCTTATCTTCCTCAGGCCTCCTTAGTATTCTGACTGCCTCCCCCGACAACCCTTGGACAAGGTCGCTGCTTTTGTAATCCTCGTGATTGGTTTCGGCTTTCGTCTTGTGCCGTTCAGGATCTTCGGCGTAGTCTTCCAGCGTCACTCTCTCATCAACCTCGACTACTTTCTGATACAGCACATCGGGTCTTCGAATTGCCAAGTCAAAGATCTTCGGACGAGACTGGTTGCCAATCTCCAAGCAGTCTTTAAACCCTTTCGTAACGACCATAGCCATTTTCTCCCCCTTTCGCTCCAGTAATGCATTGGTAGCAACAGTCGTGCCCATGCGAATGCTTTCTATCTTGCTCGTGTCAAGTGGTTCGCCTCGGGGAATCTCTCGACCCGTGAATTTCGACATGAGCCTTCGAATCCCTTCCAGTGGTGCATCGTCGTAGTTTGACGGGTCCTCGGATAGAAGTTTGATGATAATGTCATCTTCCATCCGCCCCGTTCCCGGATTCCCAACACAGTCCGTGAACGTGCCTCCCCGCTGGATCAGGTCAGAGACTTCGAGGAGGAATTGGTGGATTGGCTAACTCACGTCGATGGCAATGCGAATGCCTCTTTCTGCGCCCCCAGCGTCCCCCATTGTGAAGTTCTTGACCCAGAAGAAGATTTAGTCGAATAATTTCCTGTTCCAAGATGGTAGGACCAGTCCGAAGAGTCACGCGAGAGAATCAAGTGTTTTCATAGGAGAAGTCCGTATCAATGTATCGTCTGCACCCACCAATCCGAGAATCAGAAGGGTTCTAGGTCCAAATTTTGATCAAAGGAGACAACGCCCAAGAGGAGATGTATATCTCTACCTAGGTATAGTCGAATTATAGAGTTATATCATAATTCGTGCATGGTACTTGGGTACCCAGGTATATATGGTACCGTGTCTGAAAAAGCCTAAGGTATGGGCATGATTTGCGGGTTTCGTCATAGCATTTTGTCATTGCTGCGCATGTTCAGTCAAGGTTCCACCGTAGTGCCTACGGCGAGCTTTATGGAGAGCGAGCTGCAGAAATCGAAAGGATCTGTTGTCAAACAGGCTATGCAATGGAGAAAAGCATCTGTAAAACAGCACAGCCAAGTCAAGATGTTTCATCCATCAACCAGTTTCGCTGAATTTACACACCTGCCGCCCTCGATGTATCCCAAATAACCCTTCTTTGATCAAAGAACCAGCCAACGCCTGTCCCACATTCCCCTTCACACGCCGCATTGATGTTCGTCGAAAAAGAAAGTCGCTCATTTCCGTCTCTAAGCAGATGTCCTTGCGAAATGTTGGACACTGTTCCCAATCATATGCCCATCATCTCGAGGTTCTGCCGATGAAGGTTAGGAATCAGAGCTTGAGTCTCTGTCCTTGCTACTCCCGGAGGCTCTCTGGAACCCCCGTTCGCCACCCTTTGTGACACAGTGCTTGACGACCCATGGATGCCGGAGGACATCATCAAGCGGGATACGCTTCTCGGGATCAAGGACCAGAAGCTACAATGCCTGGTTAGCAACTCTCCAGGGATGCTCGGGGATGCGTGGGGTTGACTCACTCGCATAATGAGGTCCTTGGCTTCGGGACTGACAAAGCTGGGAACCGTCATGTCACATCGTGCAATCCTCCGCTGTGTCATGACCGTCGTGTCCTCAAAGGGCGCTTCTCCAACCAGGAATTCGTAAGTCAAAACACCCAAGCTCCATAGATCGACTTTTTCATTGTAGAAATTGTCTGAACTCCCTGGTTTAAGCATCTCTGGAGGCAGGTAATCTAACGTGCCGCACATTGTTTGTCTTCGGTTGTTAGGAGCATGCACTGACCAGCCGAAGTCAGAAATCTTGATCTCTCCGTGGATGCCGACCAGGATGTTTTCGGGCTTGATGTCTCTGTGCATGACATGCTTTTTGTGCAGATATTTGAGAGCGGCGGCCATCTGAGCAATGTATTGCGCTGCTTTCCATTCGGGGAAACGACCTTCTTTGCGGAGATGCTTATAAAGCTCACCCTTGCCAGCGAATTCGAGGATCAGGAATACTCGTTTGCTGTCGTGGAAATGGCCAAAGAGTCTCAGGATATTAGGATGTCTTAGGTTGGATTGAATTTCGATTTCTCGTCGGACTTGCTTCTCCACTTTGCCTTGTTGCAACTCGGATTTGTGAAGGACTTTTAGGGCGCAAACGAATCCGGAGGACCGTTCTCGTGCAAGATATACCCGACCGAATTTTCCCTTGCCAAGCGGCTTTCCAATCTCAAACATACCAAGATGGAACTGTTTGGGTGCTTGTGGGTGATCGAAGAAATATTTCGGGGTGGATCGACTGCGGATAGAGTCATCGCTCTCATCAGACTCACGGGCAGCTTGAAGAGCCACACGCACTGGCGAAGGTGGATGGGTTGGGACAGTTGTTGTGGTTGTTATGGTTGCGATTGAGGCGGTGTTCTGTTTCGATTCTGTAGTGACTTGGAGAGGATATTTGACAAGATTTGTCCGGGGTTGAGTCGAGGAAACGGTTGGTAATACCCCTGGACCAGCGCTCTATCGTGGTAGAGTCAGGACAAGGTCTGCACAAACAGAGAGGGACATCAACAAAGCAAGCTACCTTTGATTTGAGAAGAGTAGTCGTCGGTGCCTCATTTTCGTCGTTGACGCTGAGATGCTCGAAGCGAGCTTCCAGCGTTTTCGTGGCCATTTCGAAGGAATATCTGTCGCGAGAGATGAAGGCGGAGACAAAGCAAGGACAATATCTCAATCTGCAGGACGAGCACAGCCGGGGCGCAGTTTGGGCATTGAAATAGCAGTCGGTGGTTTTCGGCGACTCGGTCATCTATCGCAGTTTGGGCATGTCTTGGCATATCTAGGTAAACACTGATCGTCGGCCAGGGCAACCACACCCTGAGTCCGTGCCACCCCAAGCGCAGTTCCTCTGCGTCAGCCTGCTTCGCTTCCCCCCACGCTGCGCCAGAAAAGCCACCGAAGACGCTTCTGCGGTTTTGCTTCCATCGTATTTCGCTCGACGCCGAGCTCCAGATCACTTTTCCCATTCGGACATCCACCTCTTTGAAGGCCCTAGGGGTCTTTGGCAGGGCTCCAGGTGACGTCGCAACTGACGCAGTCACCATGGCAGTCAACGGTCATCGGCCACCTGATGGGTTCAACACAACATTCCCCTCGCCCTCTGCTGCTCCACCACGGTCGTTCTCAATCGAAGGGTTCCGCATCACTACCCAGAAACTGCCCATCTTGAAGGCCGGGCCTATCGAAGAGATGACAAATAAGCTGGGAATTGCTCCACCTGAGATGATCTTTGGCGATAACTTCGTTGCAATTGAACACGCACCTTCGCACTGGGGAATCAAATTTGATGCCTTTGGGGCGCTAGACCGAGTTGACAAGACCGGAGAGAGGCGGCTGAAGGTCGCCTACTCTCGAGAATGGCAACAGAGCAGAGAAGACACGCATGACATCAAAGAAGTCGTCAAACCATTCGACTGGTCCTATACCACTGACTATAAAGGTGATCTTGCGCCCGGAAGCCCAGCGTTTCATGCCGCAACTGAAGCCATCCCGATCGAGCTTTTGAAACGACCAGATCCCATTCTCTTCTTCGATGATGTGATCTTGTACGAGGACGAGCTTGCTGATAACGGCATTGCCATGCTTTCGTGCAAGATCCGCGTCATGCCTGCGCGCTTACTCCTCCTCTGCCGATTCTTTATGAGGCTGGATAATGTGTTGGTCAGACTACGCGATACCAGGCTATACATCGACTTCCAGAAGAAGGAGGCAATTAGAGAATACATCGCAAAGGAGGAAGCGTATGACAAGGTTCGCGGTGAATTGGCGAGCAGGAGGGATGATGTGACGGCAGTTCTACGAGATGCAAATCAAATGGCCGATGTTTTACCCGTCGTTGAAAAGACACTTGAACGAGTCCAACTGGGAACGTGAAGCAGCCGCTGACATGGGCATCCATAAATGAATGGAACGATGACGCCGTCCGCGTGCGGCCAAATAGGCTGGTTTGGGCTGCTCAGGAAGCAATGATGCTTTGGTCTATTTGAGATAACCACTGGGGTCAGTTGGGACGTCGCACGCGGGACAATACTAGAGAGACGAGAGACGAGATGTCAGGAAGCCAGGCTGCGGTCATTACTGTTCCACTGGGCGACTCATCAACATCGTGGTCGCGGCCAGGGTTCTGTCAGCCCGAACAAAAGGGGTGCTGCATTGCAAAAGTGAACCGCATCTGTGATACTATCGATCAAGTCGGGCAAATGCTTCTTACTGATGACAGACTCTAGCAAGGCCATAGGCCCCAGAGTGCGGGTACTTGCGGGTACTTGCGGGTACTTGCGAGTACTCGCATGAGGAAGGACAGAGTGCGCCAGGATGTGACGGACCAGTCGGATGTGCCTGGCATAAAGGACATGCATTTCCAGTCTTCATGTAAGGCTGCATGTCGCGCCGAACCTCGACGTACAGAGTACTCCGTACGATACGGAGTACGAGTACTCAGGCCATCACCTGGCGTTGTGCCGGGATTCAAATCCGAGTGCCTTTTCTCAAAGTGGTCGTCTGCCTCGTGCTGTACTCGTTTTTAGTTTCCTTTCTTCTTCCCCTGCTCTCGAAAGGGTCTTCATTTCTGTCAAGGAGCACCAGTAAAACGAAAGGCTATGAAGCAGGGAGACGATCTCGCTGGACAAAGGGTTCGAGATTGTCACTACCCAGATTCAGGCCAATTATTGATATTGATGCCCTCAGAACGCGCTGGAACGCGTGTTGAAAGACCATCAACCCCAGGAAGCTAAGTCGGAGTCTGCACGAACCATCCAAGCGACGTGGATGAAGCCAATTTCCGCTGCCCCAAAACGGGAATACGTCAACTTCACGGCCAGCCAATGACATCGCTCTACGCTCAGCCTTCCGCCGACCCCTATCCATTCCTCGCCTATTCTCTCAAGCCAGCGGTTCTTTAGCATGAAGCCACAAGTTCCGCAAGAGGAAGATGACGCCGGCTCGCTCTCAGGCGCCTGACCTTCTCGGCAACTCTCACAAAAACCCCGATGGTAGACGAGCTCGACAAGGTTGGGCCCTGAAATTTGGGCAACACCACGGGTCACCTCTTTTTCAGAATCAAGTCTCGCCCTGTTCCGCCGGCCGTCGCGACTCTCTTTTGAAACCTGCGCAAACGCTTGACTGACCTTTGCAGTGCCATAGGCACAATAATGGGTCACCGGAGAGCGCTTCATGCTCTGGCTTTGAATGTTTTTCTTCGCGTCTGCATGGCATCACCTTCAGTGCCCGTTGCAACAGATCCTATTCTCTCAACTGTAACAGTGTCGACTGTTATACCATCATTAGTAACAGTCTATTCGATCGTTCCCGCTACAGACGCGACACCGGACTCTCTGACCACAATCACCACCATAGCCGATGGCCAGACAACCACAATAATATCAACTGGAGTTATAGCCGGTTCGATCACGAGTACGATTATCTCGACAGTCTCTTTGACCACAACTCAAGTAACCGTCAGTACCATTGGCTACTCGACAATTCTCGGGCCAGATCCGACGACAGCGGTAAGCCTTGTGCCATTCCCTCCCATTCTGTTGGCTGCGTTGCGCTTTCCACGGCGGCGTTGTATGTCACGAGGCAATCGGTCTCGTTATTGATATCTAGATGTCCACTTTCTCGTATCAAAGGCTGACTAGGGCTAAATCAGACAACTGAGTCCAGTGTACCCACGACCACACCAGCATCCACATCTGATACACCGACATTGACGAGTACATCAGCATTAGACACTTCGTCGACCAGTTCTGCTGTTGGAGAAACCAATGTTTTAGTGACCTCGAGTGGTACGTCTACAACGTCCGCCTCAACAGCAAGCTTGCCCAGTTCAACCTCTTCAACCACTTCAATCAGTCCATCGGCAACGGGAACCAATGCTTCGACGCAAGCCTCACACTCTTCATCTACGTCCAAGGGACTATCCACAGGTGCGAAAGCCGGAATTGGTGTCGGTGTTGCCCTGGGAGTCATCCTGTTAGTTCTTCTATCGTTTTTGCTTGGCCAGCGCTATTCACGCCGTCGCAACGAGCATGCGAGGGACAACACCGATCTAAAGGCGGCCAACGAAAAGGACATATTCCAAGCCGGTCGTCCATACGAGGCTACAGGGCCAAGGTACGATGCTCTCGGCCCATCTGCCGCCAAGGGACATGCGTATTCCACGACAACAGCAATCGGCAGTGGTTCGGAATCCACGAGCGGTAGATCCTATGATGTACCGATCTCAGACTCGGCCCAAAACCATGCCAACAACCCGGAACTATCAGCTTTGCCTCCAATCGCAAAGGGAGATGAACCTATGTATGTGGGCGTCCCTGCGCACATGTCAGGCTCCAAACGTTGGAGTATGAAAGAATTTATGAAATGATGCGTTAGCTGTTTGCTCATCAATCTCTTTATTGATGAGCAGCTCTCTGATGTCTTAGGCGCCGACGAGATCTCGCTTTGGGGACAAGCTGGCCAATCAACGAAGAAACTCAAACTAGGAATTGTTACAACAGGCCACTAAGATGTTTCCGTATCTCAGATACCAAAGCCGTGTCCTTTCAGACGCCCACGCGGCAACTGCGCCACTATTCCATATCCCAAGCGTCCAATGGAGGGCGTTGCGGTCTGGAAAATGTTGCCATAGATGGCAACCCAGGCACAGTTCAAACTTCAGCACGAATTCTGGATTGATCAATGAGGCAGCAGAGTCAGTCATCGATGTGTGACAGACCATATCACGTCATTTCAATTCTGCAACCGGCAGCGCCATTTCAGCTACTACCGAGGCTGGCGAGCGCTTCACCGAAAACCTAAACGAATCCCAAAGATATTGTCAGCCACTGGTGTCGATATCCGAATCCCCGGAGTGCTCCGACGAACGTCGCAGCCTGGCTGCAGGATATCTGGCAGCTCTAGACACTGTTCACGCAGTCCTTTGAATGTCCCATGCTTTGTCGAAATTTCTTTTTGCTTGATATTGGGTATCTTGAATCTCTACGATATACACGGAAACGGACAACAGCACTCGGTACATTAGGGCGAAACCCTCGCGGGGGAAATCAGGCAAGGTCGCAGGTTGAAGGTTGACCTAGAGGGAACCCTACCGCGGCGGCTGCGAGGGATTCCATCATGATTAGTATTTAATTCATAATTCACATCTTCCTCTCTACTTCAGCCTGGTCAGGGTGTCACCATATGTGGTCTGCGCTCTCAGCCTCGGGTTGGTGTTGTGCCAGAAAGGGATTAGCTTGCCAAGGACATATCACGTGCCTCAAGTTGGCGACAAAATCGGACCATCGACTTCCGCGCCGTCCAACTTTTCCCTGTTCACTATCCTTCAATGACACACGTATTCGGAAACCAAGCGCTCCTTGATCGTCGCTGTCCCCTTGGAACCGCATCTGACAGATTTGTAAAGTTTATCGGCTTATCCGCGGCGGACGGTTGAAGATGCCGGCGCTGTTAGAGGACCCAGAATCCCCTGTAATCTATCGGGCCTCTGGACAGGATCCGTACCCGACGTCAGACAATCCGCAAATACCTTCGTCAATATTCCCCAGGCCCGTCACGCTTCGAGATCGTGTTACTGTTGCAACGTTGATACCATTCTTCTCACCCAAGGCCGTTCCAAAGAGGCTATTGGCATATCTCTCAGAGCAGCTCAATAAGGAAATTCAGGGTGGGGACACGTATCCCATGATCGATCCGCTACCTCTGGACACCTTTGGGTCCTACTGGTTTGGTAATTTCGGTGCTGTCATGGTCATCGGCGACATTGGGGGCATTGAGGCCGTAACCGACATGGATCGGGAGGGCGTTGACTGGAACAAAAAGTGCCTGGGCAGTTTTTATATCAAGCCCAACTATCCTGGTCGAAGCAGCCATGTCTGCAATGGTGGGTTTCTCGTCACTCCTGCGGCTCGTAATAAGGGCGTCGGAAAGTCGATGGGACAATGCTATCTGGATTGGGCACCTCAGCTGGTAGGTTCGGTGGTACAAGCCCGGTTTTGGGGGCATGTGAAGCTAATATTTTCCAAGGGGTACACCTATTCGGTTTTCAACTTGGTGTACGAATCAAACACTGCTTCAACCAAGATATGGGACTCGCTTGGCTTTAAGAGGATTGGAAGAGTCCCCGGTTGCGGCAATCTCAAATCCTCGGAGGAACCTGTTGATGCGATCATCTATGGCAAGGATCTGAAGGGAGAAGGCGAGAATGACCTCTCTGAAGAACGCTTCGACAAGATAAGGTACTACTTGAGACATCAGCTCTATCCGCAAGGTGCCGATAGATCGGAGAAGAGTCGACTAAGGAGTGCTGCTACTCACTATAAACTGGTCGCGGATGGAGACGGAGGTCCGGAGAGGTTGTTCTTGAAGGACAAAGAGGTCATCTCTGATCCTCAAGCACAGTACGACATCGCCAAAAGCATCCATCTCCAGGCTCATGCAGGAATCAACAAGACTACCGCCATCATAGCTACCCAGTATCATTGGATTCGGATCAAAGAAACTGTGAGCCATGTCATCAAGAATTGTCCAGAATGCAAAGATGTCAATAAACCCCCCATAATACGCGCGGAGAATCGACCTGGCCGGAGCAAGACGATTGATGAGGCTCCCTCAGGTCTATCGCCACCACAGACAGGAGCAGTAACAACAGCACCAGTAACAACGGCGCCTCCGTCACAAATACCGCTGCCACAGTCGGTACAACCGGAAGACGAGGTGCAAAACGTGCCACCGCAGGATCCGGAGATTGCGACGAATCACATATCCAATCACATATCTGATCACGACTTCGCATCGATACAGCAGCCAATGGATCTGTCTAATGACCACGATCATCTTGTTAACGATCCGGATGGTCATCTCCATGCATACGACGAGATGGCCATCGACCCGCAGATCATGGAACAAATACAAGCTCAACTTGATGCCGACTACGATCCCAACAACCATACATATGTGCCTCCAGGAATACCCGCTTTCACGGATCCTTCCCATTTGCAGTCTCCCCACGATCCGCGCGAGTTCAATCACCCAACCTCTGATCATCATTTCATTCGGGATCCCAATCAACCAATCTTAGGACACGACCATGTCATGGGCGAGGGCGGTACAGGCACAGGGTTGGATAGTATGCAACCTATGCAACACGTATTGCAGATGGACTATGTCGACCCGCAAAATGAGGCACAATTCAAGCTTGAGGACCAATTCAAACTCAAGCGGTAAAGTGGGGAACTGGCGTTTTGGTTTGATCAGATTGGGGTCTGTCTTGATGAGAAACGCATGTGGTCAACATAGATGAGTCCGGTCTGGATGTCGGCACACGTTTATGGAACGAGTTAGATGACAACAACAACATTTAGGTGGAGTACAGCTGGAAGGATGGGAAGCACGATTTCAGCAATGAGTTGAGGCGAAGACATTTGGGCCATAGATCAGGGCGACGATAGACAAAAGGACGCAATTGTAGATGACAGCTCGTCCCAAGCGGATTTGTGCCGTTTGATGAATGCAAGTATCAATAAAGCAAGCAAGCAACCGCGATCTGCTCTATTCCTGGAACCCGAGAATTGCTAACAGCTGGTGATTAATGCGTAATATATGTGCAGTCTGACAAGCAGTTGCAGGCATGTATGCTTTCAACAGTTTCGTCAGACAAAAGCGATTTTATAGCTTCGAAGAATCTCTTTGTCATCCGCCACTTCAACAGGATGCATCGACCCAACTGATCCTCAAAACAAGAACCTGTCATGGATGCTGGCAGGCTCACAAGGCCCGCAAGGCCGCCTCCTCGACTAAGAACGAAGACTGGCTGCTATACGTGTAGGGTACGTACTCCCAGCACCACCTGCCCTGGCAGTTCACCAAACCGGCTGCCACTTGTGAACCCATCCTCTTCCTCCTCTCATGTCAGAACCGATTGTGTCTTGGCTACTTCACACTAATTCTCTTCAATTGGAGCGGCAGACGAGACGAAAAAAATGCGATGAAATACGCCCAATTTGTGGTGCTTGTGCGAGACTCGATTTCCAGTGTACATATGGGGCCCCCACAAGTCCCACGAAGGCTTCGCGGACTCCTGCAAAATCATCCCTGAACAGTCGGAACGATGCTGCGCCAGAAACCGTGGTAGATGCGCCAGTTTCGGCCCCGACGCTTAACAGGTCCTTGAACCACATGCCCAAGGGGCTGAGGACTGAGCGTGACTGGAACGTGTTCAATTACTGTTCAACACAGTACATGAGGCTGTTGACTTCGCCTGAAGCTACCTCGAAATTCCGAGATGTTTCTTTTGTATTCGCACTCGGCTTCGATGAGCCCTGGGTGATGCATTCTGCACTGGCTCCGGCAGCACTTCACGCCTCTTTTGCTTCTTTGCTTCCCAAGGAGGATGCGATGCTGTACACTCAAAGCGCTCTTCAAGGACTCCAGCAAGCACTTCAGCCAAGATCGGGCCGCATCCCTCCCGAAGATGCATTCCTTGCAGCTTCATTATTCCTCGGCGTTTTTGAGGGACGTGATTGTCTACAGCTCTTGTGGTTGTCTGAGACTGACATTAAACCAGGACTTCTATTCTTCGTCGTGCAGTGCGAGCCTGACACATTATCGCGCCATAGCCAAGATACTGGAAGATCGTGTTGCGAAGATCCCCCGTCTTGACATTGGCCAGCTCTCGATCTTACATTCAACTCTTCTCGACTCCGTCCTGTATCATTTCTCTACGAGGTTGATATTTGAGAAGGACATTGACGCTACCTGCAGATCATTCCCGTGTCAGACTATGATTAAGTATATCGAAGCATTGGAGGTAGCCAAAAGAGACAACCGCGCTGAACCATTGATCCTACCTGTTCTTGGTCGGACACCGCCAGCATTGTTCGTTCAAATCTATCAGATTACGTGGCTGAGCAGGCAGATTCCTTTCCGCGATCGTGACCTCTATGGACTCGCTTCTCAGAGTCTGATCGAGCTGGAGGCCCTTGCGGAAAAGTATCCGGCGGTGGTTTCTGACGATATGCCATGTCTGAAACCCAGCGTCACAGTCAGCTTCACCAACTCCGAGATTGCAGCAAAGCTCTATTATATAGCGGCGCAAATTTTCGTCGCCAAAGTCCTCAATCCGGAGGGACTAAGCAGCCAATCCCCCCAGATCCAGGCTCAGATTTCCAAGGGTGCGGCATTGTTGGAGATGTACGATGCGACCTCGCCTTGTGGACAGTTCATCTGCTGGCCCCTGCTCATCCTCGGCTGCGCCGCATGTCCGACGACCACATCTGAAGCGCAACAAACTCGCTCAAGCAACATTTACGCCTTCCATCGATCAGAACTGCGATGCCTCATTCAAGCGAAACTTGTGCAAATCTGGCATGTCTCATACTCAGGCTATGTGAAGCGCACCGCAGGCGCCTTGGAGAAGGTATGGCAACTTCCAAGCGTACTTGTGAACGTCTCGGGCCGTACGTGCGCTGCGAGCGAAGAAGTCACATTCGATGGACTTAGCGCGCTGATCCACAAAGAAGGTTTGGGAGCGGGCTTCTTAGTTGCAGAGAATGGCTAGCTTGACGGTCTCCAGTCATATTGCAGATACTACACGACCTTTTCTCCCACAATAACCTTCACCTCAAACATTTTTCAACAATACGGGCTGCTTGGATACATTCCTCGTCGCGCATGCGGCTTGTGAATACCTGGATAGAGCATGGGGCTCCATGCTGTGTCCCTGGATCATCTGGACGGCTGCGTCAGCGAAGAAGTGTGGTCGGCATATTTTTCACCTACAGTGGGGCCCAGCCTGTCCAGGCTGTATCCGGAGAGGCTCAGAGTCCTGTTGCTGTGACGCTTTCGAGAACGGCAGTATGCAAGCCGGGTACTGGACATGTCAGCAACTCCTTCGTGGCTGGACCACTGAAGAAGACTTACATCAAGCAGGTTGAGGAGACAGGTATATGGTGGCCAACCATATGTGTCGTGAGGAACAGCTGTGTTCTGGGCAGGGGGGCTAATAACGGCATCCAGTTTCATTTCTGACCATATCTTCCGCCAGTCCTCGGACAGCTCCTGGCGCTTGACGGTCAAAGCTGCATACTTCTGCAGCCTATCCAACTTAGCAATATCCCCAACATACGTGTAGCTTCCAAAATTGGCAGGCCGATGGCCCGCTGCCACAGAAGGCACCGGGGGCTCTCCGCTCGCAAGGATATGTCCTCTTGGAGTCTCCGTCTCGAGACAGAATAGCTCGAAAGCCACTTCAGTTGCATCAGCCACGTGGCCTTGCTCCGGGCTTAGCTGAATCACTTGATGACCTCGGTCTGCAAGTCTCCTGGCAGCTTCTGCTAGCGCTCGCTTCACTGGTGGATGCAGTGGATAAAGGGGGTCTTCAGCCAGAACTCCGATCCTGAGCTTGTCTTTCCCGTCTTGCTCCAAGCTGCGCCAGGGTACGTCAATGGCAGTCGAGTCAAACACAGCGGGCACTGCGTCTATGATTCCTTTGGTCAAAACTTCCAAGGCTTCAAAATCATTCGCAAGTGGTCCTGCGCAGGCGACGATGGGCTTCCACCCTGGCAACCCCGGTGTCGCTTGTCCCCCATACGGAATCCGTGAAGATGTTGGTTTGAAGCCATATGTACCGCAGCACAATGACGGAATACGAATTGAACCAGCAACATCAGTTCCGATACCTAGCGGGGATCCTCGAAAAGCAACCAATGCTCCCTCTCCTCCACTGGAACCTCCCGCGCCTAGAGATGTGTTGTGAGGGTTCAAGACTCGGCCAAAGATATTGTTGTCGGAGTCGGCGGTCATCAGCGTCTGGGGAATATTCGTTTTGACATAGAGCACGGCGCCCAGGTTGAGCAGCATGTCGACAATCGGCGAATTCTCCTTGGATTTCTTCCCGAGAAAGGAGACAAAGCCGATTGAAGCCTCGGTGCCGACTACCTGAAAGGAGTCCTTGATGCTGATCGGAAGGCCGTGCAAGGGCCCGAGGACCTTTCCCTCGCTCCTGCATTGATCGACATACTTTGCCCGTTGGAGTGCGACGTCGAAGAATACCTCCGTCAGACACGAGGTCAGTTGTTGCGCTATGGCAGCCCTTTTTGAGAATGCAGTTGTAACTTCGACAGAAGAGAACTCTCCCGAAGCAAGCTTGGCCAGCAACTCCGCCACTGTGTAGTCCTCGGTGATTGATATCTCACGTTCGGATAGAATGCCAGATTTTTTGACTATATCCATGTCGATGAGTCTATTTGGATTCTTTTCCAGAGGAAAGGCCAGCATTTTGAAGTTATCAGGAGAAAGCTGCCACTCTTCCGGAATGGCTTCACGACACTGTTGTCGCTTTTGAGCGACCTTCGTCTGCCAATCGGATAGATGCGAGTCTTGTTCAATCATGGCGCTGATTGAGCCCATATTGTCGGTTTGATATTGGTCCTGAAGGCCTATTCCACGTCAGTGTATAGCTGTCAACTTCAGGGTATGGCTTCAGGATCTATACCTCTGGGTTCGTGGGAAGCCTTGCTGAACTATCGGACGGTGATAACTGCGCAATTTCTAACAATAAGTGTCATTCACTCTCGACTCCCAAATAATCGGTACTGAGGCCCGGTTATTTTGCGATTATGTTATCTGGAACACATTCCGTCCACGCTCTTGTCCGCCTTTGACTCTAGCAGATGTAGAAATCCGGGGACCAATAAAGCGTCTTTGCGCCCTCCAATCATCAAATTTTGCGCCACACTTGGTGTCGACACCCCAGACTTTCTCTTCCGGCCGCATATGGCAGTGGTCTCCAGAAACCAGGGCATATCTCGACTCGGATTGCTATTTGTCAGCCGGCCTTCAGTAGCCCTGAATGAATATCCAGGCGGATACGGTAGATGCTTGAGACGATCTCTGTAACGGATGCTACAGCGAGCGGGAGATTGTCTATTCGAAAAGCTACTTCGTGCCCGAGGGAGATTCGCCGCTAGATCGGCTACAAGAGCTCCAAACGAGCCACCCTGTGTGCTTCATCAACTTATCTTATCAGCTCGTCTAGTGTACATCGTCCCGGATTCTGCGGACATCTCATATGGCGGAACCAACTGAACCTTCTCTTTTGCACAGGCTGGCCACGAGGCTAAACCGAGACCCCGGGACGCCAGTCGAAAAGCCGACCGAGTCCTTCTGGCAAAATCCTCGTCATTCTTTTGCTGATCAGCAGTCGGAGACTCTACCCAAGGAAGCCGATGTTGTTATTATCGGCTCTGGCATTGCTGGCATAAGCGTGGCACAGCACCTGCTCCGTCTGCGGCCATCACAGAAAATTACTATCCTCGAGGCCAGGTCAGCGATATCGGGAGCAACGGGCCGAAATGGTGGGCATATCAAAGCCGTTCCGTGGGCCGACTATCATGCTCTCAAAGAAACACTCGGCAAGGAAAGCGCAATCAAGATTACGAAATTCCGCCTTGCCCACTTGGATGCTTTCGTCAATGAAGCTACTGCACTAGGGGAAGCTGGCAAAGTCGGGTTGGTACGACGCGTGGAGGGAGTAAGCGCTGTTTTCGACAAAGAGAGTTGGGAGTCAGCGAAGATCAAGTTGGAGTCGTGGCTTGACGACTTCCCGGAACATCGTGGGAAATGGAGTGTGCATGAGGGAGAAGAAGAGCTGAAGGTACCATGAATTCTCCGAGAAGATTTCTTTTGCTCACCTAGTCCAAGACATTCGGCATTGTCAATGCCTATGGATGCATCAAGGGTCCTTCAGGAGCAGCATGGCCATATCGGTTCCTTGGTGCTGTACTATCAAATCTGCTTGCAAGTGGCCAGGTCAGTCTCGAAACGCACACCATTGCAGACGAAGTACGCCGAAGTCAATCCCCAAGTCGTCCATACGAAGTGCAGACATCGCGGGGCACGATATCAACAAACCACGTCATCCACTGCACAAACGCGTACGCCGCACATCTGCTTCCCTTCCTGAAGGGCAAACTCTGGCCCCTGAGAGGGCAGATGACGGTCCAATCGGTGCCTAGCGAGTTTCCACGAATCGGTGCTTCAAGATCGTGGAGCACAATGTGGGCTAGAGGTTTTGACTACATCACGCAATCTCCTGGTGAAGATGGTTCCCTGTATCTCGGTGGAGGGTTCTTTCAAGGAGGCCCCGAAAAAGACGAGGACTTGGGGAACCCTGACGACAGCCAGCTGAGTGCGCAATGCCTGGAGCATCTGGAGACAGTCCCATCGAGAGCATTCGCCCACGGAGCAGGTGCAAAGATCGAGAAGAAATGGACAGGGATTATGGGATTCACGGGAGATGGGTTGCCCCTAGTTGATCGAGTTCGAGAATTCATGTCTGGCCGCGCTGAGTGTGATCCTGCTATCGGGGCTGAGTGGCTGGCTGCGGGCTGGGATGGTTATGGCATGGTGCATTGCTGGCTCGCTGGAAAGGCTCTCGCACATATTGTAATGGGACACGAAGACGAAGTTACTGAATGGTTTCCGAGGGAGGAGTTTGGATGCAGCAAGGAGAGGCTCGACCAGATGAGTCCGGAAGGGGCTCTCAAACGATTCCTTGGGTTACTGGAGACATAGAGGGCGCCAATACACCTTCAAGAACGATGCCTAGTCGATACTTACGATGTCCAGGCAGTCGACGGTCATATCTCCAGTTCCCGCTCCACCATCAACATATCAACAAAGCCATATCTAGACAACCGAAAAAGGCAGTCCCAACCAGCTCAAAATTTGACCGGGCGTCTTGGCCTCGTTGCATGCAGCCCGCACTAAAAGACGGCGCAAAGAGATATGATTCGATATATTGTGTCGGCTTTCAGCGTCAACTCTAACGGAGATCAGCTGCACTACTGGATGATCTGCCCTTCTCCGCATATTGAGAGAGGCAACCTGGACCTGCCTGGAGCTTAGTCGGCAATGTTTCGAAGCAGTGGCAATGCTCCAAGATGCAGGTCAACTGATAAGGGTCTTTTCCATCATGGATGGCTATCCGAGAGGTCTACGAGGTCTACTAAAGGGTAGACCCTCGCCTTCCCACAAGGTCGTCGGCATTGTCGCGCTTCCATTGAAACGTCTCATCGACCATCCCGGGCTACCTCTAATACCGACAGAATGACTTACGAAAGACTACCGCCGGGAACGCAGAGGATCGAGGACAGGACAGGACAGAAGATCCTGCTGGCACCTCAGCCAAATGCGGATCCCAATCAGCCGCTGGTAAGTGTATGTGTGCGTGTGGTGGTAGAATACTTTCTCACAGCTGCAACAGAACTGGTCCGCATTTCGCAAGTCTTTGCATATGACCATTTTATGCTTCTATGCATTGATGGTGTTTGCGATGTAAGTTTCGCTAGACCTAGCAATACCACGTTTTGTTGAAACTGATCCCTCTACTCTCCAGCCTTTGCGTCGCAGTTCCCCTCTGGCAAGACTTCAACACCGAGCTTGGGATGAGCTATGCTGTTCTGAATGACGGCTACGCCACAAACATGGCGACTCTGTCCGTCGGATGCATCATCTTTGTGCCCATCGCTCTTCGAATCGGACGACGGCCAATCTATATTGCCACGGCATTGGTCATGCTTGCTGCCGCTGTGTGGCAGGCAAAGATGGTTACTGTTGGAGATATGATTGGATCAAATGCCATTTCTGGTCTTGCAGGAGCTGTGAATGAAGCAATCTTCCAGGTCACTGTATGTCCCCTGCGGATCTCTGACGCATCCGAAAATGGGGAATTCCTTGCTGGCCACCCTCACTAACACTGCTGCAACAGGTCTCGGACCTCTTCTTCGTGCATCAGCGTGGCACCATGAATGGGATCTACCTCGCCATTGTCACGGTTGGAAATTATCTTGGCCCTGTCGCCGCTGGGTATGTCGCCGTTTCACAGGATTGGCGATGGGTGTTCTGGTATTGCACCATCTTCATGGCCGTGGTGACTTTGGTTATGATTTTCTTCCTCGAAGAGACCAAATACACTCCGCTGGCGTTGACCGGTCGGGAAGTTGTCATCTCGACCTCGATCGAACAGCAGGACGACCTCACCAAGGTGCACAGCACCAGCAAAGGCAACGCTCTCGGCTCTATTTCTATTGACTCCACCGACGTGGCCAACAACGAACGTCGCCGTCTCGTTGACATTGACACCTCCATCCCCATTAACTCGTACTGGAAACGTCATTCCCTGTGGTCGCTCAACAAGCAAGTCACCACCGAACAACGCAGCCTGTGGATGCACTTCTACCAACCCTTCCACATCTTGGTCACGTTTCCCGCGGTCATGTTCACGGCGCTGCAGTATGGCTTCTGTATTGCCATGTTGGCGATCCTGGCAGTGACGCAGGCCACGCTGTATCCGTTCCCACCGTACAACTTCAGTCCGATTGGAGTCGGCAACATGAACTTGCCACCAGCCATCGGTGCCATCCTGGGCTCTCTTTTCGGCGGCCCTCTCAATGACTACTTCATTCTGCAAATTGCCAAACGGCGAGGCGGTATCTACGAACCCGAAACCCGACTTTGGCTTTTCTTGGTACCGGGCTTTTGCATGCCAATCGGATTGTTTATGTATGGATTGACCATCTCCAAGGTAGGAGTAAATCCAGAGTATTCGAAAATGATGTGTGTGGAACTGACATGGTCTCCTGAAGGGAATGGCGTGGCCTGTCAACGCTGTCGGGGCTGGATTCATCGGCGCTGCAATCGGAGGCTGCGGTGACATCTCCCTGACATATTGTCAGGATTGCTATCAATATGTAAGTCGAGGAAGCGCCTGGCACTTTTCGCTGGGGGAGACAAAAAGTCCTCAGCAACTTACTGAATTCTCTCTGCAGATCCTCGGCGACGCCCTGACATCCGTGGTCTTTGTGCGCAACATCATTTCCACCGCTCTCGTCTTCGCGATCACGCCGTGGATGACCAACATGTAAGTGCCCTTGGAATCAGTGGACACCCTTTTTGAAAAGAGGCTCGCAAACATATATTGAATGCTAACGACAACCATTTAGGGGCGTCTACAACATGTTTGTATTGCTAGGCTGTCTTGCCATTGCCGTGGCTATGACCTGTGTGCCGTTGATCATCTGGGGACGCACATGGAGAGCGAAATTGGCAGGGCGGTATGAGTATTTCGCTGCAAAGCAGTATTGATTTGGGTGGATGGGATGGAGATGTTCGTCCATATGTCCCAGAAAAATGGATGAGACACGAGAGATGCCCGCCAAGTACCGAGTATTGATCAAAAAGCCGCCTAAAGCCCTCTTCTTAGTACCTGACAAGGGAAAAAGGTCCATGTCATGACTTAGGAGAATCTGCGGTGCCCCATCTTTAATGTCCCAGAACAAGAAATCAAAAAGGCTCTTAGCACCGAGTACACACAGTGCAAACCCGGGGTAGTGAGACTGCGGAGTGCTCGTCCACGAGTAAGAAACCTCGAAGCTGCAGTCGAGGGCTGAACGCACCTTCTTCGCTTAAGGTCTCGAAACCCCCTCGTTTTCCACAAGCTGTGTCTAGGGCGCCTTTTTTCTTTGTCACGACTCGTATCGACGGTCGGCTTCGGAATACCAGCTGAAAGCAAGGGGACAGCATTACTTGGTGGCTCAGAAACTGGGCCGACCGAGGGCATTGTTTCTTTTGTACCACCCTCAGCATTGAATTCCGGGAAATCACTAAATACTTCGGTCCACTTTGCCCAATCGTGGTACTGTGTCAGGGCTTTCCTGGCCACTGGCAAATATTGCTCAAGACCTGCATGTCCTCCCTGCCTGGCTATCTGCCACGCTTTAGCCCTCGTATGCACTTGAGCCTCAGCCAGGTCGAGTCTTCCTCCTTTAAACCCTAGACAAGAGGGAAATGGAGCGAACTTGGCCTACGAGCATCATCCAAATATCCCCAGCCTATCCTCGAAGCTTTGAATTCAAGAGAGCGTCGCTGGGCTCCCCTGCGCGCCCGCCACGCAATTTCGACTCTGATTGAGCCGGTAAGGCTGACCCCCTGTAACACGTGACGGCATCACTTTTCCGAGACCTTGAGACGCGTTACGGGCGCCTTCAACCAGAAGTCAACACCACCAGTAGTTTCGAACGCTTCAGCCGCTTATCACTTCCTAACAGCCAGCAGAGTCCATCTTCATGAGCCTGTCCAAGTGATGAGAATCGGGTATCAGCCTCCTTTTGCACGTTCCAGATGCCAGATGCCAGATGCCAGGTGGTCATCACGCGTCGGGCATATCCTCGCAAGCTTCACCAGCGGGTCTCGCTCACCACCTTGCGAGTGCCCGGCGATTTGCCCTATTTCTACTGATATCCCGAGTCTCTCTTACGACTATGCAGGGCTCAACGTCGTACAGGCCCCTGTCCATGTCCGGAGACACAGGCGGCACCACCAGACGTTGTGGGTATCCAATCTTTTGGCAGCAATAAGGCTGAGGGAGACTGCTGGACCAGCCGGGTGGCAAAAGGAAAAACAACAGCCAGCGGCCCGTGTAACCAGGTAGGCCTTGGGCCCTTTCACCGCTTGGTTTTTACGAGAACGAGCAGAGAAGCCCTACTCTCGTATTGCTTCAAAAGATCCGGGTTATGGCTTGGAAAATGGTCACCCCACTCTGAATTAGTCCTCCAGCATGAAGCTGCTGCTGCAGGTTGCCGCCAAAGGACTTGGATCGATGCCAGCCTCGCCATCTCGCGTCAGTCTCGTATAGAACTCGCTAGGACGAGCGAACGAAAGTGATTTTTGGGCCCTTGATCTAGCTCCAGGCCAAGTGTAGTCTCCAGCATCCAGAGCTCATAGCCCCTCACTCAACGTCGCTCTCCTCAATCTCCTCCCCCATACAGCGGTCCAAAGGCACGACAAGATCACGTTCAATCCTGCAATCTGAAGGGGTCTGCGTGCTGAACATCGCTCCCCTGATGGCGACGCTGGCTTACTCTCTGCTTCTGCTGCTGGCAATGTTGACGGCACAGACGGTGGCCCAGGCTCTGGCAGACCCGCTCAGGAACTTCTGCAGGAGGTATGGCCACCAGACTGCGGTGATTGATCGGAAGCTATACATCGACGGTGGCTGGCTATATGCAAATCCCATCTCGCAGAATCCCATCCCCACAATGAGTACTGCTGAACTCTCCTTCCCACTGTCGTCACAAAGGGTCCATCTGTTGCTAACGAGGGGTCCCCACAGACGAAGGCCTCCTGTATTGCGACCTGAACGAGTCCTATCAAGACATGCCGCCCGAGTATGCTAATCTGACCAAGAACTCGACGGTCCCGGACGTGGCGGGAGGCACACTGTGGCAAGATGAGGTCAACAAGGTCTTCTGGCTGTACGGCGGCGAGTTTGCAACAGCGCCGTCGGCATTCCAACTCTGGGGCTACGATGTCATCTTGAACCAGTGGAATCTGTCATTGCCGAACTTGGGGTCGACCGCTCCCATCCAGCGAGTGTCGTACGGCGCTGGCGTGGCCAGCAGTGACATCGGCATGGGCTTCTACTACGGAGGCTATCTCAACAACCTGACCAACCCGCTCTGGACGGGGCCACCCATGGCAACGAGTAACCTCATCATCTACGACATGGACCAAAACACTCTTACCAACGTCACCGGCTACGACAATGTCGGCCGAGCCGAGGGCATCATGGTGTACATTCCCGCATCCATGTCTGGTCTGCTGGTGTATTTCGGGGGAGTGAGCTTCCCGTATGGCAATGAGACTGAGGTCCCGGTATGTGGACGGCGAGCCTTCCTTGAGTTCGCGACGCCCGCACACATAGATAGATTGTGTCTCTTGAAGATACACATGCTGACTGACCAATTTGCATACAAAGGTGCCCATGGACACGATCATGATCTACGACATTTCAGACGGCAAGTACCAAAGAGACACCCTCCTGCACACCCCCGAACAAAAGCTAGCTGGATTCCTGAGGCTCATTTCTTTCTCCGAATACAGCAAAGTGGTACACCCAGACAGCCACTGGGACCATCCCCGAGATGCGTCGCATGTTCTGCGGCGGTGCTACCTGGGCGGATGACCAGTCCTCCTACAACATGTGAGCCATTATCGTCGGTCGGTAGTTCTAGATCGGGACTTATTTCTAACCTGGCATTGTCCCCAGCTACCTGTACGGCGGATTTGGGTTTGGAGAGAACGTCACAGTGAGCCAGCTCATTTCTGTATATCCGCTCGTCTGACCCCTCGTGGTGTTGTTTTTTCCTTTCTAAGAATGAATGCCAGGGCTTCGACGACGTCTACATCTTGACCATGCCGACCTTCGAATGGATCAAATGGTATCCCACGCAACCGGGCCCGGGCTCGCCGCACGGCTTGACTACCTGCAACGTCATTGAGAGAGGGCAAATGATCGTCATGGGCGGCAACTTTACCAACACGACAGCCTGCGACGTGCCCGCGATCCAGGGCCAACATAACCTCAACCTGGGCCAGTATGACAGCACCGACGCCATGTGGTATCCGTACCTGCCCAATCTCACGGAGTACTTGGTCCCGCCCGCGATCTTGCAAGTTGCAGGTGGCACGTAAGTTTTCCTCCCCAGGAAGTGCCTCGAGAGACAAACAGCGATAACTAGACTGACCATTTTCGTTGCGGATTTGTGGGGGAGGGCAGACCTGAAGGCGGAGCCATCAACAACGCTCCCGCGACGGGCTGGAGCGACGATCGACTGTCTGTTTATTTTGGCGAGAAGGCTGTGTTCGCCTCGCGCACGCCGACGCGCACCCTGCCCACCGCGACAGCGACGCCAACGCCAACGCCGACCCACACACCGAGCAAGAAGACCGACACCGGAGCGATCGTGGGCGGCGCCGTCGGTGGCGCTGCTGGACTAGTTCTCGCCCTCGCGATGACGTGGCTCTGCGTGAGGAGGCACAAGCAGAAGAAGAACAACACCACCACCACCGATCAAGCAGCAGGGGCCGTCCCACCACCAGCAGCAACATCCATCCCCGGCGCCGCGCAGCCATTCACTCCCACCGCGCTGCAGCCGCAGTACGTGATGAACGAGAAGCACTCGACGACACCAGTGGCATCGCCGGGCTCAGATCCCAGCCGCGTTGGCTCGCCCAGCGACCAGCAGCACTCGTCGCAGTACAGCACGCCGCCGCCGCAGCCAGCCTCCATGCTCCCGCATCCCGACTATCCGAACTATTACTACGCAGCGACGGGACCCATACCGGGCCAGCACCAGCACCAACCGCCGACGCAGTATTACCCCGGCGTGCAGCATCAGCAGCACCACCAGCAAGGCGTGTACGCGTACCCGGCGGCGGCAGGGGGACAAGCGATGGCAAGCGACGCCCCCATGCCCTTCTACCCGCCGCCGCCAGATCCGATCCGCTCGCAGAGTCACGAGATGCCGACGGTGCGCAGTCCCGAGGTCTTCGAGGTGCGCCAGCCTAAGCCGGTGAGGCCCGAAGGTCTCGAGCAGTGAAAAAAAGAAAATGGGGAAGGGATCCGATCGATCGATCAGAGCTGGGGTCGGGTAAATTGGCTCACCGTGCCCGGTTCAAGTTGCTATCCCTTATTCCCTCCATTTCTTTCTCACCAGGAGGGAGAAGAGGAGGAGAGATGTGAACTTTTCTGGGACTTTGTACTAGGGAATTGGGGGGGAAAATCCGAGAACCGTACATTTTGTCGCTTATTTGTAGGGGAATGGGATAATTCTCACAAACAGCCCCCATTCTAGGGATCAAAGTAGTAGTGTTATTATTATTATGTGACTCCGTTTGCCTAGCAGCAAAAGACGGACCAGACCGCGTTTCTTCATTGTGGGAAAAAAGTCTAGATGGAGGAAAGGGGGGGACAACAAGGCTCTCCCATTGCCATAAAAAATTTCCCACAAATCCCTGTCCCCGACCCTGGGCATCTTCGTCGATAAAATATGTGGAAGCTCTCAAGCGTATACCTTTTGCGGGCTGAGATAGTCGGCATGCCGTGTTTCCGCCACCAGTCCGACGTGGCCGACCTGTCCATCTCGCGAGACGTCGGCAATCCTGACCTTGACGTTTCTGAGAAGTCTCGCTCTCTCCAGTCCGCCGAGCGTCGTGCCCCCGTCAGGGAGGTCTATATGCGGATTATCCCTCGTCAAGCTGCTCACGTAGCCGAAGATATCGGGCGCGATGGTGTTCTGGTGTTTCCCCCACAGGAGCATGTCAGTCATGTCGCCCTTGTGAATGGGGAGAATGTTAACGTACCTTGCGCAGCCAGAACGCGGCCATGGCTGCTCCAAATAAGACTGCTTGGGACACGCAATCAACAGCAATCCAAGCCTTGTTCGTAGCGTATCTGGGGTTGTATTCGGCACCCCTCATGGGGGTGATTGCGAAGTCAGGGTCGGCTCTGACGGAGTCTATGTCGGTGGAATTTAAGGGGAAATAGACCGGGTTGGATCTTTTGAGTTGAGAGGTATAATAATACGTGTTTAGGACTTGGGTGATCCCTAGGCTGACAAAGTCACCATCTCCATCGACGTTGTTTCTGATGTTCTCAAGAATGCCTGCGTATGTGGGCAGAGGTTTGCCAGTGTAGTCGTCAAAGAAGGCGTCGTCCACCGTGCCCCAACTGATCGCATTTTTGGTGGTGAGTTGATTGATTGAGACGAGGTTCTGAAAGAACCGCTCGGCAAAGATGTCATCATCGAATGGTGTGGAATTCTCGGACGGGCTGTCATTCACTTGTCAGAATGTACTATGGCCATGATACCCCATTGCAAAACATCCTTCCAGGGTTCTTCTTTGTATCGACAATGTGAATGAGGACCACTTACTGCTGCTGGCGAGAATCTCGCATTCTGCGAGTGCCGCAACTGGCACCGGTGCAATGTACCTCAAGCTCGACGTGTTTCTGGACGATGGTGCAAGAGACTTGCACGGCCACAGACGAATTGTGCTGGGCAGAAATGGTGAAAGTCCGAGGACTAGTATAGTTGTTCGCCTTGTGGACTGCTGCGGAGTCACTCATGTTCATGGCGAGAACAATCGGTTTGGTGGTGCCATTGGGGAATTGCGATCCATGTAGAAGCGTCCAATTCGAGCATTCCGCCTGTAAAAAGGATGTTTCGAAGTTGTAGTCGCCAACGAACGCCATGGCTAGGGTATCATAATCCCATAAGGGGTAAACGTTGCAACCGGCAAATGAAGCATACCAGTACTCTGATGACTTAGATACGTCCGTCCAGCTTGAAGTCTGGTTGCTGGCAACATAACTACATTGCAGAAGAGATAATCAGCCCAGCGCATGTAGATGCCATAGAGAGGCATCAAGGGTAATCTTATTAATTTGCCGTAAGACTTACGGGTAGCCCTCAGGGAAAGGGACAAGGGCCGCACCAGTATAGTCAGATGGATTAGGACTCGTGTCACTATTCTGAGATTTTTGACCGTATGTGACATAGACGCCATATTGTAGGTTCAAATGTTCAAAGAAAGACTGTGGGTAGCCTGTGTACGTCGCGTTCTGAAATGCTGATGGAGCGGAAAAACTGCGGTATGCGACAAGATGATTCGAGGGAGGGCCGGACACTTGGTATTTAAACTCCTCCTTGCTAGCCTGGCTTCCAAGATAGTAAAAGGACCACATGATGATCAAACCGACGCTGATCGAGTCGAACGCCCGTAAAAATAGGACCGAGCGAAGTGTGCTGATCAAAGACATGCTCGCCTGGTACTGCTCCAGCCTCGCCACATACTCTCCTTTCTGTGCTCTCCACAACGCCAATCGTTTCAGGAAGGTTGTGAAGATCAAGACGAAGACAATGGTGAAGGCCGTTGCGAGCTGGCCGTTGAAACGAATTAAATAGGTGGTCAACGGACCAACTTCGTCTATGAAGTAGCCTTCGTCTTCGTCATCCATGCTTTCGGCCTTTAGACAAAGGCCAATCTTGACCATGAGGGCGATAGGAATAAGGCACAGGCCCACATCGTACAAGTCCAGTAGGATTTCGTTGATTCGATCGTTGGCCAATGGTTTTGGATCGGATGGCCAAGCTGTGGGAATCCATGGGTCTTGCCGGGAGTTTGGTAGCGACGCATTGGACTGGTTGAGCTCTGTCATCTGCACAAATCCGGTCTCTTTGACCGGCATGATGGGCATGGTGATAGCTTGCCGTTTGCCAGCACCGGAGAGAAAATACGCTGGAGAAACAAACGATTGGTAATAATGAGGTGCATGGAAGATGTTGAGAGGCCTGCTAAAGAAAAGAACTAGAAAAGGAGCAAGGAGTGTTCATTCCTTTAATGTTTGTCCACAACGGCACAACATCCTTCGGTCACACATCGCCAGCATTAATTCCGATAAAGTGGCGGTAGTTGCGACTGGCTGTATCGAAACAAGAGCGCCCGCTGGACGTCCTTTGCCAAGCCGAAATTGAAGCCATGTCGCTTTCAGGGTGATATGATACCAGTGTGGAAATGGAATGCCGAAGGAGATACCACATAAACGGTCGGCTTCAGCCACTGCAAGAGGCCCTTGACCTTTTGGGACCACACAACTTCAAGCCAGCTTGCCTAGTGCCGCCACATGCAAGCCACAACTTGAGGGTGATGTATGCGTCCCCTTTTTGAGCGGAAGCTCGCCGTCCCCTCAAGCATGATCATCTCAAGGTCGTTGAGACAAGCTTTTCATTCCCCTTCATGCTCGAGCCGCCTGGATCCTCTCGATAAAATCAAGGTTTCGGTTGGGATAGACGATACGAGGAGACGTGGGTGCAACCACGTGCTGCGCCACTGCTTGGAAGCCCAGCTCGAAGTCTGCAAAGCTCACAAAGGTCGATGCGGATCTTGGAGCGAGCCATTCTGAGGCTGCTCATAGTTGAAATGCTCTAACGATGACAGGAACATGCGAGTTCAGAGTGGCTGTTGAGAAAGTACGCGTAAAAATAGGGGAATGAGCGGAGACGTCAAATGAAGCAGCGAGGCGAGAAGGAGGCGCAAAAAGGTGGCCAGGCACGTGCCAGGCACGTGTCAGGCTAGGGCTTCGGTACTTCTTACAAATTCTCACCGTAGAAAGTGCACATCTGGTTCCAATGCTCCGTCAATCGTGAAATTCAAAAAGTTCCCCCCGGAAAACATCTAGTGGGACGTGTTCAATAATATATTGTGAAACTCCCTCCAGATAGGTGTGAGATCTAAGATGGCAGCCTTCGGCGGACAGACGCCCACGATCATCGTGCTCAAGGAAGGTCAGAAAGCCCCTCGCCAAACACTAACCCTCTACATCATTTGTTCCGTGCGTTTACTCACACCACTTGTGGCATCCAGGCACCGACGCTTCTCAAGGCAAGCCCCAGGTGATTTCCAACATAAATGCCTGTCTCGCCGTGCAAAATACGATCAAAAGCACCCTCGGCCCTTACGGTGGCGACCTACTCCTCGTCGATGCCAACGGCAAACAAACAATCACAAATGATGGTGCGACTGTGATGCGCCTACTTGACATAGTGCACCCGGCCGCCAGAATCTTAACGGACATAGCGCGGAGTCAAGATGCAGAGGTGGGCGATGGAACTACCTCGGTCGTTGTGCTGGCGGGAGAAATATTGAAGGAAGTAAAAGAGTTGGTTGAGCAAGGAGTCTCGACGCAGACCATTGTCAAGGGACTGAGGAGGGCCAGTGCGATGGCGATTAATAAGATCAAAGAGATCGCCGTGAGTGTGGACGATGGTGCAAATAAGAGAGAAACACTCCGAAAATTGGCGGCCACAGCAATGAGCAGTAAACTCATTCACCGAAATTCGGGTTTCTTCACCAAGAGTAAGTTTTGCTCTGCCACCTCTACCACAGTAGACGGCAGCATTGGAACTCGCTGACATTGAGGAAACTGTTTAGTGGTCGTCGACGCAGTCCTAAGCCTCGACCAAGAGGACCTGAACGAGAAACTCATTGGCATTAAGAAAATCACCGGCGGCGCCCTCGAAGACTCTCTCTTTGTCAATGGGGTGGCCTTCAAGAAGACCTTTTCCTATGCCGGTTTTGAACAACAGCCCAAGTCCTTCAAGAACCCTAAAATCGTATGCTTGAACGTCGAGCTCGAGCTGAAGGCAGAGAAAGACAACGCAGAGGTTCGGATCGATCAAGTATCGGAATACCAGGCGATAGTGGACGCCGAGTGGCAGATCATATATGACAAGATGGAGGCACTATACAAGACAGGGGCGAAGGTGGTGTTGTCGAAGTTGCCAATCGGTGATCTGGCGACACAATACTTTGCGGACAGGGATATCTTCTGTGCGGGGCGTGTCGCCTCTGACGATTTGGAGCGGGTATGTCAGGCAACCGGGGCTGTCACACAGAGCACCTGCAGCGATATTCTGCCGGCGCATTTGGGGACGTGTGGACTGTTCGAAGAGCGCCAAATTGGTGGTGAGCGGTACAACCTGTTCAGTCACTGTCCGGAGGCCAAGACATGCACGTTGATTCTGAGAGGTGGAGCGGAGCAGTTCATTGCCGAAGTGGAGCGGTCGCTGCACGATGCTATCATGATTGTCAAGCGGGCTCTGAAAAACCATACCATCGTCGCCGGCGGCGGTGCCACCGAGATGGAAATTTCGGGTTACTTGCACAGATTTGCGGACAAGAATGTGCCTCACAAGCAACAGGCAGTGGTAAAAGCCTTCGCAAAGGCCTTGGAGTGCATACCGCGTCAGCTGTGTGACAACGCAGGTTTCGACGCCACGGATATCCTCAATCGACTGCGGGTGGAACACCGAAAAGGAAATACTTGGGCTGGGGTGGACTTTGATCATGAAGGGGTACGGGATAATATGGACGCCTTCGTTTGGGAACCCGCCCTGGTCAAATTGAATGCCGTCTCGGCAGCGGTGGAGGCAGCGTGCCTGATCCTGAGCGTCGACGAGACGATCAAAAACGAGGAGAGTCAAGGTCCGCAAGCCCCGGCGAGAGGGTTGCCACCTGGTGCCGCCCAGCGAGCATTGAGAGGAAGAGGGAGGGGGATGCCGAGAAGGTGAAGAATTCAAGCTCTAGACACCGCCGCATTTGGACAAAGCGAGTCCACCGTTTCGTCGACACCACACTGAGCGGGCATTCAAGACTGGTCCCATGCATACGGATCTGCGGCGAATGGACATGAGTAGCTATGAGGATGAAAAGGAGTCCACGCATGATACCACCAGATATCCGACTCCTTTCGATGACTGGGAACGACGTATTGCCATCACGAATCAATTTTCAAGATATGCACCGTTGTGCTGATGGAAATCCGGCTCTACGGCTCTACGACTGTCTCAGTGCAGGCGGCAGCAAGTATTGCTCCTTGCCAGCGCAATGGAAGCAAATGAGGAAAACCAAGTGCTGCAAGACTGCAACTCGTAACTGCTATCGACCGAGCACGACTCAGCATGTTCAGCTGAAGGTAATTGTTTGGAGAAGATCTCAGACCCGAGTGATTGATGTGGTTACTTCAAAAGGCTTCGCAAAGGCTTGCTGGACCTGATCACGGGCAGAGCGTTAGGTTCGATGTCAGCCTCGTCGAACATGTACTCGTATTAGCACGTAAAGAACGAGGAGCCAACATTCTCAGAGTCACGATGTGTACTTAGTACAGAGGAACATACCTTCCACCCTGGTGCCGGAACCACTCGCGAGGCGCCGGAACAATTTACTCGCTTCTGTAAGCCCCGTCACTAAGCGATATAAGGGGTCTCCTGTACTTTTGTCCGTTGATCGTATCGGCAGCCTCTGCTCCTGATCCACTTGGCTGGTGAGACGACAGGGTATTGCTTTTGCCTTAATTTCGACACACTCTGTCCCTCAAGGAGGACTGTTGCTTGTGGGACATCAAAGTAAGGTAACCTTGCGCCTCACGTGCTGGAGACGATTGGCATCTTTCATCAGCCTCACCAGCCACAAGTTGAACCTTGCATCTGGAGGCTGTGGCTAAGCGTTCGTGATCATCGCGGGGATGCCGATCTTTTCGAGTTATGGCCTCATCTCCTCTGGCTTTTTGAGTTGGCAAAGCCCGAACAAGATCCCGTTTAGATGGTATTGGTAGGGTGCCGGAACAGACACCGCTTCATTGGGCGTTCCCTTGGACCGGGTACACTAAAGGGTGCGGGGATATGATCGGTGAGGGCTGCAGCTTCCCTATGCAGTCGAGCTGCATCTATCCCGTCCTTATTCGGAGGGTCAATGAAAACGGGCCAAGGCCTGAATTGGGTTGAAGCTCGTATTGCGGGTGCAAGCAGCTTCATGATTGATGGGAGCTGCATAGAAGCTGACCTCAATACCCTCAGCCCTGGAGGTATATAGCCAATCAAGGAAAAGTGTGTGACTGATCACCCGTGTGGCGGGCTGATCTTAAATGCAGGAAAAGAGCTTTGAGCAGTAGCCGACAACGACTGTCCCTAGGGCGTTTGCTGATGCAGCATCTAGGGAAGAGCTGGACTGCGGACAAGCCTCGCAGTAAGAACGATGTACGCCACGTGGACCACTGTTCGACCATGAGCAAGTGACCCCATTCCTGGCATGTGGAAAGGTCAGTTCCATGGACACATGGACATCGTACAAACGGGACCAAGTGCAGCCCTAGTGCACCGGCCAAAGTGTGTCTCAGCTCTATTCGCAGCAATAAGGGAAGATTGTTCCGAGGAATCGCGTATCGCCAGACTACAATCCCTGTGGTGCTTGCAATATTATCATGGGCTATTGAAACGTCTTGGAGATACTCGAGTTGATTTGATGTTGCTAGCTGCAGGGGGCCAGGGATAGCTTCTGGCGGATGCAGGCCCGTTTCAGGAATTCATTCACTTTGTGTGTGAACCGCCTTTTCGATCGGGTGGCTGATGCTACCCGTATGTAACTGGTAGGGTGGAAAGGAGGACGGCGAGGGCTGGACTCGTCGAAAACGAACCCTGGCCAACGACTGACCGAGAAGCCCAAATCCCCACTAACCGAGGCCGCAGAGATGGCTCACTAGGGCAGTGAGGTGGGTTCAGAGGAGGGAAAGGGACCTAAGCCATAACATTCGTCAGCTAGTTTGCGCATGTCCTTGGTGGAGGAGGTGGAGGAGGTGGTGGTGGTGTTGTTGGTGATGGCGATGAAGGCTAGGAACTTGGAAAAAGTGAAATGCGTCTTTGGAAGGGCAGGCAAGCAGGCTGCGCGGCGTCATCGAAGCTTCGAGCTCATCAGGCACACACTGCCACCTTCAGCAGTCTTGATCAATCATCCACCATCCACGCTTGACTAGGTACATCAACGTCCTTTTCCTCTGTAATCTCTTGGTCGACCCTGGTGACCCTCGCGTGTTTGACTCGGCTAATACGAACACACGTCAACCCCCCCGCTCCACCTTTTCGATGGACTAAGAACGAGTCCCCGAACACCGGGTGCCGCCCAATTCGATCTCGAACCTCAAATTCGTCTTACAAACCGCCTCAAAAGACCTCCTCCTCGATCGTCGACTATTCTTCACCTTCGTCGAATCCTCATCAATCACCATCGATATTCATACGGCGACCTGACATTCTCCTCTTCTCCCTAATCGAGCTCGTCAGCAGCCATGTCTTTCTATCCTGGCTCTGGCGGCTACGGTGCGCAACAGCACGGTGGTTATGGCTACCCTCCTCAATCACACTCACCACAACCATACCCTCCCCAAGGCTACTCTCAAGGATATCCTCCTCAAGCACATTCTCCCCAGCCATATCCTGCTCAAGGTTATGGAGCTCCTGGTGGTTTCAGTCAACCTCCACCACAGGTGGCTCCTTACGGCTACAACAACCCACCTCCACCACAGCAAGGCGGATATGGCGGGTATGGATCTCCTCCTCCCCAGCCAAATGGCTACCCAGGTATGCTCCATTCATGTTCTGAGTTGAAATATCGTTACTTACCTTGTACAGGCCCTCGACCGGGGATGCCTTATGCCAATTCCTACGCACAAGGCAACCAACATGGCCGCCCTCCTCCACCTCCTACGGCACCACAACAGTTCGGCCACGGAGCCCCTCCTGAATATAGCTTCCAATACTCCAACTGCACAGGGAAACGCAAGGCACTGCTGATAGGCATCAATTATTTTGGCCAGAGGGGTCAACTCCGAGGATGCATCAACGATGTCAAGAACATGTCCACCTATTTGAACCAGAACTTTGGCTATGCTAGAGAAGACATGGTGATTTTGACCGACGATCAACAGAACCCAATGTCGCAGCCTACAAAAGCCAACATACTCCGAGCCATGCACTGGCTGGTCAAAGACGCTCGGCCCAATGACTCGCTGTTCTTTCACTATAGCGGTCACGGTGGCCAGACACCCGACCTGGACGGAGACGAAGAAGACGGCTACGACGAGGTGATCTATCCTGTGGATTTCCGGACGGCAGGACATATCGTGGACGACGAAATGCATCGTATCATGGTCAAACCACTCCAGCCTGGCGTCCGGCTCACTGCCATTTTCGACTCGTGCCATTCCGGGTCCGCCCTCGATCTCCCGTACATCTACTCGACTCAAGGAGTGCTCAAAGAACCCAACTTGGCCAAGGAAGCCGGTCAAGGCCTCTTGTCCATTGTTTCATCTTATGCTCGTGGCGACTTGAGCGGGATGGCCTCGTCAGCGATGGGGCTGTTCAAGCGGGCTGCCACAGGAAATGCCGTCTACGAACGAAACAAGCAGACCAAGACCAGTCCTGCCGATGTGATCATGTGGTCTGGCAGCAAAGATGAGCAGACTAGCCAGGATGCCAACATTGGGGGCGAAGCCACGGGAGCCATGAGCTGGGCTTTTGTGACTGCGTTGAAGAAGAATCCCCACCAGAGCTATGTGCAATTGCTGAACAGCATCCGAGACGAATTGGCTGCAAAGTATACGCAGAAGCCTCAGTTGAGCTGTTCACACCCACTCAGTGAGTCTCCATCAATCATCTTCTCCTTTCATGATTAACTGACTTTGAAATTCTGCAGACACTGACCTCCTCTATGTGATGTAAACGGATGATATTGATACCCGGGGAGTTATGGCAGCCCTTGTTGATTTTCCACTCAGGTGGCGTCTGAAGCGCAATAGGGCGCTCTCTTGTACAGCAGGACATGGATTGATCTGGACGAGGCTGGAAAGGTGCTCGGCAGATGCACTCGAACTTGGCCTGGACCTGCAGATAATGTAGGAAATGAAAAGTTGCGTTTCAACGTCTACTATTGTGACGACCGAGCGAGCCATCTAGAACTCGTTGTGACCGTGCGCAAATGTCGTAGAATCATGCGCGAATAAATGAGGCTCCAGAAAAGGCATGGACTAGACAGCCGTCAAAGCCGAGAATCCTCAAATGGATCTGCGTGGAAATGATCCAAGGCTGTCTTGTTGGTGTGCCTGTGACTTGGTAGGGGCGGGCAATGATGTGCACCCTCGCCCCCGGATTCCCCCTAAGGTTGCCTTGGATAGAGTAATCCCAGGGACTTGTCGGGCGTTGTTATTGGTGTCCAGCTGGTGCCTTGGGGGTCCCGCACTCACAGTGGGCTAGTCTATTTCTAGGCTTCGGCTAGGCGGGCTCACTGCCTGGATGCCTTCTAGAAACCGTGGCACGTGCTGGACGCTCCCCGACCAAGGCACCTGATTGCAACGATGGGTGCGACGGTGCCGTGTATAGCGCCTCTGCCGTCACTCGCCATGTCTCTCTACATCCATTCAGACTGCGTCCACCACCCTCGCGCCCCGTCTTCCAAGTTCTTGGTCGTCTTGGTATATACCCAGGTCTATTTCTGTCTGTTGCGCATACTTCATCTTCGCAGCCTTATAGCCCCCGGTGCGTCAACCACAATGACACGCACTGACCACGCATCTCCGCCGCCATGAAGCCCGATGTTCCTCCCTCCTACGAAAGCGCAGTCAGTCGCGAGGCATGGTCCATTATCGCGCCCTGGATTTCTTCCAGCGATCTGTGCTCGGCATGCCTGGTGTCGCGGAAGTGGTACTCTATCTTTGTGCCATTCCTCTGGGGCGACCCTGCTTCCCACTTTGGCATTGAGAATGACGCTGTCTACGTCGCTCTCACCCGCTTCAAACGAAGCTTGCGCAAAGCAAGATTAAGCGTGAGAAGCCTCACTCATACCCTCCATCTCCCGCCAGCTCTCAGCGAGATCTATGGCGGTCCAAATCCTACCTGGTTGCGCGACGTCCTCGAATTCCTTCCCAACCTGCAAAGCCTCATTGTCACAAAGCTGCCATTCTTTGACCACCATAGCCTCAATGCCTTGAGGAACGCAAGCGCCGGCAAAAGATTATCGACTGAAGAAGCAGAGGTATTTCCCACATACGGACTGAAATTACTACTGGCCTCCAGTGAGCCAAACACAACGTCTTCCTCACTTGCGAATGCGCTACCAAGATTTTCGAGTTTGGTCTACCTGGACCTGTCCTTCACGTCACCCGCAAGAGATGCGGCAGTTCTGATAGCCTTGTCATATCTGCCAGATCTTCAGGTTCTGAAGTTGCGGGGAGTTGGTCTTAGAGATGGAGAGGCCGAGGTCCTAGCCAATGCCATTGGGATCCGTGTTCGTTTGCTCGACCTCCGAGACAACCTGTTGACCGACATGGCCGTGCGATCATTGATGCAAGCCTGCTTTCTACCCTCGGATGCTGTACAATCAGGATACCTCAACGTGGAAGATTGGCCCGTCGGCATGGCTCCAGGGCCGGACTTTTTCAGTCTGGATACCCTCCGGAGCGAAGAACTCGACCACGAATTGCTCAAGCAACTCACAAAGCCCCTCACTGGAAGACTAGCTTTTGAGGACATTCCTCACCGAGGCCTGACTCATCTCTACATTTCAGGCAATCGGCTATCTGTCGAAGGCCTATCAAGCCTCCTGAAGTCGGAACGCCTGCACATTCTCGATGGAGGTTCGGTTGACACAGTCAAGACCATTGCGCGGACTCAATCGCTTTCTTCCCCTACAGGTTATATTGACGAAGTCCGCTTCCCAGGCGCCGAGAAGCTTATTCCTGTGCTTGCAACATCCGCTAGCAAGAATTTGACCTACCTTCGTGTTGACCACACATTGGTCACGGCAAAGTTCGACCCGGGGCCGGCAGTCGTGAAACCAAAAGCGTCTTCGGTCGAACTTGCGGGGACTGAGCCGCTTGCTGCTGAGCTTCCTACTCAAGCGAGGCAAATAGTAGAGGCCCCAGCTCCTGCCCATTATGCGGTAGAGTTGCCAGTTCCCGATCAAATCTTCGAACTTGATGCCACTCCAGCACCACCACGAGCAGAATTGATTGGTGATGTGATATATTTTGCCCTCAGCCCTCCAATCGGAGAGAAGCCAGAGGTAGCAAGTCCTGTTATTGAAAACCACAATCCCATCAGAGGCGAAGGTCCTTTTGCTCCAGAGGTAGTCAACGGTGCCGCGGATGATCTCGAGAACGACGATCGTGCCACGGCCCCTGACTCGGAGATCTCTGACGAAACAGGAACGCACAGTACAACGAGATCAATTCTTTCACCAGTGTCTCCCATGACGGCTCATCCCGATAACATGACCTTTCAACCGCTGATAGCGCCAACTATTCCAAAGACTAAGCCTGCACCAACGTCCGCTCCAAAGAAGGCGGAGGGTCCAACCTCAGCTCCCACAGCCACTCCCGTACCACAGCCGAACGCATCTCTCTCACCAACTCCGGCTGTGTTGCACCATCGCCAGGCTCGGCTAGAAGCACTGCTGGCCAAGAGACCTCCAGGGTTGTCTTCCAAGACGACCAACCCAGGTTCAGAGATCCCGAAGATCACGGTGCAGAACTTGAGCAGTCTCCATCCCGCCGTGCTTCCCAACCTGAGAACTTTGATCCTTACCGAAGTGCCCACCACAGTCCCAAGATCTTCCCCAGTGATCCCTGCCCTCAAGGCTTTCATCTCTGCTTGCGCCGATGAAGCCGCAATTGCTCGCCTCCTTGCAAGGACGGACTATTCTCTCCCACCCGGTCGGGCCCGCCATATCGCCGAATTGGAACATGCACGGTCGCTCTTTGCTCTTCGCACAATCATCCTGGAGATGGAGGACCCTACCGTTCCGAATGCCAGCGAGCAGCGCAGGTGGCAGCATTCTCGTCAGCGCATCAGCATGAGTAAATCCTCGACAGGCGACCGAGATAGCGAGAATCTTTGGTCCGCCGCAGAGAATGACTTCAGCTTCTTCGGAGAAGAAGGCGAAGAACAGGATGAGTGTGGAATCTACCAGCATGACCCGGAAAAGTATTTCCCCACGGCGCATTTTGATGATAAGATTTTATTAGGTCCCGAAGACCATCCAACAGAAAGTGGCTCCAACAGTCCACATGGGAGCCTCCACGGATATGGTACATTGTCCCCAGCCATGATGAACTATGGTGGTTCCACTGGGACATTAAGAAGTCCGAGGAATCTACCATTGGGTCGGAACCGGAGAAGCTCGAATGAGTCCCAGCGGAATGGCACCGTGCGAAGTTTCTTGACTGAGATGGCAGGCACACCAGTCTCGCCCAAGTTTACAAACGGCAGGCTGCGCCCACAGTCAAGAGATTCGATGGTTCCCCCGACTTCCAATCCCGTCCAGCAGCAGGAAGAAGAGCCGAAAGTGGATGTCATCGCTGAAGTCGCTGCGTGGCGAAAGGAGCGAAAGAAGGCCTATGAAGATGAATTGGCGCGGTACCGAATGAGTCGTGGAAGGGGTGGCGCAGGAAGATCGAATAGCCTGACCAGACAAAGCAATGGACATTCGCCATCTGCGCCGAGAGGCTATGGATATGGCTTTGATCAAGGTGCTGGCCCAGGCTCACTCGCGTATGCACATGCGCACACGAATGGAAATTCACCGGCCAGCCAAGGGAATCATACTCCCTCCGGCAGCTCACATCAGGGCGAGATTAACGATCTGGACATGAAGTTCATCGAAGGACACTGGAAGGGAGAGATCAAGGTGATCAGAAACGCAACACCAAAAGGCCGAACAGGCGTGGTGGACATGTATGGAAACTATTTTGAGAAGGGGTATCTGTACCCCTGAGGAGGAGGAGGAGGAGGAGGAGGGGCGGCATGGCGCGGCAAAAGAAGAGTGGAAGCTTTCTCGTGCAATTTATGGGCATTCAAATTTAAGCTGTACTTTTTGGATGAGGGACGACAAACCAAACCTGTGAACGAGCGTGGGCGTTTTCGGTGTCTCTAGGGCCCTTTTTGTCTATAACACGATGTCTATGCCATGTACGATATATATGTGAATATCACCAGGTGAAACCTACTGCAGTTACATGTATCATGCATGTCCAAGGCCTGAACAATTAAACTTGACGGTCCTTTCGAGTCTCATGATGGGTCCTTTTGTCGGTGTTCAAAAGTCCAGCGGCTACAAACAATACTGTAGCAAAACAACAATCACGTCGAATTGCAGATTGTAGGCCACCAACTACCTAGGTACATATATAACAGGAAGCTTATGAGTACTCAGGCATTGCAGGTAAATAGCCACGTCCGTACATAGCTACATAGCCACGGGATATATAGGCACAGCTCTCTGTAACGTACACGATATCCGCCCGTCCTCCACGCAAAAGATAAAATCAAGAGTTTCACTCGATGTATCGTGGTATCATGCAATCTTGCTTGACAAAGACCATGATCACATGGCTTGATGTCACGAAAAGAAAAACGCACATGTCGTCGTCGTCAAGCACTAGCACTAAACCTGAAAGCAATATGCCACCCGCCCCGCCCGCCATGTAAAATCCTTAGTGCTCCGTACAAATGCAAGGGAGGACAACGGCTCCCTGCGGTTTCATTCCCCGTAAGTCGGCGGAACCAGTTGCTGGGACTCTTGGTCCCAGCTTGGCCATCGTGGTGGGTATCATGGTGTGAGGCCGTATCGTATTCATCAAATCTCCATCTCCGGTATACATTACCCGGTTGTTCGTTTGTCATACGACCACCTGCCTCTGGGCTGTCTCAGTGACGGCCATGGGCATCGCACATTGCGGAGTCAGCTTCTTCAAGGTCATATTAGTACTGGCGAACATCTTGTTCTTGTCCTTCTCTTTGATGGTCTTTTTCGCGTTTGACTTTGCAAGATCAACATCGGATACGCAATCTCCATTTGACTTGTCTTTCCTCTCGGGCGCAATGGTCTCTATCACCTCTTGCTGCTTTGGTTGTTGCAATGGCCAAGTCTTGCTGGGACTCATCTGATAAAGTTGCGGTGTTGGGGTGGTATCTTGGTCTCTGAGGCTCTCGAAATGATTCTTGTCAGTTTTAGAATCTGCGAGACCTAGATCACTATCGTGACTATGCTCGCTGGTTTGAGCAACGTCTGCTTTGCTAAATCGCGGCGACTCTTCACTGGTAGAGTGGTAAACCAGCGGATTTTCTGCCAGTGGCGGTCCACCAAAGCGCTCGCCCAGGCAACGCAGGATAGCGACAAAATATTGGTGCAGGAATGTGAAAATATTTTCGTCGCCTACGATCTCGGCCAAGCTACGCGGCGTGGCTTGTCCAACACGCCGCGGGTGGCCGTCTGGGTCAACCGTGCGAGCCGTCAAGAAGGAAGACACGGGAGTGTAATTCCTGGCGGTGGATTTGCCGCTTGTGTCCAGCTCGGCTTCTTTTTCTTCTTTCAACCGTTGCTTTTGGGCAGCTGTTTCAATACCTTTCGCCATCCGCGCGAACGATTCCCAAAGCATGGGGCAAGCTTCAAATGCGCGACTGGCATCCTTCCCCGCTAAAGCCAGGAAAGCGTATGCCCGCCGTCGGCCTCGGGCCTTTGGATCTGTGAGCCGAAAAACGTATGCAATGGTATAGCCTGTGTTGGAGTCACCGAAGCAGAAAGGGCCGTCCGACATGCCTCGGGGGAGAAGTTCGCAGGACAGAGTCCGAATAACAGAAGCACGTAGTTGGGCATAGCTCTCCCGATCCGCGGGGGATTTGGCCGTGAGGTAAGTTAGGGTGTGGTCGTGACAGTCGTCGGACCGGTGAGTCTGGAGATGTGATGTCGCATGGGAGGAGCCAGATGACGTGACGGATGAGCCGTAGGAGGACGGCTTGGAATCGTCCGAGACGTGAAGACTGCTATTCCTTCTCTTCTTTTCTCGGAGACACACAAATTCCCTTGATCGCAGCACTGGCGCTCCTGTATTGATGTTGTTTTGGTGATTCGCTCTCTTGCTACCTGGTGCGCCGACGGGGAGCTTTTCTGCTACGGCCTTCGGGACCGAGAAACTGCAGCTGGCACAGGTCTCATCTTGGTTCCGACCATACCGCCACTGTGAGGAGAGCGTCCGTGACTGGTCAACTGGCTGAAAGAGAGGGTGTTTCTCGATGGTAGGACTTTCAGGCTCTGTTTCCGAGTCGATCGCGGTGGATGCGCCGGAAATATCGGTGGGCCAGGTGGAATTCGTGTCGGTTTTTCTCAGTGATGGCGGAGCCTGGAGGTTCTGTGAGGCTTCAAGGGAGGGATTATGGACTTGGGTGGCAAGGGACTCGGTGGACGAGGAAGCTCTCAGAGGAGGCGACGGTGGAAGGCATAATGCACATTCCAAGGGCAGGACTTGGGTGCAGAGAACGGACTTGGGGCCATGGGCCTCGCAGAAGTGGGTGAGTGCGAGCTGAAAAGGGAGCGTTAGTTCATATTGAACGAAAGCGCAGTGGTCATTAGCAGCAGCGGGCGGAACAGGCATAACAAGCGGCAGTCCTGGAAAGTGACGGAGCAGGATGAGAGCATATCCACAACAATACTCACTGTGAAGTCCATTGTGTAACCTCTCCCTTCTCTTTCTTTGTCTTTTTTTCTTTCAACCAAACCGCAAACTCTGCTACAGTCTGAGGAGGTGGACGTTGTACATGTTTCGGTTTGCCAGGCGGACGCAGCGGGCTGAGGCGGGGCCAGCCATGAGTGCCTTGCGCTGGATGGCAACAGTCGAGGGTCGTGAGGGAGGGATCGCTTCAGTCCAACGGCGCAGGCGAAGTTTGGGTCGCAACAAGGTCGACGATGGTTGAAGACGGCGATCAAAAGGGAAGCGGGAGGGCAAGAGCTCGTGTGCTCGATCGAAGGGAGATGAACCTGGCAACGTAACGGTCGACTGGAACCGCGGGTCCGGAACGTGTGGAGATTTGGCGTCACCAGGAAGAAAAGGTGCGATGTCGATGAGGAAGAACAGTACAGCAAGGACAACAGTACCACAGGACCACAGTACAACAGCGCCGGTGACAGCGAGCAAGACTGAAGATAATAAGCTGGACAAGTTGCAGGTACTGTTCACGCATTCAAGTGAGGCAGTCATGACGGTCTGGCCTTTTTGTCGGGCCTTCTGGCGCAGACCTGTAGGCGCAGGCCTTCAGACCGCCACTTGGGTGCCACTTGCGATGGATCCATGGATTCTAGGGATTCGGCCGTGTCCAATCAGCCCTGGTTCGATGACTGAAGTCTGTGCGATCGAGGCAATTCGAGGCAACTGGGGGCGATGCCGCCGCGAGTAATAATAATCCGCTCATCCACTATTGCCCCAATTCTTCTCACATGCTTTCTGTGCCAGTCTAATGCACCGTTTGCGCAGCTAACTCATGCGAGAGAGGTACTTGGTGCTGCTGCCAACGCTGGGCTGCTGGCCAGTCGAGCTGCTTGTCGGTAACCGTCGACTCTGTGCTCGGAACCACGGGATCGTTCAATCTACCGCACCAAGCTGTCGTTCTTTTTCAGGTGCATTTCCCTTTGCGCCCAGTCCGTCTTGAACCTTCCGTCTGTCGTTGCTTTTGGCACCACGAGCGCCACAGGGTGACCTTGTTCCTGGATTTCATGCACCTGCAGTTCGGCTGCAGTGATCAGAGTGATCTTCCTTTTGGGGATGTCGATCTCCTGTACAATGGCGAGCCCCAAGCATCGAGAACACTCTGCCGGAAACGGAAAGGAACTTTCCAGATCGCCGTGCTCTCGCCAAAGCGGCAGATCTTCCTCCGTCCGATATATCCCGCTTCGATGGCTGTCGTTACTGTTTGCGATGAGATCACCTGGCGCTTTTGGGACTGCATGGGGAGTGAGCGCCAGAACAGCAACGATACTTCCCTCCAGCGCATCGTATGTGTCCTCAGGTGCAACATGGCCGCCTAGCAGCATGATCGCCGATACGTTCGCGGCATTCCCACCATACGTCAGGGCCATAGAGTAAGTCCTTGTCACTAAAACAGGGGTGTCGTCCCAGTATGGCCGATTGATAGGTGTGTCTCTCAGGTGGAAGTATGACTGCATTTGCAGGTCATGCTCCCTCACTGGAGACGTCTTGTCAAACACCTGAGCCGGAATTTGGTGTATACGACAATTCCCCGCCTCTGCTAGTAGCTTCCAGGGCTCTAAATGAGGCGAGTCTGGAGTAGAGTCAAGACAGACAATATCCGACGGAGATAGCTTTGCCCAGAGCTTGCTCGCCATAGTGTTGTCGATGCCATTTAGCCACTTGGGGTATGTAACAAGGACTGGTGCACCCTCGAATTCGGCACGACATTTCTGTTCAGCATCCAGTAAGTCAAAAATGCGATCAAAGTGCCAGTTTGCCAGATCTCTTGCATCTAGATCGCCAAGGAAATGCTTTGCCAATATCTGAATGGATCCTTCTCGGGAGGATGGCAGGATGTTGGTGAACGATGGACCAAAAACAGGAATCGCAATATGCACTAGGCTGATCATCCCCGGAGGAGCAAACTCTGGCATATTCGTGTCTAGATCCAACAGTATGACTCCTTTTTGATGAGTAGCATCTGGTCTGGCAGATTGTTTGGCAAGGATTCGGTTGAAGACACACCGAATCAAGGTCGAAAGTCCTGACGAACGTTTGCCGCACATTAAGACTCTTCGTGGCTTGGTTGTATCATCGTCTGAAAGTCCTGTCAGTAGCGATTTCCAGCCGGTGATGTCCAAGTCTTTCAGGCGTCTGGGAGCCTTCGGGTCTTGCTCGAAAGAATGACCCAGCACGTAGAAAGTCGCAGCCGACGGCTTGACGCCAAAGGGAGTCCACATCCCTCTGAGTCCGATGTACGGAAGATTTCTGACCCCGTCATTGAGAGATTCAAGTTGAACTTCGGCACTCGAGCTCACGGCTTCAATGGAGGGAAGTGTATGCGTAGCGGGAGCATAGATGCGATGGATGGCCGTCGCGGCAGTAAGGATCGCACCGTAGAGGGAGACGGATCCTTGCTTAACCCAGAGAGTATATGTTCCCAACGCAACACATTTCTGGGCGAGTCAGTACAACTTCGCAGGGTTCATTTTGGTCATACCTGGCCTCGCGAGAGTTTGATCTTGACTGACCTATCAGTCAATTGCTCGATTTCCCGAGTCGAGCTGAAATGGACTGCCGAAGCTTCGACCAGCGTTGCAAACTGGTTCGGGGTCCGTATTCCCTCATCTTCAGACAAGCTGCCATTGTCCACAACCTGATCAAGGGGTGGAGCCTCACTCAGACCGGCTTTTGATACTGGGGGAGGAGTTACTTGGCCGGGACTCGACGCAGCATCCTGCACATCCCGCAAGAGCCGTCGCCTTGCGACTGCGCTGAGTCTTCCACCATCTGCACCCCTGTTAGCATGTGCTAGACTTGTAAAAGAGCTCTCAACGTACTAGCTGGCATAAAATGTACTAATGAAGAGTGAAGAGGGAAGAGTGGCTGCACACAAAGTCGCTGCAGCAAAACCCTCTTGGCCTTTCACTTCCCTGGCTTGCCTGGCAGGCTTTTCCACTAAAGCTTTTAGCTCCGGCTGGTCCCGAGGTACTAGTACCTAGTCTGCTGGTCACTAGTATTTGCTGCCTCGCAGATCCGCCTCTACAATTTTCTCCAGCTTTTTTTTTATTCCAGTTCATCTACCTCTGCGTACCTAGGTACACGCCCCTTTACCTTCTGACTTTGCAGCCATGGGGAAGAAAGTGGAGGCAGTGCGAAATAGCGTACTGAGTGAAGAACGAGTGTATGATTCCAGCGACGAGGACGAAAATGAACAGTCGTCTGAGCAGGAAACTCCGAAACCCAAGTCGAAATCATCTCAATCGAAGACTCCAAATGGTATCAAGACTTTCTCGCAAAAGACCAGTCAGAGGCTTCCGTCTTCGAATGCATCATCTTCCGCAACAGCTTCAGATAATGACACCGAAGAAGACGAGGACGAAGAACAAGATGGAGTAGAAGACGAGGTCGAGGATGAGGAGGATGACTCAGACAACGAGTCAGCATCGACTCCGAGTCCTTCGTCTAGCCGAAAGAGACTGTCTCCAGGAGTTCCAGAGACTCCCTCAAGCAAGAGGGTTAAGACAACTACACGAGACAAAGTCAGCATCCCTCCAAAACCCTTCCAACGGCCCAAAGGCTACGAACCGCTCACGTGGTCGGCCTCGGACTACGCGTCCGACATGGATCTATTCGACGACTTGTCCAATAAACAAATATGGCACATTTCAGTACCCAGTTCAGTCTCCATTGACTCCATCAAAGAGCTCGACATTGAGGCGGTGTTGAGGGGACAACCGATCCTGAGTCGGAATGGTATCGACTACGGCATGAACCCTCTTCCGTCCAAGGACGAGGTGATCCTCCTGCCCCACGGCTCCGACGGAAAGTACAAGCAATGCGCCCGGAAGATCGAAAGAAGTTTTCTCATGCGAGAGGTCGACACGGCCAAGTCCACATCTCCGTCAAAGGCAGATAATCCGCAGGTGGTCTTCACAGCGACCCAGATTGGTGCGCCCAAACAAATCCGAAAACAGCCCGAAGGACTCAAGATGCGCTACGTGCCATATGGAGTGTCGCCGTCACAGGTCGACAGAGAAGAAGATGTGGAGATGCGTGATACATTGCACATTCCACCCGACGTCGACGCTCAGATGTCTTCTTCCCCGGTCCAGTCTAGAAAAGCACGACGAAATCAAACCAATGGAGAAGCCGCCAACGAAAAGAGTCCGGAGAAGAAGCTGCGGGGTGCAGATGACACACCAGCCTCGAGCGAGAAGAAGAAGAAAAAGAAGCGGAAGCTGGTAGACGAGAAGGTGTTGTAAGATGGGCCGGCTGATAGATTTCCCTTGGCTGGTGCTGATGGATGCTGGACTGGTACTTGTATAGCACATGAGCTTAACCGCCTCGCCGCCTAGGATTTTCAAGGCGGTATTTTGATGTTATGGTCCACCGTACCCAAGACCCTTGACCGGGATCCCCCACTATGCAACTTTTTTCCCAAAATGCGGCATGAGTGCGTGAGTGCGTGAGTGCGTGAATACACTTTTCGCGGGGAAACTTCGCACGTAGAGAAGAAAAAAATACGGTGCGAAGGGCAGCTCCCGTGTCTCTTCCATATTTTGTGGTCTGCTCCCTCCCGCCAGCTGCCCTACTGCTTCTTCTTACTTTCCATATCTTGGTTGCCTCCCCTTCTGCCCGAGACAAACTTTTGCATACAGCTCCATTTTCGCACGAGTCTTCGCCATCTACCTCGTCCAAACCATCGGTCATGGGTTCCGCAGCTACGGGCAGCTATGCCCTCTCGCAGACTCATCGAGAGGTAAGATTGAGAGACAGAGAGAGAGCAATACACACTCCATTGCGTCGTGCTACCGACGTTGAAGAGTAATTGGCCTTGCTGACCGGTGTCTCTTTGTACCCATGTAGATGCTCGAGAAGTCCCTCGTCGAGTCCGATTCGGAGATCGCTGAGATCATGGTACGTTCGTCCTTCCGCCGTCCTCACACCTTCCAACACAGTCATACAAGCCCATACACACGTACACACACACATATACATACATACTTGAATGGTACCTCGTATACTCACTCGAGTGCTGTGTGGATAGAAAAAAGAAATCAAACGCCAACGCGAGTCCATCATCCTGATCGCCTCCGAGAACGTGACCTCACGCGCCGTCTTCGACGCCCTCGGCTCGCCCATGTCCAACAAGTACAGCGAGGGATACCCGGGCGCGCGCTACTACGGCGGAAACCAGTTCATCGATGCCATCGAACTCACGTGCCAAAGCCGGGCCCTGACGGCCTTTCACTTGGACAGTGAGAAGTGGGGAGTCAACGTGCAGTGTTTGAGCGGGAGTCCCGCGAACCTGCAGGTGTACCAGGCACTGATGAGACCGCATGATCGGTTGATGGGCTTGGATCTGCCGCATGGTGGACACTTGAGTCACGGGTATCAGACGGCGCAGAGAAAGTAAGCAGATACGCCCATTTGTTTTGAGCAAAAAAATCGGTTGGTGTATTGACAACTCCACAGAATATCCGCAGTCTCAACCTACTTCGAAACTTTCCCCTACCGAGTCAACCTCGAGACGGGTATCATCGACTATGACCGCCTCGAAGAGAACGCCCTCATGTACCGCCCCAAGTGCCTCGTCGCAGGAACCTCCGCGTACTGCCGCCTGATCGACTACGCCCGCATGAGACAAATCGCAGACAAATGCGGCGCGTACCTGATCGTGGACATGGCACACATCTCCGGATTGATCGCCGCGGGCGTCATCCCGAGCCCCTTCGAGTACGCCGACGTGGTCACCACGACCACCCACAAATCTCTGCGTGGCCCCCGAGGAGCAATGATCTTCTACCGCAAGGGGGTTCGCAGCACAGACGCCAAAACGGGAAAACAGGTCCTCTACGATCTCGAGGGTCCTATCAACTTCTCCGTCTTCCCCGGTCACCAGGGTGGGCCGCACAACCATACCATCACCGCACTGGCAGTCGCCCTGAAGCAAGCGGCCACTCCCGAGTTCCGTGCATACCAAGAACAGGTGATCAAGAATGCCAAAGCCCTGGAAGTCGAGTTCAAGGAGTTGGGCTACAAGTTGGTCGCCGACGGGACGGACTCACACATGGTCCTTTTAGATCTCCGACCGCAGTCCCTTGATGGCGCCAGAGTCGAGGCCGTGCTGGAACAGATCAACATTGCGTGCAACAAGAACAGCATTCCCGGAGACAAGTCGGCCCTGACCCCCTGTGGCATCCGCATCGGCACGCCGGCCATGACCTCGCGCGGGTTTGGGGAAGAAGACTTTAAAAAGGTGGCCAGGTACATTGATACGAGCATCAAGCTGTGCAAGAAGATCCAGGGAGAATTGCCCAAGGAGGCCAACAAGTTGAAAGACTTTAGAGAGAAAGTGAGCAGCGACACCGTCGACGACATCTTGAAGTTGAGGGCCGAGGTTGCCGACTGGGCTTCGAGTTTCCCCTTGCCGGTGTAAGCATTGTCGCCCAGCTCTCTCCAAAAAGAAAAAGGCGAAGGTGTCATGATTTGATGTCATTTGGCGTTTCTGGGCGGGTGTGTCTGGCTGGGATGTGGTCATGGAGACTCTCAGATTTCAACGACTGGAAATTTTAAGGCTGCTGGAAAGAGGAGTGTGGAAGTTGGATGATCCAAAAAAAGAGCCGAAAGTTTGTATCTTCAACGATACCAGGTACCTAGATGCCTTCTTTGGAGGTTGCTGTCAGGCATGGTCGTGAAAAGTCGGCCACAATGGCATGGCCTGTTGGCCTTTTGAGACCCCACGAGCGAGTTTGTTCGGCAACGAGTATAGCACACAGCCGTTTGACCTCGTCACTTCTTTTCATGTCCCTTGACCTTTCTCGGCTGGACTTTTGTCTCATGAATTCCTCCCTGCACGCTTCTTGCGGGCCCCATGGCCGTGGGGACAGACGGTTCGCCCCTATGCAGTCATTTTCTCGTCTGTGCTCTCGTCCGTGCCCCTTGGGCAGTGTCTCCACCTCCTTCGGCGCAGCTGCTTTTTACAATGGCGCGCAAAGCTTTTCGTCGATAGGTGGAAAGTAAGCAGAGACGAAGGTGTGCGTAGTCGTAGTCGTAGCTGTCGTTTCCATCGTAGGCCCTTTTCGTCACAAAAAGAAAATACGGTTTCCGCTCTTGTCCTCTTCGCTCACCCCTCCTCACCTTCATTTTTTACCATTCCTCCTGCTTCTTGTGCCACCACACCGCCCTCCTCCTGCCTATGCTCCATAGGCTCATCTCTCATCTCCTCATCCTCATTCTCGTCCTCGTCCTTCATCTCGACATCCCTCCCCGCCTCGATCCCCGCCGTGGCGGCGGCAGCGGCGGCGGCAATCTCCCCGAACCGGCCCAACCTCCCCCTCAACCCTTGCACCATGCGTTCCAGCCTCCGGATCTCATCCTCCTGCTCGTCGACCGTCCTGTTCACGTCCGGTAGGCTGGTCACCGCCGCGCGGGCTTTCGCGAGACGCTGTTTCAGCGGGTAGATCTGTGCGGGGAGGTCTTTGAGGTCCAGAAGGGGTAAGTTGTGGAATGTCGCGGGGGCGGTTGCGGCTGTGGTTGTGGTTGTGCCGGACGGAGGAGGTGGTGGTGGCGGTGGTGGTTGTGACTGTGTTTGTGACTGTGTCTGTTGCTGGCTTGCCTGCGAGGGTGTGGAGGTTGATGGCGGGTTTTGAGATGTAGATGTAGAGTGTCCCTGCTGTGATGACCCTGGTTGCTGTTGTTGGTGGTGGCCATTCGTCTGAGCTTGAGCTTGCGTCTGCTGTTGCTGCTGCTGTGGGTGTTGATGGAGGATATTCAGCCGCGCGAGGAGGAGCCAGATGTCAGGGAGGATCGAGAACGTCGAGGGCGAAGGGAAAGGCGGGATGTCGGGATGGGCCTGGGCATGCGCTGCGGGCGTCGCATTTGCAGGCGAGGTGTTGTTGGTCGAGGAAGGCATCTTTTTCACCCTGCTATGCGCCGCGTCTTGCGTGTCCGTTACTGGGGGTGGTTTGGGTGGTGTATCCGTCTTGCCGTTCACTCCAGATACGCAGGGCAATACAACGTTGATAATCCGCTGCTGTTCAACGAACAGGAGGCCTCAAGTGCCAAAACAAAAAAGTCCCATCTAAGACGAGAACTTACAGTATGAGGTACCTACCTAGTAGGCAGTTAGACCACTCGAACAACAACTGCAATGGAGAAATCTGGGGTGCGGGAGCGCAAAGCCAACTTGGAAGCTCGGACAATCCTCTCCCGAAACGTCTGCTAGCGCAGCAGCCTTACGGGGGGCCCAATGCGGGGGGATGCAATGCATGTTCGACCAGGCTGTGCCCCTCTACCTAGGTAAGTACCCGTGGAAAGTACATACAGACTGCCTAGATACGTTCCTACTTGGGTACAAAGTACTCTCCTATTACTCTACTACCATAAGAACCATCCAGCAGAAAGCTTCACGATCGTGGTCCACGACCAAAAAGGACAGGCATGATGGCCACCACCAAGCAACGCATGGTCAAGCTCTCGCTCTTCGCGCGGCGCAAGAGTCATCTATCCGAGGAGGAGTTTCACCAGTACTGGTCCGAGACGCACAGGGCTCTAGCGATGGACTGGCTCGTGAGATATGGGATCGTCAAGTACACGCAGGTCAGTAGTTCTCTCATAAACACTTCTTCAAACCGCCCACTCATGGCTCGCCCGGCACAGTACCATACCCCCTCGAAGCTCCTTTCGTCTGCCCTAGCAGGGTTCCCTGCCCTGAAAGGTGTAAAGAAAGTCGACTTCGACGGCGTCGGCGAGTTTCTCATGCCAGATGTGGCATGCTTCCACAGGGCTCGCGAGGACCCATATTACGCCGAGGTTGTTGCGCCAGATGAGGAGAAGTTGTTCGACTGGGCTTCGGCGGAGTGGACCATTGGCTGGGAGGAGGTGTACATCAAGGACGGCAAGGTCGTGGATATGCCGTTTGGGGATGCTGAAGTGTCGAACTCCTGAACATAGGGGGGACATTGATTAGACGTACCCAGGACCAGCAAGGAGCATTTCAACCCAGCTTAGCTCAGTCATGTTCCCATACTTGCGTCGGATGTCCCTAGAGTTACAGATCGTTGAATCCAATGCAAGTCTTCTCAGCGAATCCCTTGTCCGCAACGGCCCAAGCCCACGCTCTCCCTGCTTCTCCCGTATACAGAGCAACGAACTGGTCGTCCCGCCCAGCCTCCTTCAACCACCCGACGCTTTCGAGGGCTTCGGTGGACATGCACGTCAAGAAATGCTGGAACTCCGCATCGTCGTCCAAGGCCAACGCATTGCCAGCAATGCCATGACACAGGCTGGGCTGCTTGGTGAGCAATCCTCTCTCCCAGGTGTCCTTCTGCGCCGCTTTGATGGCGGAGTCGATCTTGCCCTGCAGATTGGGGAAATGTGGGCGTAGAGACCTCAGAGCCAGTACGGCACCGGGTCCGCCGTGGCAGAACTGCACTAGTTTATCGGATCCCGGAGGTAGGGAGGCGGGGAAATTCCCGCTGGGGAGTTGGGCGTCAAGGAGTGATGAGAGGAGTTGTTCCACGGTTTGCGCGCACCAAGGTGAGGAGAGGAGTAGCTGGCACAAGATGCCGAACGTGCCGTGAGCGGCGCCCAGATACGCCTTGCCATGCCATGTCCAGGGTTGTTTCGAAGTCAGGATCCGCTGGACGGTCTTTCGGATGGTTGCCTCGATTAGTTCACTCGCCTTTGAACCCTCCTGGAAGCCAGACCGTGCGAGACGCAAGTAGTAAAGGTATCCCGACCGGCCGTACAACCACTCGTTTGATCCGTCCGCGCCGTTAATGACGGTCTCATAGGAACATAGTTGCTGGGCGAGACTGGCGTCCTGTTCCATCGCCGCGCGGATGGCGAGCTGTGCAAGGACCTCGTTTCCAATTCCACAATGGTTAGCGTCCACACTCTCCCGGCCACTGGACTGGCCGAGGTCCAGATATGCCTGTGCCCAGTCCAGGAGTGACTGACCTTTAAATGTGAGGTCTGGGTATAACTGAGAGAGGCGGAAGAACAAGTAGGCGACGGACGTAGGGCCATAGTAGAGACCGTGAAATGTCCACCCGGTCGAACATGTTTGGACCGGCGGGTTATAGGCGTTGATGCGCGTAAGGGAGGCCAGGAGTTCTTGATGGGCGTCGGCGCGCCGGGATGGGGGCTTGTCGTTCGGAAAGTGTCGGCCTGACGAGCTCATCTTTGGCTGGAATTTCTTTCTCGAGTCGGGCGATTGTGGCTGCTGTTATGATGTTGGGGAATGTGAAGACTGAAGAACAATTTAAGGAGCCTTGTGAGACAAACTGTTTCCAGAGCCTCGCGGGTCTGACATCATCTTGGCGCAGCAGCTACAGCTGTACCACAACACGTTTCTTTCTTCATCCACATCGTTCTACACAAACCTTGAACATTTGCTTGTATCTTAATGATCATGACGGAGGGGTCGATGGCCACAAGTGAGACCACTCGACATTACAGACAGATCTTCTAGGTTCCAGCGACAAGAGGACAAGATATCACGGCCCTGCCTGCATGGTTCATACTACGTACATGCTCGACAGCCACCTACTCCAGAAACAGGATTAAGTGTAAAGGGAAAAGAAGGAAGGGTTTGCATCTGGTTTTTGAGCTGTCCAAATGGTCGATACAGAGATCCCACTCGTTGCCTCAATCTCATGGGGGTGTCGATGCTTGGTTCAAAGGCAGCCTCCTCCATCTAACCCTGATCAAACGGTCCTCTCCATCGAACTTCAGAGGATCATCCAAGCTTAACACCAGGTATTTCCCATCGCTCTCGTCGACAAATCTCATGATCCTTCTCTGGATGTCACCCACCAGATACGGCAAGTTCGAGTTTCTCATGTTGTGCATCAAGATTGGGCGACCTTTGTCGTCACCGCGTTCATCCAGATAGAAGGCGCCGGTGTATGCAACATAGTTTCTGCCCACGGTAGCCCAGTCGGCATCTGAGCCGGCTTTTGACCCTGACCTGTCTCCGAAGGGCTTCTGTCCTGGTGTCTGGAGCTGCGCGGACATATAGCCGTCGGGGGTGTACATGATGATTCCCTTTGCATCCTGCCCCATTGGATAGAATTTGTTCGATTCGTCATTGGGCAGGTAGGCGACATATTCGATTAGTTCCCACGCGCCAATGAGCTGGGACCGGATCGAGCCTGGGCTGCCGGCTGCCATGGTTTGACACAATTGAGACGTGGTCGATGTTGAATGAATACGCAACAAGACGAGGCTGCAGCGGGAAATATGTACTCAAGACTGACATCAGCTGATGGGGAGCCTTGATCCTCGTGGAACGGAGGATATCTGATGCTTCCTTTTCCCCACCTCCGCTGAATATATAGTTTTATTCATCCACGGCCGGTATATGCAATTAGAGATCTTTCAGGATAGCCGAGCACGCCGAGGAAGCACCCGGACCCCCGCGCAGATTGCACGAGGAGTCGAGATGTCATAACAAGGGTTGCCGAATCAAGCATTGTCTTCCTTGGCTCCGTATACCTTGTGTCGGCCTGAGGGACTGCAGATTGAAAGGGACTCTCCTCGGTAGTTGAAGGCGAGTCTAGAGGTCGGACATATCTAGGCCGATGTCTTCTGTATAAAGTCTAAATAGAAAGCATTGAACGAAATACTGATTTTCTAAGATTCGACCCAAAGAGCTTGTCCCAGACATGACAGAGCTCAAAATCACCGACAGCGACATTGGTAAGCTGAAATTTAATGTTTAGGGAGACGAAAGGGTACCAGGTCCAGGAAACTGACTCGTCCTCTTGCATAGGGGATAAGTTGCGAGGGAAATCTGCCATCGTGACAGGTGGCTCATCGGGTTAGTCTTTAGTTTGGCGTCCAATATCGTTGACATGATCACGAATTCAGCGTAGACTGTGCTAACGCCGGAGACTAGGTATTGGCCAAGGTATGTGGCTCTTGTCTTCTTTGCGAAATCCGTTTCGCCCCAGTCGCCTTCACACTGAATTCGAGATAGGTATTGTGCATTACTTGACCAAGTGCGGTGTCAAAGTCTTGATAGGCGACTTACAGCCACCAACTGAGCCCGTCGATGGCCCCGTGTACCAGAAGACGGATGCTGGCAGCTGGGACGACCTACTTGCCCTGTTCAAAAAGGCCCAACAGTTGTTTGGTCGAATCGATATAGTCGTACCCAATGCTGGCTTTGGTGACCGCGGCGACTACTACTTCAAGCAGGAAGCCAATGGGGATCCTATCAAGCCCGAGTTTTCCTGTCTTAAAGTGACTCTGATCGGCCAGATGTATACTGTGAAATTGGCGATGCATTTTATGCGTTACCAAAACCCCCAGGGCGGAGTCATTGTGTCGACAGTGTCTCGAAGTGGCTATGACTGTCAAAGTATTCCTGTCTATGCTGCGTCCAAGCATGGCATGATCGGACTGATGCGGGGTCTGAGAAATCACACACCAGCATGGAATATCCGCGTGAACTCGATCGCACCCCATGTCACGGACACAGCGGCTGTCAGAAGGGTGGAATGGCTGGTTCCGGAGCTCAAGAGGGTCGGTATTCCTGTGAGCACGGTAGAAGAAACGGCGAGGGCAGCGGCCTTCCTGGCAGCGAATGAATCGTATAATGGCTGTACCGTCAGCATCATGGGGAGTGAGTATCGTGAGCTGGAGAGCGGTGTGGAAAGGCATAAGCGCGATGTCATGGGAAACGATCCAAGATTCAACATGACTCCTGAGCAGCAGGAGGTGATGGGTAAGCCCTTCCCTTTGCTGGATTTCGAGTGTATACATCTGACTGCTGATCAAGACAATATATTCCCACCTGCCGCAAAGTGGTAGAGGCTTGAGAGAAGTCGGCTGGTCGCGCTGAAGCTTGGGAATGACGCCTCTCGTTTCTGTCGACGAAGAGCTTGTGGTGGATATTTGCGCCTTGTAGATCCACTGATATGATACAGATATGGCTCTCGCCTCAGAAACGGGTGTTCAGATCCCAGTAATACCTACCTAAGGCTTTGTCCTTTTTCCTGGTCGGAGGCACTGCCATAAATTAGTCTGACAACCTGAACATCAACCAAAATACCCCGGTCCATTGGCTCTGGAAAAGTGACACTGCGCAACATTCCGATTGAAGCCCATAAGAGCAAGGGAAACACCATGGCGGTGGCTTGTATTTGTTCGCCTACCTGATTTCGATCCATGTATGGGAGCTTCGGACTGTCGACGCCGAGTCGATGGCTCTCATCACGGCCCGAACGGGTGTTCGCCCTCCCATTGATCCATGTGAGAGGACATGCTTCGTCCGTCGTTGCACATTGTCAACCCGGAAGAATGAAATCTGTAGATTGATTCGCTTCTGTGTCGGGCCAGATGGATCTCGCGATTGAAGGCTGCAGTCTTGGAAAGGGCACGGAAAGAGGAAGAGCTCGTAGCGTTATAAGTAATTGCGGAAGTGGATTCCTGGTTAGGGGCCAATACGCCCGCCCAAGTAGAGCCTAGAAGCCCGCTAGTCCGATCCCCGCCCACCAGTCCAAATCTCGGGGGGCACCCTACAGGCTAGGTGCAATTTCTACCTGCCTAGGTGCCTACCTAGGTCACCGCGCAGGCGCTTACCACCCCCAATCACCGCTCAGGTGCCCACCACTGGACTCCATGAGCACCAAGGAAGCCATCTATCCATCCAGTCACTCTTCGCCCTGCTTGTCTCTACCAACATCCTGGTCTCTTCCTTCAACCTCCCTGAACCTTCGCCATGCCGCCGTCACTTCGGAAAGCGTGCCACGCCTGCACCACCGCAAAGCGTCGCTGCGTGCCTCAACTCCCACAGTGCGCCCGTTGTGCCGAGAAGGGACTGCGCTGTACCTACGACTTGGAACCTGTGACCAATCTTGAGACGGACAGCTCTCGTCAGCCACACACGACGACCCAAAGCCCTTGGGAACCACTCCCTTCGATCATCTTCGATTCTGTCGCTTCGGCTCACGAAGCCGCCGTGCGTTCCTACTCCTCCGAGGGCTACGAGATGCTACCCGTGATGGCAAACCAGGATACGGTCATGTTGGTCGTAGAGCGTCACCTGGGACCTATCCCCTTGCTCACATTCCAGCAAAGAACCACCCCCTACATTCATAGGCAGGTGCTGTTGGCCACTAAGCTGAAATCTGCAAGCCTGGTTCTTGGAGACGTCGATGGCTCTGGGAGGACACTCGGCCTCAATTCCGCCTTTCTAGAAGGGGCGCAACAACACCTATTATCGCTGGAGATCGAACAGCTAACGTTCACCGAGTTCCTGGGAGCATTTCACATGCTGGCGGCTATCCTACTCTCCTTGATTCTGAGCTTTGGCCGATCCTCGCCCAACGCTCAACTACCGCCGATTCTGCTCGATCTCTGGACAACCTGGACAAAGCATTTTCATACAATCCTCCCACGAACACTCAGCAGCGACCTGTCGGCATGGCAGGCCTGGTGTACTGCTGAAAGTGCTCGGAGAACGCTTCTATATATCATTCTGGTGGACGGAATGGTGGAAGTGGCCCAGAAAGGATTTTGCCACTACCGCCCCATGGTGGAGTCTCTGCCTTTTGATGCAAGGACAGGTCTCTGGGAGGCAGACACTGCTGAAGAATGGCGAGCTGCCGTGGCTGCGCACGGCGGTGCCGAATCCGAACTGATGTCCTGGGCCGAATTCATTAGAATTGGGGGTCCAGAGCCTCGCGGGGATTATGACGGGATGCTCCAGCGAATGCTCCTCATTATTCATTTTGGCAGGGCCGCTGCTGACGTCCAGTGACCCACACGAGACACCGCGCTCTGTTCAACCACTGATATGTTTGTACCTCGTTCCCGACTCTGCATGACAAGACCGACAGTGTCCACCTGTTACGGTAGCCTTGCCGCCAAAAATGGTACTCGGAATCTCTCCTGGATTTACCCGAGTGGAATCTAATACTATTTCGGTTAAACGACATTCCTGCTCCACAACATCGTGGGCCAACGCTATCGTACTCGTACCACAATTTGTATCCAAGTACATCTCTGGAAGAAGAAGAAGAAGGAAAATAACAGCGTCTGACTCGCGAGATGCTCCTCACAGAACATGGACATCCCTCTTGGTCCGAGAGGGAGGCTCTCTTGTCTGACAGCGCATTTACTTCAAGTACCTCTCCACTTCAGGGTGACGGCAATCCATCTCGAGCAGTCAGAAGACGAGATCAACATCCACCAGAGGCATATAAAAGGGACGAACCGACCATGCTCGCCCCGACAAAGTGCAAGCCTTGTTTGAGCAGGCTCATATATTTGTCCCGTACCACAATTCACCCTTAAACTGAACCATGGAATACAACCAGGATCTCCCCAAAGGCAATCCCCAGTATGTCCCTCCAGCTACATCTTATCGACAAATCCGGTCCTATCTTTACTTGAATAATGCTAATGACCTTTTTCGCGGAAAACTAGTAAACCAGTCTACTGCTGGGGCCACAAAGATCTCCCCGCGCAGCGCGGCGTGGTCACGTATTCAGTCTCGCCCAACAGGCTCAACCCGCTCGCAACCGCCCTGCACAGCGCCGTGTTCAACACGTACCGTCGAACAAAAAACCAGGTGCTGTACTGGGTCCCGCCGTTGGTCGGGGCGTATCTGTTGATGGACTGGGCGGATCGACGGTAAGCTCAGTCGAGTCTTTTATCACTTCTTTTATCACTACTCCGGACGACCAGAAGGAGATTTCCGAAGGGATGTCCGGGCGGATGGTTTTATGTGAACGTCCTTGCATGCAAGGGAAGGAGATCTGGTCGTCTTGGTTTCTTTGCCCCTTGTCCTTCTCTCCTGCAATGCGACATATCAAGTCACTTGTATGTATATATACGCATACTGACAAGGACACCATTGCTACATCAGGAACCAGTATCTCAACTCCAAAGCTGGCAGGGCCGAGACCGCCGAAGACGACTAAAGGACACCTCGAGACGATTGAGACCACCCACTTTGCGGCGGAAGAGAAGAGGACGAGACATAGAAGTTTCAGAGATAGACAGGGCGAATATGTCGGGACATTGGAGAAGATGGCTAGTCCACGGGGCGTTTCGGAAAACCATCATTGAGCCTCACTACTGACTGCCTTGCCAGCTCCATTTCACAAGCGGAATTGCTGCGGCATTGCTCTGGCCTGGGTTGAAAAGGGTTTGAACCCAGTGCCGGTCTCATTGATCCAGTTGAATCCCTGACTATCAACACAATCATGCAGAACCTGACCCCAATATGACTTACTCGCCCGGAAGCAGAAAACACAGTGGGTGGGTTTCCGTCGCTCGTTTCTTCACGCTCCTCAAGAGACTCGCTTGTCCTCCATACACAATGTTTACTCTTCTTTTCTTTTCTTTCTTTTTTACAGAAATCGAGACCTCGTTTCGATGTTTCTAAATTCTGCCCCCTTTCGGCCCATGGCCGTAATTGATCCTACCAAGCCCATCCCGCCGACCTTTATTTGAGATCGGTCAAACCATGATATACAACTCGTCCTTAGGCAACCCATCTTCTTTCAAGTTTGGATAGTACGGCACCATCGCATCGGCACTGTGCACGTATGCATCGTTGTATAGTCTCCAGTAAGGAGTGCGGACTTTCCTCGCCGGATGGAACAATCCCGCCCATACATAATTCATCACAATGCCAGTGCCAACCGCCATTCTAATTGCCTCAATGGCCTCGATGATCCTGTCAATAACATGAGGGGACGTCTCGAATAGATTTGGATAGAGCAGGTTCAGGAGATGGACCATTGCGTCTTCACATCCCAGACCCATCACACCTAGGGCGACATGTTTGACAACACTGGCGGCAGTCTGCCGGTGGACTTGATCCCGGTCGATCAGTGCATCCTCCAGTAACGGTGTAACGGCATAGACATAGTCCTTGGCCATTTCGCCGATGTATTCGAATAGGAAACTCAAGGATTTCAACACGCCGTTCTGCACATTAAGTTCAGGGACGCGGTATTCATTCATCAACGCTGGTAGGACGGTGAATGGTGCGCATGTTTCCGCAACAATTCCGATAGCCACCGCAGTGCACACACGGGACTGCCGCTCTTGAACGCGCAGATTATTGAGCAGGGTTGCGAGCACATCCTGTGGACCGATTGCTTTGGCGATAAATCCGAACGTATTGTTGGCCGCGCGACGGATTCCCTTCTTGTGTGCTTTCAGCATATCCAAAAGTTCAAAGCAGATACGCATCCACTCTCTTGCGTTGACAGATTCAGGACCGCGATCCGCAATTCGTCCCACGAGGTCAATGGTGTTTTCCTGGACTTTTTCGTGGCGGTTGCGCAGAATGGGGGTTAGCCGTGGTAAAAGGTCCTTGATCGGTGGTTGCATTTGGTTTATACCCACCACGGTGACTATGGATCGCAGCGCACCCAGGATAGAACCCAAGACTTCTGGATACTCCTCACCGAGGTACTCGTAGAGGACGACACCTAGCTTACCCATCAGAGCATCTTCACCGCATTGTTTCATGACCATGGCAATACGCGAAATAAGGTCTGCGGCTTGCTGTCGAACGGTGGCAGATTTGTTGTTCAGTCGCCAGAGGATCGTGCTGACAATTTGTGGCAGGTAAGGTTTACATCGCGTGCCTAGGGCGTTGACGACTGTCCCGAATCCATTAAGCATGACAATGTCCTCGATGCTTTGCTCTTGGAAGGCGTGGAGGATGCCGTCCACGAGCCGCTCTTCGAGTCGTTCGCCGATATCCGCAGCGCCGAGGGAGGCGATGACCTTTTCGATAGTTTCCACAGTCATTTTGCGGTAGGCTTCGCTTTCGTCCTTCAGGTTGTTGACGATCCGCTCGACAATCTCGCTGACACCGACTTTCTGGCCGAGATCCACAGTTGTTTCGACGACTTGACGGTAATTTCTCTTGTCAAGTGCCATCCGCCGGACCCAGAAGCTCTTGAAGAATTCTTGCAACACGTGTTCCTTCAAGTATCCAGCAGTCACACCGTCGGTGCTCGCGCACTGAGAAACAACTTTCAGCACAACCTTCTTCATTTCTTCGTCCGGCGAGGCAAATTCTCGAAGCAGGATTTCCATAATCTGGCTTGTGTAATAGTTCGCATATTCCTCGTCCATGAGAGGGATAATGTAGCCCACAGCCTTCAAGAAGCCAGCAAGCCCTTTACCTCGTTGCTTTCTCGCACCTGTCCAAAGAGGATTGAGAATATCGTCGAAGCTCTCGATGCCGTAAGGATTGGCGGCCTCGGCCAGTGCAGCAATTGCCAGAGAAGTAACCGTCCTCACCTTAGCTTGTTCATCACTTAAATTATCGGCAATGCAATCGACCAAGCCTTTCAAATGAGGCAATACCGCACAGCCCATCAAGATCGGGATTTGTTGCACAATCTTGACGCCTGTGTGACGCGCCTGCCATGACTTCTTGCTCCGACAGACTGCACGTAGGAAGGGGAGGAGTGCCGGAATTCCCAGCGCTGAAGCCACCACAGCGAATGCCCTTGCAGTGGTATTACGGACGTATTCGTCCACATGGTCGATATCTGGTCGCATTGTACTGATCATATGAGCCAAGCCAGCAGCTTTGGCCAGATTGGAGATGATTTCCCGTCCTTCCACACGAGCATAGTAGTCCTGGTCAATGAGGAGAGGCTCAATCACGACCAAGATCTTGTGGACATAGGGTCTGATCAGATCATCGAGCTTGTAAAGAACACGGTCGATAACCTTGACGAGCAAATGGCGTTCCTGATCTTCTAGGCTTTTTTCCATCAACAAGGGCAAAATCTGGTTGAATAAAGGCCCCGCTCCAAATTGGCGTGCATTATCAGTCAACTGTCGGAGGGCAGTCTTACGCATTGGCGGAGTGCCGTTCTTGACTTTGAGCAGTAGACGCATGATTTTTCTCTCTTTCAACTCCTCAACTGACAGGGCATTTTCATCTGCACCATCGACGAGTTTGCCGAAATAAGTCATGTCCTCAGCCTTGAAAAATTGGAGGTCACCCACCCCAGGGATTTCTGTGGGAAGCTGCTTGCCCAGCATTCTTGGGTTTTCTGGCTCCTGCATCATGAAGCCACCTATGCCAGCTGAGGCGGCCGTGGCGGGCGTTGCGGCGACTTTTCTGGCGACAGGTCGGATTGGGGCGTATCCAGGGGGTGGTTCGAGGACGGTGTAACCTTCTGTAGGAAGCATCATATCGAGTTCTTCGTCTGACCAAGGAGCGTTTCTTCCCGTGATATCTGTCCCAAAGCTTACCTGTGCCATTTGTGAGGGATGCATTGGCGTGGCAAGCCCAGCATTGCCAACGGGGGTCGCCGATGTAAGTGCAGGCGCTTGATCCCATCTAGATCGTTTTGTTGGCGCTGGTGCTCCGTCCGGGGCGGGAGCCTGATCCCATCTCGAACGCTTTTTCACCTCGGCGCCGTCAGGGGCAGGAGTGGCTTCGCTGGATACATCCCATCTCTTCTTGCGCTTGCGTCCCGTTGCCTCAACAGTCGACCCCGCGTCCGCATTCTCCTTGTCCGCTTCTTCCTTGAGCGTTGGTCTGTGCTCGACGGTGTCACCATTTGTCTGTTTCTCGGAAATGAGTTTCTTCACCCGTTCTTCCTCGCGCTCGAGATCTTGCAACTGCATGACCTCACGGTAGGTGGCACCTTCATTAACACCAGCATGCTTGTTTGCAGCAAAGGGATCGGCTCGAGTGGGTGTCAAAGGACCACGATCAAATCTTCGCTTCTGGTAATCAGTCTCACGATCTGCTATTCTGGCAGATTTCTCACGCCCAAGTAAGATGTCCTCTTCCTCCACCCCATTTCCGGTTGCGAATTCGCTCATTTGGTCCTTGGTCGCTGTATACTGTCCGACGAGTCTCCGACTGCTGTCTGCATCGGGCATCTCGTCATCTTCGCCATCGGCGGGGAGGGAGGTGTGGTAACCAGCAAACTTGTCGCCGCCATCCCGGTCGTAGAGAACAGTATCAAAACTTTCAGTCAAAGACGCCTTGGTGGATGAGTCAGTGCGTTGAGTGGATGGATCGAAGGTCTTTGAACCTTTCTTGCCGGCTGCTTGAGCATTGCGCTCTGCCTGCAGGCGCCGCACAGTATCGAAGTCGGCTTGAAGCGATGTCAGCTGGGAGTCCATAGTTGATCTCGTAGGGTGCTTACCGTCCGACATATTGCGCGCCGTGACGACCTCGATGGAGATTGAGCAAGCAGAGACAAGACGAAGCGTGTAGAGGAGGAAAGAGTTGATTCGTGAAATGAAAGTCTCCGCAGTCAAGTCACTGCCACGGCAAGAGGCGAGAAGTGGCAGCAGGAGCCTAAATTTGTCACCATCCACGTGACCACATTTGTCAGGACCGTCATGTGACCAGGATATCTCTTGGCGTTTCCTCGCTTCTAGAAACTGTTGAGCTCGCAACTTCCCGCCTCGACCATCTCGTCCGCCTCTAAGGTGCACGTTTGTTTCGGCTACGAATATTCATTAACAGGGGCGCACATGGACCGTTGCATTTTCACCATTGCTCATTTAGGCACATGCCAACCTCGTATAGATCCTGCAGAACCCGACACTTAGCACCGAACAGGCATCAAGCGGACTGCAGTGGCGCAGATAGAATGGTGCTGGGCTTCGCTCCCATGCGCTTCCAGGACGGGGGAGCTTGATACAGGCGATGGTGGTGGCCACGAAAAGATTTTCCTGCCTAAAGAGGCATGCTCCGGGGCCTAGAATGGCCAGGCTGCAGCAGGGACCAGCACTCGCGGGCAGCCAGGGTTAGTTAAACTACTGCCTGTGGGTGGCCTGCAGCGGCTGGTGGCAGAAGTAATGTCCTAAGCACCCGTTGGTGCCGCTAACTGAAGGAGTGCAAGCAACCCAACCCCACACTGGACGCCCACACTGGGCCTACCCAGGTATGGAAACGGCCTATGGAAACGGCCTATGGAAACGGCCTATGGAAACGGCCTATGGAAACGGCCTGCACCTCCTTTCCCCTTCTTGAGGCTTCCCACTACTGTGCAGCCTGTGCCACTCCCTCCCACAGCACCACCACGCACCACCCTCAATCCCACCACCAGCTGCACGAGTTTACCGTTCCTACACTGCCAAATCGCCTGGCCTGTCCATTTTCTCCTGATGATCTCCCAATCGCTGCAGTCTTGCGCTGGGTAATACCACCACACACATCTCTGACCTGAATGCCGTATCACATTGTTCCTGCATAAGGGCTTTTCACAGTCCAATTCCTTCCCCGGCATCTCAACTGTCTCTATTCAAATGCCTGCGATGTTTCATTCCCCCAGCCGTTCGCTCGTCTCTCTGACCTCCGGGTAACGTCGTATTCAGCGTCCTGCCCGATCGCATTGCAATTTGGCGATTCTCTGAACCCAGCATTTGCCTCTGTCGTTATATTGGTTGCACCATTTCGAATTGTATGGAATCCGCTCTGGACTCAATGCGACGTTGTCAGGCCGATTGATTGATTGTCCAATTTCCTCATCGAAGAGCTCCATCCTCATTTTCTCCCCTCGAGTTCTCCGTGCCAATGCCAGGTTGCTCAGATCACGGTCTGGCAGGCGCCCGTGGAAGGAAATTGAAGCAACAGACTGGTGTGCGCAGCCCGCACCCTCGTCTTGGTATAGAACAGTGGCAGTGGTGACAGGCACAAGGGTTGACATCAATCGTTCGATCGGCGAGAGGGCTCGTCAGGTTCTAGATGATGAAACCGAATGATTGGGAAGAGATGGCAAGCGTGGCAACCCAGACAAGGTCCAGATCACAGTTGATTCAACGGAGATCCAGCCGCCAGGCTTCGTCCCGGGACAGACATGGCAAGATCTTTGAAGAGACGGAACATACCACCATCCGCGCTGTGACGCCAGACTATATCACGCCTCGCGCCGACTCTTTCGATGCTAGTCACATCCACTCCCCAGTACTGCAGCCCACGCGCACACGGCATTCACAAAGGAGACGGGAAACCTCCGCATCCGCCTCGAACACTGAGGAAGACAGTACTATCGAGAGAAGACGGCGGAGGGCACAGACAAGAACAAGTACCAACGAAGAAGTGCCGGTGGATATTTCCCCCGGGTCCTTCATCACTAAAACTCGCAAGAGGCTCGGGTCCATAGCCACAGGCCTACCCATTCTCCCTCCTGATGAGGCTCATGGGTCAATCGGGTTTCCCTCAGTGGTACAAAGTCCAGAACACTTGGACCAACACGGTCCACCCAAAACTCCACGTCGGCCATTTTCTCCCGATGACTCCTTCGCCGCAAGCGCAAACAGTCTTCGGTCTCCCAAGCTGCTCGATATCGATTCCGGCAAAATTCTCCATCTCATGAAAACTACCTGTGGTCGAATGCATGGCATCCTTTTCTTTAGAGCACTGCATACGACGGCATGGGCTTCTGGCTACTGTGCTATTAACGTGGCGCCTGGTAGTCTGGTATGCCAGACCAAGGGCGAAATCCACCAGTCTAAGGTATTAATACCAGATCTGCGGGGCTGCACCGTCAGGACTCACTACGACCATGAATCCCAAAGCACGTATCTGAGTGTTCTAATCGCATCCTCAGGAACTGGCTATCAGCTCCGACCTCCAGTGCCTGAAACTTTCGACTCGTGGCTCGCAGCTCTGTTGTGTTGGCAACCATTGAGACCGAAGGGCATACATAACAAGATGACCAAGCCTCAACCAGTTGGAATCGCCGACAAAAAGGCAGTCTCGCAGAGGCGTCTTTCCGATCTCACGAATCCGAAAGCCACAGCTATAGTGAAAGTGGGTAAGATGTTAATCTGGGACGGACCATTGCCTTCGGGATCTCAACTCGAATCATCACCCAGCAGCATTGGCCGGTCAATGACAGAAGAAAACTATCTCTGGCGCAGAGTGAGCTGCACTCTCCACGAAAATGGCACATTTCGCCTACTTAGCGAGGTCGATAGTCGGGTGCTGTCGGTAACACCATTGTCGCAGCTTTCTCGCTGTGCAATTCAGCGACTCGATGAAAGCGTGCTGCGGATGCCACATTGCATCGCGATCTATCCTCAGTATCGTGTCCAAACCCCTGTTGTAGGGCTTTCGAGACCGATGGTATTATGCTTAGAATCCAATGTCGCACTCGAAGCTTGGTTTGTCTTACTGCGAGCCCTGACTGTGCCGGAGTTATATGGTCCAGAACAACTATCTCCCGAAGATGCACAGGCTTTATCGCAACCATCGCAACCATCGCAACAGAGTGACAACATCTCTGCGCCGGGCATGTTTCGGATAGAGCGATCCCTCTCAATCAAGATAACTGAGGCAAAGTTTACCCAGCGATCGGCCCCAGCGGACACCTATGAATACAGCAAGGCAAAGGCAAAATCAGCAAAGGTTGAGCAAAACAAAGAAGGGGTATACGCGGAGATCATGCTGGGTAAGGACTTACGAGCCCGGACAACGACCAAGCAGACGGTTTCTTCAGCTTTTTGGGCAGAGGAGTTCAATTTACCAGACATTCCCGCATCTTTATCCAAGATCACCATCGCGGTTAAGCTTGGAAACCCTGCAGAGAAGGAATGGACGATGGTCGCTGATAGCCTCTACGATATCTCGGCAGACGCTGGATACCTTTCCGGCCTCGGCGGCCTGGAGATTTCGTCCCACGATCCGATCTTTGGGAGGGTGGATGTATCGATTGATGAACTGGAGCGTAGTCACACCATCGAGAAGTGGTGGCCTTTATTGGACAACAACGATCATTCTGTCGGCACGGTCCTGGCCCGGTTATCACTGGAGGAGACGGTGATTTTGATGGAGGCAGAGTACGCAGAATTTGCCAATCTTCTGCACAACTACACGAATGGCTTAACAACACAAATTGCTCATCTCCTTGGGCCTGATCTTCGGCAACTGTCCGACATCCTCCTGGACATTTTCCAGGCATCGGGTAACGCCACTGACTGGATCAACAATCTTGTAGAGGAAGAAATTGACGGCATCTACAAGGACACTCCCCCAATGCGAATGCGCTTCAGTGGCCGAATCCATTCCAACGACTCGTACGAATCGGCCGAGCAGAGAGAAATGCTAGTTCGTGACCTCAGTCGATCGGCTGCGATGGAGGCCAACTTGCTTTTCCGAGGCAACTCACTCGTAACCAAGGCACTCGATGCCCACATGCGCAGGCTGGGCAAGGACTATATGGAGGAAGTCCTAGGTGAAAAATTGCGCAAGATTATCGAAAGGGATCCCGACTGCGAAGTCGATCCCAGCCGGGTCCGATCGCAAGAGCAGCTCGACAAGAACTGGGCGAACTTGCTATTCCTCACCAGCCAAATCTGGAAATCGATCTATCTCTCCGCGGCCCGGTGTCCAATGGACTTGAGGGTTGTTTTTCGCCATGTCCGGTCCTGCGCAGAGGATCGATATGGCTCTTTCATCCGGACGGTCAAGTACACGAGCGTCTCTGGTTTTCTTTTCCTTCGTTTCTTTTGTCCTGCAATCTTGAATCCGAAACTCTTCGGCCTGATCCAGGGTACGCTTTGCTGAAACCTCCTTCTTGGCTCATGCTAATATCGTCTAGATTACCCCCCTGACCGCACGAAGAGGACTTTTACATTAATCGCGAAGTCCCTCAATGTCCTTGCAAACCTGGCACGATTTGGGACCAAAGAACCTTGGATGGAGCCCATGAATAAGTTTTTGGCGGCATCAACGAACCAGTTCAGAGCCTTCATCGACGAAATATGTGCTGTGAGCTCCTCTCAGATAGCTTCGGCTAAACTCGAGCCTCAATATGCGGCGCCAAACCAGATACGCGGTCGACTTTCAGCTCTGTCCCGAGAGGGGCTTCCTAGCCTTCCATACCTCCTGGACCATGCAAAGCTAATGGCACAGCTCATTGACCTATGGGTTACGCATGCCCCTGAAAACATTAGCGATGCGACCGACGACGAGGCTGTACAAGCGTTTCATGCGGTCTGCGTGAGGCTCTCGCAGAGGAGCAAAGAATGCTTCAAGGCCGCGGAGCAAGCTGAACGGCCTGATGAAAAGTCGGAACATACCTGGCAACGGCTCCTCTCAGACCAGCAAAATTCTATATCGCCGAGCAGGACTTTTGAAGAATCTCTGCTGAGATCACACAGAGACACCGAGATCACGGCTCTTCCCCAAACGACAGACACCGTGGCAGAAGTAGAATACAGGAATGCCGAGCTTTCTCCAGTTGTCGGAGAAGGCGATACGACACCATCAAGCTCAGCATCGGCGTGGGAAAGACGGATTCCCTACCCTCACCGGGCAACAGAGGCCCGAACAATGACAGACTCGACGAATTCATCGACCGATGCAGTTGATATGGTTGAAGATGCTCGGCGGCCGATGTCCAGCAGCCGCGATGGGCCAACAAAAAGCCGTCTGTTTGAATTAATGAGTTCTTCTTCGCGGCGGAGAGGAAAAGCCGGGGACCGCGCTTATGTGGACGACGACGGGCACGAAGTTTGACGACAGTAGCAGCAGATTTTGATGACTTTGTGATGTCGCTACCTAGATACCAAATCATGTACGAGAAACAATGATCTTTTAGTAACTCGGGTACAGATCCCACAGTCCTGCAGATAACTACCTAGCGAATATCAGACCAGCCTCTCCTTGGCTGCCAGCCTTCCCGCCACAATGTCCAACCAGTCCAATATCCTCGGAAACCAGAGCATTTGTTCCTGCCTCTTCCACCACGCCGCCCCACGACTACCTCCGAGTGCTTTGTCCCCATTTTCTTTTGCTGACCCTCTGCCTTTCCCTTTCCTGACTAAATCCATGGCCCTATCCTCTTCGATCCCTCCTAGCACGGCCTGTGTCTCCTCGTCCATTTCCACCCCACCCCTCTCCATCTCCGCGAGCAATCCGTCGACCTCCCTCAAGGAACTCCGCGTCAGCCAGACCAAGGACATCAACGAGTTGTAGAACTGCGGGCTGGCGCCGAGCACGTACGATGTTGTCCCTAAAGAGCGGATTCGGGGTAGGAGGAGCAGTGCGTAAGGGGACGAGGGGTAGAGGTTGATGTAGAGTCTGAGGGCGAGGAGGAGGGAGGCCGGGTAGGTGTGCTGGAGGATGGCGAGTTGGGTTGCGGAAAGTGTTGGGGATGAGATTGTGTTGTCCGTCGTGGCGTCGTCGGTAATATAGGTGCCGGAGCTGGGAGAAGAGCGTCGCAGCTCTCTTTCCGCTGCCTCGATCAGTCGCCTTGGGTTGTCTGACTTTTCTCGCGAAAATGTGAACTTTTGCAGCCCACCGCATCTCGGCAGCTTCTCCATGTCGTTGCTGAGTGCCTGACCACCTGGCCGGGGTTGTTGCAAGTCCCTGGCCATGGCGAATATTCGAGACTCGCAGACTTCCCACATGGCAATGTCGCCCTTCTTGGTCTTCGAATGCGCTGCCTCTTGGAGGGCGCGGGATATCGAGTGCAAATGGTCACGAACGGCATTTTGGATGGATCCATCGACTTGGCTGAAGGGGCGAGATGGAATGGCGGTCTCGGCGAGGATATCTCCTTCTTCTTCTTGTAGTTCGGAGAGACCTGGAAAATCCGCCACTTTTGGCGCTTGCACACCCGAATGCCCAGCAGTGCTTGTTGCCTTGGTCTGCAGAGTCACGGAGAGGTTCTCGGGACTGTCTTCCTTGGCATTTCGACTCAGCTGGTCTGTCAAATCCCGGTCATGTTCCTCCGTTAATCTGGCCCTAGACTGCTCTAATGGGGAAAGGACAGGCTGCGTGGTTTGCGCTTGTTCCCCGGGCGTTTCAAGGTTGGATTGGTCTCCGACGACATCCTGATGCGCGACATCGCCATCAGGCTTTTGAGCAAGGTGAGACCCATCCCGCCCAAACCGATGGCTCCGCAGAGAAGAAGTGAATATGTTGAGAATATTCTCAATGTCAGTGTCGGCAGCATCTGCATAAGCCTTGCGTCGCTTTGAGAGGGTCGGTTCGGTCTGTTTAGGGGCAAACCGGAGTATTGTCTCAAAGGCTCTGCGCTCGCTTGCGGTGATGGTAGAGCTGATTGTTGTTTCGGCGTTGCTGGAGGTGGAATCAGATGCTATTGGAGACCAAGTGACGCTTCGGGCTTTTGCTTTGAGAAAAGACTCGTCCTCGGCCGGGGAAAGGGGAGCTTTGCCATCTTCGACTGGGACATCTGAACCCACTTGAGATGACGCAAATCGTGGACGTAGGCGGCAAGTTCTCTTTGGTAAGCGCAGGATGGTCCGGGTATGGTAGAGAAATGGCAACTCCATACGAGCTGCCATGTCCAAAACTACAGTATCGAGAAACACGACATGAAGGGAATGGCTGGGAAGAGGAAGAAATCCATATCACGTGGACTTCATAGTAATGAATCGGTACAGTAACTAGCCCGTTATAGATCTTGGCAAGTTTGTCTGCGCTCGGAACGTGACCAGCCTCGCCAGGCTGAAACGTCCAACTGTCTCTCCGCCCGGGCGGCGGGCGCCCTCGATGCCTCCTGGGCCCTGGCACCCACTGGCACCCACCTGGCTCGCTGGATGCCTCCCTCCTTAACCGCAACTGCGCGCGCGCCCCACCATGCGCCTAGTGACTTAGTGACACTTGCTGGACTTGCTCTGCCCACGTCCATGATCCCTCGTTGATAAAGACCATATCTACGCCTCACCTCTACGCCCGCTTCTCTACCTTCTCCTTACCAATATTACAAATTCTGACCTTGTTCTCGCAAGCCCGCCCCTATCCTCTCCAATTCCACCCCACCTGACATTCCGCCCTGACATACACGTTATCGTACTCCAATCACCCCCACGCTGGTCGGCCGAACACGTGGAGAGAGTGCTTTCGTCCCGAGTCTGCGCGGTCCAGGTGCCGCATGACTTGTGGCACAACTCGCGATCACACAGCATACCAATTCCCCGGGGAAAGCCTGACTGCGTCTGTAGTCACTAGGGCACCTTTCCACCCTTCTGCCTGCGTTGTGCACGCTCTCTACAGTACACCCTTTGTGAACCTACCCGCATCATGAGCACCGCCCTCCCTCGATTGACTTCAGACCCTCCAACTGCCTGGAACGATCATGAGCAATACGGAACCATGAATCGAGGACATTCAAAGAGTACTTCTCAACACCCCGGGTCTATGATGCATGGACCGGGCAGACAGCGGAATGGCTTCAGCGGCAACGGTGAGAAGGCTGTGCCGGTACCGGGGTCGACGGTCTTTGGGAACGGCGCGGACAGAAAGAGCAGTATCTCACAGGGCCAGCCGCTCTTTGATATAGCGAGGAGCCCTCCGACCACGTCGAGCAAGAGTGAGTCTAATTGTAACCGAAAGAACGCAGCCTATGCTGACCTGTTTGTCGCAAGATACCAAACACGTCCCATGTAAATTCTTCCGTCAAGGGGCCTGCCAGGCAGGAAATGCGTGCCCTTTCTCCCATTCTCTCGACCCAATGACGCAGCAAGCGCCTTGCAAGTATTTCATGAAGGTACGACTGTTTTTAGTGGTGGATAACTCAAGATCAACAAGATTAACGTGTACAGGGGAATTGCAAGTTTGGCGCCAAGTGTGCGCTGGCTCACTATCTTCCTGATGGGCGACGAGTCAATCGGGCAGACCTCGATGCTGGTTTCGCCATGTCAGGTCGAAACTTCAACTACGCAAATCGATCCGAACAATCGCCATTCCCCAGCCAAGATCCAAGTCTGGGAGATCCCATACTCAATCAACCGCCCTACGGCCAAGACTATTTCCAAGGTTCAGGTTTCCCATTGATGGACAGTGACGAGGCGGACGCGTTTCAAGACCGGTACAACCAATATCAACCGCCCTCAGCCCTCGATTCAGGGCTCAACTCCCCCCCAACGTCTCAGTTTGGTTCTCCGCCAAATGATTACCAATTTCCCAAGTCGCCCGTCGAGAATCTTCGAACCGCCCTCAATGCCCCTCTGCCACAATCCTTCGATGCGAACGGAGTTTCCCACATCGCGAAGTACGGGCCTCTCGGCCAGTCTGTCCCAGACAAGTTTGGCATGCGATCTCCAGCGTCTTCTTCGCTGTCTAGACAACTTGGAAGTCCTCCAGAATCAATTGTCAATGTTCGAAACGCCAACTTGGGGTCCAATTTGAGGAACGTGTCGCCTTTGGGTCTTTCGCCGCAGAATGCAGAGGAGTCCATTGGCCAGCGAATTATGCATTCTCAGAGAACAGTTAAAACAAGAGGGCTATCAGCAAGTGTTCCGCGCTCACATCTTCCTTATGAATGGGAGGAAGGGGTGGGGGTGGAGACAGACCTACTTCCCAATAGTCTGCACGACGAAGTACTTACTCCCCAGGAAAAGATGCGCCGCGCTTCAAGGGCGGATCAAGAGCACAGCTCCAAGGATCATGTCCACGCCCTGGCGATTCCAAGTGGAACTTCTAGCAAAGTGGGATCCCCACCAGCGGGAAGTCCTTCCAGATTCAGTGCCTTATGGGCTGAACAGAGGGAGAGAAAGGCTGCAGAGAACAATGTGCCGTCCAGCTTCGGGCACGTTGGTTCACCTCTTCGTGGGTCCTGGATGCCCAGCGAATCGTCCACTCCGAGCGTACAGATATCTGGTATATCTCAGGCGATGGCCCGGATGCAGCTCAACCGAGTTGACTCGGGCGAATCGAATGGATTGAGGGTCCAGTCGAGTGGTCTGAGACACTCGTCGGCGCCCATTGGACGATTTGACCGTGGGATTTCCAGCCCTGGCTTGAGTTCAAAGAAGATCGATGAAGAGGTTGAAGGAGTATTCTTCCCCATGGACGGCGATGACAAGACACCCAACTGGTCAGGCCAGTCACCTCGACTTGTGCCACAGCGCGACAGAAGCAACGGTGACTTGACGGGACATAAAAAGGACACCACAGGACTCGATGAGAATGGGTTGAAGTCAATATGGGCTTTTCGCTCGTGAAGGGTTTCCAGCGGACGAGACGCATTAGCGATACACGTTGTCACCAATAATAACGAAGCACGACCGGCGTCCAAAAATGTACAGAATGTTCGATACCACTCCGGCTCCTCATTCGAGTGATGAAGACATGAAACCCCCAAAACTTTTGCATACACACATTGCAAGGCGTTTACAAATGAATGAAAGATGAAATCAGAACCAGGGCTTTTGAGTGAGGAAGGGGAGAAGTGATGGGCGCTACAGATACCTCTGCTTGTTTTTCAGGTCTTGCTTATATGGAGCGCCATAGATACAATGTCGCCGAAGTTGAATATGAGACTTAACCCCACTTCCTTACGATTCCTTTGTACCACCGGTGATAGAGAACGAGGAAGTGTGCAGCTTGCTTGTACTCGGTATTCAAGGCTTGAGGAGGACGAGGCGGAATGCAAGGCTGAGGTTGCCATGGGCCCGATTGGGTCGATAGACCTTCCCTGATATTATTCTGTCTCTCCTTCAGGGTCCTGCATTGAACTTTTTGTCAATCTGAACCAGTTCTCGTCGTCTTTGGACCATTCAAGTTGAAGACTGCATTCCTCTTCTCCCGTCCAAGGCATGTTGAGCAGTAGCTCGCGGTGGCGGCTATGCTCAACATGCATTGGACCTTTGCTGCGCACGGCAGCTAGAACTCCTCCTCATCGTCTCGCCCGCTTCCAGAGCTCAGGTACGTCGTGTCTTCCCCGTACCTCGACACCCGCAGGCCTTCTAAACGTCCAAGTGATCTGACTTCTCTCCTCTTCCAGCAACGACGATACCCTCTGGAAATAATGGGCCAGAATATTTATCGCCGATTCTTCTGCAGCGCGCAAGGGCCGTAGCCACCGAGCACCAGCAACTGGCGGCCGCAAACGCGGAGAACTATGATGTCGCCGTTGCGAAGAGGATCGGGGAGTTAGGTCCCGTCTCTGCGGCGTTGAAGGAGTGGGATGATGCACAGAATGTAAATACACACCCTGCCCTTTCGTCATGGTGTCGGATGATATCGCAGAATCTTACAATATTGATCTTGCGGAAACAGTCTCTCAAAGAACTCAACGCTCTCCTACACGACCCGTCTTCCGACTCGGAGCTTCGCTCCCTCGCAGAAACCGACATCCAGGCCACCACGGCATCATTGCAGTCACTCGCTTCGAATCTCAAGCACTCCCTAATCCCGCCGCACCCGTTCGCCTCGATGCCGTGTCTGATCGAAATCCACCCCGGGGCAGGAGGCTCCGAGGCTTCGTTGTTCGCCCAGTCCTTATTGAACATGTATACAGACTTTTGCGCGCGGAAGAGATGGCCCACGACGCTGGCGAGCTACAGTGCGGACGACTCAACCCACGAGGCCGGACTGACCGATGCATTGCTGGAAATCAACCATCCGGGATCCTACGACGTGTTGAGGACCGAGGCCGGGGTTCATCGCGTGCAGCGCGTGCCCGCAACCGAAAAAAAGGGCCGCACGCACACCAGCGCTGTCTCGATACTCGTGCTCCCCAATCTACCAGACTCGCCCTCCTCTACCGAAGGTCTCGACTACGACGACCCGAATTCAGACTACTACATCTCCCCCGCAGACGTGAAATCCGAAACAATGCGCGCCCGCGGCGCCGGTGGGCAGCACGTCAACAAGACCGACTCGGCCGTACGGCTCACCCACCTCCCCACGGGGACCGTGGTGGCGATGCAAGAATCGCGCTCTCAACACAAGAACCGCGAAAAGGCGTGGACGCTGCTCCGCGCGAAACTGGCCCAGATGCGCCGCGAACAGCGCGAGGCCGAGGTCATCGCATTCCGCCGCGCGGCCATGGGCGGCGTCGCCCGCACGGGTCGCGAGGATAAGATCCGCACGTACAATTTCTCGCAGAACCGCGTCACGGATCATAGGTGTGGTGTGGAGAGTAGTGACCTTGACGGTGTCCTGGCGGGGGCTCAGAGTCTCGAGGATGTCATGGGCAGTGTACGCGAGTGGATGGATGAGGAGGAAGTCAGGGGTCTGGTGGCTGAGGAGGAGATGAAGATGAAGACGAAGGCCAATCAAGGTCATAGTAATGGCAATGGGAACGGGAAGAAATGAGATCTACATGATGTTTTGAATGGATTCATGGCATCTTTCTTGGTGGCGGTGCTCTTTCTGCCACTGCAAGTTGAATCAGCATGATGCCTTAAGCCTTGCTACATACAGCAGAAGAACTTGCTCGTTTCATGCCCACTAAAGCACAAGCTGTGAGCTCTTCTCTCAACCCCGGCTCTGATGGGTGATCCCTGGCTGCTGCTCCATTTTTTTCTCAGCTCACAACATAAAAAAAAAGCTCATTGTCAGTCCTTCATGTCTGCTGCCTGCGAGTCATCATTCAATGCCATGCCATGCCATGCCATGTTCATGGGTATCGTGCCCTTTTTCGGTCCAAGTCCAATGCTCGTCAGTTCCTTTGTGGTAATCACACTCTGTCCGTAGCTCGAATTTTCTCCTTTTGTGCCAAAACAAGCGTCTCCGTTCACCAAGGTTCTCTTGCACTGTTCTGTCACTCCTCACTGCATTTAGCTCAAGAACCCTCGTAAATCTTCAGTTGGGCAGCATTTCGAATTCATGTGCAGCTCGCAGGCCCTGTTCATGTGCGGAGCTCTGAATGGACTACTCCGTAGACAACATTGTTGTTGTGTAGTCTCTGTCTCGTCTTTGTGATCGTTTTGATTTCGTCTGGCCTTCCATACCAATACTCTTCTCGCATGTATGGATTCATTCACTCCTCAATCATTCACTTCGCCACGGCGGCGCTCAACACCTGTGTGCGGAAGAATGCACCCTTTGTCTTCTCAATGACCTGTTGGTACACACTCTGTGGGGGGTGGTTCATGACTACCGTTCCAGCCTGGTAATCGATCTTGGCGTCCACTTTGGTGTCGCGGATGAGGTTGACGATCCATTTTTCACCTTCACTAGGAGAAAGTCCGAGACGGGTGGAGAGATCCCTGAGGTTAGGAAAGTTAGTGATTTGAGCTGATTGAAGCGAAGCAGTGAGGAAGGAGTCGGTGCCCTCAGACTTACTTGATATCAATTCTCTGATGGATCTTGCAATAACTTTCCGAGATGAGGTGTCTGGCACTCTCCATAAAAGCGTCAGTTGAACTTCCCAGGAAGAAATCCCCTCTCAAAATTGCCTCAGCTTCAGACAACTTCTTCTGTGCCTCTTCAAAGTCGAAATCGACGTAGAGAGCCTTGACAAATTCCGTCACGGGGTCTTGATATTCATAGACTTCTTGTTTGACGACTCTGACGAGATCCTTGAGTTGTTTCTGGTAGTTGTGCGAATTGTTCATGCGGGTGCGGTTGGTGATGACTGCGGCCGCAAGGTAACGGAGAATCCAGGGACAAACGGTTTGGATGGAAGAGATGTATGGCGGGGAGAAGTACATTTCCGTCAACTTTTCACGAGCGGGCTCATAGTTGAAGAACGGGAAGAGGGCGTAGTGAACCAGGGCTTCACGGGCCGTGAGTTGAGCTCGAGGATTGTTGAACAGACGAGTCTCAATATGTTCCTTGACCTTTTCCACTTCTTCAAGTGCGTTCTCCCATTCTTCACCCAGAATTTCGCAGACAAGCTTGCCCCAGGTGGCTTTGACCACTTTTTCATTGTCAGTGGACAGGACGCGGAAGCGGTAGAGCAAGTCAGCGGCTTCGGGATAAAGGCCACACTGATAGCGAAATCTGCCGAAGTCATAGAGGTTGTCCACCATCTGCTGCGTGACTCCGTGTTGTTCTTCGAGGAACTTCAAATTGGCGACCTTGTCGCTGCGAAGTTGTGAAGTGACTGATTCATCGTTCAGCAGGTTGGTCAGGTGTGCGGATTCCTCTTCGAATTTTGCAAGTTGGTTCAACACTTCCTCTCTCTTCTTCGCAAAGTCCGCAGGGGTCGACTCTGACTTGTGGATTTCCTTGTAGAGATTGCCCACGTAGTCGATCATGTTGGTGTCACTGAGGAGGTTGAAGATGGCCTGTTTGAGGTCGTCGTAACGCTGTTGTGAGATGTCTTCGGACCCGAGCTTGTGTTCAAGTAAGGGGAAAATGAGATGTCGATCCATGCGCCGAATGAGCTTCGCAAGGAAGGCATACTCGCCGGTTGGATCCTCGAGGCGCGACATCTTGGGTATGGGTCTAACTTCGTACCCAATGTCAATTGCGTTGAATTGTTCCTCCAGAAGGCGCAAATTGTACCGGGTGAGGCGGTGGCTGGGTGGAGGGGGAGGCGGCGACGGAGATGGGGGGAGGGAGAGATTAAAGATATACCCAGGGGTATCTTTGTTCTTTTCGTGCTCAGGATGGCCGCTTGGAAGATTATCGACCATTTTGAATATCAGTCGTGCGCTTGTGAAATTGAATGGGGAATGACACGCTATCCCTAAAAGCGTTAGATTGAGATGAATTGAAAAGCGGCGTGAGATGTGTTGAAAAAGTACTAGGTAGCGACAACGCCAAGCCGAACCCTGGGTGTCAATCAGCCTTGTGCTTAACGTGCGCATCAAGACCAATGCCCTTGCCTCGCCGTTTTTGCTCCTAAGGTGCACGGGGCTGTCCATTCATTTGCGCACTCAAAATTGACCATGAAGGCCCCTTCAACCCTACTGCTACGGGCTATGCTACGTCCACAACAGCCTCTATGCCAGGTCAGATGGAAGTCAGAATGGATGCCCAGGGAAAAGTACGCGAAAATCACTACTCTGGACAAGCTGCACCGAAGACAAAAAGCAGCTGTCCGGAAAGAAAGTAAGTTTATTGTGGTAGCAGAGCCAACTGTCTGGGCTTGCTGGGACCTTCACTGACATGATCCCAACCAACAGGACAGGATAGCGAAGATCGCGCTGCGAAAATGTTTCCGGCCTCCACTCCCTCCGCAACACTCTCACAGACGCAGCAACAAATCCAACCACAGCAATCACCTCCTCTTCACCAGACTTCTTTCCTCAGGAGCCAGATTCAGAACCATAATCTTACACCGACCCTCTCCGCGCTTCCGTACTTGATCACGCGCACACCCTCGAAGAACCTCCCAATCTACCAGACCACCAAGGCCGGCGGTTCCAAACACATTACGACGATCCGCAAGATCAAGGGTGATCTGCAGGAGTTGGCGAACGCTGTGCGCACCGCCCTGGGGCTGGAGGAATACATGACCGACGTGCGAGGGCGGAGGAAGGCCAATGTCGTGATCAATTGGACGACAAGGCATGTGGTTGTGAGGGGTTGGAGAGGCCCAGAGATCAAGCGGTGGGCGGAAGTCAGTGGGTTTTGAAGACTGTGCGAAGAGAGCCAAAAGGAGACCAAAGCGACCAGCCGGACATGGGCACACGAGCAACATGGAAATCCCAAGTTCCGTACGCGGTAATGGATGATGTGACAAGGGGGGACCTTTTTCCACTGGACCTCTCTTACTCGCTGTGCACCTCGGACCGGCTCTCATGAAATCGAGAGCTATCTTACAGTGCAAAGAGGGGTATTAGGCAGAGACAGGTTGACTGGATTCAGTTCTGCAAGAACGAGATGCCTGTTGTACTATTTGCGTTGCGGATCGATACAGGAAGAGAGGACCAAATCCTACCAGGCGTCAATAGTCTAAGGTGAGGGCTGAACGCCTACCACACATATCTGTATTATCAAACGCGTAAATTTCTGCCGCATACGCCCCTCTTGCACACGTTATGAATGTATACGCCGAAGACGGATCGACAGCATGAACAGAAGCACGTCTCTCGAAGGACTGAGCCCCTTCCTCGCATCGAGACCGAATTCAAGTCAAACAATGTCTTTATTGAATCAAGTTGGAAGACTAAGTACAGACATTTTGTGCTCTTCCCTCTCGTTCTGGAGCGGGAAAAGGCATCTCTGAGTACCCAACCGTTGGAAGCTTCATGTGGAGGTACAAAAAGGCCCTCGAGTAGAGCCATTCAAAGTCCCCGTCATCTCAAATCTTGCTCTTCTCCGCCAATTCGTATTTCACATGCTGAATGAATGCAATTGCGTATGCTCAAAATCCAGGACATCAGCTCAACCGCGCTCATGCAATCCAATGTTCGTGGTACTAATCCTCTAAACCAGCATAGACGCAAAGCTGCCGCAGTATGCCAGGATCAATATCTTTCTGTATCATCGCTCCCAGCAGACTCTCTTTGCTTGGCATAATGCCCAATGGAACTATTGTCGAGCCATTTTCATCAGTCCTACGGGCTTTCTGCACCAAGGTCTTCAGGACAGCGATAGCACGATTTGCGATTGCCCCGTAACCGTTGGCGTCTGGCTCAAAGGCATTATTTCGGTTGTTTGGTTGTGCGTGCCTGGGAGCGGTCTGAGTCGTCCGATCGGCACTCAACAAACCGACCAGCCGCAGAAGATTGCCAGCAAAGCCATCGTCTGACTCGAGCCACGAACGCGCCAATGGATGGTCCGAACCTGGCGCAAGACTCGCCAATATTTCTGCTGCTAACATTCCTTGTAAGAGGAAAGGTTTCCGTGCCTCGATGAGTGGCCTGGTGTGATTGGAATTTGCTGGTATTGAGGAAATGGCAAGTCCGAATGCTCTCGTCAATAGCTCGTATGGCGGGCTCGAGTGACCGTCGGCTGCAAAGATGGCCTTGTAGTAGGTCCGATTGGGTTCGTCACGCGCTAGGAGCTTGGCGAGACTATCGACAGCAGATGGCATGTATTTATGTAGGGTTGGCGCGTACGGGACGAAAGAGACCTTGGTGGTAGCGCTCGAGGTAGGTGCTGGGGTTGGTGCGAATGCGAGAAGGAAATGGAGGACACAGAGGGCTTCTTCTTTCCCGGGGAGCTGAAGCAAGGTCGACAAGTTACTAAAATAGATGACCACGTCTTTCATGAAATCCAGGGTATTTCTGTTGTGTCGCAAGAACATTTCCGTGGTGCCGAGGTATCGGATCACGGTGCTGAGTAGCCTGACAACCTCTGGCTGACCAAGTGGGATAAAGTTGGCTTCGTAAAAGGAGAAATTGCGCAACAGGGTGGTGATACAAATCAAGCGATCCGCTGCTCGTTCGAGATCGTATGCAACGGTTCCAAACTCGGGCGCATCTTGCAAGGACTCGTTCTCGATGCGACAAGCCCGGACGAGATCTTCATACGAAGTGAGGAACATTTCGTCAGAGACTTCGGTGGCGTGTTCGCTGAGAAAAGATACCTGATCCTGGGCACAGTCCAGTAATGTGTCAACAAGGTCATCGCATTCACTTAATGCTAGTGGCAATGCAGATTCCATCGAAAGTGTAACAAGCGTGTCCAGTGCTACTCGTGTCTCCGCGTGTATTCCAGATTTGATTGCCATTGTCAAAGCGTGAATGTCGATCACACCCAGCTCCCGAATAGAAGGCACGAATGGTTTGGATTCAGCAATGTGTTGGCCGATAATGAACATCTCTTCCACATTGATTGGTCCGTGGAACCTGCTCTGAGGGAGAATATCGGGCTTGAAAGGGTCTTCGATCGGTTTTGACATAGGCTTGTTCGTGTCAGGCTCGGGTTCTGCTATCTTACCCGCACTGGTCTGAGGTCGCTTTTGGGGTGTTTGTCCCTGAACTTGGCCCTGCAGGGCAGCCATCTGTTGAGGATCGAACTGTCGTGACACGCTAGAACGGTGTTGAGGCGTTGCTGTGGGATCCGGTGGTCCTTGGGCGTGTGGAGGTTGCATAAATCCGTTTGCCGTAGGGTGCTGCGGTTGTTGGGCGACTGGTCCGGTGGCCGACGCACTTCTCTGGTGGGTAGGTTCTTGGGATTGATCGCGCGGAGGTGACATCTGAGTTTGGCTTTGTATCGCAGCCTGGGCTGCCATCTTTTGCTTCTGCTGCGATAGCTGCCAAGCGGCCTCATAAGGGGCTAGATTGTTCATCCAGTACGCCTGGAGTTCTTGAGCTGCTTGCATATGTTGTGGCGGTGGAAAACCAAACTGGTGCGCAACCGCGGCCCACTGGTTTAGCTTTGATATCCTTTGTGAGCCCCCATTTTTCACCACAGCTGCATACAACCGCAACAAGGGTAGTTGCCGACCACATATTACCGGGTTTAGATCAACTTGGCGGTTACGCGCCGCCATGAATTGTTGCAGGCCCCGGATAAAATCTTCGGGATTGTTGGGTCTGGCAGGATGAAATGCGGCTGGTGCTCCTTGCGGCATCTGGGGGTTGGTGGCGTGTTGGTTAGGATTGGTAGGCAAACCATTCATCCCACGAGCTTGCGCTTGCGCTTGCGCTTGCACCTGCGCTTGCACCTGCATCTGACGCGCCTGAGCCTGAAGATGCATTTGATAGTTTCGCTGAGCTGCAGCCATGCTTGGATTTTGTGCCGCCATGTTCATCTGGGGATTCATCCCTACTTGTGGCATCCCATTGCTGATGTTCTGACCGAATTGGGGTTGATTAAACCCCGGCGCGAAAACGCCATTTGGCATGAAGTTTTGGGGATTGTCATGGGGCGTGCCAACGCGACTCGCATGGTCTGAAGGAGCCGGTGAAGCGTGTGGGGGAGCATGTTGGGGAGAAAACGGACTGGGAGACGCCGTTGCGACGCGTTGATTGGCTTGAGTCGAGGTGAAATGATTCAGCTGTTGTATGGTAGGAGACGGAGAGGCGTTAGAAGTTGTCTGGAGATGGCCAAAGGGTGTCGGGGCATTTGAGATGGCCGGTACGCCGTTCGCTTGAGGATTGAAGCCCGGGTAGGGGACTTGTCCCGGAGTCTGTGATCTAGAAACAGGTAAGCCACCAGGCGCCTGCCGCGGCGAGGTGGCCAAGCTATCTTCTCTTGCTCTTTTGGAAGGTATCACCGGGTTCGTCTGATAGACGGGGTTGTGGAAGGCAGGCGAGGTAGTTCGGGCGGCGCCATTGAGGAAGGCGGGATTCTGGAACTGCGAAGGATTTATCGTCTGAGGAGGTTGCAGGAAAGACATGCCAGCATCCATTGGGCCTCCAAAGCCAACATGATTGTTTGGATTCGAGGAGGCGTCGGTCAGCCAAGGGTTCATGGCTCGAATGAGGTTCGGTCATCCATTGGCTATAGCAACAAGAGTCATCAGCCTTGGTCCACGAATGCGCGCGGCCATCACGAGAGTGGACCCATCCGGTTCAGCATCTACGTCGTCCGTCAGGACCTGGTATCTCATGATGGACAGGCCTGCGGACGGTTGCGCATTGATGCAAGAATGTGGATGGCGCGGCGGATCGGGTGAGGAGAGGAGGTGAAAAGACGCGTCACAGGGGAAAGTGAAGGTCAACACCGGGTCGTCGAGGGGCAAGTGATACGAGCATGGTGAAGGGGCAATAAGCAGGCTTAGAGGACATCGGACAAGGCTACTCACCTGGCTGGCAATGTTTGAGCGGAATCGTCACAGGCGTAAAGGTATGCGAACCGATCGGAAAGTCGAGATTGGGACGATTTTCCTGAGGGCTGGGGGACGGCCAAAAAGGGTTTAGCCCCAGCGGCGTGTGACAGCTGAGGACTGGGAACTGCTGAGAGAAGAAGGTTAGCCACGCTTGGGGCAGGGCAGAAGGACTGGCAACGAGCATCAATGGGAGAGGGTCCCACTCAGGTCTATTGGGCCGTGCGACACGATCTCAGTTGCATGTTTGATGGGAGATAACAGGCGCTAGTGATGGATCTGGGGGTGGATGGCTTTGGGGAGGGAAAGAAGGCGAGAGGATGGATGATGTGGTGGGCGAGCCATGTGCTGGTGCTCAATTCCGGCTGCTGCGTACCGGCCGGCAGAGGGAAGAACAAGAACAAGCCCACTATCTTTTGCAAAGTGCAAGGGGGGAATCGGCAGAGGGGCAAAAAAAAGGTTTCATGGGGATCAGAAGGAAAAGCAGCAGAGGCTTACCGTGTGGATGTGATTAGAGGGAAGCGATCTGGGTTTCCCTTCCCAAGGTTGATGATACGTGGTGGCTCGTACACTGCAGGGAACAGAAAAGAGACAATCACCACGACAGGGCAGGGCGGCACCAGCGGGGTGGGAGACGATCCGTCAGAAGGGATGACAAGCGACAAGCCAGAGAGAGTCTGAGCTGACGACTTGGGTGAATGGGAATGGGAATTGATGAAACACAAAACAGCAATTGCCTGGAACCGGGGGGATAAACTGGTCAACAGCACAGGCACCGTAAAGGTTGGAATCGGGGGCAAGTCGAGAAAAAATGGGAGCCTAAAGAAAGCGCTTGGGAAGGGGGGAGAGTGACAGAGAGACAGGCGATGCAACCGACTAGAGGCACGGCGACAGAGCGATAGAAGCAGCAGAGCCTTTGGCGCGGCGAGGTGAGAAAAGGGCCAAAGGGCTGCCTGGTTGTTGGCGTGTTGGCGTGTTGGCCTCCCGGGCAGGCAAAAGGTGGGCAAAAAGTGGGCGATTCGGTGCCACTCGGCTTTTCTTGGAGCACGCGCACAGGCCACCGAGGGAGCCGTATCCGCTAATTGGCCATGCGCGAATCTTCATTGGCCTCGGGCCAGTTGCAGGGTTTCGTCGTGCAAGAAAGAATAGCACTGCCAGCCCAGTTTTTGACTCTCTCCTTACCCGCTTCCGTCACTCTGCGCTCACTTGTGCTGTACCCCATCCACCACAATTGTCGGTCAATAATAAGAGCACCGGCCCCAGGGTGTGAGAAGTCGAAAATCCGTGTCTGATGATTTTGGGTGCTTCGTGAGAGGAATTGCTCTGACATTCGAAGGGTGTCTCTGTTTCTTCCCCCGTGTCTCGTCTCGTCTCGTCTCGTCTTTTCTCTCGCTGCTGGAAGGTCCGGGTTTTTGCCAAAGACGGGTTTCAAAATGCAAAGCCAAATTGGGGCCGCACCAAGCTCGTTTTCGGCTTAGGCCATTCTTCAAGTGCCTTGGGCCTGCGATCACGAACCTAATAATCCCCCATCACGCTGAGGCATACGAGTAGACTGCTCCGCTTCCCATCTCAGCCACGTTTTGAGCAAGAAAAGGCCCATGTGCTCTCTTCGCTGTGCGTGCTGCATGTCTTTGTTTGTAAGTGCTAAAAGCACATACAGAACGAACGTTGCAAAAGAGGTCGGAGTGTATGGCGTCTGGCAAGACTAGATGGTGGGAACAAACAAAAGGCTGGGAGTCGGGATGAGGAGGCGGTCAGCCATATCCCTTCTGTACGCCAGCAAAGTCTTCGTGGTAGAAATGCCTCCCAGATGAACATGCTGGACCTCATCTGGGTTGTTCTTGTCAACCGGCTGAGTCATAGACTAAGGTGGAGAGGAGATAGGGTGTCATCTGGAGGGTCGTAGCCAAAACGTCGCAGTGGAGGTGCGCCGATAAAATATCGAAAGGAGAGGTGTCCATGGTCAGGTTTGGGAGGGAAAAGAGCTGGATATGGGAAGAGAGGAAGGAAAAGGAAAACGATTCAAAAGGCAGCAGAATTCAGGGCTTACATAGTCGGATAGTGCCTCATTTCTGCTCAACCAGCTCAACCAGCTCATTGCTCATGCGCAAGCGGCCAGATATCGTCTGATTGGCAGATCCGCAAGTCTAGTTTCCTCATTGCGGGCAGGCTGAGTCCAAGTCGACACAAACCTTCGAATCGTGTCACACGCCAGAGACTGTCTCAAGCGAACCTGAGCGGGTTCTTTCATATTGCCAGAACCAATGCAGTTCACTCACCCCGGTCCACGATGGTTAGGCACATATCGTGCATGCTTTGGTGGTGCGTGGCCCTCTATCTATTAGCTGCATGGGTCGCTCCTCCTTTCGGCTATGGCCCGATGTTCTGCAAGACCCAGCACCGCAGGATACACTACTGTCGGACTGCCACCAGGCTCAATGCATTGCGGAGCCGTTGTGGTAGTATCCAAGGAGAGTGGCACAATTCGAGCCTCCCGACCTCCTTGCGTATCGAGTACTCTTGTTTAATTCAATCATGGACATCCCTGGTGGGCGTATCAAGGCAAGTGCCAGGGGCGCTGGGGGGAGGAAAAGGAATTAGATCAACGGCGCGGGATCTTCCTTTTCGCAGCTATCCCCAAACCGACCGAATCCAAAGAGCCGGGTCCGCATGCCTCAAGGCAGAAATCCGCTCCAGGATGTCACTCTATGCATACATTTTCTGGCCTGGAGGACTCAACTTCACTGATCTCTTTTCTCTGGAGAGGACAGAGGTTGATGTATGGTAGACCGAGTCTGCCGAGTCCAGAGCAGGGGAAACAAGACCTGTCACCGCTGCTGAGCTGGAAGAGGGCCTACAAACCTAGCAGGCATTTGGCCAGCGTACCTAGGTATCGAAGCCGGACCGCCCGAAAGCTTACTGGGCTTAGCTATTCTTTGAATAATAGGAGGGCCTGTGAGGGAGGCCAGCTGATCGAGAAAGGCGGCTTGTGCGATGCTCAGTGGCCGTTCGAGACGTCAAAAAAGGTGGGTTGGCAAATCTCGCCGCGGATATTCGAATTATCCGATTCTCGTTGGCTACTAGTCCACCTTTGGACTAGTGCTCTGCTTGCGAGCGGCGCGTCCCTGTGGTCGCCTTCAAGTTAGAACTTCGACTTGGGGCCGTCCGACAACTTGAACGCAAAGCTTGCGACCAACAACTGCATCTTCCTGTTGCTTTCCATCCTTTGTCGAGACTCTCGTTGCCTTTGAAGGACTACAGATCTCCTCCGCACCTCCAGATTCAAACAAAACTCCAAGCCTCCAACGGAAAATCACCATGGGCGACGTGCTTGTTGACAATCCTGCCAACACTGTTCCTCCTCACAAGAAACCGCCCATTTCAGATTCCATCCCGGACATCGACTCATTAGAAGGAGCTGGTGCAGACGGCAGCGATGAATACTCGACGTTGAAGAGGCTGCAGAGACATTTAGAGTACGGATTCATGCTGGTTGTTTGTCGGAGCGCCACAGCTGACCATGCCAGGTACATCAAGCTGCAAGAAGAATATATCAAGGATGAACAGAGGTGTGTTGAGGGTGATCGACAAGCCGATGCAAGACTGACTCCTGTTCTAGATCTCTCAAGCGCGAGCTGGTGCGAGCGCAAGAAGAGATCAAGCGAATACAGAGTGTTCCATTAGTGATTGGCCAGTTTATGGAAGCTATCGATCAGAAGTAGGAGTGCACTCCTTTCACCTATGTCCAAGCCACTGATTGCATATAGTACCGGAATCGTCCAATCTTCTACTGGGTCTAACTATGTCGTCCGTATCCTCTCAACCCTCGACCGCGAAAAACTAAAGCCGTCCTCCTCCGTCGCCCTGCACCGTCACTCAAATTCTCTTGTCGACATCCTCCCTCCGGAAGCCGATTCTTCCATTGCTATGCTCGGAGCTGACGAAAAGCCTGACGTAACGTACGCTGATGTTGGCGGACTAGACATGCAAAAGCAAGAGATCCGGGAAGCGGTGGAACTGCCACTGACACATTTCGATCTCTACAAACAAATTGGTATCGACCCGCCACGAGGGGTACTGCTCTACGGCCCTCCCGGTACTGGCAAGACTATGTTGGTTAAGGCGGTTGCCAACAGCACGACTGCCAGCTTCATCAGGGTTGTTGGGTCCGAATTTGTTCAAAAATATCTGGGCGAAGGGCCTCGGATGGTCCGAGATGTCTTCCGGATGGCGCGAGAGAATTCACCTGCCATCATTTTCATCGATGAGATCGACGCCATTGCGACCAAGCGGTTTGACGCGCAAACGGGAGCAGATCGAGAGGTCCAGCGAATTCTTCTAGAACTCCTCAATCAGATGGATGGCTTTGACCAGACGAGCAATGTCAAGGTCATCATGGCTACGAATCGCGCGGATACCCTGGATCCTGCCTTACTCCGACCGGGCCGTCTGGACCGAAAGATCGAGTTCCCGTCGCTGCGAGATCGGCGAGAGCGGCGGTTGATTTTCACCACCATTGCCAGCAAGATGTCCCTGTCACCTGAGGTGGACTTGGATTCATTGATTGTGAGGAACGATCCTTTGTCAGGAGCCATCATCGCAGCGATTATGCAGGAAGCGGGATTGAGGGCAGTGCGCAAGAATCGCTATAACATCATCCAAGCAGATTTGGAAGATGCATATTCGAGCCAGGTCAAGGGGGCACAGGAGGCAGACAAGTTTGATTTCTACAGGTAGATGGGGACACTTGGGTCAGGGCGGTCATGTGTTTGGGTCTCAGGGCGACCCGAGCCGGGACAAGGCTGGATGGCATTGCATGGTGTTCTCCGGGTCTACGAGTAGAAGCCAGGTATTGCGGCATAAAGGACATGATCAAAAATCGTCTGTCGTAATAGAACTCCCATGGTCGAAAGACGCTCGGGCGCCCAGTGGTCGTGGGCATCGTGGGTGGGGAACGTTCCATTACTAATACAAGTCCAAATATATTCGCACGTGTCTCTTTTTCGGATTTGTGACCATGTCGCCTGCCAACTAACGTAAGGCGAATGGGTGGCGAGTATCAGCCTCAACTGATGTATCAGCACTGCTCGCGTTCTGTTCGGGCTGGAGTAGTTCGTGCCGGCTCAGGGGAAGAAAGAAATTGCAACGGTACTGAAGGGAACTATAATCAGGAGATGTATGTAAACGAGGGAGAGGCCTTTACTCCGTACTAGTAGACCTAGAAAAGCGGTATAGGCTCGCTACCATGCAAGTTAATTCCCTAGAAGCCAGGAGAAAGAGGAAGGACGCATAGTAATTGGGGGAGCGTGGCGTGCTTGCAGGCGCACTTCGATGCACCTTAACGCACTTTTGGGTCCTGAGGATGAATATTGGCCAGGCTGCCGTGGTGGGGTGGCGTCAAGACTAGACCGGGTTTAGCGATAGCGCCGTGTGAGTGCCGGGACACTTTTCATCGACGATTGCGTCAGAGTTACGAGTCAAACTGGAAGAAGCCACCACAGTGGCCGCCTGGGGGCAATCACCCCATTATTATCTTTTCTTTGCCTTTCAACAACGAGTGTTACTCCCACCCCCCTCAAGTCCGAGTCCCAGAAGACCCAGAGAAATCCTTCTTACGGGGGGCGAAGGGGGCAGTGGATTATGCCAGGCAGTACGAGGTAGTGGCCTCTCCCCCTTGAAAGCTTCTTCTCGGGTGTCCGTCTCTCGCCCTCTATTTTTCCCCAAGTAATACCTACCTAGGTAGGTAATCAAACTCCCGTAACTCCATTCTTAGCCTCCGGTATGCCTGCATCTGCGTGCTGAGGTCATTGATATCTCTTTTTCCACCTTCTTTCAAACTTTCCCGTCCCCTCGCATTCTCCTCTCTCACGTACCAAATTGAGCCTCTTGCAAGAATCCACCATCCTAACTTGGTCGGCAATCAAGCATTAATCCCAATCTACCTTTTGATATTTTTCTCGGTGTTGTGAGAACCTCCCTTAGGGACTCTCGTGTTCACTCGAAATCGTCGATCACGGGACTTTGAGCCTTTGTCTTGGGTCTTTTTCATCGGCTGTATCACCCAGTCTGCGACACACGTCATCACTTTTCTCTTCTCCTCCTCTGAGACCGCCCACCCCCGATTCTAGCTGCGCCCTCGATCGCCTTTGTATCGCCAATCTCGAAAAACCAACAACGCTGTTCTTCAGGATTCCCATTGGAATCTCAATTCGTGGAAGAGGATTCGCTTCTCAGGAAAAGGCTTTGGAGGTGCACCACTCGTCCGGTAAGTCACTGGCGACAATTTCCCTGAATTTGTGCAGGCCCGGAGCCAATTCCCGCTCGGCTGTGATCGAGTATTGGGAAAGGGTGGGTCGATATGAGTGGCGAGCAAAAGCGAAGCTCTGAATCCTGATGGGCTCGATGGCTGGCGATCGCCATCCACTGCCGATTTCCAAGCTGACACGTCTCTGATTCGCAGGTTCTTGGTTCAACCCACACCCTTGGGGTGACTTGGACAGGCCGCTCGGACGAAGCCAACCCTCCAACCCTGCAGGCCTCGCAGTCTGCCCCCTCCCCCCCAAGCCTGCACTCCCTCGCCTGCCCTACCTCCAAAATATATGAGGCGCCAACGCCTTCCCAGCTCTATCGACGTCACTTCTGCAACGGCTGACGTTGTTTCCTCATCTACGTATTGCTTCATCGCATCCCGACAATATGGCGAGCGCCGCAGTCGCAACTCAACCGTCACAACAACACCTTGGGGCTGGCCCAACTTCTCGCACCTCGTCGCCTATGGACAATAAGAAAGCCACAGCGAAGCAAGAAGGTTAGTCCATGTCGCTGCCCCCTATTTGTAAAAAAATTCTTTCATCATCTCTCGCCCACACCCATCAACGCTGCCATCACCATCATCAACTGCGCAATGACGACTGCCTCATGCATCAACACCGCGCTCCCAGGCGCATTTTAAGAATCAATGCTGACAAGTCTGCCACATAATTAGCATCCAAGACATCACCGTCGCAGGCTAAATCATCGCTTCCAGGTACGCGTCGGCCACGCGCCCACTGATATGTACAATGCACCTTGCTAATGCGACAATCCAGAACCACAATCCACCTCGCTGGTCGAAGAATCCAAGCCCGTCGTTCAAGCATCGGAACCCCTTGCGCCGCCACCGCGACCTGCGCCCACTACTCAAGCAGAGACTCCCGATTACTTCTCGGCCCTGCACAACAACGGGAGCAGTATCGGTCAAGAATTCAATCCCTTTGAACAATCATTTGGAGCACCCTCGACAGAGACTCCCGGCAAGAACTTGCTGCCTCCTGTCGCAGCGCTCACGTCTCCTGCCATCCCTGGCACGAGCTCCACTGGCGGTTACAACTGGCAAAGCTCTCTTCGGTCGGGGCCGCTGAGCCCTGCAATGTTGGCTGGTCCACAACAAGGCGATTACTTTGACAGTATCGGCCGTGGCTTTCCAACGCCAAACGAGTCATCTCTCCGAACTGGCCTGACTCCGGGCGGTGGCGGGTCTATGTTCCCGGTCCCCAGCCCAAACTCACAAGCGCTCTTTAATTCTTTGCAAAGTGGCGGTGCCACACCTGGTACCCTTGATTTCCATCGCACAGCTATCAACGCTGCTGCGCGAAACAAGAACAACCAGTTCGCCAACACTTCCAACCCACAAGACCCTTCCACCAGTAACATGGACTCTGTGCACGACGCCACTGACGCTGCCAATGGCCTGTTTATGCTCGCGAAAGGAGGTCAGCCTACCAATCAGTTCGCGGTGCCCAATCCAACCTCTGTCACGCCGGCTCAGGATCAGAAACGGGGCAGCAGTGACACGGGTGAAAGCGCCGGGAGCCCACAGGATACGAAGCCTGCCACGCGCAGTGGCCGTGGTAAGAAGGCTGTCAAGGCTGAGCCGGCCAGTAACCGCAGGAAGTCAGAAGCAAGTGCCAAGGGCAGCAACAAACGTGCCAAGGGCAACTCAGGCGCTGCAAATGTAGATCCTGCCCTTGACCCTCGCGAGGAGGACGACGACGACGATGATGATAGCGATGAAGGCGAAGACCAGGGGAAATCCACAACCACAACCAATGGCAGTAACAACAAAAAGATGACAGATGAAGAAAAACGGAGGAACTTCCTCGAGCGCAATCGGTAAGTGCCATCAAACTCCTGTTTGTTGTGTCATGGACTGACTTGTGGTAGTGTCGCTGCACTCAAATGTCGCCAGAGAAAGAAACAGTGGCTGGCCAACCTCCAAACCAAAGTGGAAATGTACTCCGCTGAAAACGACAGCCTCAACACACAAGTTGCTCAGCTTCATGACGAAATTCGGAATCTCCGCACTCTCCTCATGGCTCATAAAGACTGTCCTGTAGGTCATGCCCAAGGTATTGGGCAATTTTTGAACGGCATGCAGGATCCCAACGCCTTCGGCAACCAACACGTCCACCCGTACGGAATGGCCTTGCCAAACGGTGCTCCCCTACAACCTGGCATGCAGCGAACGTGAGCACAGTCACAAACCAGTGCATTGCTAGCCGCAGAGCAACAAACGATGTTATTTGCAAGACTACCTAGGTAATATTACCCGTCATGAACATTCGACCTTATCTATTCTTGCAGGGGGTCCTTTGACAGAGTGTGAGGAAAGAGGCGTCATCCATCTCTGGCGCACGGAAGGTCTGGCCATTATACAACAGGCTAGGGTTTCCCATGATTTTTGTAGCATCTTCACGACGATGCGCACTTGACTTTGCTTTATCTTGTACATAAATCTTCGGCAGAACGGGGTGGGAAGGAGGCTTTCTGTACAGCACCAGGCAAAAGAATAGCAACGGCGGTCTCTGAAAAATCTGGATGCGGCCCAAAGAGTGCAGTTTCTTTATCCTTTTGACTCTTTGCTCATGCGTTACGCGAGAACACACATACAGGCACATGTGGCTATGTGGGGGAGGCTGATGGATACGATGAAACGTCCATGCACAACGAAATGGCGCGAGGGAGGGGGCCCGAGCGTTGTCTAATGGCTTTATTGAGGGTTTCTTTCATGCGTCCAAAAGGGCTACTCGAGGTCCTGGTACAGAACATGTAGCTAGTTCGTGTGAGCGAAATGAAACCCTCAATTGATCAATATTAGTTTTGAGCAAGTCTTCGTTGGCCCTGTGATCCTGGGGGAGACGTGTACCGAGTACATCTTAGTCAATCGGCCTCGCTCATGGTGAGCCGCCTATATCCCCTCTCGCTCAGACATGTCGTTATGTGTTGTGATGTGATGCGATGTGATGTATTGCAATCGCTGTCCTCTCTTGAAGCGCGAGGTCATGCTCCGTGAGACTTGGAGGTGGGCTTCGCGCGGAGGAGGCTGTGGAGGAAAAGGGGGGCTATCTATACATTACAAAGGTACTGTACGTACATACGTAGGTACATATATAGGTATATATCTATCTGTATTTACATCAGCATCTCCGTGTCTATATCACATAATGTATACACAGTGAGTACGTCGATATCTAATAGGTATAGTAAGTAGTGTCTAGATGCGTGTGTACATATTAATATTATTTTACACCCCGGGAAGGGAAGGGTGAAATAGAGAAACGTTACCCTCGACATGGATCCCTGAAGTCCGTCTTGTACAGTTACAATATGTCCATCGATCATGATGTCCTCGTCCCGATTGTACGGTACTGAGCGCTTCGAGGCCTTGATTGCTTAAAAAAGCACCTGTTGCGGGCACGGAAGAATGTGTGTATGTAACTATATATATTTTGCCATGTGGGCAGAAATGGAAATTGGTGAACCATTCATATCGTAACTTCGTAAGAGCCTCCGCCTCGCCTCAGACGTTGTGAGCCTTTCTCAAGACATACACTAGCATGACTGGTGTATAGATCCTCTTATTTCAACCACACTTCTCTCATTCACTCACTCATACTCACTTACGCATATACACCCAAACTCCCTCACAGCTATTCGAGCATAGTGAACAAAAGCTGCTGCCGGAAACTGAAGGAAGTAGGACAGAGACCATCACAACAACGTTCCAAGTCGTCAGGCCACTCTTTTGCCAAAAACCACCGCCCCGAATGGCGGGATGTTGCGTACCGGAGGAGCGCTGGGGATACGAGGTGAAACCGGAAACAGTTTGAATAGTTTTGCCGACTCAAGCCGTTGAATGATGTCAAACCCTTTCCAGCACGAGGAACTGCTTCTGGTACCGTGGAGGCAAGGTCGGAAGGGGTTGCCGCAGAGGTGCCAATAACTGTCCTCGGAGATCTTCACGCCGTGCAGTCCATCCTGAGGTGTCAGTCGGCCTCCCTTGCGCTCTATCAATCGACTGAGACAGGGGAGGGTGGCGGCGAGGTAGTCCCGATCCTTGGGCACGACATTGCAGGAAGGGCTACTCCGGCCACTGTCCTCAACTGGGGTGATGGCTTCGCCCAGTTCGGAGCAGACGACAACTGCGTCGACGACATTGACGATATCAAGCCAAGCTTTTCCCGCAGACTCGAGTTCCAGCTTCTTCATGCAGCTTCCTCGGCCAGGGGAAGTGACCACGTCCAGGAACTCGAAGCCATAAAGCTTCGTTCCCGAGCTTTGTTGGACTGCCGAGACAGTAGTCAGCAAGTTGATATTCAGTCCCAGCAAGAGCTGCCTGAAAAGGAATGGATTGGCTGGGTCCTCGTGTATTTGATGTTCACCAAAATTCCTCAAGAACTCTATTATATCATGGGCGTCAGGGTGAGGGGCGACATGCGGTACTCGATCACTGGGAATATTCCGGCGCTGAGCGTAGGCATGGCTCATGTGCAAAAGGAGGCTCAGCTTGGGGAGAAGCCAGCAACGGCGTTGACCAGCGTCATATACAATGGCCAAGTCTTTGGCGGTGTCCTCAAGCAGCTTTTGATAGGAGTTAGCCGGCTGGAACTGGAGGCGGCTGGACACAAATTTGAAATTTGTTTGCAAACCCGCGAGGACCGAGACTGGTGATTGTACGCCGATCTGCAGCTGCGTACTGTGGCCCTCCAGGACTAGACGCTTTTCTCGATCCTGACCTCCAGAGTACCTCACATTTGCCGGAAGTTGCCTGGTACCAAGGTTGACCTGGGCAGCTTCGCACCAGCCTAGGAAACACCGCATGTTCTGGAACCGAGCTGCGTCAGCTGTGAGCAGTCGATTTGGGAAATTGAGCGTATATGGATTGATTTGGCCACGGTCGGACACAACGACGTGGAATTATGCATAATTCTCAGCCATCGCAGTTGGGAAGAGGACAGTCTGATATCCAACGAAGACCACACCGCCATCTATCGTCAATTGAAACTCGACCGCTGCGAGCGTGACCATGAGGTCAAAGGACAGTTCCAAACCCTTGCCCATACCCCGCCGCTCGGATGCTCTTTCGAATAGATTTTCGCACAATGATACGACACAACTGTTGAGTAGACGGCGCCAACAGTCATCTTTGTTGACCGGCAACGGACTGTTCGCTAGATGCATTGAAGGTAAGATTTCGAATCGAATGCGCCTTTTTGGGGGGCCTGCTCCCTTGCCGAAGTCAGTAGCAACTTCGCACCGGTCGCGAGAATAAAATGCTTTCGAGAGGGTCACGGAACCATCAGGCCCAGGCATGCGAATCGTTCTGCAGAGCCAATCCATCGTACGCGAATATCGTTCGTAGTCGTTGTGGTCGTACTGACCGTAGTGATGTAGCCAGGGGTGAAACTTAATGGTCACGTCCTTAGGAGATACTGTTATTGATTCAAAAACGTTGGTCCCCCAGAGGCCCATGGACGGATACACTGCAACCTGCGTCAGTCGGCAGAACCGGATGATCATGGGTGACATGGGAACAATACCGTCGTGACTGGCGTCCAGCTTCATTGCAGCGACTGCTATCAAGAAATCCAGGACAAAAGCCAGCCCCAAGGTGCCCAAATGCTGGTACAGAATGTCACGACAATTAGTGGCAGTGACGTGGGTAGCGTCATAATCCGTAATGAACACGACATTCTCGTACAGAAGCCAGAACGGAATATTGTCAGCAGAGACCCCAGACGATCTTACCATCTCAATCACGGCTGGCACTTCCCATTCCCACTTCATCTGGATAGGATCGTCATTCTTATGCTGAACATCCTGAACAAATTCTTCGAAGCTGTGATATCTGGAAACTTTGTTGGCAGTATCCCACCGCCTCAAGCTGGAGGGTAGCTCCTTGTGGCTTTTATACCAATGTTTCAAAACCTTGGGAGGTTCTGCTCCATACTTCAAAAATAACAGAACCTGTTCTTCCCTCCTACGAGATATCGCCTCGACGACTGCAGGGCTGAGCTCGCCGCTCTCGAGACTGATGTTTGCCCCGTGATCAAGCAGAACCCGAATGATTTTGAGATCTCTGACATATAGAGTAGCAAAGTGGAGCGGGCTGGTGAACACCCCTCCAGCTAACTAACAACCAACAGTCAGAACAAACGTCAACACCACTGGAGCACAAGATGCGGGAATATTGCTTGTTACCTTGAGATTAGGATCCGCTCCCCGATCGAGCAATAGCTGAACCAGGTCTACATCCCGTCTGTGTATCGCGTCGCACAAAGGGTTATCCAACTCGTAAGGATCAACATTCGGGTCAGCGCCAGCATCGAGCAAAACCCTGGTGACTTCCAGCGGGTATTTATGATATCGGACCGCGATCTGGAGTGAGGTCTTCGATGAGCGAGTCTTGCGATGAACATCTGCACCAGTCTCTAGAAGGAATTTCGTGATGACTGCCGATGTCCTCGCAGCCTCACTTAGTGGCAGCTCTCCATAAAGGGGAATATTGATGTCAAAGCCCTTTTCGATTAACTTCGCAATTGCTTTGGTATCATCATTATTGAGAGCCGTTTCCCACTCCTCAAAGTAATGAGTGTTAGTAGCAACACTGGCTCTATACTGTTTCGCAGCTATGTCGGTCACTTCCTCGTCCATTTCCGCTTCCTTTCCGTGTTCGGACCGTTCCCCCAACTTCGACCAAGCCTGTGGCAGCAGAGACATGGGGAGAAGGGCCTGATTCCGACCAAAGGGAGCCAGAATATCTGGTGGCAGCGCCAGAGATATCTCGGACTCTTGGACTGGGTACTGGATCTGATAAGGCGAAGCACAGCCCTTGAAAGTTGAAGGCGTGGAAGGACGACACTCGAGGAAGGCACCCGAGAATTCAGAATGAGCCAAGGGAAGGGGCAAGCCTAACAGTCGTGAAGACAGATGAACAACAAAGGTTGGGCAGCAGGAACTTGCAGTGCGCTTGTCACAGGTCGCGGTCAGGCTGGCTATATGTACTGTAGGTGGAAATTGCCTGACATGTGACCAGGGGCTGTGTAACAAAGCTAGTCCAAGCCTCCAAGCCCGGATTGCTGCTGTTCGGCTGTTACGAAGATCTAGACCTTTCTTCTCGTCCAATAAGGCTGACTTCCTCAATGAGCCTCAGGACTGTCTCCCTGGCGGTGGAGATATTTACAACCACCCGGAAAAAGGAACCTTTCTCGACCTCGTGGCTCAAGGCAGGCGCGTAGTCGACCATGAAGCCTCGAGAAATCAAGGAGCGAGCTATTCGACTTGTGACTGCTGAGTTAAGCTTGCCGACCATTTCAGCCTTACTGGGTTTGTCGCCTCCATTGCTGCCATTAACCTGAACATGGCTACCATTGCTCATCTCATTCACCATTTTACCTGCCGGAGCGAAGTAGAAACACACCTGCAGGCAGGGCGGGGGATTCGTGCTCACTAGCAACAAGTCTGGACTCTTATCCACAAGGTCTGCCATGTAGCAAGCGAGTGAATACGCATTCTCGACCTTTAACGAGTACCCCAAAGTCCCATAGTATTGCCAGGACAGAAAGAGTTTCAGACTGTCTCCGCGGCGTCCACACTGAAGTGTGAGATCGGCGAGGTCGTTGGGAGGGATCCAATCCTCATCGTGCGGTTGTGATTGATTATGGCCATTCAATCCAAGCTGCTCAGCTTGCCGCTCGACTTGATCCTCGTCGTGGAACAGGTATCCCGCACGGAGAGTGTTTGCCATATGAGCATTTTTGAGATCTTTGAGCAAGAGGAAGCTGCAAGTGACTGGGACACCCAGCATCTTGTGCGGATTGATGGCGATGCTGTCTGCGAGCTCACAACCCTTCAGCCTTGATTGACGAAGACTGTCGGAAAAGACGAAGCTCCCGCCCCAAGCACCATCGATGTGCATCCACAGCCCGTGTCTTCTCGCAATTCCTGCAATGGCCGCAAACGGATCGAATGATCCCAGGACTGTTGTTCCGGCAGTGGCATTGACATAGAATGGAGTATTTCCCTTGCTTTTCTCCCTAATGATCAAGGACTCAAACGCCTCGGGATCCATCTTTCCAGACACCGGATCAACAGGGACGGAAATGACACTTTCGCAACCAAAACCGCACTGTTGCGCAGCTTTTTCAATACTGTAATGTCCATGCTCAGAAGTGAACATCACCAATTGCCTACCTCCAGCATGATTTCCCGACTGTTTCGTGTCCGGGAACAGAGTGTTCCGCGCGATGACAATACTAGTCATGTTGCTCGCGCTCCCGCCTTGAACATTGATGCCCCCGGCTCTTGGACTAGTGAAGCCGAACAATGCTGCCAGAGCTTTCGTGGTGTAGGTCTCAATGAGCGAGAGCACGGGAGAAACCTGGTAAACATGCACATTTGTGTTGAGAACGCTGAGAATCAAATCTGCCGCTATACCGGGAGGCAAAGGACTGGAGTATAGCTTGTCAAGAAATCCGGGGGCAGAGGTATTAACGCTGTATTTCAATATCGAAGATAGAGAAGTGGCGAGGCCGTCTTGGCCAGTACCCCGAAGAGGCAGAGACAAAGTGCCGTCTGATGTCAGGATGGAGAGCAGATCTGGAGGTGATTTTGGCTCAAGAATGGGAGATATAGATACGGGTTGATGGAATTGGTGAGCTATACGCTCTGAGTCTGCTCGTCGAACGAAGCGGATGAGCTGATCGAGGACCGACGCGAGAAGGGCTTCCAACTCATCAGCTCGAGACGCCAAGGCGTCATTGGCACTGCCGTCTTTTATGCCATTTGCCCTTTGTAAAGAGAGGTCACCGGGTAGAGAGTTGCTTGAGAGCAGGCCATTGAAGCTGTTTTCGAATGAATGGTCCGACATGCCCATCAAACTTATATCAATGGAAAAGTAAGAAAGTGACCTCGTGCACACGGACGCTCAAAGTCCAAGAAAACAGATCAACCGGAAACAACCCTCCAATGAAGCAAGCGAATCTATCCTGTCTATATATGAAGAACTGAATTGTCGAGGCAAAGTCAGCAGAAAAGTTGCATGTGGTTAGCAGAGTACTCGGTATTAAAATTCTGCTGACCAGCATTAGCGGCGTGCTTTTCCGAATGACGCAATCCAGTGGAGACAAGGCTGAGGTCCAGGGGTTCGCTCAGAAGGATACCGGGTTTCCGTGAATGTCGTTTTCATCTGCCTATGTCCTCATCCCTCAGGCTTAGGCATTGGTTCGAACCACAGCGTTTGTGGATCTCGCTGCAGCATGGCTGTTCTTAGCGCTGTGCGAATTCACCTTCTGAGAATGTCTCTCGCGCGCGAGCTCGATCGGCGTCTTCTTTCTCTCTTGCCCTGGTGCTTCCTTCAAAGGCACAGCCATGGTGCGGCTCTGACCTAGACCCTTGGCAAGAGCGCGCCATTCACCAGGCCGTCGGTGGTACAAGTCCATGGCCCAGTTCTTCCAAACATTCCGGCCGAACGGCGAGTCTCGAAGTTGACTTTCATTGCTGGCGAGCTCTCCGGCTAGACGCTCTTTCATGAAATGAAGCCCGTCCGTGGCTGACCATAGGGCGTCAGCCACGTAAGAGCCAGTAAGGTCTTGTGCTAGGTCGCTGATGTGTCCATAGAAACGAGGGACAAACTCCCGTCTGAATTGCATATTGCTTTCTGTCGGAGACAACGCAGATTGGACGACGCGCGACGAAGCTGGATCGCGTGACATTGCCATCAGCACTTTAGGGTCCGGTGATAACAGACTGTCCTGTACAACCGTGCAGGTCCTTGGATTTTGGAGCATCGTCTGAGCCAGTAGGGAGCCATGAACATCAGTCTTTGGGGTCGAAGTTTGTGTGCCCTTGTTCCCGTCTTTGTCCGCTGGCTGTTCTGGTACTTCCATCGGTCTGAAGCTCAGAAGATTAGGCAGGAATTCCTCTCCGTCGCTGCTGTATTCTGACTTGATCACATCCGACACATCCTGCAGATCCACTCCTCGCAAAGCACATCGTTCGATCAGGACCCTGATCAGGCCAGTCCTCCGCCGGGAAATGAGGACTGGCAGCTCTGCCAATATCAATGTCTTTGCTTCATCAAGATCATCTTTACCTAGCCGTTCGAGAATCCTCATCGCCACATAGCTTGCTGTATCATTTTTAGACATGCTCCCGAGCCGTGGTTTCAGCACGTGCTTGTAGAGCTTCTTGAATGCTTTGCCAGGAAGCTGCTTGACCAGAATCTCGACTAAATGTGAGCCAGTAGGATCATAAATCAACCCAGAGATGAATTTAGCACTCTCAGAATCCTCCTCCAGCTCTTGATCTGGTAACAATTTTCGAAAGACCGAATTCTCTTCTGCTGCCTTATTCTTGCCGGATGCTGAGAGTTCGACACGTAAAAGTAACTGTAAGACAGGATTGCCAGTCGGATGTGTAGCCAATGCTCTCAAGTAGGTCGTGTCCAGTGCCGAAATTGCACTGCTAATTAACTTGCCAAGAGCGTTGCGGAACGTCTTGGGCACGACACGTTTGCTCTCGTGCGTCTCGGTCTCTTTTTCGACTGGTGCTTCGAGCTTTTCCTTTCTTTTGCTAGCGACCATCGCCTTGACCGAATCATCCTCTAATGACAGGCCCGACAGCACGAGGAACAACACTCGAATGGTGTGTGAAGCAAATCTGTCAGTGAGAAGAAAGCCCATGTTTGGCTCAAGCTCTTCTGCGGCGCGAAGAAAGAGGTTCTCAAAGCCAACCAAATCAGTCTCGCTGGCTTCCTCCACATGAGGCTCCCTTTCCACGTGTTTCGCCGCTTCTAGAAAAAGCGTCTCACAGCAATGACTTCCGAACCGATGCCGCACAAGATAGGTGAGGTTTCCAAGGAACTTGCTGAAAAGGTGTCGCAGCTGTTCCGGAGTGGACAGCATGATGATCTTCTCTAGATATCTAGAACAAGATTGACTGGATGCGACCTTCATTTCTTTGCCTTCAGTCTCTCTGTGCACTGCCTCGAGGAAAACATCACGGTCTTCTGGGGACTCGAAATCATTTGCAACGATTTTTGTGTTGACGTTTGCATAGTACTCTTGTTCTTCCGGGGTTAGCAGTCCGTGAAACTGGGTTTCTTCTTGCGGTTCCTGGATTCCTTGCGGCCTCTCAACATCGAAGCTTATGAAGTCATCTCCGGCATCGCCCTCCACCACAACTTCACTTGGAATTTCTTCGTCACGGGTATGTTCGGTTTTGAGGCGCTTTGCAGAGGTCTTTCCCTCTTTCTCCTGCTGTCGCCTGCCCCGCTTCTTACCCTCGCGAGGCATTTTGAAAGGATTGATCCAGCGTTGAAGAGGGAGTTCAGCAGCAGAGGCCCAACACTTGAGCGACAACCTGTGGTGAGGGTGGTTAACAGCTTGTGCACAGGTCGATAGGTTCAAGTTTGGAGAAGACAAGAAAAAATTACGCCGCCAAGCCTTGCCCCAGATCCACCAATCAAATCTAGAGAGAGAAAGGGCGCCCGCAGCCTTGGAGATCAACGCCGCCTCAGCCTCGCCTACAGAAGTTCAAGAAGGACAGCCTTCATACTTGATCGTCATCCTACAAGAATTTGACTGGTTTCATGCTTCATCATCAATCCAGTCGCCTACAACTCGTTTTGTCCCGTGGTGGGAGCCAACGCATCTCGGAGCGCTTGACTGGCGGAATAGCTTCGAGCAATTGCATGCCGACTGTCGCAGGCTACCACTGCATATCCCTTTGTAAAGTTTCCACGTATCTGTTCGCAGTGTATCTCGCACCACCTCTTGAGGAGCCAAGTGATGTTGGGGAATATGCTGGGTGGCATGGTCCCACGCGAACTCCAATAGTACCTGGTAGAATGTCTTGAACTGGCTTTACGTCCTGGACTTCCCATTGAGTATAGCCAGACAGAGAGCGGCCATTGCTCCTCTCAAACGACTCGAGGGGATCGATTCGGGCGAGTGCGGCAGGTTCAGCCTCACCTAGGGGGTGCGATGCCGGAAATCGGTGGCGACTCTGATAAGGAATGGCACTGGATATGATGCGGCCTCAATACACCATGTCTTCCTCCGAAGACTGTGCCAGTTGTCACTCCCAGCTCCAGGCAATGTGCTCAAATATCTCTTCAGCCTGCACCCTGCTCTTGCGCGGCCATCTGTATCTTTTGTTGGAGCTGCATCAGTTCGACCCTCTTCTTTTCGCTTCCTTCCTGCAGCTCCTTGATCCTGGCTTCCCGCCTGGCTATTTCCTTGTTGATGAAGTCGAGCCGGCCGTCGACCGCATTTACAGCCTCCTTCTTGTCCTGCTTCAGCAGTACCGGGCCGACTAGTTTGTAGATTCCCGCATCATCGGATAGAGAGGCGAATTCTTTCTGGACAGCCTTGTTTTCTTGCTGCTGTGCTTCGAGTTTTTGACGTGCTTCCACTGCGGTTTGGAGATCTGTGGCCGAAGGTTAGAACATAACAGGTAGCGTGCCCGGGTCAGTGTGTTCCCGACCGTCTTGAAATTTTTGTAGAGCTTCAGATAAGGCCTGCAGCTTACTTCTGTCGTCTTCCATGGCGTGCCGGTCAAGGAGTGAATCTAATTGCGAGGGAAAGATTTGTAAGGGATTTGTACATGGCTGGAATGGGAAACGGTTCTAGTGCGCAGGGCAATCCGCGGGGCAAATGCCGGTGCGCCATCTCCGTTCCCATCCCACCTTCACCTTTACTGCTTTGTGACGACTCTACGATCTTCTGAATCTGGCATTCACGCGACTCTGAGACCATTTTGCTGGACCCTCGTATACTTGTGCTCGAACAGCTGGACAGACGCTTTTCGTTCGTCTCCACTGCGGCCCAAAGCCAGTCGTCAAGAAGATCTCGCCGCTTGTTTACCTCAACTGTATCTGGTCGAGGTACCTCTACGACACCTTATCTTCCGTCCTACCTCTCCGTCTCCAGCTCCAGAGCTTTGCTGCTCAGAATGTCCAACACCGACTTCCTTGGCCGCGCAATCGATACGGTGAAGAAAGCCATTGAGCTTGACACCGCCGGTTCCTACGAACAAGCCTACCAACAGTACTATGCCGCCCTCGAACTCTTCATGCTTGCCCTGAAATGGGAAAAGAATCCAAAGTCAAAGGAAATGATCCGTGCAAAGGCGGGCGAATACATGGATCGAGCGGAGAAACTGAAAGCCCATATTCAGACGAACGATTCGTCCAATCGCAAAAAGCCCGCCGCAATGGGGGTCAACGGAAAAGCTGTGAACGGCGCGGGCAAAGGAGAAGCAGGAGACAAAGATGAAGAAGATGCAGATTCGAAGAAACTCCGAGGACAATTAATGGGGGCAATTTTGACGGACAAACCCAATGTAAAATGGGAGGACGTGGCTGGTCTGGAAGGCGCAAAAGAAGCATTGAAAGAGGCCGTCATCCTTCCCATCAAATTCCCCCATTTGTTTCAGGGCAAACGACAACCTTGGAAAGGAATATTACTCTATGGACCGCCCGGTACGGGTAAATCATACCTCGCAAAAGCTGTGGCGACCGAGGCAAACAGCACTTTTTTTAGTGTGAGTTCGTCGGATTTGGTGAGCAAGTGGATGGGAGAGTCAGAACGGCTGGTCAAACAACTCTTCAACATGGCAAGAGAAAACAAGCCGGCAATCATCTTTATTGACGAGGTCGATGCCTTGTGTGGACCTCGAGGTGAAGGCGAATCTGAAGCGTCAAGGCGTATCAAAACTGAGCTGCTCGTCCAAATGGATGGAGTAGGAAAGGATTCTCGTGGCGTCCTGATTCTCGGCGCAACAAATATTCCCTGGCAGCTAGATGCGGCCATCCGCCGACGTTTCCAGCGAAGAGTGCATATCTCGTTGCCCGACAAACCGGCACGAATGCGGATGTTTGAGCTCGCTGTTGGAGACACGAAATGCGAGATGACACAAGCGGACTACAAGGCGCTGGCAGACTTGAGCGAAGGATATTCCGGGAGCGATATCAGCATTGCGGTGCAAGATGCCTTGATGCAGCCGGTGAGGAAGATTCAAACAGCCACGCATTACAAGAAGGTAAGTCCGACCACTCCCCACCCCCCTGTTTCATACTGGCTTCGAATTGAATTGCTAACAAATTGCCCGTGGCGGGAATCAGGTCATGGTTGACGGTGTCGAGAAACTCACGCCGTGCTCTCCGGGGGACCCTGGAGCAAAGGAAATGACCTGGGTGGATGTTGACTCGGAACAACTCCTCGAGCCTCCGCTGACCGTGAAAGACTTTATTCGCGCGATAAAAGCGAGTAGACCGACCGTATCTGGGGAAGATCTGAAACGAAACGCCGAGTGGACGGCCGAATTCGGAAGCGAAGGTGCATAGCGAGGGCACACGAAGACGGGGAGAAGCGCAGCGACTTTTTGTCCGGAAAACGCAGAACGAAGACGACGACGATAGCAAATGTCATCTGGGCCATTTTGGGAACTTTGGGAAAGAAAGGAGGGAGTGGTTTTTCCACGGATGAATAAGCAAGGGCGTTTCTAGGCTTTGTTAGCAGTGAGGCTTGTACTGGCTACATATACTCCTCGAAGGCAGCGAGCGGTTGCTGGATCCAGGCTTGAAATTGGATGTTTGAAGAAAAACCCAAAGGGCCCTCAACATAGAGACCAGCGGACATGACAAGAGATCTCTGTCTCTGGCGCCAGGGCCGTGGAAAGATGGCTCGGCCTCGCCAGCACTGACTCACTTGACGCAAGGCTTTCTTCCTCGTAATTATGCTTCATCTCAGAGGCGTTTCGCAATCATTCTGCAAAAGAGGGACCAAATGCCCCGCTCCCCCTTTTGCCTTGATGCCTCCCTCATGGATGATTCTAAGCCGATCTCCCTGGGGGCACAAAGCACGCTGAAGGTATCTCAGCAAAAAAATAGGTCCGCTGCCCAAGCTTTACGCAGCTGATTCTTGGATTGAGTACATGCTCAAAGAATACTCGGTATATATATATATATATATACATCCCCTCCTGAGATGGTCCCCTCCCATTGAGGACACTCTCCCCTGAACTCGTGCGGGTTATCCGGTCACTGGCCCGCTCTTGACATGGCTCATCGCCACGGGGCCTTTACTTCCGAGAGTCGTGGAAACGGAAACGAAGCGACAAGAATCTACCTAGGGGTACTGTTCCTATGTCCGTCGTCAACATCGAGTTCCCCTACGAGAAGTAAAAAAAAGAGAAAAGGGGAGTGGGAGGTCTTTTGTCGAGTCTTCAGTTCCAGTCCCACCACTCCCGGGTGGATACAGTACAGATCGCTTGTCAAAGTGTGGGAAGTGTACAAGTTGTTATTCAGTGTGGAACGATGCTGAGAAGTCTTTCAGCCCTGTGTAGTAATAGAAGGTGTAGGTTAGCCCGCTCCATCTGACCTGGAGGGAATGAATCATAATTATCGATTGCCTCGACACAAGAGAAACACGGAACAAGGGGTTGCTCGGGGAGTCTTGAACGACCATAACAAAACATCGCAATCAATTACAGTCCAAATTCCTTCTAATAGTAAATCGTTCGTGATGATATATCTATTACTGTCCCCCCTCGCGCGCGCGATCAAGCTCGTGAATCATATCGCCTTTTGGTCCGAAATCCCATCCCTTGAGACTCAATGTCGATATCTACGTCCATGTCCATGGCAGACTCGTCTGCTTTCCTTTTGCTTCCCCGAAGCCTTATGACCATCGATTTAAAAGGGCCACACCCACTTCCTGATCTCCTCGGGGTCGATACCCTCGTTGAAGGCAATGGTGCGGTACTTGATCTGCGAGCTGAGCAGCTTCTCCCTGGCGCTGGCACCCTTGTTGCCCAGCTCGGGCATCCTGTCCAGCGCCTCAATGGCAAGGCTGAACCGGTCGGTGCGGTTGCGGATGGCCAGCTCCAGAGGGGTGTCGATGTTGCCTTTCTCGTTGTAGCCGCGCACGTGCAGGTTGGCCTGGCTGGGTCGCTGGGCCGTCAGACGGTGGATGAGCCAGGGGTAGGAGTGGAAGTTGAAGATGACGGGCCGGTTGGGCGTGAAAATCGACTCGAATTCCCGCTGGGACATGCCGTGGGGGTGATCGTGTTCTGGGATCAGCTTGAAGAGGTCCACCACGTTGACAAAGCGGATCTTAAGCTCGGGAACGTACTCCCGGAGCAGAGCCGTCGCGGCCAGAGATTCCATGGTCGGCACGTCACCGCACGAGGCCATGACGACGTCGGGCTCTTGGCCTTGGTCGTTGGAGGCCCAATCCCAGATGCCCGCGCCCTTGGTGCAGTGCTCGATGGCCGCTTCCATGTCGAGATA